AATTTATTGTAGGGTTGGTAGTTTACGAGATACAACGCGAAAACCTCGCAGCGAAAACCCCGTGACCACCGCACAAACTTGAACTTATGGTTATACTTTTCCTCGTAAAACATCAAAAAAATAAAATTGTACGTAAAAAATGCACGTTAAGGCAAAAAAGTAATATTTTAATGAACTAAATATAATACACAATGACTGTCAAGAATATTTTAATTACAGTTCTTCAAGACTGTCATTAAAGATCACATATAAAAACATTCATACTAAGAAATATCAGAAATATATAATGTAAAGTATATCGCAAAAAATTGTTTACAACAATCAATTTCAAATAAAATATTTCATAAAATGCTATCAAAATATTCATTTTGTTATTTTACACATCTTGAAACATTTAGGAACCGAGACAAATGGACGCGCCCTGAATACCGCCATATGCATGGAGTCTTCATCTTACTCTTTTTCCCTAGGTCACTGCTTGTAAAAATGTATATACTATCTTTTGGTGATGGGAAGCTTGCGTTTTTTATTTAGATGTAGAAGAATTAGAACCGCTTATAGATTTTGTTTTTTAATTTTTAAGTTTTCCTGTTGATGACTTTATGTTTTTATAAGATGCGTTTGAAGATTTTTCGTTTCACAACAATAATTGTAACTATTCAGGATTAATTTTTGTTATTTTTGCTTTGTGGAACCTTTTTAGAAATTTTCAAATACTTTTTAGAAACATTAAGTCTATTTGGTTTCACAGCTGTTTGCTAGGATGTCTCGAATCTCTATTTTGGGTAATTAACACCTAAATGGTGAGATTTTAAGATATTCTTGGATTCAGCCGATAGTCATTGAATAACAATATCTTCTAGCACTTTTTATTTGTTGTGAATATTCCCGATAGCTCTTTAAAAAGTGATTTTTTATATGATTCAATAAATATATCTTTATGTGAGGGAAAGAAACTGCTCCCCTATCCCAACTATCCCACATATTGGTGGAATGAAGAAATCGAAGAAAAAATAAAGATTAAACCAGATAAATACCACAAACGTTTAAATATAAATACTGATCAAAGTAAAAACTAATATCGAACAGCCCAAAGAAACATAGGAGGTGCGATAACTAAGAAGAAAAACGAAAGCTAGGAAGAAAACTGCTCCAGGATAAACAATTACTTGGTGGGGGTAGCAGAAGCACTGATAGCTGGAAAATACTTTGATCTCTTCGACAAGATGAGACTAAAGACAGCATCTCACTGATCAGCCTAGATAAATGGGACGAATACTTCGCAAATCTACTGGCGGAAGAAAGGGCAGAATATTTGCAAACACCTCAAACACAATCAGAGGTACAAGTACATACAACAGTTTCCCAAATTAGGATTGACGGCAAAGAATTAGCACGAGTATGCTAAACATTAAAGTATAGAAAATCACCAGGCTCTGGCAATATCCCACCTGAGCTGCTCAAGTACGGTACAAGTAAATTATATAAGCAGCTAGCCAGTCTTTAACAAAAATGTATTAATGGAAAGAGTTACTGGAGGAGTGGAGGACATCATTTATCACGACAATACATAAGAATGGAAGTAAAGATGTATGTGACAATTATAGAGGAATCGCAGTCCTTAGCACCATCTCGAGAGTTTACGGAAAACCCATAAAAAAGAATGGAAGATGGATTCGATATATGGAGGCCGAAGAACAGGCCGGCTTCAGATCAGGTAGATGAACTATTGACCATCTGTTTACTGTTAAGCCGGATTTATAAACAGACATAAACATAATTTTAGTCTTTAACCATAATCTTATTATATAAGCATAATGTTAAAAGTTAATAAATAAATGTACCCATTTAAAAGCATCCATAATACATAAGACATAAATTTAATCCTTAAAACGTGACCTTGAAAGTTGGTAACTTTCAACATTTATGAATTAAGTATTAAACATTATGGAATTGTTGGAATATGCGCATGCGTTGGTAGAATCATCTGCAGTTTCCTCCTACCTATACATAACCCTACTATTTTAATTTAATGTTTTTGGAGCGAATTCAACCACATATTTATTTATTTCATTTTTCTATGAATCTAAAGACCAGAAAAAAATTCTTCACGCTCTATAAAAATTTGGTTAGGTTTGTATTTTCTGAAGTAGTTCTTAAATATTATGGTTATGTATTATGTCTAGTTATAAACCAATCTTAAATCTTATGAATTATGATTGTGGTTGAAGTTATGTTTATGACTTATGATTATGTACTATGTCCGTTTATAAACCTGCCTTTACACAGCTAATTAAAAAAGAAGTAGCATGAAATCAACCAATACATCTCCTCTACGTGGACCTTAAAAATGCTTATGATAGTGTGCCACAAGAAAAACTCTGGAAAGCTCTCGAGAAAACAGATACTAGTGTAATCTTAATCAAGGCTCTTTATGACCTCTACAAAAACAACACAAGTAAAATAAAGAAATGTAGGGAGGTATCCAATGATTTTACTATCAGCAGAGGACTCAAACAAGGATACTGCGTGTACCCTATTTTGTTTAAGATCTACTCGGAGCAAGCGATGAAGACGTGGAAAAGAAAATACCGAAATATGGGAATTCCTCTAAACGACGTAATATTGTACACATCGAGTTTTGCAGACGACCAGATGGTGATGGCCCAAGACTATGAAGATGCATATATGACGAGTAAACTTATCGAAGAATACGAACTATGAGGACTAGAAGTAAATATCAAGAAAACTGAATACATGTGTATTGGTGGAATTCGACAAAATCTAATCTTGGAAGAAATACAGCGAGAAATAAATCACTGTCAAAAATACAAATATTTGACAGACGAAGAAATTAAACATAGAAATAACCACGGAAGAAAACACACACAAAATCTATAACAGCATTATAAAAAGCATTGTTACATATGGAAGTGAGATATGGCCACTGAAAGGAAAAAACTGAAAAGCATTAGAAACAACAGAAATGGACTTCTGGATCAACTAAGATGGTATGGAGAAGAAGAAAGCAAGGTAGATCGAGAGTAAGTTGAAGAGAAGGAATAGATAAAGACTTAAGGGAGGGGAGAATTGAAGAAAACCTTTGAAACGACCGAGATAAATGGAGACTAGAAATAAGAAGGCGGCGTAGAGCGTTATAAACTGATTGATTGATTGGATCTTTATGTGAGAGACAATTTCATGGACTTTCCGAAAATAATTTTATATTTTAAGTTGCTTAAAAACTAATAAGACATCTAGTATTTATACGACAACTGCTAAATTATTAAAAAATTGGGGACCAGCACTATGGAAACAAATACATGGTCAAATCACCTAAGTATGGAATGATGAAGTAATTCCTAAAGAATGCAAATGAGCCTTGTTTACCCCATTCCCAAGAAAGAGATTAATCAAGAGTGCTCCAACTATAGAGGAACCATGTTATTAAACATATATAAAGTGTTTTCTACTTTCCTATATACAAAGCTTCCGCCCTTTGCGGAAAAGATCATTGGTGACTGTCAGTGCGAATTTCGACTAGACCGATCTACTAGTAATCACATATATATGCTGAGGAAAGTGTTTAAATAGAGCCATGAATACAATATGACATAAACTGTTTATTTATTGATTTCAAACAATCCTTTGACATTATAAATAGGAAAAAACGATATGGAAGCCTTGAAAACCTATGAAAACCATAATGCTTATGGATATCTTCAAAAAACAAGTCAGAGTGGTACAGCTTAGTCTCACTGACACCAAATGAGGTGTAGTAACACAAAATATGTAGACCTAAATCAATATAAATGGAACAACAAGAGTATCAACGTCGATAGATCATACTTAAACCACTTGAGATTCGCTCAATTATTCGCACTTGAGATTTATTATAGTTTTAATAGTCAATTATATCCAAGAACTAAATGATATGTTACAACAATTAAATGCAGTTTCATCAGTGGTAGGCTTAAAAATAAACTACAGTAAAACAAAAATACTGAGCCGAGACCAGACAAATATAACAATACGTATATCTAGGTCATGTCATCAAACTAGGAAAACCAAATTAAGATGCTGAAATTAAAAGAAGAACACAACTGGCATGGGACGCTGTCAGCAAACTAGCATATATCTTGAAAAACACCTCCATTCCTGTAAACTTAAAGGAAAAGGTGTATAACACATGCATACTACCAGTTTGTACCTACGGCTTGGAGACAGTAGCCCTTACCAAAAAATCTGCTAAAAAATTAGAAACAACGCAAAGAGCAATGGAACGAATCATGCTTGGAATATCACTGAGAGACAAGATAGAAACACCGAGATAAGACGTAGAACGAAGATTAGGGATATTGTGGAAGAAATTACAAAAATTAAATGGCGCTGAGCAGGTCACGTAGCCCGGATATAATGACGACAGGTGGACACGGAGAATTCTAGAATGGACGACAACAAGAAGCATGGGAAGACCTCAAAAAAGATGGGTAGATGACATAATAGCAGTGGCAGGCAAACAGTGGATTAGATTGGCGCAAGATAGAGAAAGATAAAAGCAATTGGGAGACACCTACATTCAGGAGTGGATGGAAAATGGTTGACAAAGAGAGAGAAAGAGAAATCAATGTAAGAAATACAAAAAATATCACAAAATGGGAAGGCAAAAGTTTAAATAAACAGGAAATCTTTAATGTAGGGAAAAGAAAGAGTAATTGCTTTTTCTATTAAGATTTCCCCAAAAAAAACGCTTTTAAAGAAGAATTAATATAGTAAATATAGGCGTAGAGTATTTTATTTGCCAAGATTCATTTTATCTAAATATTTGTTTTTTTTGCAATATTTTAATTATATTTTTTTAACTTTACTTTAATTGTAGAAACAATATTAGTAAATCAAGTATAAGAATGAATATATAACGGGAATTTATTAACATTATAAGTGCTAGAAGATATTTGTGGAATTTTATTCGCTGTAATCATGTCTTGGTTTCTGTTTAGATATACAATGTCGCTCACACGATGAGTGTCACATCAATCTGGCATGCATAAACCGAAAGTGCCAAAACCCATGTGCCGTTTCGAACCCTTGTACCCAGTCGCACGACTGTAAAGTACAAGAACATCAACCAGTGTGCGTCAAAGGTAAGTAGAACAAAAAAAGGTAACCAGAGCTGGAACTGTCAAAAAAATTGTTAAGGATTTGTTAATTACATTGCTGAAACCATTTTCTGTTTCAATTTAGTATAAAGTAACTTTAATATGTAATGCATTTTTAATTTTTTCGACGAGTATGTGAATAATTCTTTTTCAAGTCAAAGGTTCTTTTATGCAATGATAATTTAGATTCTCTGATTGGTCCTCTTATTACATAAATATGTAGAACACCAATTCATTTGGTATATAACTGTTCTTTGAACTGGCACGACATCTTCAACCAAATGACAGAACTTTAGTCGAATCACTATTGTCTTGGGTATATAGACATTTTGGCTTCGATTTTTCTGGTGGTTGAGCATGAACAAGGCTAAATGCTATATTTGTCAAATCTTCTCGTCGGGTCTTTGTAGGCTTTGGAATGTTACAATTGTAAATAACACAGGAATAAGAACAGAAATTGCTGTAACATTCCAAACGCTGTAAAAAATAACCATAGGCCATCTTCTACTAGAGCGTGCCACATCATATTGTGCGCCTAATTTATCTACGGTATCAACACCGCTTTTTGTGGTGTTATATGCTAATATCATTTTCGGTTTTCCAGTTACAAGATCAACGTCGTCCCCATGGTGCTTAGTGGAATATAATACAACGTTTTTGTTTATATGATACTAGTGTTCCTCTTGAACCAAATCCAAATGCTCTAGAGCCCATAGGTCGTTCTTCATTGTTAGAGAAATATGCAGGAATTTCTCTTCTATTTACTTTTATTGTCCCCAAGAGAGTTAAACCATTTTCCTTCAAGCTTATACCAAGATCAACGCCAATGTCCAAGTGGTGTACCAATTGTCAGTGGTAACATTTCTTTTATATTCGTAGCGATATTGACAGGCCCGTTCCGCCACTGCCTTCGTATTATTGTCTAGATAGTATCGACCACCCACTTTGTTTTTTCCAACGTATACTTCCATGTTACTAGTATAAAATAATTTCGCATCAAACAGTGCAAATATTTTTATACAGTATCTATTGAATTTTGTTGGTCTGTACTGGTGGAACGAGTACAGTCCTCTAAAAGCTCCAACTTTTCATCCACGATTACGTATTGCGAAAGAGAGAAATATTTTTTCTGATTTTCGTTCCACTTGGTACGAAGATCTCTTATTGGTGCTAATTTATCCAAACTAACTCTATCATGCCTTGTTTTGTATTATTAGTTCGCATGTACCTTAGTACCTCTTGAACCAAATCCAAATGCTCTAGAGCCCATAGGTCGTTCTTCATTGTTAGAGAAATATGCAGGAATTTCTCTTCTATTTATTTTTATTGTCCCCAAGAGAGTTAAACCATTTTCCTTCAAGCTTATACCAAGATCAACGCCAATGTCCAAGTGGTGTACCACTTGTCGGTGGTAACATTTCTTTTATATCCGTAGCGATATTGACAGGCCCGTTCCGCCACTGCCTTCGTATTATTGTCTAGATAGTATCGACCACCCACTTGGTTTTTTCCAACGTATACTTCCATGTTACTAGTATAAAATAATTTGGCATCAGATAGTGCAAATATTTTTATACAGTATATATTAAATTTTGTTGGTCTGTACTGGCGGAACGAGTCATCATCAATCAGACAATCGCGTCCACTGCTGGACATAGGCCTCCCTCAGTTCTTTCCAGTGTTCTGTACACTGGGCCGCTTGTAGCCAGTTTCCCGCTACACGTTTAATGTCATCGGTCCATCTAGTCGGTGGTCGTCCTCGGCTTCTTTTATAATTTCTGGGCCTCCATTTCATAATACGTCTTGTCCATCGTCCATCTTGTGTTCTGGCTAAGTGCCCTGCCCAGTTCGACTTAAGCGTCGTGGTTCTTTCGATGACGTCTTGAACTCCTGATCTTCGCCTGATTTGTTGGTTTGTTATGTGGTCTCGAAGGCTCACGTTCAGCATTGCACGTTCCATGGCTCGTTGTGTAACTCTAAGTTTATTCGCAGATTTTTGCGTGAGTGTTAAAGTCTCTGCTCCATAAGTTTGTACAGGTAAAACACATTGGTTATAAACCTTTCGCTTGAGACACATGGGAATTGAACTTTTTAGAATATGGCTTAATTTGCCAAATGCTGCCCATGTTAGACCTATTCGCCTCTGTATTTCATGTGTTTGATTGTCTCTGCTTATTTTGATTTCGTGTCCTAGATATTTGTAAGTGTCTGTTTGTTGTATGGTATTATTGTCAATAGTTATATTTCCACTCATTACGAGATTTGTTATAATTTTAGTTTTCTCAAGTAGGCGGAACGAGTACAGTCCACTAAAAGCTCCAACTTTTCAACCACGGTTACGTATTGCGAAAGAGAGAAATATTTTTTCTGATTTTCGTTCCACTTGGTAAGAAGATCTCTTATTGGTGCTAATTTATCCAAACTAACTCTATCATGCCTTGTATTGATATTATTAGTTCGCATGTACCTTAGTAAATGTCTGAATCTCGTGATGTTCATTATCAGTTGGAAAACCTCTATACCAGTGCCTTCCATTTTCCACAAGTCTATTGTATTAAGGTGACTTGCCTTTCTTACACCTGCAAGATATAATAGACCTAAAAGGGCACGAATTTCATCAATATTATGACTTTTTGATGTTATCTTGAATGTTTTCGAACTATTTCTTTTTCGTGAATGGACTTTTTCTGTGTGGGAAAAATCACACGAACTTTCGAAACAAGCATGTGGTAATTTTTTTGGTTCATTAGCGATCAAAGATGTTGCTGAGACTGGAACATTTTTTACGTTATTACCGAGTTTTCGCAACTATCTATCAGAGTAGGTAAGGCTATGTTGTTATAAAGTTTAATCAATATATCCTTTCTTGTCTTGTTCTTTAGTGATCTGTGATTTCCGGTAGTTCTCCCACCTCGCGGCCTTTTAAACTGTCTGCTTTTCTCTGCAAAATTTTTATCTGTTAGTGGATATATTTCTTGTATTTTTATTTATAAGTTTTTATTTTATTAAAAGAAATTTATTTTCAGTTTGTCAATGCCAACGAAATGAAGACTGTGGAAATATCAACTTCCAATGTGATGGCTGCCAATGCGTACCAGGTAGTATAATTTTCTTATAATAAATTTGTTTACTTATTTTAATTAGACTCATCAGTAGTAACACCAAAAGTAAGACAACAACAAGCGCATATTATAAGATAGAGTTTGCTTATGCTAGATCGAGGCCCATTTATGAGCCCTTCAGACACAGCCATTCTGAACGTGTAATCCTTTAGTAATCTTGTGGCCTCACAGAAAGCCACAAGTCTCTTTAAGGGTAACTCCCTCATTTGGCTCGATTGTATAAAAACAGAACCCAGGATCTCTCACCTCTGATATGCAAGTGCCGGGTACTTCCAGACGATATGTGTGGAGGTTTCCTCCTCCTTATTACAAAAAGGGCACCTTGGGCCATCCGCCAATCCAAGCAGATGAAGGTGAGTCTACAGTGGCAGGTAAGAAAACTGACCATCAAAGAGCAGCTTCTACGGTCTAGAAGGAGAAGTTGGTCTTCTAAAAGCTGTAAGACTTTTGGAGGGTCCCACTTTATGGAGCCTAATCTGTCTCATACCTCCACAACTGGCCCAGGAGTGCTAAAACCTTCCTAGAAGAAGTTATTTGAGACTACCTCGACCAGTACTAAAGAACACTCCATCACAGGTTTGGGTCCCACCGGAAGAGTGTATAAGGCCTGTCTTGCCTAAATGTCAGCTCAATCGTTTCCTTCTACGCCTGTGTCTCCCAGTACCCACACCAAGTTAACCCTTTTGGTCCTTGTAATATCAACAAGTGCGCTCTTGTACCCAAGAATCAGCTTAGAACTGACGATTCCAAAGCCCTTAGCGCTACTTTACTGTCAGAGCTTATAAAGATAGTCCTGCTTGAACAAGACCTAATAACCTAGAGTACTATTATGCATAGAGACACAACATAGAATCAAATTTAAGATACCAAGAAAAAATCATACTCTAGCGCCGTAGGTATCAGTAAAATGTAGTCTTTCTAAATGGAATTATAATAAAATCCTGGAAGCACTATAAGCATGCCGCATTAACACCGATATACAAGGTTAATTTACAATACATACAAGAACGCAACTATGTCGGTGAAACTACATGAAAACACGGATCATATCCCAATCGGAAGAGGAGACCGACAGGGTGATACCTTATCGCCTGAACTGTTTAACGTAGACTTGAATATGCTTGTAAAAAACTTAACTGGAAAGAGATAAGCCTGAACTTTGACGGTAGAGGATTAACAAATTAGAAATTTGCAGACTTCACACAACTTCAGTTAGTGTGTGCCAGTGTGGGTCTTAATATAAACATCTCCAAAACAAAATTTATGACAAACCTAGTACCTAGCGAAAATATCAATATTGGAGGCAACGAAGTAGAGCTAGTGAAAAAATACATATATCTTGGACACGAAATAAAGATCATAAGAGACAACCAAACATGAGAACTACGAAGAAGAATAAACCTAGCATGGGCAGCCTATGGAAAACACAAAGACACTTTTAAAAGCAATACACCAATTTCTTTAAAACATAAAACATTTGATCAATGTGTGTTGCCTGTGATGACCTAGGTGCTGACATGACATTGACAGCTACAGCGTCTAAAATGCTGCAAATAGCTCAGAGGAAAATGAAAAGCTCAATGCTGAGTATGTCGCTTCATGACCGAGTTAGAAATGAAGACTTAAGACGAAGAACAGGAGTAACCAATGTCATTTCGCGAATTGCCACAATAACATAGAATTGGGCCAGATATGAAGTGATGAAAGGAGAACGAAGAGATTGCCTGAGTGAAGACCGAGGTTAGACAAAATAATGAGAGGAATACTCTCTATTAGTTGGACTGACGATCTCAAGAAAATATCAAGAAATTGGATGAAAAGTTCTTAAAATAGAGCATATTAGACAAAAATGAGGGAGGCCTATGTCCAGCAGTAGACGCAAAGGGCTGCATAATAATGATGATACACCAAACCATTTTCATGTTGTTGAAGTTGTTTTAGATATAGCTATCACAAATGCGACTTTAAAAAAATTGTAAAAAGGCAGGTAGTAAAGAAAAAATGGTTATTAGAAATAATAAATGATGAACATACAACATGTATATATAACGATGATCACGTATATGTTTATAAACAATCTTACAGACTATTTTATTTATAAAAAATGTTCTTCTAGGCGAACCTCGAATTCCTCTATGCTCTCACTGCCCACCAGGTGTATCTTGCGACCCCGTTACAGGGGCCTGTCTGGAGGGTAAGTTTTTACCGATATTATTTACAGATCATTTAATCAAACGTGTTGCTGTTTTTATTATCACCACCTCCCCATTTCCCCTCCTTTATACATGGAACGATATTAACAGAAGATCATACCGCAAAGGGGTAAGCTTTTTGCAGAAGGAAAATAAATATTTTTAAGGGTTTTTTAATGTTTTGTCTGTTGCAGCTTTTATCATCTAACTGTATATTTTTTCTAACATAGTATCATTGTATAGTTTGTAAAAAATAGCAACACTCACCTTATGTGACTAATTTATCGATTCTTCATTGTAATCTAATACCCGCTCTCCTATTTCCTTTATTGTAGTATCAATTTAAATAAGAGAATTTCAGGTGTACATATTGTAAAAGTTTAGTTTTGTATAGTGTACATTTTTGTAAAAAAATATGGTAATGGTTTGCTTCAAAACTGCATGACGTAAAAACCTCATCTCATCCCACATGTTTCAATAATACTGTAAATATTAGATACTAACTTTGATTTATTGTTTTTAAAATAACAGATATGGTTACTACACCTGCAACACTAACCGAAACACAACCCGTGACCTTTTCACAAATAACAAATGCTACTACCTCTACTACCAATCTAACATTTAGTACAAATACTGAAGAAACTAGCGCGCCCTCTACCCTGCCTTATGAACCGATAGAACCTAGAACTATACCGGACGAATTTGAAATAACGACACAGCGAAAAATAGTAGTTGTGCCTGAAACTACGACTACTGAAAAAATTGTAACGATTACAGCAGAAACACTGAAATCCGAAGAAACTACAAAACCATCTGTCATATCTACAATATATACAACTTTATCGTCTATTTTCACAACTCTTCCCAAAAACGAAACAACGGAAGAGAGTACTACACTAATGATTACCACACAATCAAAAGAAGAAGTTACTACTGGTAGTCCAGAAACCACCATTACCGGTACAATTACAACTTCTGCAGAAATAATATCAAAAGAAACAACTACCAGTCGAGATTCTAATACAACGAATGAAACAACAACGATTAAACCTCCAATAACTCCTGAAGTTACAACTGTTGGTGCTGAAACCTTGACAACAGGAGAATATACAACTTCTGAAGAACGAACAACAAAACAGGAAACTTCTAGTCAAGAGTCTATTACAACCAGTGAAGCAACAACGACCAAACCTCGAATAACACCTGAAGTTACAACTTTTGGTACAGAAACCATGACAACAGTAGGATATACTACTTCTGAAGAACGAACAACAAAACGGGAAACTACTAGTGAAGAACATATCACTATTGGTAAAACCACGACAAAACTACCAACAACTCCTGAAGTTACAACTCATGGTACGGAAATCTTGACAACAGGAGGAACTACAACTTCTGAAGAACGAACAACAAAACAGGAAACTACTAGTCAAGAATATATTACAACCAGTGAAATAACAACGACAAAACCCCGAATAACACCTGAAGTTACAACTTTTGGTACGGAAACCATGACAACAGGAAGATATACAACTTCCGAAGAACAAACAACAAAAGAGGAAACTACTGCTCAAGAATATATTATAACCAAAGAAACAACAACAGCAAAACCTCGAATCACTCCTGAAGTTACAACTTTTGGTACGGAAACCATGACAACAGGTATATCTACAACTTCTGAAGAACGAACGCCCAGACAAGAAACTCCTAGTGAAGAAACTATTACTACTAGTGAAACAACGACAAAACTGCCAACAACTGCTGAAGTTACAACTTATGGTACAAAAATCTCGACAACAGGAGGATCTACAACTTCTGAAGAACAAACAACAAAACAAGAAACTACTAGTCAAGATTCTATTACAACCAGTGAAACAACAACGACAAAATCCCGAATAACACCTGAAGTTACAACTTTTGGTACAGAAACCATGACAACAGGAGGATATACAACTTCCGAAGAACAAACAACAAAAGAGAAAACTACTGCTCAAGAATATGTTACAACCAGTGAAACAATAACAGCAAAACCTCGAATAACTCCTGAAGTTACCACTTTTGGTACGGAAACCATGACAACAGGAGGATATACTATTTCTGAAGAACGAACAACAAAACAGGAAACTACTAATAAAGAATATATTACAAAAAGTGAAACAACAACGACAAGACCTATAATAACTTCTGAAGTTACAACATTTGGTACGGAAACAACCACAATAGGTAGATCTACAACTTCTGAAGAACGAACAACCCGACAAGAAACTCCTAGTGAAGAACCTATCACTACCAGTCAAACAACGACAAAACTACCAACAACTCCTGAAGTTACAACTTATGGTACAAAAATCTTGACAACAGGAGGATCTACAACTTCTGAAGAACAAACAACAAAACAAGAAACTACTAGTCAAGAATTTATTACAACCAGTGAAACAACAACGATCAAACCTCTAATAACTTCTGAAGTTACAACTTTTGGTACAAAAACCATGACAACAGGAGGATATACTACTTCCGAAGACCAAACAACAAAAGAGAAAACTACTGCTCAAGAATACATTACAACCAGTGAAACAACAACAGCAAAACCTCGAATAACTCCTGAAGTTACAACTTTTGGTACGGAAACCATGACAACAGGAGGATATACTACTTCTGAAGAACAAAAAACAAACCAGGAAACTACTATTCAAGAAGCTAATACAACCAGTGAAACAACAACGATAAAACCACCAACAATTCCTGAAATTACAACTTCTGGTACGGAAACCAAGACAACAGGAGGATATATTACTTCTGAAGAACAAACAACAAAACAGGAAACTACTAGTCAAGAATATATTACTACCAAAGAAACAACAACGGCAAAACCACCAACAACTCCTGAAGTTACAACATTTGGTACGGAAACAATCACAGCAGGTAGATCTACAACTTCTGAAGAACGAACAACCAGACAAGAAACTCCTAGTGAAGAACCTATTACTACCAGTGAAATAACGACAAAGCTACCAACAACTTCTGAAGTTACAACTCATGGTACGGAAATCTTGACAACAAGAGGATCTACAACTTCTGAAGAACAAACAACAAAACAGGAAACTACTAGTCAAGAATCTGATACAACCAGTGAAAAAACAACGACCAAACCTCGAATAACTCCTATAGTTACAACTTTTGGTACAGAAACCATGACAACAGGAGGATATACAACTTCCGAAGAACAAACAACAAAAGAGGAAACGACTAGTCAAGAATCTATTACAACCAGTCAAACAACAACGACAAAATCACCAACAATTCCTGAAGTTACAATTTCTGGTACGGAAACCATGAAAACAGGAGGATTTACAACTTCTGAAAAACAAACAACAAAACAGGAAACTACTAGTCAAGAATATATTACAACCAGTGAAACAACAACAGCAAAACCTCGAATAACTCCTGAAGTTACAACCTTTGGTACGGAAACCATGACAACAGGAGGATATACAACTTCTGAAGAACGAACAACAAAACAAGAAACTACTAGTCAAGAATTTATTACGAGTGAAATAACAACGAAAAACCCACTAACAACTCCTGAAGTTACAACTTTTGGTACAGAATCTATTACAACTGGTAGATATACTACGTCTGAAGAAATAACAACAAAGCAGGAATTTACAAGTCAACAACCTACTAGAACCAGTGAGACAACAACTATAAAGCAACCAACAACCGAAGAAAAAATTACACCGCAAGAAACTACTACATCAAAAAGTACTTCAGAGACCTTGTCTACTAAACAAGAAACCACACCGCAAGAAATTTCTACTCCTGGTTCCGTAGAACCACTTGAGCCAAGAACTATTCCCGAAGAGACTCAACAAACAACTCAAAGACAAACGCCAATTTATACTGAAACTGGAACTGAAATATCTGGTACTACCCAAAAAGTTACGGGTTTAATGATAGATACAAGTACTACAGAAGAAGTTAAAACTACTACAGTAGAACAACCAGTAGAAGTTGAAATACTACCTACAACAGAACAAAAAGAACTAGAATCTACTACTACCCAAAAAGTTACTGATGTAATGATAGATACCACAACTACAGAAAAAGTTAAAACTACTACAGTAGAACAACCAGTAGAAGTTGAAATATTAACAACAAAACAAAAAGACTTTACTGGTACAACAACTCAACGAACCACCGAAAGTGAAACATTAAAAACTACTGAAAGTGTCCAAACAACTACAGAAAAACAACCTATAGAAGTTGACCCACTAACTACAACGAAACAACAAGAACTAGAATCCACAACTGGGAAAAGTCTTACAGAAATAACTACAGAATACATTGAATTAATTACTACTAAGATTTTCACAACTCTTGGAGTAACCACATCTGAAATAAATACGGAACCAACTGCAGGTACCAACATAACTCAGCAAACACAAAGCACTGAAGAAGTAACAACGCAGCGATATTTGACTACAAAAAAAGGTAGTGAATTTACAACAAGTCAAGAACTAACTACTCAACAAGAAATTACAACTGATAATATAGAAACTACTTTAGGTCAAAGAATCACCACTTCTGAAGAAAAAACGACTACCGATGAAATTACAACCCAAACCCCTACTACAAAGCAATATTTTACTACTATAAAAGAAATTACAATGCCATCAACTGCTGGTACTACTGAGTACATTACAACAACTGAAGGAAAAGTAATTATTCATGCACAAACGACAGCTTCTGAAAAAATTGTAACAATAACACCTCAGTATATAACAATGCCAACAAAGGAAAAAGAAACAGATTTGCCGCCTTCTACAACGGAGGAACAAATAACTCATACGACACCAGCAATTTTCACTGAAACATTAACTCCAGCATCTATTGAACCAGTTGAGTCCAGAACAATACAAGAACAAATAGAAACTACTACAGAAGGAGTAACTTTCGTATATCCTGAAACAACTACTTCTCAAAAATATGTAACCATTACTCCACAGTATCCAACAACTAAGAAAGAAACGGAGACTGTACTGATTTTAGAAACAACAAAACCCTCAATAGTTACTCTAGAAATAAACCAATACACAACAACAAGTATTTCAACTGAAAAAACTACTAAAGATATAGGAACACAAACTACAACTGAAAAACTTGGGATAACAACTGAATTAGAAATGACATTCATAACGGAATTAACACAAAATAAAACTACTTCAGGTCTTAACCAAATGTCTGACACAACACCCAGTGCAATAATTACAGAAGTTACAACGAGTCCAACGCAACCACCATTGGTAACACATGGTATAACATATCCTACCTCCATTGAAACTACTTCAAAAATAACTGAAGTACCTAGCATAGAAATATTTAATGCAACAACTGCCACTGAGTCCACTGTTGCAATCACATCTCAAAAATTAGAAACAACTACATCAACTAAACATTCAACGTATGCTCCTACTACTAAAGGAATTGGGGAGCAAACTAGCACTAGTAGCGAAAAACAAGAAGTCACCTTCTCTACCATTACTTCAAATGTTGTAACAGAGCAAACAGTGCCAGTTACAAGAGAAGGTAAAGAAAAGGTGTACACTACAGAGAAACTACAAGAAACAACATTTGCGCCTATTACAACAGAACGTGTAACTGAAAAAACTGGCGAAGAATATACTACAACGGTTACTACAGAAGGCAAAAAAAAGATATATACGACAGAATCAACTTTGGTTCCTACGACTGCCCAAAGACAAGAAACTACATTTGCACCGGGCACAACAGAAATTGTAACTGAACAAACAGGAGGGGAATATACTGTTAAGGTTACTACAGAAGGCAAGGAAAAAATATACACTGCAGAATCAACTTCAGCTCCAACGACTGCTCAAAGAGAAGAAACAACATTTGCACCTATTACAACAGAACGTGTAACTGAACAAACTGGAGGAGAATACACTGCTAAGGTTACTACAGAAGGCAAAGAAAAGATATATACGACAGAATCAACTTTGGCTCCTACGACTGCCCAAAGACAAGAAACTACATTTGCACCAGGTACTACAGAAATTGTAACTGAACAAACAGGAGGAGAATATACTGTTAAGGTTACTACAGAAGGCAAAGAAAAAATATACACTACAGAATCAACTTCAGCTCCAACGACTGCTCAAAGAGAAGAAACAACATTTGCACCTATTACAACAGAACGTGTAACTGAACAAACTGGAGGAGAATACACTGCTAAGGTTACTACAGAAGGCAAAGAAAAGATATATACGACAGAATCAACTTTGGCTCCTACGACTGCCCAAAGACAAGAAACTACATTTGCACCAGGTACTACAGAAATTGTAACTGAACAAACAGGAGGAGAATATACTGTTAAGGTTACTACAGAAGGCAAAGAAAAAATATACACAGAACCAACTTTAGCTCCAACGACTGCTCAAAGAGAAGAAACAACATTTGCACCTATTACAACAGAACGTGTAACTGAACAAACTGGAGGAGAATACACTGCTAAGGTTACTACAGAAGGCAAAGAAAAGATATATACGACAGAATCAACTTTGGCTCCTACGACTGCCCAAAGACAAGAAACTACATTTGCACCAGGTACTACAGAAATTGTAACTGAACAAACAGGAGGAGAATATACTGTTAAGGTTACTACAGAAGGCAAAGAAAAAATATACACAGAACCAACTTTAGCTCCAACGACTGCCCAAAGTACATTTGCACCAGGCACTACAGAAGTTGTAACTAAACAAACAGAAGAAGAATATACTGTTAAGGTTACTACAGAAGGCAAAGAAAACATATACACAGAATCAACTTTAGCTCCAACGACTGCTCAAAGAGAAGAAACAACATTTGCACCTATTACAACAGAACGTGTAACTGAACAAACTGGAGGAGAATACACTGCTAAGGTTACTACAGAAGGCAAAGAAAAGATATATACGACAGAATACACTTTGGCTCCTACGACTGCCCAAAGACAAGAAACTACATTTGCACCAGGTACTACAGAAATTGTAACTGAACAAACAGGAGGAGAATATACTGTTAAGGTTACTACAGAAGGCAAAGAAAAAATATACACAGAACCAACTTTAGCTCCAACGACTGCTCAAAGAGAAGAAACAACATTTGCACCTATTACAACAGAACGTGTAACTGAACAAACTGGAGGAGAATACACTGCTAAGGTTACTACAGAAGGCAAAGAAAAGATATATACGACAGAATCAACTTTGGCTCCTACGACTGCCCAAAGACAAGAAACTACATTTGCACCAGGTACTACAGAAATTGTAACTGAACAAACAGGAGGAGAATATACTGTTAAGGTTACTACAGAAGGCAAAGAAAAAATATACACAGAACCAACTTTAGCTCCAACGACTGCTCAAAGAGAAGAAACAACATTTGCACCTATTACAACAGAACGTGTAACTGAACAAACTGGAGGAGAATACACTGCTAAGGTTACTACAGAAGGCAAAGAAAAGATATATACGACAGAATCAACTTTGGCTCCTACGACTGCCCAAAGACAAGAAACTACATTTGCACCAGGTACTACAGAAATTGTAACTGAACAAACAGGAGGAGAATATACTGTTAAGGTTACTACAGAAGGCAAAGAAAAAATATACACAGAACCAACTTTAGCTCCAACGACTGCCCAAAGTACATTTGCACCAGGCACTACAGAAGTTGTAACTAAACAAACAGAAGAAGAATATACTGTTAAGGTTACTACAGAAGGCAAAGAAAACATATACACAGAATCAACTTTAGCTCCAACGACTGCTCAAAGAGAAGAAACAACATTTGCACCTATTACAACAGAACGTGTAACTGAACAAACTGGAGGAGAATACACTGCTAAGGTTACTACAGAAGGCAAAGAAAAGATATATACGACAGAATACACTTTGGCTCCTACGACTGCCCAAAGACAAGAAACTACATTTGCACCAGGTACTACAGAAATTGTAACTGAACAAACAGGAGGAGAATATACTGTTAAGGTTACTACAGAAGGCAAAGAAAAAATATACACAGAACCAACTTTAGCTCCAACGACTGCTCAAAGAGAAGAAACAACATTTGCACCTATTACAACAGAACGTGTAACTGAACAAACTGGAGGAGAATACACTGCTAAGGTTACTACAGAAGGCAAAGAAAAGATATATACGACAGAATCAACTTTGGCTCCTACGACTGCCCAAAGACAAGAAACTACATTTGCACCAGGTACTACAGAAATTGTAACTGAACAAACAGGAGGAGAATATACTGTTAAGGTTACTACAGAAGGCAAAGAAAAAATATACACAGAACCAACTTTAGCTCCAACGACTGCTCAAAGAGAAGAAACAACATTTGCACCTATTACAACAGAACGTGTAACTGAACAAACTGGAGGAGAATACACTGCTAAGGTTACTACAGAAGGCAAAGAAAAGATATATACGACAGAATCAACTTTGGCTCCTACGACTGCCCAAAGACAAGAAACTACATTTGCACCAGGTACTACAGAAATTGTAACTGAACAAACAGGAGGAGAATATACTGTTAAGGTTACTACAGAAGGCAAAGAAAAAATATACACAGAACCAACTTTAGCTCCAACGACTGCCCAAAGTACATTTGCACCAGGCACTACAGAAGTTGTAACTAAACAAACAGAAGAAGAATATACTGTTAAGGTTACTACAGAAGGCAAAGAAAAAATATACACAGAATCAACTTTAGCTCCAACGACTGCTCAAAGAGAAGAAACAACATTTGCACCTATTACAACAGAACGTGTAACTGAACAAACTGGAGGAGAATACACTGCTAAGGTTACTACAGAAGGCAAAGAAAAGATATATACGACAGAATCAACTTTGGCTCCTACGACTGCCCAAAGACAAGAAACTACATTTGCACCAGGTACCACAGAAATTGTAACTGAACAAACAGGAGGAGAATATACTGTTAAGGTTACTACAGAAGGCAAGGAAAAAATATACACGACAGAATCAACTTCAGCTCCAACGACTGCTCAAAAAGAAGAAACAACATTTGCACCTATCACTACAGAAATTATAACTGAACACACAAGAAAAGAATATACTGGAAAGGTAACAACAGAACTCAAAGAAAAAGCAACAGAATCAACTTTGGCTCCTACTACTGCTCAAAGACAAGAAACTACATTTGCGCCTATTACAACCGAACGTGTAACTGAACAAACTGGAGGAGAATATACTGCAAAGGTTACTACAGAAGGTAAGGAAAAAATATACACTACAGAATCAACTTCAGCTCCAACGACTGCTCAAAGAGAAGAAACAACATTTGCACCTATTACAACAGAACGTGTAACTGAACAAACTGGTGGAGAATATACTGGAAAGGTAACAACAGAAACCAAAGAAAAAGCAGAATCAACTTTGGCTCCTACGACTACCCAAAGACAAGAGACTACATTTGCACCAGGTGCCACAGAAATTGTAACTGAACAAACAGGAGGAGAATATACTGCAAAGGTTACTACAGAAGGTAAGGAAAAAATATACACTACCGAATCAACTTCAGCTCCAACGACTGCTCAAAGAGAAGAAACAACATTTGCACCTATTACAACAGAACGTGTAACTGAACAAACTGGTGGAGAATATACTGGAACGGTAACAACAGAAACCAAAGAAAAAGCAGAATCAACTTTGGCTCCTACGACTGCCCAAAGACAAGAAACTACATTTGCACCAGGTACCACAGAAATTGTAACTGAACAAACAGGAGGAGAATATACTGTTAAGGTTACTACAGAAGGCAAGGAAAAAATATACACGACAGAATCAACTTCAGCTCCAACGACTGCTCAAAGAGAAGAAACAACATTTGCACCTATTACAACAGAACGTGTAACTGAACAAACTGGTGGAGAATATACTGGAAAGGTAACAACAGAAACCAAAGAAAAAGCAGAATCAACTTTGGCTCCTACGACTACCCAAAGACAAGAGACTACATTTGCACCGGGCACAACAGAAATTCTAACTCAACAAACAGGAGAACAGTATACTGTAAAGGTTACTACAGAAGGCAAAGAAAAGATATATACGACAGAATCAACTGTGGCTCCTACGACTGCCCAAAGACAAGAAACTACATTTGCTCCAGGTACTACAGAAATTATCACTGAACAAACAGGAGGAGAATATACTATTAAGGTTACTACAGAAGGCAAGGAAAAAATGTACACGACAGAATCAACTTCAGCTCCAACGACTGCTCAAAGAGAAGAAACAACATTTGCAGCTATTACAACAGAACGAGTAACTGAACAAACTGGTGGAGAATATACTGTAAAGGTTACTACAGAAGGCAAGGAAAAAATATACACCACAGAATCAACTTTGTCTCCTACGACTACCCAAAGACAAGAGACTACATTTGCACCGGGCACAACAGAAATTATTACTCAACAAACAGGAGAACAATATACTGTAAAGGTTACTACAGAAGGCAAAGAAAAGATATATACGACAGAATCAACTTTGGCTTCTACGACTGCCCCAAGACAGGAGACTACATTTGCACCGGGCACAACAGAAATTGTAACTCAACAAACAGGAGGAGAATATACAGTTAAGGTTACTACAGAAGGCAAGGAAAAGATATATACGACAAAATCAACTTCAGCTCCAACGACTGCTCAAAGAGAAGAAACAACATTTGCACCTATTACAACAGAACGTGTAACTGAACAAACCGGAGCAGAATATACTGCAGAAGTTACTACCGAAGGCAAGGAAAAAGTATATACGACAGAATCAACTTTGGCACCTACGACTGCCCAAAGACAAGAGACTACGTTTGCACCGGGCACAACAGAAATTGTAACTGAACAAACAGGAGGAGAATATACAATTAAGGTTACTACAGAAGGCAAGGAAAAAATATACACTACAGAATCAACTTTGGCTCCTACGACTGTCCAAAGACAAGAAACTACATTTGCACCAGGTATCACAGAAACTGTAACTGAACAAACAGGAGTAGAATATACTGTTAAGGTTACTACAGAAGGTAAAGAAAAAATATACACAGAATCAACTTTAGCTCCAACGACTGCTCAAAGAGAAGAAACAACATTTGCACCTATTACAACAGAACGTGTAACTGAACAAACCGGAGCAGAATATACTGTAAAGGTTACTACAGAAGGCAAGGAAAAAATATACACGACAGAATCAACTTTGGCTTCCACGACTGCTCAAAAAGATGAAACAACATTTGCACCTATCACTACAGAAATTATAACTGAACAAACAAGAAAAGAATATACTGGAAAGGTAACAACAGAAACCAAAGAAAAAGCAACAGAATCAACTTTGGCTCCTACTACTGCTCAAAGACAAGAAACTACATTTGCGCCTATTACAACAGAACGTGTAACTGGACAAACTGGAGGAGAATATACTGAAAAGGTTACTACAGAAGGCAAGGAAAAAGTATATACGACAGAATCAACTTTGGCCCCTACGATAGCCCAAAGCCAAGAAACTACATTAGCACCAGGTACTAAAGAATTCGTAACTGAACAAACAAAAAAAGAATATACTGTAAAGGTTACTACAGAAGGCAAGGAAAAAGTATACACTACAGAATCAACTTCAGCTCCAACGACTGCTCAAAGAGAAGAAACAACATTTGCGCCTATTACAACAGAACGTGTAACTGAACAAACAGGAGGAGAATATACTACAAAAGTTACTACAGAAGGCAAAGAAAAAGTATATACGACAGAATCAACTTTGGCTTCTACGACAGCCCAAAGCCAAGAAACTACATTTGCACCGGGTACGACAGAAGTTGTAACTGAACAAACAGGAGAAGAATATACTGTAAAGGTAACAACAGAAAGCAAAGAAAAGGCAACAGAGTCAACGTTGGCTCCTATTAGTACTCAAAAACAAGAAAATACTTTTGCCCCGGGTACGACAGAAGTTATAACTGAACAAACAGGAAAAGAATATACTGTAAAGGTTACTACAGAAAGCAAGGAAACAGTGTATACGACAGAATCAACTTCAGCTACAACGACTGCTCAAAGACAAGAAACAACATTTGCACCTGGAACAACAGAAGTTACTACTGAAGAAACAGGAGAAGAATATACTGTAAAAGTCACCACAGAAGGCAAAGAAAAATTATACACTACAGAATTAACTTTAGGTCCTACCACTGCCCAAAGACAAGAAACTACATTTGCACCGGGCACAACAGAAATTGTAACTGAAGAAACAAGCGAAAAATATACTGCCAAGGTAACCACAGAAGGCAAAGAAAAGTCGACAGAATCAACATTAACTGCTACTACTTCCCAAGAATATGAAACTACATCTTATACGCAAGAATTCACGGCAACAGAACCAAACTATACTACGGAACGAGCACAAGAAGAAACATTTGCAAATACTGAACAATCGAAAGCAACAACTATGATGCAACCAGTTGTAACATTTGGTGAGACATATGCGCCTTCAACTGAAACAACTCTGTCGCATAGTACAAATTTTGTTACTTTAGAAACAGTCAGCGGAAATGATAGTAGTACAACTTTAATAACGTCATCTGGAGAAACTACTACCACAGTGAGTATTGTCGGAAATTATACTGAAACATTAGTAACAGAACAAGAAACAACGCCATCTATTATGATTGTAACAGGACAAGGGGAACCCAAGAATACAACAAGTCTTCCTCAAATTACGGAAACTGTTACGGTGAAATCCATTATTAATGTTAGTGAAAAAGTTACTACAGGTTTTCCTTACTCTTCAACGCAGGAGATAATAAATGAGAGTACTCAATCAGAAGGAACTTCTGTACGAATGGGAAAGGAATTTTTAACAACCCATGAGGCTACCCCAGGAACCACTCAGCAAGTTACTTTTGAATATAACTTAACAAATCCAACAACGTTGGTAACTGAAGAGTATGTTAAAGAAGGGAGTTCAACTCTACCAACAACTTTAGAAAGCTTAATAACAGGGCAAACAATAAAAACTGTTACGAATACAGGTATCGACGAAGAAACTACAACGTATAAAGTTGCAGAAGAAACTACCACATCTTCAGAAAAAACTGTACAAACACAAACAACTATAGGCAGTACAGATACTGGTTCTACAATTTTAAGTAGTTCACCAACAGTAGTAACTATGGAGGGTAGTAGTGATATGATCACTTCTGGGGGTCTAACTTCCACGTTACCAACTGTAGGCAGTACCGAACAAGTAACATTAGAAGTACAAACTGCCACAATACCGACAAGTTTGACCGCTATTGTTACTGACAGAACAGGAGTACACACATCCACATTACCGACAACGTTAGGTAGTACTGAAGAAATAACAACTCGAAGAATAGTTACACAAATAACTACAGTAGAGGGAAGACATGGAGGTTCAGGCATAACAGCTGAAACTGAATATACAACCACTATATTGCCACCGATAACTATTATGAACTTGACTGATATGATAAAGAATACAACGAAAGAATGCTGTGATAATAAAGACTGTTCAGGGGTAGAGGTGTGTATTTCGAGACATTGCGTTCACGTGTGTAATGTAGGAGGCGCTTGCGCAGAAAACGCAGATTGTCTAGCTGTAAACCGCACTGCCGTTTGCTTGTGTCCAGAACAATATTTCGGAGACCCTCATAGGATGTGCTTCAAAGGTATAAGACAAGTATTTTCAAACATGGAAGTCATACTTAAAATGTTTAATAAGGCTATTACTCACTTGAAAATATAAAGTATTTGGTCATTTTGATGAAAACTTAAGTTTTACCAAAGTTATGTATTTTCTCTGTCGATATAAACCAAGCAGTTTGTTTTATTGCCATTTAAAAATATTCATTTTACGTAGTAATACAAATAGTTTCTTTGTTATATCAATTATTTATAATATTTAATTTTAGATTGCTAATCACTAGGCATATTCTGGAAAACTACGCTTTTTCGGTGTTTTTCTATGCTGTTGGAACATAGACCATGACAGCAGTTATGTGTGTGGCATATATATATATATATATATATATATATATATATATATATATATATATAAAGGGTAGTTGAGGTTAAGCTGATTAAAAGCCAAGTGCACTCTGTTCAATAGTTCATTATATTTCGCCAATTTTCATTGGCATCATCAGATGAAAGTTGATTGAGGTTGCGGCAATATGATTTATTTTAACATCAGAATGGTTTGTGGTACGATGTGGATTGCAGCTTTTTGGGACATATAACATGTAGTTGTATAATTGACGTTTGTATAATTACATGTTATATGTCCCAAAAAGCTGCAATCCACATCGTACCACAAACCATTCTGATGATAAATTAAATCATATTGCCGCAACCTCAATCAACTTTCATCTGATGATGCCAATGAAAATTGGCGAAATATAATGAACTGTTAAACAGAGTTCACTTGGCTTTTATTCAGCTGTATACCCAATTAACCTCAACTCCCTTTTCATCTACCAGATCAGCTGTTATTTTAGAGGATATATATATATATATATAGTAGTAGTAGTAGTAGTTAATTGATTGAAATGAGAATATCAAAATTACCAAATATTTAGAAAAATGTATTAATATTACATTCTCCAATTAAGTTATTAATATTGTCACAAAACATCATGGTTTTTAAACAATTAAACTACTATCATCAGTTGGCGCTACAGCCCATCGTGAGCCTTGGCCTGCTTCAAAACATTCTTCCATCCTTCCCTATCGAGTGTCTGTCTTCTCCAGCCCCTCACTCCAATCTCCCTCAGATATTCCTGTACATCGTCCAGATATCTGAGTTTAGGTCGCCCCCTTCTTCTTCTTCTTCCGACCGGCCTGTTTAGCATAGTTATTTTAGTGGGATCACTCTCATCCAACCGCATAACGTGGCCCACCCACCTTAGGCGGTTTTTTTTATTGTCTTCACAATATCTGTATCACGCATGCTGATTTGGATGAAGTAGGTTATGAACCAAAACTTCATCCCTTATATAGCTCTCGCATAGCTTTTCCATCGTTTTTTTTTTAAGAGAAACGATGTTCGGCTAATTGGTCAGAAAGTCTTTGGTAAGATGTATGACTTTACTTTTAAGATAATTTATTATTTGGTCCTTCTTCTTAGTGTATCTCATCTTACCCTATGACCTATTTCACTCTGTCTGCAGCATTTATAAATTATTTCGTTACTTCAATTATATTTTTCAATCCCCCTGGATGCTAAATATAATATAGGGATGTAGGAGTGACAATATTATGGATAGAGAATATATAAATACATTTTTGTACATTATGTATGTATTTTTATTTACCAAGTATGTAGATGTTTGTATATATTCTTGTAAATTATGTATAATATGAAAGAATTTTTAATTTTTAGCACTTTTAATAGGACTAATTAAATAAAAATACATTTGCAAATATTCAAAAAGGAATGTAAAAAAGAATAAAAAATATTTAAAGGATATCAACATGAGATTAACGTTCTGTTAAATATACCTTAAGTTCTTCTTCTCCTCTTTTGTTTTTATTGTTGGTCCGTACATCTGTTTCTTATTACTAGCAAATCCCAAAGTAAGCAAGTCTTATACCAAGTCTAAATATTGTTATCAAAAGTGTATTCAATTTTTTGGGAACAATTATAGCTGGTCATTTTTTTTTCTGAATACATATTTTAACACCAATACATTTAATGGCTTTAGACATGTATATCTAGTAGTAGTACTGAAGATGGAATATTTATTCTGAAAACGTTCCGTGATTTAGCCCTTAAGGGTTTTTTTAACGAAATATATCTTTTATAAAGGATTTTTTAGTAAACATTTTAACAGTTATATTTTGTTGACAATGAAATGTCAAAATTTGTCGCACAAATTTAATTTATATTTTCAGAAAGCTACTTGACAGCTATTTAAGTACTTCATATTTTATGTCCTCAAATAATACGTAAAGGGGTATTTTTTGTGTTTTTTGGGGAGTAATACATCTACTACTTCGATTCTAGGATTAAACAATGTATTCAAGAGATATTTTTGTATATTTTTCTGATTTACTTCAGTTTCTGTACGCATGGGTCCATTTTTACCCCAGGTAAATACCCAGGCGTGGTTAGTATAGTACTTAGTGTAGGATGCTTTTCTGTCATACTTTTATTTCCGTATTTTTCGCCCAAACTTCTCTATCCAAACTCCATGAACTCTACAAAGTTACTACATTTAGAAATTTACATACTCATCTTGTAATTTTTTGTACTTATCCTCAATATTTTAGCTATTAACGAACTAAATATATATTTATTTGCACGTTCTTGACTCAGATACTTTCTATCTCAGGTCTGTAAAGTTTACTTAAATTATCATCAATGAGAGATATTTTAACTTTATGTTTATTTATAAATAAAGTATTTGGAATCATTTTTAGATGCCATAACGTATATAATATGTTACTCCTAATAATTTCGTTATTCTACAGAACAAAACTGAAGATTTTTTGACTCCATTTTAGAATATTTGCAAAAAAGTGAAAATATTTTTAATTTTGCATGCTTATAATTTGAATTTAAACGGTTAAGGTTAGATTCCCAGTTCCTTGAAATATTATTCCTTAATATATAATAATAGTCAGGATAATACATATGTTTCATACCCATAGCTTCAACACGTTCGCTGCCAGTCGATACGAAACACCAAAGAACGTCAACCCAAATATTAACACTAATAGCTGTAAAATGTTCTGGTGGATATTTTGAGCTGTGAAGTATATGCTCGTAGAGACTAGTAAAACAAATACTTGATGTATATAACCGGGACAATATTGTTATTCCCAAGTCTTTTTCGTTTCAATTGTATGTAGTGCTTTTTATAAACCAGGTCAGTTTTATTTCAATTGAAAACTTGTTAGACAATGAAACATCCACTTACCACAAATTCTATAAATTTCGGCAACTTAATAGGCACTATTAAGTGCAATTTCGAGCAAAACGCGTTTCATTTAAACAAAATACATCGCAACTTGCACTTATCTAGCTATTTTCACTATACCTCAAATATAATTACTCTTCCTATTGATCTTAAATCTCTTCCTAAATCCTTTAATCTAATTCCAGATACTCAAATTTCGGGACTTTTTCTCTAAAAGTTTCGTCTTATGCTTATATTTCTCTTTCTGATATAAATGAGTAGGAAATTTTGGTATTTTTATATTCTCTTTCCTTTCTTTCTATTTTCTGAAAGTGAGCATAAATATATTTTGTGGTTGGTCATTTCTATGAGTACCTCTTGATCTCTTTTATTTCACCATGCTAATCTTAATTTGGCATTCTGTCCCGTAGTTCTTGCCGTTGCTAAGATCATCTTCAAATGTTTTTGTCCTGCATATGTGCCTTGGTGATCGGTTTTATGAGCGTGTTTCTTTTTAGCGGACATTTTGCTATCTGGCCTCAACTTCGAATCCTCCTCTTTTATTCGGTCTTGGGACCGGCTATTTTACTGTTAAACTAATTGCTCTAACCGTAGTACATACAGAGTTTAAAATAATATTCTATCTGTCTATCTATATAATTAGCCTTCTTCGGTCCATCTTTGGACATAGGCTTTTCCAATCCTTTTCCATTCTCTCAGCCTGTCGCTACAGTCATCCACCTAGAGCCTACGTGCTTCTTGATATTATCTACCCATCTCATTTGGGGCCATCCCCTTCTTCTAGTTCCATGACCGTTATCGATCGTTGGATATCATGTTGGCTACCATATTTACTATCGTGACTTTATTGACAGCAGCTCTAAATAACGATGTAGTTGATTTTCCATACCATTGCCTTAGATTTTTCAGCCATGATGTTCTTCTTCTACCAGGACCACGAGTACCTTGGATCTTTCCCTGAATGATCAGATTTAAAAGATCATATTTTTCAGGGTATCTCATAATGTGACCGAAGTATTCCAGCTTGCGTTTTTTTATTATATTGACCAGTTGTGTTGTTTGGTTCAGCTGTCTAAGGACCTTCTCATTTCTAACTCTGTCGACCCAGCATATTTTTAGTAGTCGTCTGTATACTCACATCTCAAAGGTTATCAAGCGTTTAAGCTGGATCCCAGCTCTCATTGATATTACTGCCGAGATACACGAGTTTCTCTACTCTGTCTAGTGTGGCATCTCCGACTTTTATACCGTCAGCCTGTATATAATTTTGTTTGCTAACTATCATATATTTAGTTTTCTTAACGTTGAGTTTTATTCCATACAAGTCTATTTTATTTTGTTCATTAGATTTTGAAGGTCTTCTCTGCAATTAGCGAGCACTAAGGTATCGTCGGCATATGTAATATTGTTGACGGTTACTCCATTCACAAAAATACCTTCAGTTGTTTCCATTAAGGCTTCCTTAAATATTTCCTCTGAATATAAGTTAAAAAGTAAAGGCGACAATATACAGCTTTGTCTCACTCCTCTTTTTATATTTATTTCATCCGACAGTTCTTGTTCAACCTTTATTCTTGCCCCTTGATGCCAGTATAGATTTGTAATTATTCGTAGATCTTTATCGTCCAATCCAGCTGTTTCAAATATTTATAGCATTTTGTTATGTTGGACTTTGTCAAAAGCCTTTGTCAAAAGCCTTCCTCTGCTTCTTTTATATTCCCACGGTCTCCAACTTATAAGAATTTTGTTTGATCGGTCTTCTTTTTGTCTTATATTGTGTCCGGCAAATCTCCATTTCAATTTTGTAACTTCCTGTCTAATATCCCTCTTCTTCTTCTTCTTCGCTGCCATTTCGGAACTATCCGACGTTGGCAATCACAATTGCGAATCCATTCACGAATGTTTTTTAACCAAGAAACTTGTTTTCTTCCTACACCTCTACGTCCCTCTATTTTGCCTTTAAGGATCAGTTATATGTCCCAGATAAGATATTTTTCGATGTTTAACAGTCTTTAGCAGTTCTCTGTCTTTGTTGACACTCCTTAGTGTTTCTTCATTAGTTTTCTTGCTGTCCAAGGTATCTTCAGCATTCGTATATGAACCCACATTTACAATGAACCGACATTTGTATGAACCCAAATATCCCTCACTTTTGTTTTTTTTTTCTTATCCACTTGTTTCTCTTTTTATCTATTATTCTTATGTGCGTCATTTGTCTTTTCATTGCTTTTTGGGTTTTTATGATTTTGCCAATGTTTGCTTTTGTACGTGTCCAGTTTGGAAACCATAAGTGAGAACAGGGAGTACGTATTTATTGTATACTTTGGTCTTAAGATACTGTGGATATCTTTTGTTTTTAAGAATGTAGCTTAGTTTGCCAAATGCCGCCCATGCCAGTCTAACTCGTTTTTTATCCCTGATGTTTAGTATTCTTTGTTAAGTTTTATAGTTAATATGTTAAAATAATATTAATAAATAGAATTTACTGCTTTCGTGTAAAAACAGCGTTTTTTTTTTAGTTTGTTTGAACTCAATTTGAATATGTAATTAATTGCCTTTTAGTGTATGTAAATATTTTGCAGTATTTAATTTTTATGTATAAAATACGATCCTGGCAGCTAACGTGTTGAAACACCCAATAATGTACTAATTTTTTAATAAATAACTGTCCACCAGAACGCCCCACGCCCGTGCCAAGATCTTGCAAGTCTGATATGGACTGCCTCGAAAGTGAGGCTTGTTACATGTCACAATGTTCGAACCCTTGCGAATTTACAAACGCCTGTGCTGAAACTGCCATATGTCAGACAAAGATGCACAGGCCTATTTGCACATGTCCCACGGGATACGAAGGAAATCCGGCAACTAACTGCTTCAAAACACCCACAAGTAAGATAACTACCACGTTACATGTGAATTTGGTGCTTTTCACAAGCTGGTGGATTATCTTGTAAAGACAATTTGCTTTAATTAGTCATTTATACTACGCTATTCATAAATATTTTTTCAAAATTGCCATTAAAAATGTTTTTTTTTATTATAAAAGAGTTTAGCTACAAAATCATAAAGACTTAAAAGATCCATCTACAGCGAGAAACTTCAACGTGTTAAGAATGCAAGGTCAGAAAGAATAGCCAATATAGAAATAAATTCCTACTCAATCAAAATGAACATTATTCAGGTATATGCTCCAAATGCTTATAAATCTAAAGACACTTATTAAATCTGTACCCGTCCAATATAGTAACAGTACCACTAGATCAAAAGTTCTCAAACCAATTCAAGACCGAAAGAGGTGTTAAACAACTATGCGTGTGTCACCTGACTTATTCAACATTTATGGTGCAGACACTTAGATGGGCTGGACACATTGCTAGAATGCCAGATCACGAATACACGAAGAGATTAACATTTTCAAAACCAGAGGGCACAACGAGCAGATGACGACCTCGAATGAGATGGATTGATGATGTGGAAAAAGACCTACAGATTCTAAGAGTTAGAAGATGGAGGGAAGTTGCCAGCAATCGATAGGTGTAACTTCTTTGTGAGCAGGCCCAGATCCACAACGGATTGTCGAGCCACTTATGATGATGGTGATGACATGAGGATGGCTTTAGATGGATGGGCCCGAAGAGTAACAGTGGCTGGTAGGAAATCTCCAATTATTTAAGATTTGCTGATGACGCTACACTTATAGCAGCAAACGAGCAAGAAATGTTTTATCTCCTGCGAAGAGTTGAGTACGAAAGAAATAAAGTTGGTCTTAAAATCAATAAAGCTAAGACAAAAAGAATGGTGGTCGACAGATTCCAAACTATTAAACTGACTAACATGTTACAGGAATACCAGATAGTGAACAGTTTTGTCTATCTTGGGTCTAGTATTACTAAACGATAGTAGCTGTGAAGCAGAAGTTCGCAGACGTATTGGTATGGCAAAAATGAGATGAGTTGCCTTACTAAAGTTTGAAAAGGCATATATATCTCTAAAAATGAGACTGGTGAATACCCTTGTATTCTTAATATTACGGGGCAGAGACTGACTTGGACCCTTCGCGGTCGCGAGCGCCAAAAAACTGATGCTTTTGAGATGTGGTACTGGAAAAGAATGCTGCGATACCTTGGACAACTTATAGGAGAAAAGCTTTCATTCTAAACCAACTATAGATTAAGAAAAGGCTGTCCGCAATGTCTGCAACGTATTCTTCAGTTTTTCGGTTACTGGGTTTGCAGAGGTGACAATTATTTGGAGAGATTAATTGTTTCTGGAAATGTTCTGGGAAGAAGATCAACAGAACCATCACCAACTAGATGGTAGGACCAAATTTAGAATTCAACTCGAAAATCATTCTGCGAAGCTTTTAGAGCACCTAAAGATAGAGACCAAGGGTAAAACATTGTTAGGAATATTGAAAAAAAACTCACGATCCTCAGTAGGTTGGAGAGTAGAAGGTTGGAGATAACCAAGAAAAATGTGGTAACATCATAGGGCTATTTACATTAAAACATGGAGGAGGAACTTGTAGCCACTAACACTTTCTTCATATTGCCACTGAACGTTTGTACAATTATACTTGGAAATCACCACAAGATCATACAAATGGTATTGTCAGGAATTAGTTAAAAGATATTGTGGTGCAGACATAAAATAGGATAACAATGCACTGATAGGCAAACTTAAGCAAGAGAAAATAAGAAATAGGTATAACAATATTTGTAGCAAAAAAATACTAATGTAATAACACAACAGATATATACACAAAAGATATGAAATATTAAATAAAACAAGTATTTGAGATACGTTGACAAGTAATTTGTTAAATGGAAAAGACTGGAAAAGGCCCGTTTGACAATTCACCACCCTGTATAATCTTACAAAGTACTCTACCACTAGATTATTGATATCAGCAGCAAACAAAGTGCAAATTTATCCATGTTTGTCACCGTCTTTAGCGGATAAGCATCTTAATAAGAAAGAATCTGAGGTAGTTTCTGTTAAGATGATTGGAGAACATTCCATATCTTAAAAAGAATTACCCAACACGTTCAGAAAATTAAATTTCTAGACGGAACAAAAAGATTAGGTGAGACATGTCTAGCAGCTTTCAAAGTGACTTTCCCACTTAAACTTCTGCAAATTTTTGACATAAACAAAACCTAAAATAATTAAAATTAAAAGTATGTGATTTCTAAACCAGTATTGTGAAAAGCAACAAATTCAAATCAATATAAATCAGCAAAAACAATTAAATAAGTCCGAGTCATCTCAAATGTAATTAATTGCCCTACAAAAACTAATGAAATAATTGTTTATTAATCAACAAAAATAATCAACAACTATAACTTGTACAAATATAAATATTCTTTGTAAAAATAATAATTTGTCCATAAGTAAAAAGTATTTAAAAAAGAATGTTACCTGACACGTTGTTTTGTGCTATAATTTAAGAAAACACATCATTAAGAATATCGTTAAAGGTAATCATTCTTTGTTAGTATCTTTAACATCTTCAACTTTTTCTATTGATCATAAATTTCTCAATCACAACAAAATGTAGAGCAAAGTATATAACTTTCATCTTTCGATAGATATAAATATATAAAAATGTTCTCAAATAGAGTAGCCTTCACTTTCTCTTACTTTTTTCTCTGCACTCTTTCCAATCTAGTGAATTGCACAAGAAACGAAGAATGTCCTCTAACTGAAGCATGCATAGGCAATTCTTGTCAAAGACCTTGCGACTTCAAGAATCCATGCGCACAGCATGCAGTCTGTATAAATACCAACCACGGCTGTGACTGCAGTTGCGAAGAGGGATACCATGGTAACGGCCACGTGGAGTGTCAATATGGTAAGTACATTTTTACTAATAAATCTATGACAGAACAGTTCTTTTTTTTTATTAACAAAATCGCATCAGCCAAATTGGCTATTAGCGAAACAATGATAGCGAACAATAATTTCTATTACATTTATAACATAAGCTTAGATAGCATTTAAAATATTAATTGAGGTTAAGAAACTTTTTATGTTTGAAATATTGCACTGTAATCCTAAAATGTCACTTAGTTGTTGGGTATACTGTACAATATGCGCTTTGGCGTTAATGCTGGACATTTTTCCAATATATGTTTGATTGTTATTTTGTCATCACAGTTGTCACATCTTGGTTCTTGTTTGTTGGAGAATACGTAGCTATTCGTTAGTCGCGTATGACCCAGTCGAAGTCGCGTTAATATTACCTGGTCTCTTAGACTTGTTGGTAATGTGGGCCAGGGTTTTATCGATTTTTTAACATCGCGTAGTATTGCCGATGACACTTTCCACTTTTCTTTCCACATATATCGCACTTTAAATTTAACCGTTGCTTTCACGTCCGCACTAGTAAATGTCTTTGTACATTCCGCACTATCACTACTTGCAGCTTCTTTTGCAGCGTTATCTGCCTCTTCATTTCCTGGAATTCCAATATGGGATGGTATCCAAAATAATATAATATTTTTTCCATTCAGTTGAGCGGTGAGGATTTCTTCTTTTATCTTGATGACTAAAGGATTAGTTGGGTAGACATATTGGATTGACTGGACGGAACTTAGAGAGTCTGTGAGTATGATATAATTGGTGTTATTGGATGCATTGACAGCAAGGGTAGCCTGGTATAGAGCATACAGTTCATCAGAGTAAATGGAGCACTCTGAAGGGAGTTTATATTTATTTGTCGATGTTGGGGTTATGATTGCAGCACCAGTACCATCATTTGATTTAGATGCATCTGTGTATATATGTGTATAGTCCTTGTAGTTGTGAAGCATATCGTTGAAGGCGGATTTGATTAACTGTGGGTTTGTTGAATGTTTGTCGAAATAAATGAGGCGGGTTAGGCACTGAGGATTCTTTATTTGCCATGGAGGAATTGAGGACAATTGGGAAGAAAAGCATTCTGGGAACGTGTAGTTTAATTGATTTAAATAGCTTCTAATCCTTGCGTATAAAGGTTTGGCAGTTCTTGGCTTATTTATGAAGAGACAGAACAGTTCTGTGTAAAGACATTTGCTATCATATATAACAAATCTATTTAGTGATATTTCCTCCTCTTATTTTGTTGTAGAAAGTTTGAGGTTTACACGTATCTGATTTTTCTAATTCTTCTTTATTTCTTCCAGTGGCGGCTCGTGCTATGGTCGGCAAGGGTTTTTTTGCCTCCTCAGATATGTATACTGTCTAATAAAAATGCTTCATTCATCATAGGAGATTTTTTGTTTTTTTTGTTTTTTTTTTGTTTTCTTCCTATTAATTTACCAGTGTCTATGTGTTTATGTTTATATATTAACTCTAGTCTACGTGATTTGGGAGTAGCAAAATGGGTGATAAGGTCTTCGTAAAATTTTTTAGTTAAAAGGGATTTTAGAGATTTTAGTTAAAAGTTTTTTTTCTATTGAAATTTGAGATCAGCTTGACATTCCCTCTTGTTTCATGGTGTTTCGACAATACGTTTTGGTAGATGTTTTCAACAGTTTTTATATTATTTAGAACTTCTCTATTATACAGAAAATGGGTTACATCTTTGAGTATTACTCTATCAAATGCTTTTTTTAAGTCAATCAGATTCAGAAATGCTGGTAAAACCGTATCTTTGAACGGTATAATGCAAATACTTCTGTCGAAGCTGATCAATTTTCTTGAACTATTTCTTATCTTCCAGAACGTAAGAATAACCCCATATTGAATTAGTTACAGTCGATAGAGAGAAGCATCGTAACTTTATTGTTGATCCAAGTAAGTGCAATCTGGTTTTATGACGAAGATCTATCTGTAAATATAGACTTTGTAGCAAGGCGTGAAGTGTTACCATTGAACGCTCCTCACTCAAATACCACCTATGTTTAACAGATGGTAGCTATCTTAAGAGCTTTGAGAGCTGTAGAATCGACTACCGATATACCAGCATTATTCAACATAAATATGCAAATGCCACAACAGCAATAAACCTCCACACCCCTACTCAAAAAATAAAACTAAAAAGGGGAGTTAGACAAGGAGACAACATGTCACCAAAACTATTCAATGCCGTAATGCAGCATGCATTCCAGATGTTAGAATGGGAAAACAGAGGTTTGAGTGTCGATGGCGAAAGGCTGAACCACCTACGATTTGCAGATGACATAGTTCTAATAACCGACGACTTAAAGGAGGCCAACGAAATGCTACAAGATTTACAACGAGTCTCCCAAAATGTAGGGCTGGAAATAAACTTTGCGAAAACTAAAATGATGACCAACTTAGTACCTAGTGGACCATTGAAACTAGAAAACTGGCATATTGAAACGGTTGACAAATACATATATCTGGGCCACGAAATACAAATAAGTAGAGACAACCAAACATGCGAATTATCTAGAAGAATAGCTTTAGGATGGGCAGCCTATGACAAGCTAAAAGACGTGTTTAAGGAAAACATCCCAATAAAGCTAAAGAGAAAAGCATTTAACCAGTGCGTACTTCCGGTGCTCACTTATGGAGCTGAAACACTGACATTGACTAAAGCATCAATAAAAAAGTTACAAGTAGCACAACGAAAAATGGAAAGATCTATGCTTGGCGTAACTTTGAGAGACCGAATACGAAATGATGAGATACGGCAAAGAACTGGAGTGGAAGACGTCATAAAACGGATTACGAAGTTGAAGTGGAAATGGTCAGGACACGTCGCAAGACAGAGAGACAACAGATGGACAAAGAAGATTTTAGAATGGCGGCCAAGGGCAGACAAGCGAAATCGTGAAAGACCACCTACCAGAAGGACGGACGACATTAAAAGAATAGTGACAAACTGGATCGCAGCTGCACAGGACAGAGAAGAGTGGAGACATCTTGAGGAGGCCTATGACAGTGGACAAATTTGGCTGTGTGATGATGATGATTAACAGATGACCACTAACCAGTGACCGAGTAGCAACCAGGCAGAAGAGATATTCTCTTGAGGCGATTTCTCTCACATTTTTAAAACCAAAAAAGCTGTTTATCACTGATCTTTCCAAGTAAAATCTAATTTTTTCGATAACATTATTCACTCATTTTATATTTTACTCCTTTGAAAACTATTTTTTGTCCAGTCGTTTATATCCTTATATATATTTAAATACCTCTTCTTCTTCCTTCTAGTATGTAGGCTTTAAAGTCTGTTTTTTTTTCAATATTGGCATACTAAATTGTTTAAATTGTCGCACCATCTTTTTATTGATCTGCCAATACTTTTTCGTCCATTTGGTGACTTATCTCGTGTTATTGCCCATGATTTCGCTTTTCTTCCTATCCAACAGTATTTTCATCTCTGTTGTTTCTAGCAGTCGTCTCGTTTTAGATGTGTCAGGTCTTGTCTCCGCCGTGCATGTTACTATAGGTCTAATTGCTGTTTTATAGATTCTTGTTTTTGTGTCTTGTCTTAGGAGTTTATTCTTCCAGATTGTGTCATTAAGAGAATCCGTCGCTTTACTTGATATTAAGCTTCGTTATCGTACTTCTCCATAACTAGTTATATCTATTCCCAGATATCTAAACCTTGCTTCCTGCTTTATTATTTTCCCATTAATTTCGATTTTACCATTTCGAGACCACCGTAGTGGGTATTTACACGTTGTCATACATTTGGTTTTTTCTGCTGATATTATCATATTTCTTAGCTGTTGTATTAAAGATATGTGTTAATCTTTGGAACTCGTATTCTGTCTCGGAGATTAAGGCGGCGGCGTCTGCATAACATAATATTTGGATTTCTTTGTTCCCCATTCTGCAGCCATGACTTTTATGTACTACTTGTATTATTTCGTCCATTATTACAATAAAGAGAAGTGGGGTCAACGACTCACCCTGTCTGACTTCGCTTTGTACTGGTATACACTGTTAGTTTTTCATTTATCTTTGCCTGTATTCGATTATGGAGGTAGATTTTTTCGATGGTTTGTATAATATTGATTGTTATGTTTATTTTATACAGTAGGTGTAAAACGTCTTCGACTTGGATGCGATCGAAAGCCTTTGTCCGGTCTATAAAACATAGATATGCTGGTTTATTGTACTCGACGGCCTTTTCTGTGATTTGTCTTATTTTTATCTACCGTAGTTTTTAAATACCTAATATGCAAAATAATAATGATATTTTTTTAGTTGATAACTACAAACCAAAATGTCAATACAACGAAGACTGCCCACCCAACAAACTCTGCGACAGACTAAACAGAATCTGTATAAACCCTTGCGATGAAGAATCTTGTGGTGAAAATGCCGAATGTCTACCTAAGGATCACGGTATAGAATGTCGCTGCCTTCCAGGATTTGACGGTAATCCGTATACAGATTGTTACGCCACAATCGGTTGTAGAGCTGACAGTGAATGTCCATCTCACGAAGCTTGTATTAACGGCCTATGTACATCTCCATGCAAGTGTGGTTTTAATGCTGTATGCGACGTGCTCTACCACATTCCTACTTGTAAATGCCCACCCGGATATCAGGGAGATGCTCTAGTAGCATGCCAACCACCAAGAAATCCATGCGAACCTAATCCGTGTGGACTGAACGCCCTTTGTGAATTAGACGAGGGAAATCCTATATGTTTCTGTCCAAAAGGTTTAACCGGAAATCCATTTAAGAATTGCAGTAAGTATTCAAAGAGCAAACTTTGAACGTCAGTACTATATATTCTTTATTATTTTTAGTTCCTGAGGGCGACGAGTGCTCACCAAATCCTTGCGGTCCAAATTCTGGTTGCCGAGTAGTGGGAGGAAATGCCGTTTGCTTCTGTCTACCAGAATACGAAGGAACACCACCTCACATTCCATGTTCTCTTTCAATCAACCCTTGCGATCCATCTCCATGCGGTCCTAACACCCAATGTGCTGTCCTAAGTAACGGTTTTGCCAAATGTACTTGTCTACCAGGTTTCATTGAAAGTCCAAATACGATAAGAGGATGCGTGGAAGCCAAAAATCCATGCGAACCGAACCCTTGTGGTCATGGCGCTTATTGTGATCCTCTACGCGAACCTATTTGCTTCTGTCCGGTTGGTACTAATGGAAATCCTTTCAGAAATTGCATCGAGCCTAAAATTAACCTTTGCAGTCCAGGCCCTTGTGGAGCAAATGCAGACTGCTACATCACCAACGATGAGGAACAATGTTTCTGCAGACAAGGTTTTACTGGCAATCCTTACACTGGTTGTAGACTACAACCCGCTACACCATGCGTACCAAGTCCGTGTGGACCAGGTGCTCAATGTACTGTAACAGCAGAAGGCAATTCATTATGTAAATGTCCCGAAGGTTTTGGAGGAGATCCAGTAGGACCAGGCGGTTGTCATGGATACGAGTGTGTAGTCGATGATAACTGTCCTAATAATAAGGCTTGTATAGGGTATAAATGTAAAGATCCATGCCCAGGTGCTTGTGGAATACTTGCTAGTTGTAAAGTGGAAAGACATCATCCAGTATGTGCCTGTGAATACGGTTTAACCGGTAATCCAGTAATTAGGTGTTACGAACTGCCACATCTACCAGAAAACCCCTGCTTGCCTTCACCTTGTGGAATCAATACACTCTGTCAAAACCTCAATGGTAGAGCAGTTTGTTCATGTCTACCTGACTTTATAGGTGATCCCACTCTTGGCTGCCAACCTGAATGTGTTCTTAACTCAGACTGTCCTCTGAACAAAGCTTGCTTAAACAGACATTGTATAGATCCATGTGCAGCAGGTCACCTTTGTGGTGTGCATGCTAGCTGTCAAGTCAGAGATCACACAGCTACTTGTGTGTGTCCTCAAGGTTTCATGGGTGATCCGTTCTTCCAATGTATACCAACGCCCATCATTTCTATTCCATCCTATCCCAACGTAACTGTCCATCCTTGCACGCCTTCACCTTGTGGTAATATGGAGTGTAGTATATGGGGCACTGAAATAGCCATCTGTGATCCATGTTTGGGACCTGAAGCGCCGTATAATCCTCAATGTCGACCAGAATGTTTAACAAATGCAGATTGTCCATTCGATAGAGCCTGTTTAGGATATACTTGCGCCGATCCATGTCCTGGAAGTTGCGGTGTTAATGCATTGTGTTCAGTTGTAATACATACACCAATATGTAGCTGTCCACAAGGCTTGGTAGGAGATCCATTCCAACACTGCTCAGTACCTTTACGTAAGTTTTTATAACCAAATGTGATATCTATTTGTTTTAATTTTCTTATGATTTGAGTTATATTTCGGATTAAATATGTTATATTTTCTACAGGTCCTGAACCACACGTGCAACCTTGTGAAACCGTAATGTGCGGAGAAAATGCAGAATGTAACCAAGTTCACAACGCTTTATCTTGCACCTGCAAACCAGGTTTTTACGGCAACCCTTGGATCGCTTGTAGACCAGAATGTGTGGTCAATCCAGATTGTCTTTTGAACAAGGCCTGTATTAACAACAAATGTGTGGATCCATGTGCTGGAGTATGCGGCGTAGGAGCTCAGTGTGATGTAGTTAACCATGTTCCAATATGTGCTTGTCCACCTCATTTCACTGGAGATCCGTTTGTTAGTTGTTATGAATTCAAACCATCAGTTGAACCTCTACCAGGACCAAATCCCTGTGATCCTTCACCATGTGGACCCTTCAGTAGGTGTTTGATATCTCATCAAGGTTTTGCTACTTGTTCTTGTCTACCCAACTACTATGGTGTTCCTCCGGTTTGCAAACCTGAATGTATAGTTAGCTCGGAATGTCCTCAAACCTACGCTTGTGTGAATCAGAAATGTGTTAATCCATGTACTGGAACATGTGGTGCCAACGCCTTATGTACAGTGATTAACCATAATCCAATATGTAGCTGTGCTCCAGGACAACAAGGTGATCCTTTCGTTGGTTGTTATACTCCACCAACAACAGATAAGCCTAAAACAAATGAAAATCCTTGTGTGCATTCGCCTTGTGGACCTAATTCCATTTGTCAAGTCAAAGAAAACCGTCCTGTGTGCTCCTGTATCGCTAATTACATAGGTAGTCCACCATATTGTCGACCTGAGTGTACTATAAGTCAAGAGTGTCCAAGAGATAAAGCTTGCGTTAGAGAAAAGTGTGTGGATCCTTGTGTGGAACTTTGTGGTAGAAATGCCAAATGTGATGTTGTTAACCATAATCCATTCTGTAGTTGTAAACCTGGATACGAAGGAGATGCTTTTATAAGCTGCTCTAGAATCCCTCCAGTCATCAGGCCGGTAGATCCATGCAATCCATCGCCTTGTGCTGAGAATTCGCAATGTACTGTCCAAGATAATATTGCCAGGTGTACTTGTATTCCACCATACATTGGTAACGCTTACGTTGGAGGTTGTAGACCCGAGTGTACTATGAATTCAGAATGTGCCAGCCATTTGGCTTGTCTTTCACAACATTGTAGAGATCCTTGTCAAGGTCTTTGTGGAATCCATGCAGAGTGCAGTGTCGTCAACCATGTACCAGTTTGTGCTTGTGGAAGAGGATTAATAGGAGACCCATTTACCGCTTGTAGAGAAAGACCAGTCGAAGAAATTAATCCTTGTGAACCATCACCTTGTGGTCCTAATAGTGTTTGTAGGGTCAAAAATGAACAAGCCATCTGTTCATGCCAAGTAGGATACTTTGGGGTACCTCCAGCTTGTCGGCCCGAATGTCTAGTTACTTCCGAGTGTACATCTGATAAGGCTTGTATCAATCAAAAATGCCAGGATCCTTGTGTCGGAACTTGCGGAATAGCAGCAAGATGCCAGGTACACAACCACAATCCGATCTGTAGCTGTCCACCTAATCACTATGGAGATCCATTCATACAATGTACAAAGATTGGTAAGTACTGTTTGATATTTGAGTGTTTCATTTTGCTAACAGACTGTGTTTTACAGTTAATCCAAAACCAAATATTACACCATGCATTCCATCCCCTTGCGGCGCCAATGCAGAATGCAGAACCATTGACAATAGAGCGATTTGTTCTTGTCTGCCCGACATGTATGGAGTACCACCTAATTGCCGACCAGAATGTTTGATCGACCAGGACTGCCCTCTTAACCTAGCCTGCGTAGGTCAAAAATGCAAAGACCCTTGCACCGGCTCCTGTGGATTTAATGCCCAATGTAACGTAGTCAACCACAGACCCATCTGTAGCTGCCTGCCAGGATTCGAAGGAGATCCATTTTCTGGGTGTAACATCGAATCTGGTAAGTTGCATGAGCTTTTATATGTGATCATACTTTCATAATACATATATTTATACACCGAAAAAATCCAGCAAGTAATGTTAAAGCTGTTTTAAACTAAGAAACATTAAAATAAAAAATTTTATTTAAAAAAATTATAATATTGTTGAATTACAAATATACTTAAATATATAATGAAGATTGATAAATATATAATAAAATATGGTGTAAAAATGCTGGTATTCATTTATGCTTGCACATGTTTACATTATCACCATCCTTATTCTTTCGTAGTTACTGTAATTAGCCTTTCTTGTATGTATATTATGAACTATACTCTTTTCTTTTGTAGCTATTGCATGTATGTGTTCTCTACTTGCTTCTTTTTCTTCTTGTAGTTATAGATGAACCTCACCACCCGTGCAACCCTTCCCCGTGTGGCTCTAACGCCATATGTACCGAAAGAAACGGTGCAGGTGCTTGCACCTGCATACCAGATTACCACGGAGATCCCTATTCGGGTTGCAGGCCAGAATGCGTATCCAATAATGATTGCCCCCATGATAAAGCTTGTTTGGCCATGAAATGTACCAATCCTTGTGCTGGAAATTGTGGAATAAACGCGGAATGTACAGTCATAAATCACAATCCTCAATGCTACTGTATCCAAGGTTTTACAGGAAATGCGTTGGTTCATTGTAGGGAAATTCCACGTAAGATATGTTATAACTTATAATGAATTGCTGCTCCAATTTCTGTGTTAGTATTCTTAGAAAAACTAAAAGCAAGATGTGTTGACCTCAGTGATGGAAAGTCTTGTATAAACCTAGAAAGATCAGAATTTTAAAATAATAAACGATTCCTGCTGTCTCCACGCTCAAACTGAAATTTCTGTATGCAAACTCGATAAAAAGATGATCACTTGATGATTACTAGTGTAATGTAAGTTGCATACATTTGGTACAAAGTGCAGAACTTACTAATATAATTAATTATTATAAGAACTCTGTTGAATTTGAAGATGGTAGATCGTCTTCTTATGCCTTTTCTTTTTCTCGAACAAAAAGTTCTAGAGTGTTCAAACTTAGTTCATAGATTCCTCTTAGCGTGGGGAATAACTGTATATGAGATAATAGATCTTCTATTTCTTATTTAATTCCTTTTAGATTACATATTTCTAATGAAATGTGGTTTCTCATCTAAAATATAAATTAATTTATTCTTCTTCTTAATTGATCCGCGTGTTTTACTTTTTTTTAAACGCGGTTATCGTTAAGTACAAAATGGCTACTTGATACGTCTCCTGAGAGCAACACTGTGCTTAAACAAATATTCAGGAAAAATAAAAAATTATTAAATACATTGATTTCTTGTATAAATCGTCGATATCTAACATTTCAAATATTTATGAGTACTGATACAAAAATTAACGACAATCAGCAAAATCGGCATACTAAGACCTTAATTTTTGAATAGCAGTTGAACCACCAAGAAGAAACCCTTGTGTACCATCACCTTGCGGTCCTTATAGCGTATGTCGCGTTCAAAACGACAGACCAGTTTGCTCTTGTCTCGAGGGCTGCATAAACGCCCCACCCCACTGTAGACCCGAATGTATGGTCAATTCGGAATGCCCCAGTGATCTAGCCTGTCAAAATATGAGATGTGTTGATCCATGTAGAGGTACTTGCGGACACAACGCTCTATGTAAAGCTGTCCTGCACAGTCCTATATGTAGTTGTCCTGTTGGCTTCATCGGAGATCCCTTCACTAGATGTTTCAAAGAAGAAAGTAAGATTGTACTGAAGTTTAGCGAAGGTCAAAAATATTATATTACTTCCTTTTTAGGGCCACCTGTTGTTGTAAACCCTTGCGTACCATCTCCTTGTGGATTGTTCTCTGATTGTAGAGTGCTCAGTGATAGAGCCGTATGTTCTTGCCTAGCAAATTACTTTGGTCGTCCGCCAAACTGTCGGCCAGAGTGTACTGTTAATTCACAGTGTTCTTCTAGTCAATCTTGTGTAAACCAAAGATGTGCCGACCCTTGCCCAGGGTCTTGTGGTATAAATGCTGAATGTAGAGTAGTGAATCATTCACCTCAATGTTATTGTGCCAACGAATATACTGGGGATCCTTTCTCTGGATGTCATTACAGTAAGAATATCAGCAGTGCAGATATCACATGCATTTTTTGTTGAAATTGTTGAAAAAATCCTGTTCCTACGTAGAGACAATGTGATCATTCATATTAGAAAGAATCTATGCGTAATCTAAACCTTGGTTTCTAGAATATTAGATATTTTTCTTTTGTTATTCCTAGTAACTACTATACTTTTGGTATAGCTAAAATAAAAATTTATCTACCTGATTTTTATATCAATTTTTTTCTAATTCTTTTCTTAATAATAGTTTTTTCTTAAGTGACATTTTTCAACAATTTCAGTCCAAACAAATGACATTTGATATTAATTCTTAAACCAATTTTGTAATCCAAACATATTTTAGTCCCTCCCGTGATCGAAGAAACACCTCACCCATGCAATCCATCACCATGTGGCGCAAACGCGATCTGTAAAGAACAGAACGGTGCAGGATCTTGTTCTTGCTTACCAGATTATTTTGGAGATCCATACTCAGGCTGTAGACCCGAATGTGTAACAAACTCAGATTGTCCCAAAGATAGATCTTGCGTGAACCAAAAATGTGTGGATCCTTGTCCAGGAACTTGTGGAATAAACAGTGAATGTCAAGTATTTAATCACATACCAACTTGTTACTGTCTACGAGGATTTACGGGAGATCCGTTTAGAACTTGTCATGAAATAGATATTGCCCGTAAGGATTCTCTTTTTATCAAGTAGTGTTGAGATAAAAGGCGTAGCTTGTACTTAAATGCTCATAATCAATTCTGTTTTGATTATGTTATTATGATCCTTACCTTAAGTCATTAAATAGGATAAACTTTCAACTATATTTTATTTCAACACTGCTTCCTTATCTCTTTTTTCTACAAACATATATTCTATCCTTTTCTTTTTTAATCTAGCTCCACCAGTGGCACATATAGACCCATGTAGACCTTCACCTTGTGGACCGTACAGTCAATGTAGATCGGTAGAATCGAATGCCGTATGTGCTTGTCTAAAAGATCATATCGGATCTCCACCTCTTTGTAGACCAGAATGTACCGTAGCTAGCGATTGTGGTCAAGATAAGATTTGTTTGAATCAGAAGTGTAAAGATCCTTGTCCTGGTACTTGCGGATATAACGCTAGATGTCACGTAGTTAATCACAATCCAATTTGTAGTTGTCCAGCCGGACAAACTGGTGATCCTTTCGTCAGGTGTATTAAAGAAGAGAGTAAGATAAAACACCATTGTACGATAGTTCATAGACCTAATCGAGTAATCTTTTTAGAGACTATTATTCCAGTTCCAAATGAAAATCCTTGCGTTCCTACTCCATGTGGTCCTTACTCTCAATGTAGAATTGTTGGTACGCAAGCTGTATGTTCTTGTTTACCAAATTATGTGGGTAGAGCTCCTAACTGTCGCCCTGAATGCACCATTAGTTCCGAATGTCCTGGAAACTTAGCTTGTATCAATGAAAGATGTAAAGACCCTTGTGTAGGCTCTTGCGGATTTTATGCTAGTTGTGCTGTAGTAAATCATTCTCCAAATTGTATATGTGAAGCTGGTTACACCGGAGATCCGTTCTCAGGATGCTCCCTTATTATAATCGTAGAAGAAGAAAATAACCCTTGCAATCCTTCTCCATGTGGAGCTAACGCTATTTGCAGGGAGCAAAACGGAGCAGGGTCATGTACATGTGTACCGGACTATTTTGGAGATCCTTACACCGGATGTAGGCCAGAATGCGTCACTAATGCAGATTGCTCAAGAGATAGGGCTTGTTTGGGTATGAAATGTAAGGACCCGTGCGTAGGAACGTGTGGAGTTAATGCTGAGTGCAGAGTCGCAAACCATGCACCATCTTGCTTCTGCGTAGAAGGGTATACTGGAAATCCAACAACGGCCTGTCATGTGATACCACCTAGTATGTATTTCTTTGTAGTTTGCTAAGAGGTATGCCTTTAAAGAACAATCAAATTGTAATGCTTGCTTCAATATTTAATCGTAGGGAATCAACTGAAGATCTAAAGTCATCTTTTTATGGAGCAATTAAAGATAGTACCAAAAATTAAATAAAATTTAAGCAAATGATTATTTTAGTTTATTTGATACGATATTGGGAATAATCTTATAGGCATACTTCTTATTTAAGAACTCTTTACACTGTTTCACTCTTTCTATCTTTTAAGTTCAAGTTCCTCGAACTCAACCTTGTCAACCATCACCTTGTGGACCTTACAGTCAATGTAGAGCGATAGAAGGGCATTCTGTATGTTCTTGTCTGCCAAATTATATCGGTTCGCCACCAACTTGTAGACCTGAATGTATGATAAGCGCAGATTGCTCATTAGACAAGACCTGTATTAACCAAAAATGTGTAGATCCATGCCCAGGAACCTGTGGACTGAACGCCAGATGCCAAGTTATAAACCATAATCCAATTTGCAGTTGTCCTTCTAATTATGTTGGGGATCCATTCATAAGATGCGTTCTAGAAGAAAGTAAGAAATCGTCATGTTAAATCTTTGTATTAAAAAAAAATACTAATACTTTACAAAAAGTGCTCTCAACAACCAGGGTCTCCTTATTTTTTATTGTTTGTCTCTGTATTTATTTTTCATTGGACTTCAAATCTTTAATATCTGAGATTGCTGAGTAAATCAATTCAAATTACGATGCTATCACCTATCTTCTTTGATTTCTCCATTTGATACTAGCACCTTTATATTAAATTCACCTCCATAGTATGCTTAAAGATAATAAATTAAAATGTAAAGTTCACAAAAGTTACACTACAACAGGGACTCATAAAACAGTTGCAACTTAAGAATATTTCCCCAAACTTCATATTAGATGTGCCCACATTCTTTAGATTTTAAGATCTTTTGTCAGTAGTCAAAATGTTTCTTGATTCATTAAGTGGCCCCAATGTTTTTTATGGGAAGGAGATAGTAAATCTTCTAAAAATCCTATAATCATATCAAGCCGTATCCCTTTAAGGATAACCTGGCGTGTGTTGAATTTAGCGTGGAAAGACCCATTCTCCCCAAAACACTCGTACTCACAGATACAACCATAGCTCTCTAGTTACCAACTAAAGTCCTCCCTCTCATACAAACTATTCTTGCGGTGGGTACTCTTCAGACCGGTACATCATATGAATAGTTCGTCTTCTCTTTCTCTTCCTCCCTCTTTTATCTTTGCTACAGATTCATTTCTAATTATTTCCTTCTTTCTGAAAATTCGTGTTATTACCTCTAATCTTGCCTTTAAATTTGGTATTTCCTCTCATTGCTACCTGCATTGTGGTATTTGCACTAAATCCTGCCAAAAAACTCTTGTCTTCTTATCAGGTTGTTTATATTATCGTGTATCCATGGCATCTTTCCCTAATTGATGATTTTTTTTAATAAATCAGGTGCTATCCTTTCAGGTCTTAGCACGTTTCTAGCTTTCAACGTTTTCCCAGCATACGCCACTTCTCCCCTTGTGAATTCAGTCATGGCTATCTCCAAATGAAATAGTGTAAAACGTACTTCTTCCCTTTGTGGAAAAAGATTTTCGATCAGTTCTTTCCTCGTACTCTCCTTGATCTTAAAAATGCGTCCTACTTCTTTAAAATTCTTGACAAATATTCGGTAGGCGTCTTCTCAGATATCCTTTTTAAGATTTTTGCAAAGCTCTTTCCAACTTTCTTCATAGATTTTTTTAATTTTCCTACCTGCTCTTCTATTATTCGGTCCCTCCCTCTGTCTCTCGTGACCTAATTTCTATTCTTAACTTGATGTAGCCTCTTCTTATTTCTTCAATTCTCTCTGTACAAATATAGGGACGACTGTTTGCTCTCCTATCCTGTAGACTGCACCTTTCTGTCATATTTTTAATTTTCTCTTATCCCTCTTCGCAGTTTCAGCCCTCCATCCCTTGGATTTTCTCTTTGACTTTTCTTTTGTCAAGATATTTCGACCTGTCCCTCTTCCTTGTTGTTGTTGTTGTTGTAAAGATATATGTAAAGAGCACTTTTTGTAATCAATCCAATAAACACCTTTTTAAACCAATATATACATAGGGCCTCCAGTAGTTATACCAGAAAACCCTTGCCATCCGTCGCCTTGTGGTAGCAACTCACAGTGCAGAGTGATAGGTAATACACCAGCATGTTCTTGCTTAGCTGGTTATATCGGCCGTCCACCCAATTGTAGGCCAGAATGTGTAATCAACGCTGATTGTTCTGGAAATCTGGCTTGTCAAAGAGAAAAATGCACCGACCCTTGCCCAGGATCTTGTGGTGGCAATACTGATTGCATAGTTATTAGTCATAGACCTGTTTGTAGTTGCAAAATCGAATATACTGGTGATCCTTTCTCTGGATGCAACCTCATTCCAAGTAAGACCATCGATATGAAAAATGTTAACCAAAATATACTTATTAAAAAAACTTTTAGTCGTTACTCCTACACCAGAACCGCATAACCCTTGTAATCCCTCACCATGTGGTGCCAATGCTGAATGTAGAGAACAACATGGTGCAGGTGCTTGTATTTGTTTACCAGAATATATCGGGGATCCTTATACTGGATGTAGACCTGAATGTGTTACCAATACTGATTGCGCAAGTGACAAATCGTGCTTAAACAACAAATGCAAAGATCCTTGTCCTGGTACATGTGGAATTAATGCGGAATGTCACGTAATCAATCACTCGCCATCCTGTTCTTGCCTTCCTGGATACACGGGCAATCCATTGACTTCTTGTAGGGAACCTCCAAAGAGTAAGCAAAAAAACACCAACCTATTCTATTCTGCAAAAATTATCAATTATTGTGATAAATTTAAAGCAGAGTACGATATTTTATAGTTTCTTAAAAAATATTTATTATCCGTAGTTGAAATACCTAAAAATCCTTGTCAACCAACACCTTGTGGTCCATATAGTGAATGCCGCGAAGTAGACGGACACGCAGTATGTTCTTGCCAGACAAACTATATCGGTTCACCTCCTGCATGTAGACCTGAATGCATGGTTAGCTCAGAATGTTCACAAAATAAAGCATGTATCAAACAAAAATGTAAAGATCCCTGTCCAGGAACTTGCGGCCTAAACGCTAAATGTCAAGTTATAAATCACAACCCGATATGTAGCTGTCCTCCATTGTATACTGGGGATCCTTTCCTTAGATGTATCTTAGAAGAAAGTAAGCTAGGTTCTATATCTTTCTGTATTTAATTTTTATTCTACTGTAGTTTGCTAAAGCTGGATGATTTTGTTTTTATACAAGTGATGTTACATATGTCTTGAGGAATGGCAACATCGGTGGAGAAAAGTCAAAACTGACATAGTTCCGTAAAATTTTGATGTTTTCTGCTCTTCGTCTGATCATTTGTTTCTTTATAATACGTTGAGAATACGAGTTGACACAAAAACGTGGAATCAACAATTTTGAGTGAGTTTAATGATTTAGTAGCTAGACATGGTATAGTCGGCACGTAATTTCGTGAGAAAATTTACAGAGACCAAAGCAAGCAAAATACTAGTAAAATGTAAAACAGTAGCGTAGATATCTAATTTTAAATTAAATAAAAGTTTTTACTTTTATTTAATTTTATTTACCAAAAAGTTTCATTTTCTATAAAGTTTAAATAAAAAATATCGGTGTTTTTAAATTCTGTGATATATCTTGGGAGTAATAATATTAATCGACTCGACTGAACAGAACTTATTGTAAAATAATAATTTCTACCTATATAAAATATTGTTAATAATAGTAGTTATTCAGCGAGAATGACAGTGACAGTTTCAGTTGACATACTCCCCTAAAACATTAATAATTTTTGTCCTATCAAGAAGTGTTTTTATACCCTGTTTTCAAAGATATATAAGCAAAATGAGAATATCTACAATTAAAATATAAATAAAGGTTTCAACTAACACCTAATAAGTACTTACTATCTACCCAGAATCACTGTTATCACTAGTATCAATCGTATCATCTAAATTTATAGTTAATTTGGTTAATGCTGGTAAATATTTAACATAGTCATTTTCTACTCCGATCACATGTTTTATTTTTATTACATTTTTCCAGTTGGTTGCTGTAATTTTTGTGACTTCTCTTCTAATTAACTGGAGAACAGTAGACAAAAAATTTTGGAGCAACGTTTCTTCTCATTATATTTCCTTTAAGTTGAGCCCATATTAACTCTATTGGGTTCAATGTACAATAATAAGGAGGAAGTCTAAACACAGTATGCCCGTTACTACGAGCACAGTTGTCAATAACATATTCCTTTTCGTACTGTTTACTATGAACAACTTCCAACAATTGCTTTTTAATATAAGATGTCTCAAAACACAAATCTTCCGTGAATAAAAATTCCTGAATTTTTAATTTATTCCAACTATTATTTGAAGTTTTTTTCATTAATCGTTAATGATATGATGCGTTGTCCATGATAATCACACTATCTTTAAGTAATTTCAGAAGAAGACATTTTTCAAACCATGATTCAAAAATTGAACTTTCCATATCGGCATGGTAATCCAGAGACGCGTTTTGAATTTGTTTTGCAGATATTAATAATGCATCATCGACCCATCCATTTTCTTCACCGCAGTGTAAAATTATAATCCTCTTTCTTTTATTGGGCGGTACTGAGTTGAAACACTTTTTGTTATTATTTGTCGAACTTTTTTTTCACGGTGTCATGAGTATCATACCAGGTCTCATCTAAATAAACAATATTTCGTTTCATTTTTCGATACTTAATTATCTGTCTGATATAATTGTTTCTTAAAGAAATTATTCTAGTACTTTCCATTAATGTCTGTCTCTTGTCTATAGTTTTGTACTTAAAATTATTGGCTTTAAGAAATAATCGAAGTGTTGTTGCTGAACACAAAGAATGCACTTTCGAACTAATTCACTTCGAAGGCTTTCAATAGTTGGAAAAATATTAGCCGCATACATTTGGTATATTGTTCTAGTTATAGATTCAATTAAGTGCATTTCTATTTTTCTGAATTTGCCACAATCCCTTCTCTTCTGTCTAGAAGAAGATGTGTCTCCTATAATTTTGTAGCAGGTTGCTTTGGGCACTCTGGTTAAAAAACATGTTTCTGCAATTGCCTCTGATTTAGGCAATTCAGCACACAGTCCTTCATTTTTACATTTTTTAGCATACGTTTGGCATCATCAGAAAGGTATTAATAACGTCCCTTACGTTTTACTACATGCCTTTGTAAATCTTCCAATCGATTAGAGGGTTAAATTGTCTCTTCAGCTACTTAATTATTATCGCACCACGGACGCAATATTTTAAAATTATCAAACTTATAAAAATATAATCACGTAAAAACGTATCAAAAAAAGTAAAAAACGTTAAATATAAAATGTTTTCCGTATAAAGAACACTGAAAAAAGTCACTACCAAACTAACTTGCGGTTCACTATTTGAAATTTGAATTTAACTGAACGCTGTAGCAGTTATGATTTTACTAAAAATATTCTTGTCTCCCAAAAATCTGTTTGTCATATCCGCAATTTAAAAATAAAATATAAAAATTTGCATACCTAAGTTTTCCCCGTCCCGTGCCTTCGGCACTGGACGGTCGAAACCTGATCCCTTATTTTATGACTCCGTAAGCTCAGTCAAATACTGATATAATCTTACCTCAAGTATGAATAGTCTACCGACCGACAAAAGATAATGCATATGATTTGTCATAACAGCGATATCCGATGTTTTCGTTGGCCGTTAGTCCACGTGGACTTATCATAAGTTCGATGAAAACTTAATTGGTTGATTGTTCATATCTGGTTCATATTTTAAAAGATTATACCAGGCACGTCTGAATGTTAATATCGAGTGAAATCTGGAAACTTTGTATTATTATACGTCTAATTCATTGATAATTTTACAGACTCCTGGTAGAGTACCTTTTTGTTGAATGATTTTATTACAGATACATATATTTTTGCACAATCTCACGGAAATACGAGGCTACTATAAGAGACTATGCAATATAGATCAAATAACCATTTAAGGTACGTGAATCACTCAGACCTGATTTGCACCAAGTGAATTTTTTCTATTCTTATTAATAAAAAAATGGCGGATCATAATTTCTCGACTCATGAAGACGTAGTTCTATTAATAAACATTTATCTTCGGTTGCCTACCTCAAAACTAATATAAGCATCGTATTATTTGTAGATCTTTGACCGTGCTTTGCAAACTACTCTAGATCTTCTTTATGCATGTTATCTATCCATCTTTTTTAGAAACGGCTATTGAAGAACCTAGTGGTAACCCTTGCGTACCTTCACCTTGCGGTTCTAATTCTCAATGTAGAGTAATAGGATCGCAAGCGGTATGCTCTTGCTTGCCAAACTATCTCGGCAGACCTCCAAATTGCCGACCAGAATGTCTTATAAACGAAGAATGCCCCGGAAACCTTGCATGCCAAAACGAGAAATGTATAGATCCTTGCCCTGGCTCTTGTGGTTCTTTTACTTCTTGTACTACTATTAAACACACACCTATTTGTGAATGTTTTACGGGCTATACAGGGGATCCTTTCCGAGGATGTGTTCTACTACCTCGTAAGAATTATTTTCTTTTCTTTTTCATTTTAAGGATGTTCAAACACTCAACATAAAAACCAATCATTCCTAATTATACAGATATAAAAAAACATTAGTTTTCAGGCTTTTGTGGTCTAAAATTATTTCTTACTTGTGTTTCATCTGCTTCTAAACCAGACCTGTCATAGGCAGTTCAATAGCATAGCTCTTCTGGGCTTGTTATTAATAACAAGAGTAGTTTACAAGTTTTTGAACATCTTTTACTATTGTAGATACTTAGATTGATACTTTTATATTTTCTTACTATTTTAGATATTTGTACATTCTTTTTAAACATCTTTTACTATTGTAGATACCTATATTGTGTAGATACTGTTATATACTCTTACTTTTTTAGTTACTTCTTTACTCTATACTGTATTTTTAGCACCTACTGTTACCGAAAGTCCTCGAAACCCTTGCAACCCTTCACCTTGTGGAGCAAACGCTGTTTGTAAAGAAAGAAATGGAGCAGGTTCTTGTAGTTGCCTTCCAGAATACTTTGGAGACCCGTACAGAGGTTGTAGACCTGAATGCGTAACTAACTCAGAATGTGATCGTAGCAGAGCCTGTGTTAATAATAAATGTATTGATCCTTGTCCTGGAAGATGCGGAATAAACTCTGAATGTAGAGTTATAAATCATATTCCGTCTTGTATTTGTATCACAGGCTACACAGGCGATCCAGCTAGTCGATGCAACCTTATTCCGCCTGGTGAGAATCATACCTATTTAAAAAATAACAATTGGAAGGCTCTATCTAACTTCTACCAATTTCTAGTTACTCCTGAACCGACTCAACCGTGCCAGCCCTCACCTTGTGGCCCAAATAGTCAATGTAGAGAAATAAATGGCCATGCTGTTTGTTCTTGTATTACTGGTTATATCGGATCTCCCCCAATGTGTAGACCAGAATGTATAGGCAGCTCTGAATGTGCCCAAGATAAAGCCTGCGTTAATCAAAAATGTGTAGATCCATGCCCTGGCACTTGCGGAATCAATGCTCAATGTAGAGTAGTAACTCACAACCCCATATGTGTCTGTTCCTCTGGTTATACTGGCGATCCATTTACATCCTGCTCCAGAATACAAAGTAGGGGTAATTCACATTTAAAATGCTCCCATTTTGATATCGGACTTGTCTTTTTTAGTTTATAGTATGTAAAATGTAGATTGTAGATGTATAGCATGACAACTTTCTCTTAATTCTTTTATAGTTCTGTAGGAAAATATATTGAATAATACACAATTACTTCCAACAACTCTTCGCTTTTAATTGTGATGTAACCATTTGACATAATTTTTTAAATTTGAATCTATAGTATATAAAAGTATTTTGTTAGTGAAAGTGATTGTATTGTACAATATATATCCTTCTCCGAGATCAAATGGGTGCTATCTATAAAACTGTATATTTTTCCTTTATCTCTAAACTATCTTCTTTTCTAGTAACTACGCCTAAAGACATAGAAAACCCATGCGTACCATCTCCCTGCGGCGCCAACTCTCAATGTAGGGTAGTTGGTACTCAGCCTGCATGTTCTTGTTTGCCCAACTTTATCGGTAGACCTCCCAACTGTCGTCCGGAATGTATAAACGACTTGGAATGTGCTAATAATTTGGCGTGTAGAAATGAAAAATGTATAAACCCTTGTCAGGGATTCTGTGGTATTAATGCTCTATGTACTGTTGTCTCGCATGTTCCTGTTTGCTCTTGCCTGCCTGGATATCAAGGAGATGCTTTATCTTCTTGTACTATTACGCCTTTGAGTAAGACATTTTTTCATTTATTCATGGCATCAGTCATTTAAACATTGCTACACTTTCAGCTTCTACAGGTACTTTGTAAGATTACCATAAACTAAAACATTTATTTTTACAGCTACTGAACGTACACCACCTCCAACGCCATGCACTCCTTCTCCATGTGGACCAAATGCAGAATGCCGTGAGAAAAATGGAGCTGGGGCTTGCTTATGTCTTCCAGGTTTCCACGGAGATCCGTACGATAACACACGAGGTTGTCACCGAGAATGTGAAGTCAACGATGACTGTAAATCTCACTTGGCTTGTATCGCATTTAAATGCGTGGATCCCTGTCCTGGAACTTGCGGAACTTTGGCAGAATGTAGAGTCAACAACCACATACCAACATGTACTTGCCTACCAGGTTATACAGGAGATGCATTCTTTCAATGTAAAGAAATTAGGGAGATCCATCCAGTTAACGAAAATCCTTGCCAACCTTCACCTTGTGGACCGAACAGTCAATGTAGGGAACTTAACAAACAAGCAGTTTGCTCATGTTTGCCTAATTACATAGGATCTCCGCCGGATTGTAGACCAGAATGTGTGGTTAGCTCCGAATGCCAACTTGATAAGGCTTGCATCAACCAAAAATGTAGTGACCCATGTCCGAATACATGTGGATTAGGAGCACAATGTACAACGAGAAATCACAATCCTATTTGTGCTTGCCCACCAGGATATACGGGAGATCCATTCTTGAGATGCATTTCACAACGTAAGTTAAAAAAAATATTTATTAACAGTCCTTTACAGCCAAAATTTACTCTCAATTTGATCATACTAAACTACTTGCTTGATATTTTCAGCTGTCACGGTCGAGCCAGTAACAGAACGTCCAGCATCTTGTTATCCATCTCCTTGTGGTCCCAATTCACAATGCAGAATATCAGAAAATACTCCAATATGTTCATGTTTGCCAGACTATTTAGGATCCCCACCAGAATGCAGACCAGAGTGCGTAATAAGCACTGAATGTGAGAGTCAGCATGCTTGTATTAATCAAAAATGTAGAGATCCTTGCCCTGGTTCTTGTGGAGTAAATGCCGAATGCCACGTTATCAACCATTTACCAATTTGTACTTGTCTTGTATTACATACGGGAGATCCGTTTACGCAATGTAATCCCATACCAAGGCAGACGGAAAAACCGAAACCTCTGAACCCATGCAATCCGTCACCATGCGGTCCTAATGCTGAATGTAACAATGGAATATGTACGTGCCTTTCTGAGTACATTGGAAACCCATATGAGAGTTGCAGACCGGAATGTGTTCTTGGTTCAGAATGCCCAAGAGATAAGGCATGTATCAAGAATAAATGCAGAGATCCTTGTCCTGGAACATGTGGTCAAAATGCAAGATGTGATGTTATTAATCACATACCAGCTTGCTCTTGTCCTGATACTCTCACAGGAGATCCATTTACTTTGTGTAGAACAATAGATGAAATCAAACCAAGAACGGATCCATGCAGTCCTTCGCCATGTGGACAAAACAGTCAATGCAAAAATATTAACGACCATGCGGTTTGTTCATGCCTGCAAGGATATCAAGGAACTCCACCATCATGCAGACCAGAATGTATTGTAAGCTCCGAATGTCCTTCGAATAGAGCGTGTGTCAATCAAAAGTGTATCGATCCCTGCCCTGGATCTTGCGGACTAAACGCAGCTTGTGAAGTAAGAAACTACAGTCCAATTTGTAGTTGCAGAGAAGGATATACTGGCGATCCATTCCAGAGCTGTAGACAAATCATTATTGAGCCGACACCTCCTACACCAATCGACCCGTGCAGACCTTCTCCGTGCGGACCTAATTCTATTTGTAGAACTACAGGAGATAGTCCATCATGCAGCTGCGCTCAAGGATACATAGGAACACCTCCTAACTGTCGCCCAGAATGTGTTATTAATCCAGACTGTCCTAGCACTCAAGCTTGTATTAACAACAAGTGTAAAGATCCTTGCCCAGGAAGCTGTGGAGTAAACGCTGAATGCGTAGTTATTGCTCATACAGTCTCATGTACCTGTGCTACAGGTTTTACGGGTAATCCATTCATTCAATGCGTAATTAAACCTGTAGAACCACCGAATCCTTGTGAACCTTCTCCTTGCGGACCAAATGCAGAATGTAGACAACGAAATGGAGCTGGCTCTTGTGTGTGTATCCAAGATTATTTCGGAAATCCCTATGAAGGATGTAAACCAGAATGTGTATTAAGTTCAGATTGTGCAACCAACAGGGCTTGTATTAGAAATAAATGCGTAGATCCTTGCCCTGGAGTATGCGGACAAAATGCTGAATGCTCTACAATTAACCATGTTCCGGCCTGTACTTGCATAGAAAACTTTATTGGAGATCCGTTTGTGAACTGTCTTCCTGCTGAAAGTAAGTATTTTAAAATATTAATGGTTTGCTATAATTTTAAGAACATACTATTATTTTAAATAACAGCATTTATCGTGTAAAGTTACTAGTGACAATAATATTAAATCTCTTGAAAACTATACAAATAAATCTTGTTTCAGTTCCAACAGAACCATTAGAAAGTAAACCTTGTTCACCAAGTCCTTGCGGTTCTAACAGCCAATGCAGGGAAGTAAATAACCAAGCTGTGTGTTCCTGTCTTCCTGATTTTATTGGCTCTCCTCCCAACTGCAAGCCCGAATGTGTTGTTAGCTCAGAATGTCCCCAAGATAGAGCGTGCCATAAATTCAAATGTGCCAATCCTTGTACTGCCTCTTGCGGTATTAGTGCCAATTGCCAAGTTATTAATCATGCCCCCATCTGTAGTTGTAAAGCTGGCTTTACAGGAGATCCATTTACGAGATGTTACGAAATCCCTCCTGCGCCTCCCAAACCAAAACCAGTTGAAAATCCCTGCATACAATCACCATGTGGACCAAATGCTGAATGTAGAGTCATTAATGAGCAAGCTTCGTGTAGCTGCCAACCAAACTACTTTGGATCACCTCCAAATTGTAGGCCTGAATGTTTGGTAAATACGGATTGTGCTTCCAACTTGGCTTGTATTACTGAAAAATGTAGAGACCCATGCATCGGTTCGTGTGGATTTAACGCTGAATGTAGAGTCCAGAATCACATCCCCATATGTAGCTGCTTACCAGACTATACAGGAGACTCATTTTCCGAATGTACTAAGATCATACCGACGCCAAAACCAAAACCTGCTGATCCATGCAATCCATCTCCTTGTGGCCAAAATGCTGACTGTAATAATGGTATTTGTACCTGTGTACCTCTGTACAGAGGAGATCCATATTTAGGATGCAGACCAGAATGTACCATGAATTCCGATTGTAGTCCTAAACAAGCTTGCAGTAACTTGAAGTGTATCGATCCTTGTCCAGGAACTTGTGGACAGAATGCTGTTTGTGACATCGTCAATCATATACCAACATGTAGCTGTCCACCAGGTCAAGAAGGAGATCCGTTTGTACATTGCAGACCTAAGAAAATAGGTAAAAATACATTTTTATGATTTGTTTTACTACGTTAATATTTAGTGGTTTTTTATACTAAATTTACTTATTTTTTAGAAGTACCAATCAACCCTTGCCAACCTTCCCCATGCGGTCCAAATAGTGTGTGCAGAGTTAACAATGGTGTAGCTGTATGCTCATGCCAACAAGGTCTCATTGGAAGTCCACCATCTTGCCGACCAGAATGTGTGATTAGCGCTGAGTGCCCATTAAACCAAGCGTGCTTGAACCAGAAATGTGTAGACCCCTGTCCTGGAACTTGCGGAATCAACGCCAAGTGCCAAGTTATCAACCACAACCCCATCTGCAGCTGTATTCAAGGCAATATTGGAGATCCATTCGTACGGTGCTATCCGGAACCAAAAGGTAAGATTTTTTAATATCTCTTTCTATCAGTATAAGAAATTACATCAAAATTAAGTCATCTTGTGTATAACAAGAGACCGCCATATCTTAGAAGTTCCGTGTTGAGTTAACCTGCTTATGTTGCTTTTCTATTAATTTTTTGATCACCTTCATTAGTCCTTCCATTGTTGTATGTTTAGTTCCATATAAAATTTATTGTTCAATACTGTTCTATAAAACTGCTAGTGTTGTATCAAGAAGATCTGCAAACACTACTTGATAGTGTCGTTGAGAGTTGTAGGGAGGCAGGTCTGGATCTTAGCATAAGGAAAACCAAAATACTCGTAATAAGTAAACAACAGAATATAAAACCGTCTATATATGTAAATAATACCAAACTTGAGCAAGTTGATAAAATCGTCTACCTTGAACAGCAATTAAATTGTAATGCAGAAAATCACGGCGAAATTAGATCCAGAATAGAGCAGGCTAGAGCTGCTTTTAGAAGGATGTCCAAGGTGTTATGTAACAGAGACCTAAAATTGGCATTAAGGATCCGCCTACTTCGCTGCTACGTGTTCTCGGTCTTACTTTATGCTGTCGAGTCCTGGACTGTGAATAAAATCGATCTAAATCGCCTTGAGGCTTTCGAAATGTGGTGCTATAGAAGAATTTTAAAAGTTTCCTGGGTGGAGAAGATTCGTAACTCCACATTACTAGAACGTCTCAGCAAGACTACTGAGATCATAAAAAGCATCAAGCAGAGAAAGCTGGAATATTTCGGACATGTAATGAGAGGTCCCAAATATAGATTGCTACAAAATATCATGCAAGGAAAAATAGCAGGCAAACGCAGTCCAAGACGAAGAAGGACCTCATGGTTGAAGAACTTGCGAGATTGGTATGGTGTAGATACAAGCATGCTATTTAGGGTGGCAGCAAATAAAATTAAAATAGATATGATGGTAACCAACGTTCTGAAAGGACATGGTACATGAAGAAGAAGAAGTGTTGTACCACAGCAGTGCGTTAATTTTGTTCCAAGTGAGACTTTTCCTATTCTATTCGGTTATATTATCATTATTTATTTTTTCGTGTGATTGTAGATGTGGTTGTCTATAAATCCTTTTTGCTTCGTTCTCCCACTGCTCCTACATCTGTATTATTTAGAAAAGTACTTCTGATAAGCTCATTTCTTTTGCCATTACTGCATTTTTACCTGTTGATTCTATTTTCGTAGCACTTTCCTGCTTCTTTCCCTCTTTTTTTTTTCGCCGGGTCTCATAACCTCTTTTTTATAATTCTAATAAATGCTTTCATTTCAAGGAATCATCCGTTGTATAGTTTATTCCTTTCTAAATAAGACATGTCGTCTTAAACAAATAATAAAACACTTGTCTTGAAGCCTTACTGACTACTATTGAGTTCCTGTACAGTACTATAACCATCATCTTTGCTCAAATGATCATTTCTGACTCTACTATCAAATAAAAGAAGTTTCTTTCGTTTTAACACTTTAACTGCCATGTGTACATACATTAGACACAGGTTTTATCAGCGTTTCAGCCATGTGTCCGTGGCTGGTACACATTTACCGTGTAAATGAAGTGTGAAAATATAGTTGGCAAAGAAACATTCTAAACACATAAATGGGCTGTCTTCACATCCGTTGCATACACATGTTACTCGTTTTGTATTTTTTACAGCATAAATTCGACTATGTAGTTCAGAGTTTGTTTTGTAACAAATCCTGGATCTGCCTCTTTTATTCAAAGCATTTTAAGTAAATTCATGTTTGGTTCAATCTTGTACAGAAATGGGTAGATTACTACATTGAAGAAGATGCATGCACACTTTTTCTTTGATTTTGTAACTGACATTTTGCTTTGGTTGATATTATTGAAAATAACTAGAAGATTCACCAGTAAAGTACCAGTAATTATCTCAAATTTTACTTTTCTGTATCATTTGATAGACTTTCGTAAGCAGTTTAAGTAAGCTGTCTTTTGATCTGATATGTCCACAAATACTTTTGCCTTATTGTACTTGACATTGGCTGCACGTTCTCTTTTAGGACCTTCCCTATGCGTTACTTCTATCATATTGTCTCTACGTTTGTAGACAGAAAAAGTACGTCTCTATTATCATGCCATTTCACAATCACAGTGCTATTTTCGTTTTGTTTGGCAATGATCTCCCCTTTCTTGAGTTTGGCTTCTACAACATATTTGGAAGATTTTTTCAGTTTTTTCTCAATATTCCAATAAGATGAGTGGATCTAGTTTTTCAAATTTCAGCAAGGTTATCTGATGTATACCAGTTGTCCGTAGTAAGAGTCCTACCCTGTTCCAATAAAGGTTTAATAATTTCCATAACTACCCATTTAGCAAGCGGTTGTCCACTAATTTCTTCTTTACCGCAATATATTTTAATTGTATGGGTATAGACTTTTAATAAACAAATTTATACAGCTTTATTCTAAACTTATGACGTTTTCCTTTTACGTAGTGTCGAAAAGATAACTTGCCTCTAAATGGGATCATAGTTTCATCAGTGCAAACGGTTGAGTCTGGAATCATACATCGATGAAAATTAGCGTTCATTTCATTGACCAGACATTGAATTTTATGAAGTCTGTCATTTTCAGAACACTCGTCATTTTTTGCTAGATGAAACATGCGCAAGAGCAATTCGAACCGATTTCGGGACATGTATTTAGCAATATCACTTTTACATAATGAAATCTTGCGCCAATAATCAGCTAATGACGGCTTTAAGTCTAGTCTAGGTTCTTATTCCAACTCTAAATAACAGAGTTATTTATTATTGTGCGCCATATTAACTTTTTTCAATCGTAAAGTCGACGATGCGCTCCCATCGGAAATTAATAACAAACTGAAATATCTTACACGTGTCACTCTCTTACTGGAAAGGTAACAGACTTCAGTTTCCATCTATGGTACACATGGCCAGCAATTAGACGTTAGTAACAATTTCACAATCGCAGACTCTGTGCTTCATATGAGGACACAAAAAAACAAATCTGATTTTATGATTTTGCTAAAAACAAACACAAATAGAGTAATTAAGAAGAAAAAATATTTTGGCCCAGAAGACTCAGTACAAAATTTACTCTGGATTTAGGCTGGCAGTTACAGCGTTAAAATAACAATTTGAAATTATAAAGCGTATTAACCATCCAAAGTTAAAAAAATATTTATTCTTTGTTTCTTTCTCTGTTTCATTAAATATGTTTTAATCAATGTAGTAACAAACTTTTCTTATTTTTTTTGCAGTGCCACCAAAACCAGTGAATCCGTGCGACCCGAGCCCTTGCGGTCCGAACTCGGTCTGTCAAGTCCGCGGGGAAAGCCCGGCGTGTTCGTGTCTCGAAAATTACGTCGGTACTGCACCGAACTGCCGACCGGAATGTACGATCAATCCGGAATGTGCGCGAACGCTCGCTTGTATCAATCAGAAGTGTCGCGATCCGTGCCCGGGCAGTTGCGGGTCTAACGCGTTGTGTAGTGTAATCAATCATACTCCAACTTGTACGTGTATCAATGGTTTCACCGGAGATCCGTTCCAGGGCTGCGTTCCAGCACCAGGTAGGATTTTTTTAATTTTGCTATTTTCGCTTAGAATTTTGCATGTCTGAACGAGAGAAACAGTAGTAAAAGAAGAGAGAAGATTGCAGCAGATCGCTAGTACATCGTAGAATTACTTGAAATTTTAAATGATCTTAATAAAAAAAAATAAATAAACAAACAGGGTCTTATAACGAAAAATTGTTCTTTTAGTTTAATTACGTGCAGATTCAATTGATTTACAAAACATTAAAATAATTCATCAGTATATTTAACATTAATATATTCGTAATTAGTCTAACAACAAACATATAGAGATTAAAAAACATAGAACAACAAATAAGACAGTTAAAATTTAGGTACCAACATCGGGATAACAGAAGAAGAAGAAGAAGAATCAGCATCGCTCCTACTGTTTCTTACGCAGGCTGCAAAATCATTAAAAAATACCAATATATTTTAATAATTTAATATTCCATGAACATTGAGTTTGACTTAAAAATAATATGATTCATAATCTTTGAAGGTGTTGAACGAAACGATTGAGTGCGAAGTTATTTCTTATTCTCTAACTTCTTATTTATTACTATTTAAGAATTTAGATCCAAATTATGTTGATTTAATTACTTTTGTACTTCCATCTTCTTTTTTATCTTGTTTGAGTAGAGCCACAGAGAAAACTCCTAATGTAAGTTGAGGAAAAAATAAGATATCTAGTATGTGGGGGTACTTCCACGAAACACGACAGACAAAGAAAAATTTAATATAAGAAAACACTTTCAGAATGACTTTTTAACCTTAACATTGAAATTGAACGAATGTATTATATTTTTAAAACCTAAGAAACACCCGGGAAGTGATCTAAGACAATCGGGAGAATTCATAGGACAGTTTGGGCTTGGAGAAAAAAATGATCGAGGGGACCGATTGGGTAAATTTGTATCAGAAGAAGAGTTTGTAATTACTAACACTTACTTTAAACTCCCATGCAGAAGATTATATAGAAACCACCTCAAGATACTTCAGGCCACATAGTCAGAAGTCAAATAGATTACATTATGATTAAGAAAAGATTCCTTAACAGCATTACATCAGTCGAGACATACCCAGGAGCAGATATCAAATCAGACCATAACCCACTGATTTGCAAAATGTAAGTCAGGCTAAAGAAGATTTGACGTAGTGTCACCCAAAATACGACATCAGGCTAATCAAGCACGACTTTTGTACACCAGGAGCTTGAAAAATTGTATAGAGTTTCACAAGATATACAAGAAAAATTCCTCAAACCACGAAAAATTAAGAAAAAATCGTGGATGATAAATGAGATTCTAGATATGATGGAAGAGAGGCGAAAGGTCAAAGATCAAGACAAGACATACAAAAGAATAAACAAAGAGATCAAGAAAGCAATCAGAATGGCTAAGGATATACAGCTGAGAGACCAATGTGTGAAAATACAGCTATTGCAACAGAAACACGATTCATTCAATATGCACAAAAAAGTTAAAAAAGCTGCAGGCTTATAAAGCATTCTAGAGTTAGATATTTGGCAGACGGCAGCTATTAGAAAAACTAAAGATGCTAAAGTTCTAGGGCCTGACAAATTTTATACAGAATTCCAGAAATTTATGGACGAATAAGTAATATACTTAAATAAACTGCGACTATATTTAACAAAATATATATAATTGGAATATTCCCCAAAGCTGGTTAAAGTCGACCTTCGTAAATACAGCAACAAATTAAATGCAAAAACATGCGAAGACTACAGAATAATTATCCTAATAAGCCACTTATTTAAACCTTTTTAAAAGTGATACATAACAGAATATATAAACAATGTGAAGAAGAAATGTCATGGACACAATTTGGATTACGTGATACCTTAGGCATCTGAGAAGCTCTATTCGCTATACAAGCGTTTATCCAGAGGAGCACGGATGTTAACTGTGGTGTATATATTTGTTTTATTGACTACAAAAAGGCATTTGATAGAGTAAAACATGGCAAGCTCATATCCATCTTGAAAGAAGCGGGCTTGGATGATAGAGACTTGCGAATTATATATAATTTATATTACAACCAAACTGCCAACATTAAAGTGAATAACCAATTGACAGAGACATCTCTATAAATAGAGAAGTGAGACAAGGATGCATTCTGTCTCCAATGCTATTTAGCATGTATTCGGAGAGTATCTACGAGCAAGCACTGGGACAACTACAGAAAGGCGTCTTAGTTAACGTACTGCATCTAAACAACATGAGATATTCTGACGACGCAGTAGTTTTTGCAGATAGCTTAGATGGTTTACAAGCAATAATGTCACGCATATCAGATATAAGTCGAGAATATAGGCTGGGATAGCAAGATCAGCGTTTGTGAAGATGAAGTCTCTTTTCAAAAGTTATGACGCTCTCTGAGGCTTCGAGGCCTTCGAGATGTGGTGTTACAGGCACATCTTACGAATTTTATGGGTGAATCGTTTGACTAATATTGAGGTGCTACGTAGAATTGGCAAGGAATACGAGATCACTAATATAATCAAAGAGCGCATATTAGCTTGGCCATGTTATGAGAAATGAATACCGATATGGCTTATTGCAACTCATTTTCCAGGGTAGTTCATTATAGAATGCTTGGTTTGTCAGCTGTAGAGGCATATACCTGGATAATGTTAGTTGTTATTAGGTAGGTATCAAGTTGAAGTAGGAGCATTCTTACCAATATAGGTACAAAGTTTTTAAGATGTCTGGAAGATTCATGATTTAAGATTATATCTACTCCATTTTCGTGTCTTCCGTTGAAGTTACTTGAATAATATATGTGATGATTGTTAATTTCACATTACACAGAGTTCGTCCATCTCATTTCGCTTATTCCCATGATCTATATTGATAGTCTATATATCTCCTTGATTGCAGTATGAGTCTTACCGGCATCGTGTAATGTTTTAACATTCCATGTACATATCGTGAGCATTTTCTTTGCACTAAATACTAGATTGGCAAAGATTTCGTCTGTTGGCGACTAAGAAGGCCTTGCCGTCTTGTGATTATCCTTCTCTACCGGATCTTGGTATCCAAATCTCATGATCAGTATCTTTTCTTTGAGTACTTATCCTATTGCTGATTATACTAAGGATACTCTCCAAGTCTTTAAGACAGTGTTTTCCGCTGCTTTTGCATCTGTCTGTCGTTGATCATTGTTAATAGGTTCCTCCGCCTTCACGATCGATTTACCAACCTCAGTACAAGAAAGTCTCCCTTCCACTTATCAGCTCATCCACACGAAGCCGTTGGCCAGTAAGTGGGGGGATTGCTTATTATTGTTTTAAAGTTTAAAGATGATTATTATCAGAGTATTATAAGACTAAAGATCAAAAAATTTGCAATATATATATTGGTATTTTTTTATTTTTTTTATGTTTGCATGCTGAGTTAGATTTTAGAAAAGTTTTTCGTATTTTAAATATAGACTTAAAACGATACCTTTAATATACCAATACATAATCCCTATAAGATTGATGTATTTTTTATAAAACAATGAAGTGTTTAAAGAAATATATTATATATACATTGAACATTTCTTAAGCTATATATTTTCCTATTATTTCTACCTATGTAGATTACTACCCTTATCAATAAATGCTCTCACATTATTTAAAACACGAAAAACGTTAAAACGATATAGTTAAGCTTGCATGGCTGTATATACTAATGCTTTATCTGCACGAAGGGGATTAAAAAGGTAAGGAAAATCCCCCACCGATAACAAGGAGCTTCAAGGCAGCCTGATACCCTTTGCAATCCACATGCTAATGCCAGAACAACCCCCACCCACCCCAAACAAACTATAACACTGCGCTTAATAAAATTGGTTCACGAGCGTATAAGCCGACTACCCCTTACCCCACTCAATAAAGTGATAAATTAATAGCTTGCCCGGTATACCCCTACTACCCCGCCTGAAAGACTCAGCTAATAAAAACCAAACAGCTTGTTTCGTAAAAGAATTATTATAGTCATTGTACGGTTAACCCCCAAAGTTATACCCTAAACGAAAACTTTTTTACCAAACAAGCCCATAATATTTATAACCACAAATATGCTTACCTACCCCTGCCCCAACAACAGCTAATTAAACCCCCTTGAAAAATTGGTGATAAAATGCTTACTTCCCCCACAAAACAACAGCTAATGTGCGGTCACAAAACAATGCTTACCCTGAAATAAATGATTTCCCCGAATTTAAAAACAGCTTATAAAATATGATCCCTTAAACTGGTGAATAAATGCTTATCCTTACCCTAATAAAAAGCGAAAGTCAAAAAATGCTTACAAATGGTCAAATTTGTGCGGTTAATAAATGCAATGATAAATTTACATGGTAATCACTAGCTTTGGAGCACAAAATAATCACTTAATCAAATTTAAACAACAACAAGATGGCAATTGCAGCTTTTTTGCTTACCACGGTTTGACCTAACACTTTTGATTATATATTCTAATTCCCTGTTTCGTTATAGCCATTATACCCCGTCCTGAAACAATAAATCCTTGCGTACCATCTCCTTGTGGTACCAACGCTATCTGTAGGGAAAGAAATGGAGTTGGTTCATGCCTTTGTCCTCCCGATTACCTTGGAAATCCGTATGAAGCTTGTAGACCCGAATGCGTCCAAAGTTCTGAATGCCCTTCCAATAAAGCCTGCGTCAGAAATAAATGTATAGACCCCTGTCCTGGTACTTGCGGTCAAAATGCCCTATGTCAAGTCATTAATCATAGCCCGAGTTGTAGATGCCTGGAGGAATACACTGGAGATCCATTTAACAACTGCATTCTACTCACAAGACAACGTAAGATATAATTTATTATTTTTTATGTATCAGTGCCCAATCAGTACAAATTATTTACATTGTTCATTACCCTAAAATTTAACTAATCCTTGATATTTAGCAACTGAAGTACCACAGCCCTGCCAACCTTCCCCCTGTGGACCCAACAGTCAATGTAAAGAAGTCAATGATCAATCGGTATGCTCTTGTTTACCAAATTATATCGGTTCTCCACCGGGATGTCGACCAGAATGTTTGGTGAGCTCAGAATGTCCAGCAAATCAAGCATGCATAAACCAAAAATGTAGTGACCCATGTCCTGGAACTTGCGGATTGAACACTAAATGCCAAGTTATTAACCACAGTCCAATATGTAGTTGCCAGACTAGTTATATAGGAGACCCCTTCACAAGATGCTATCCTCCTCCTCGTAAGTTTGTTTCGACAATAACTAATAATAAAAAGACTAATATATACATGTTTGTACTTATAGCTCCGGTAATTACTGAAATTACAACTGTTGTACATCCATGCAGTCCATCACCTTGTGGTCCAAACTCCCAATGTAGAGAAATCAATAACCTACCCTCGTGTTCCTGTCTACCAGAGTTTATAGGAGCTCCTCCAAACTGTAGACCAGAGTGTAGTATTGATTCAGAATGTTCCAGCAATTTGGCCTGTATAAGACGAAAATGCATTGATCCTTGCCCAGGTTCTTGTGGTCTTAACGCAGTTTGCAATGTTTTCAATCACCACGCAACATGTTCCTGCCCATCTGATATGACTGGAGATCCATTCAACAATTGTTTCCCTAAACCAATCGAAGTACCGGCAGTTACAGTCAATGATCCTTGTAATCCATCTCCTTGTGGAGCTAATGCACTATGTGAAGGAAACGGAAGATGCACTTGTATACAGGATTATCAAGGCGATCCTTATAGAGGTTGTAGACCCGAATGTGTTGTGAATACTGACTGTCCCAGAGAAAAATCATGTATTAGGAGAAAATGTGTAGACCCTTGTCCTGGAACTTGTGCTAGCACTGGAACTTGTCAAGTAATTAATCACATTCCAATGTGTAGTTGTCCACCAGGATTTACTGGAAATGCCTTTGTAGCTTGTCGTGCGGTTGAAAGTATGTATTATTGCCAAGATTCGGTTAAACCTCTGTTGAATCATTTATGTTGTTGAAATGTTGCAAAGTTACTGCATACTTAAAGCGTACACGATACAATGTAAAAGATTTAATTAAGATTATTAGCTAGAAAATTTCGATTAACAAGAAAATATTAATCAATTACAATTTTTAGTTCCACAAAACTTAAATCCGTGCAACCCCACGCCCTGTGGTCCTAATAGTCAATGTAGAGAAATAAATCAGCAAGCTGTATGCTCTTGTTTACCTGGATATTCAGGATCACCACCCATTTGTAGACCAGAATGTGTTTCAAGCTCAGAATGTAGTCTTTTAAATGCTTGTATTAATCAGAAATGTGTTGATCCATGTCCAGGAACGTGTGGTATAGGTGCCAAATGTCAAGTTATCAACCATAACCCGATATGTACTTGCGCAGGTGATTTTATTGGTGATCCGTTTACAAGGTGTTTCCCAAAACGTAAGGATGGTCTAATATGTATAAAGAATAGGAAGAATAATAGATCAGTCAGTTAAGTCTACTTTTTGGTTAGATATTGTTCAGTACAATAAAGTGGACAGAAATTTTCAATTGAGCCCTCGGCTGATTTATTGCTCTGCCTATCTTGTTAAAAATGTTTAACCACTGTAATACTTATATTTTCATCTTTTTTTCCAATTTTTTTAGCAATACAACCTGTTGTTGTTCCAACCAACCCGTGTCAACCGTCCCCGTGCGGACCTAACTCAGAATGTCGTGAAATAAACGATTCACCATCTTGCTCTTGTAAACCAGAATTTAGAGGTACTCCACCCAACTGCAGACCTGAATGTGTCAGCAGTAGCGAATGTCCAACGAATTTAGCCTGTATCAATCAAAAATGTAAGAATCCCTGTGAAGGTATCTGTGGTATCAATGCTGAGTGTCGTGTAGTCAGCCATATTCCCAACTGCGTCTGTTTGGCTGGTTTTGAAGGAGATCCATTTAATCAATGTGCTGAGATAAGGTTGCAAATTACAGAGGTTATAAATCCATGCAATCCGACACCTTGTGGACTCAACGCTGAATGCAGAGAGAGAAATGGAGCTGGAGCATGTGTCTGCTTGCCTGATTTTACTGGCAATCCTTACGAAGGTTGCAGACCAGAATGTCTTATAAACTCTGATTGTGCTTCAAATAGGGCTTGTCTTAAAAACAAATGTATCGACCCTTGTCCAGGTACTTGCGCCTCAAACGCCGTTTGCAATGTTATAAATCACCTTCCAACTTGTACTTGTAACCAAGGATACACAGGAGATCCTTTCAGATACTGCAGTTTAATTCCAGAACGTAAGAAATCTACCATTCTATATTTTAACAAAACGCTATACAAATATCTTATTTTAGCTACTATAGTTATACCATCCAACCCGTGCCAACCATCTCCTTGTGGACCAAATAGCCAATGTCGTGAAGTAAATAAACAAGCAGTATGTTCTTGCTTACCAGAATATTCTGGTAGTCCTCCGAATTGTAGACCAGAATGTACAATTAGTTCAGAATGTCCTCAAGATAAGGCTTGCTTGAATAAAAAATGTGTTGATCCTTGCCCTGGTACATGTGGTTTAAATTCAAATTGTAGAGTTATTAATCATAGTCCACTATGTAGTTGTAAGTCAGGATATACTGGAGATCCATTTACTAGATGTTTTATTGTTGAACGTAAGTCTTACTAAAACAGCTTATTAAAACAGACCATTAATTGATTTAAATTTTTTAGCTATCATAGAAATTATTCCTGAAATAATAAATCCCTGTGTTCCTTCACCTTGTGGTTTATACAGCGATTGTAGAGAAATAAATAATCTCCCATCATGCTCGTGTTCAAGTGGGTATATTGGTACCCCACCAAACTGTAGACCAGAATGCTTAATAAACTCAGAGTGTGCCAGTAACCTTGCTTGTATTAAAGAAAAGTGTAGAGATCCGTGCTCAGGATCATGTGGTGCTGGAGCTCTTTGCAGTGTTATTAATCATACTCCAATATGTACATGTCCTGAAGGCTACACAGGAGATCCATTCACTTATTGTCAAATAAAACCAACTAGTGTAGCAGTGATTGAAACTGATCCCTGCAATCCAACTCCTTGTGGTCCAAATGCTGAATGTAATGATGGTATATGCACTTGTATTACTGAATACCATGGAGATCCTTATACCGGTTGTAGACCTGAATGTACCTTAAGTCAAGATTGTCCTAGAGACAGAGCCTGCGTCAGAAATAAATGTGTAGATCCATGTATAGGAACGTGTGGAAGCAATGCTATTTGCTCAGTTGTAAATCATATTCCAACATGCTCATGTTCTGAGGGATATGAAGGCAACGCCTTTACGATATGTCAAATTATCAGAGGTAATAACATATTTTTATTTTCCCTTTCACAGGTAAATCAAGTTCATTTATTCGTTTTAGTCGAAGTTGCTAAGAATCCCTGCAATCCAACACCGTGTGGTCCAAATAGTCAATGTAGGGAGATTAATGGCCAATCGGTTTGTTCCTGTGTTCCCGGATTTTTAGGTACACCTCCATCTTGTAGACCGAATGTGTTACTAGCTCAGAATGTCTTCTAACACAGGCCTGTGTTAATCAGAAATGTATAAATCCCTGTCCAGGTACTTGTGGTATCAATGCTCTTTGCCAAGTAAGAAACCACAACCCAATTTGTAGTTGTCCAAATGAATACTCCGGTGATCCCTTTACTAGATGTACAATTATAGGTAATTAATTACCAATTATTACAATATTATAAGATTTAAATTTACTTTTTCTTCTACAGTCATTGAACCAGATGTTATTGAACAAATAAATCCTTGTCAGCCTTCACCTTGCGGTGCCAATGCTGAATGTAGGGTATCTGGAAATTCACCTTCTTGCTCTTGTCTACCAGAATTCATAGGAACTCCACCAAACTGTAGACCTGAATGTGTTAGCAGCTCTGAATGTTCTAATCACTTGGCATGTATAAACAGAAAATGCAAAGATCCCTGCGTAGGAGTATGTGGTCAAAACGCCGAATGTAGAGTTGTCAGTCACACACCCAATTGTATTTGTAGTCCTGGGTATTACGGAGATCCTTTCACCCTTTGCAACATTCAACAAGCTGTGGAAATTCTTAATCCTTGTGAACCTTCTCCATGTGGTTCTAACGCTGTTTGCAAAGAACGAAATGGAGCTGGATCTTGTGTATGTCTAGCAGATTATTTCGGAGATCCATACAAAGGATGTAGACCTGAGTGTTCCATCAACTCAGACTGTCCTTCCAATAGAGCATGTGTTAATAGCAAATGTAAGGATCCTTGTCCAGGAACATGTGCACCTAATGCTGAATGTCAAGTTATTAATCATCTACCGTCATGCAACTGTCCCTCCGAGTTTACAGGAGATCCATACCAATTCTGTCACGCAATACAAATAAGTAAGTCTTTTTAAATATTGTTCTGATCATAGCTAATCGTCTATGACTTTTAGTTGAAGTAGAAACTCCAAAGCAACCATGTCAACCTTCCCCTTGTGGTCCAAACAGTCAATGTCGTGAAGTCAATGGTCAAGCAGTATGTTCTTGCTTACCTAATTATATAGGAAGCCCACCAGGTTGTAGACCAGAATGTACAGTCAACTCAGAATGTACATCTAACAAAGCATGCCAGAATCAGAAATGTGTAGATCCCTGTCCTGGAACTTGTGGTCTCAACGCTAAATGTTTGGTCATTCACCACGCTCCAATTTGTAGTTGTCTGCCTGAATTCACAGGAGATCCATTTACAAGATGTTATTCGTTACCACGTAAGACTCTTTAATTAATTTTCCTTTAAAACCCAATTTAAAATCTCATATTTTAGCACCAGTTGCCGTCGTAGAACCTGAGATAATTAATCCATGTGTCCCTTCACCATGCGGACCCAATTCAGAATGTAAACAGATAGGATCTTCTCCAGCTTGTTCATGCTTACCAAACTTTATGGGTAGTCCACCCAACTGTAGACCAGAGTGTAGCGTAAATTCAGATTGTACCAGCAATTTTGCTTGCATAAACCAAAAATGTAAAGACCCTTGTCCTGGATCTTGTGGACAAGACGCTAGATGTAGTGTGTTTAGTCATACTCCAATTTGTAATTGTCCAGAAGGTTATACTGGTGATCCATTCAGTTATTGCAGAATTCTACCACCTACAAGTACGTACCAATATGCTTTCGTAAATAAACTTTTATTTTATACCAATTCCATTTTTTAGCTCCAGAACCAGTAATTGATCCTTGCAGTAACTCACCCTGTGGATCCAATGCTGAATGTCTCAACGGTGTATGCACTTGTTTGCCAGAATATCACGGTGATCCTTACAGAGGTTGCAGACCAGAATGTGTATTACACACAGATTGTCCAAGAGATAAGACTTGTATAAGAAATAAATGTAAAGACCCATGTCCTGGAATCTGCGGACAAAATGCTGAATGTACTGTTATTAACCATATCCCAACTTGTTCTTGCATTGCGGGATACACTGGAAGCGCCTTTATACAATGTAATCCCATACCAGGTATTTTATATAATTTGCATTATCCAGTGGTATCTTCATCAAAATATTTTTTAGTTGAATTGCCAAAGAATCCTTGTAATCCTACACCTTGTGGTCCAAACAGTCAATGTCGGGAAATAAACAGTCAAGCTGTCTGTTCTTGCGTACCAGGTTTTATCGGATCACCACCAACTTGCAGACCAGAGTGTGTTGCAAGCACAGAATGTTCTCTAAACGAAGCTTGTGTTAATCAGAAATGTATAGATCCATGTCCAGGAACTTGTGGAATAAACACTCAATGTCAAGTCGTAAACCATAACCCAATCTGCAGTTGTAGGGAAAGGTTTAGTGGAGATCCTTTCACCAGATGCTCGTTAATAAGTAAGCAGGTAATCAACTTGCTTAATTATATCCCATTAACATACGAATGTTTATTTTTAGTTGAAGAAACAGTTGTTGTTCCTACAAATCCGTGCCAGCCGTCTCCTTGTGGCGCAAATTCTGAATGTAGACCAGTCGGGGATTCTCCATCCTGTACTTGCTTGCCAGACTTTACAGGCTCTCCTCCAAACTGTAAACCAGAATGTATTAGTAACTCAGAGTGTGCTAATCATTTAGCATGTATAAATCAGAAATGTAAAGATCCTTGTGTTGGTGTTTGTGGTTCAAATGCCGAATGTAGAGCTATAAGTCATACTCCAAATTGTCTGTGCCCTGCTGGGTTTACAGGAGATCCTTTCAGCCAATGTTTGCCTCAGCCACGTAAGACATTACATTATTTTAAAATAATGAATTATTTTTAATACCATATAATTACTTTTAGAAGTCATACCTACTGAAATACTATCTCCATGTTCTCCTTCTCCATGTGGAGCCAATGCGGTTTGTAGACAACAAAATGGTGCTGGATCGTGTTCTTGCTTACCAGAATACATAGGCAATCCCTACGAAGGATGTAGACCAGAATGTACTCTAAATTCAGATTGTCCTTATGATAAAACATGTGTCAGAAATAAGTGCATCGATCCCTGTCCTGGTACTTGTGGCCAAAACAGCGACTGTCAAGTAGTTAATCATTTAGCATCTTGTACATGCCGAATTGGTTATACTGGTGATCCATTTAGATTCTGTCGAGTATTACCACCAGAGCGTAAGTTGAGCGTATTTCGTATTTCTTCTGCCATTTTATAATACTGTATAATAATTTTTAGCGATAGTAGAAGAACGTCCTCAAAATCCTTGTAGTCCTAGCCCTTGTGGTCCAAACAGTCAATGCAAAAATGTAAACAGCCAAGCCGTCTGTTCTTGCCTGCCCAATTATATAGGAAGTCCACCCGGTTGTAGGCCTGAATGTACAGCAAGTGCTGAATGTCCACAAAATAAAGCTTGCATCAATCAAAAATGCACAGATCCATGCGCAGGCAATTGTGGGTTAAATACAGATTGTAAAGTCATAAACCATAGTCCTATATGCATATGCAGAGGAGGTTACACTGGAGATCCATTTTCTAGGTGCTATCCTACACCTCGTAAGTACGACAAATCACAAGAAATAGCGTATAGTAAAATATCACACTTTATTTTAGCTCCTGTACCTGAACCAGTAATACCAGTAATTTCAAATCCATGTGTACCATCACCATGTGGGCCAAATAGCATTTGTAGAGACACCGGAAACTCGCCATCCTGCTCATGTTTACCAAACTATATAGGCACTCCACCAAACTGTAGGCCTGAATGCACGATTAATTCTGAGTGTGCCAGTAATTTAGCTTGCATTAGACAAAAATGTACTGATCCTTGCCCTGGATCTTGCGGAGCTGGTGCTGTATGTAGTGTCACAAATCATAATCCCATATGTTCATGTCCCGAGGGATTCACTGGCGATCCGTTTACCTACTGCCAACTAAAACCAAAGGAAGTGACACCAGTTATAACAGATCCATGCAATCCTAGCCCTTGCGGAGCAAATACACAGTGCAATGACGGAGTATGTTCCTGTTTACCTGAATATCAGGGTGATCCTTACGCTGGTTGCAGGCCTGAATGTGTATTAAACAACGATTGTCCAAGAAATAAGGCTTGTGTGCGAAACAAATGCATAGATCCATGTGTAGGTACTTGTGGCCAGAATGCTGAATGTGCTGTTTTAAATCATATTCCTGTATGTAGCTGTAGAGATGGTTTTACAGGAAGTGCTTTTATATTATGCAGAGAAATAGAACGTAAGTTCAGTATTAGTTGTCAGTCGACATTTTTTTTAAACAAACTTTTCCAATTAGGTCCACCACCTGCTAATCCATGTTCTCCAAGTCCATGTGGTCCAAACAGTCAATGTAGAGAAATTAACGGACAAGCAGTTTGTTCTTGTGTCCCAGGATTTATCGGTTCTCCTCCATCTTGTAGACCTGAATGTGTAACTAGTTCAGAATGTGCTCTAAATGAAGCGTGTCAAAACCAAAAATGTGCCAATCCATGTCTTGGTAGTTGTGGAATAGGAGCACTTTGTCAAGTTGTCAATCATAATCCCATTTGCAGTTGTCCACCCAAGTACAGCGGTGATCCATTTACACGATGTCTGTTGATACGTAAGATAAACTAAATATTGTTAAAGAAACATTCTTATTATTAAATATTTTTAGAAGAAGTAGTGGCGCCTCCAAGTCATCCGTGTTCTCCATCACCATGCGGACCTCATTCACAATGCAAGGAAATAGGCGACGCTCCAGCTTGCACCTGCTTAGAAGGTTTTCTCGGATCCCCTCCAAATTGCAAACCAGAGTGTATCAGCAATTCTGAATGTGCCAATCATTTGGCTTGTATCAACCAAAAATGTAAAGACCCATGTCCAGGCACTTGTGGTTCTAACGCAGAATGTAGAGTCGTCAGTCACACACCCAACTGTGTTTGTTTACCTGGATATCAAGGAGATCCTTTCAGTTATTGCAATATACCAATACCAGTTCTAAACGAGGTTTTATCACCTTGCAATCCTTCACCATGTGGAGCTAATGCAGAATGTAGAGAACAAAATGGAGCAGGATCTTGTGCATGTCTTAGAGATTACTTAGGCAACCCTTACGAAGGCTGTAGACCTGAGTGTACTATTAACTCAGATTGCCCATCCAACAAAGCATGTTCAAACAATAAATGCAAAGATCCCTGCCCGGGAACTTGTGGATCAAACGCTGTTTGCCAAGTCATAAGCCATGTTCCATCTTGTACATGTAATATCGGATACACTGGTGATCCTTTCAGATTCTGTTCTTTGATTCCTAATAAACGTAAGTTGCTTAATTTCTTTTTAAAAATACATTTTATTAAATATAATAATTTTAGCGGTTATTGAAGAGCCGTCAAATCCCTGCCAAAATTCGCCTTGTGGACCAAATAGCCAATGTCGTGAAGTAAACAAACAAGCAGTATGTTCTTGTTTACCAGAATATTCTGGTAGTCCTCCAAATTGTAGACCAGAATGTGTAGTTAGTACAGAATGTCCCCAAAATAGAGCTTGTATAAACCAAAAATGTGCTGACCCTTGTCCGGGTACTTGTGGAATAGGAGCTACATGCCAAACTATCAACCACAGTCCTATATGTTCTTGTAGAAATGGTAATACTGGTAATCCATTCACAAGATGTTATCCGCTACCACGTAAGTCAGCATATCGGTTAATAGTTATTTGTCTTTGTTAACCTTATTTTTTATTAGCTCCACCACCCGAAACAGTCGAAGTGAAAAACCCTTGTGTTCCTTCTCCATGTGGACCAAGCTCTCAATGCCAAGAACGTGCCGGTTCAGCAGTATGCTCTTGTCTGCCTGATTTTATCGGTAGTCCACCCAACTGTAGACCCGAATGTACCATTAACTCAGAATGTGCTAGCAACTTGGCGTGTATCAATCAAAAATGTAAAGATCCTTGTATAGGGGCCTGCGCCATTAACGGCTTGTGTAACGTCAATAATCATGTACCCACATGTACTTGTCCAGATGGTTATACAGGAGATCCGTTTAATAATTGTGTTCTAAAACCTGTCATACGTACGTATCTAGTTCCATAGGTATTTAGAGCAGGGACTTAATGATTTTCCCATGACACTCATTGATACAGGTTTCTACCAACCGCTTTTGATAAATTTGGTGATAAAAATATATAATACAGTACATTCAACCAAGTTACACCTCCAAACGATTAATAAAATTCGCAGAAGACCTTTCATTGTAGTAAAAAGACACGGTCAACTGCACTGGAGTCCTATCTCTTTTAAATTACTTACTTTTTTTAGAATATTTTTGCCTGTACTCTCAGATAGAATTAATTGGTATATAATGAGAAGCAAAAATTCAAATGGAATTATAAATAGTAGTATTTATTTGGCTAATAATGAATGGTTAACCTGTTGTACAATTATAATATTGTATTTACTGATTCTGATTATTTAAATTTATAAATCATCATCATCGTCACTAAATTCACTACCGCTATCAATATGTAAATCTATAATCACTGGATTAATTTCAGTAATTTTATTTTCCCGGATCCACCACTCTTCTATTCATTTTTCACATTTATTTACAATTTTAGCCCATATTTTTGGAGTTGGAGATTTAAAAGCTTCTTGCCACATTTCCCTAACTGCATCGTCACTGTATCCACTGCATCCAATGTGATTATCATAATACGTTTTACATATATCCCAGATGTGTTCGATTGGATTTAACGGGCAGTGATACGGAGGTAACCGTAGTACTTGATGTCCATAACTTGATAAAATTTGATCAAGTATATAAACTGTTGGTTTTTCATTACGTTTCGAAATTTTCAGAAAGTCTGACTTGAAGGCGTATTCCGAAAAATTGATATTATTTTTAACTAACCAATATTTTATGTTCGGTACATTCCACGGCTGTTTTGATTGTTTCTCCAATATCTCCGAATGGTAAGGTTCATTATCTAAAATTATAATTGATGGTTCACTCAGACTAGGTAACAGTTTCTCCTCAAGCCATTTAACAGACATATCTGCATTCATGTTTTTATGGTAATCAGCAGATTTTGATTTTGAAGAAAAAATCAAATCTGCGTTTTCTATGAAGCCTTATTTTCCCCCTGCATGAAGAATTATGTGTCTTTTGCCTTCGCTATCTATGTTTTCTAGTATATTCTCTCAAAAATTTAATTCTTTTGTGAACCTTACGACTCCTTTTGCATAAAATTAACCTATTCTTTTCTTTTTTGAATTTAAACACCAAATCTCTCAACACTTTCCAAAGACTAGTCCTCTTAATTTCATAAACATGACTTTTTCTTATTCTGGACAATAAAATATCTAAACTAACAAGTTGATTATTTTCACGCATTCGATACAAAATATTTCGAATTTCAAAATGTTCTCCATCAGGTAAATCAATGTTCGTAAAATGTTTACGAGTTGTTTTCTTGTCTTCGTGATACTCAGTCACAGTAACATCTTCTTGAGAATCTCTGACAGTCTTCATTACATTGATTTATACACAATAATTATTTTAAAGGTCCACCATTGTCTCTTTGCATGGTAAAGTATTTATGCACATTTGCAATGAATTCATCAATATCCAACTTAAGTCTAGGCATGATGGCCACTTGAAACTACACGTTTGAATTACAATATACTGAGTTAAGGAAAATATGACAGAAACTTTCTAACTGTTCTGCTTGAGAGGTAAAATATAATATAACCGCTTATAAAAATCCTAAACACATTAAGCAAATTAGCCTAATGATCATTAGGAATGCCGATTGTAATTTAATTGCGTGTGATAAAACAATTACTATTTAAATGGGAATAAGCCACAATTATAGGCTAAAGTTAGTTTATCGACGTTTTAATTTCCACTTCGGAAATCGTTCTTAAAATACAAACATTTGTAAATTAAACAAATTTTGTTTTTTTTTGTTACTTGGTGAAAAAATCTTGGTGAAATGATATTGCCAATATTGTTGAGTTACGTTACTGGGACGACTTTACTTGTAAGATAGTTCATTCGATTACATGAAATCAACTATAACTTGAGAATATCCATCAGAAAAAATCATAACATGTAATTCGTCTTTAAAAAGACTAACAAATGCCATGATGGCAGTAAAAATTCACCTGTTGATGATTCCATAGTAAATCGTAAGGGAAAACCAGAAAAAAACCCTTATATTACTATCACGACATGGTAAGTATTTGGTCGTGCATTTAGTTTACTTTCAATAAACACAAAATTCTGATTTTATGTTTGTTATTTAAAAAACATAAATGATATATCCTCTATATGTTACTAACTTACTAACACTGGTATTTTCCTTTTAATAACTTCCTCTGTTAATATGGGTAACCAGATCCCACTACATTCTGCCGAGGAATTTGTCTCAATTGGTCTCATTTAGCATAATTAGAACCACTTCTTTGATTTTTCTCTTTTTACCATCTGTTTCTTTTAGGACTATATTTGAATCATTCCATTGAACCGTATGTTCATTATCCCATGCGTGTTTACATAAGTATTTGAGATCTATCAAATTCTCTATTTCTAATATAAGATTTATGTTCACTTATTCTAACATTTAATGCCTTTGATGTTTCACCTAAATAAAACTGATCGCATTCACAAGGTATTTTATAAATACAATTCTTTGTTCCTTCTTGTTCATTGTTAGGTTTGGTTTTAGACAAAATAGATCTGAATGTATTTGTTGTTTTGAATGTTGTTGAAATGTTAAATATATATCATATCCTTTTAAGTTTTTCTGATAATCCTTTTATGTATGGTATTGTTATTTTCCTCGTATTATTCCCTATGTATGCTCTAGGACCTCGTTTTAAGTTGTTCTGTTCTATTCTGTCGATTGTTGAAAATTCCTTATTTATAAACGATAAGGGATAATCATTTTTTAATAAAACAGATGTTAACAAATGTTTTTCCTCCAAGAACGAATTTTCTTTAGAACAAGTAATTTTTGGCTCTATCTATTTTTCGAATAATCGAATCAACTATCTTACAAGTAAAGTCGTCCCAGGAACGCACTCAACAATATTGGCAATATCACTTTAAAGGCATCTACTTTTAAATGTATAATGTATGTTTGAATTGTTAACATAAATGAGTTAGATAAAATTAAATTATTAGAAGAATTTTTTCACCAAGTAACAAAAAAAACAAAATTTGTTTATTTTACAAATGTTTGTATTTTTACCTTTAATTGTGGCTTATTCCCATTTAAATAGTAATTACTTTAAAATGTCACAAGAAAATAGCTTCAGAACAATGTTGGATAAAACGTTTAGAAATGGTTGGTTACATAAACAAATTAAAATATTTCTCACAATTATTTTATTTTTAGTACAAGTATTTTCATTTGAAAATATAAAGTTAAAATGATTTACCGAAACCCTTACTTTAACCCGTAATCCCAGACGTCTCAAAAACATCTCTATCAGGCATATGGTCAAAGTAACCACCACTATTTAAATTGACAGAATATTCTAGTTTATTCCGAAGTATTTTTTAACAAAAATTAAAAGTGATATTTTAGTACTTTGTATTGTTCTGAAGCTAGTTATAAATAGTACTTTGTGTAGTAAAATTTAGCAAAGTGTACGTTATAGAGAACATCAGTGCAGTTTACCGTGTCTTTTAATACAACAAAAGGTTTTCTGTAAATGTCGTTAATCGTGTAGAGGTTTTACTAAAAAAGCATAGAAAATCCTGATACCTGTATCAAGGAGTGTCACGAAAAAGGCTTTTTATTGGTCAATTTCCTTGCTCTAATTACTACATTTGAGATATAGATATTACTACATCATTAAAAAATCTTGTAGAGCCCTCAGTTGAACAAGATCCTTGCAATCCCAGTCCATGTGGAGCAAATGCTGAATGCAGTAACGGTATTTGTAGTTGTATCACCGATTACCAAGGAGATCCCTATAGGGGATGTAGACCTGAATGTATAATAAATACCGATTGTCCAAGGAATAAAGCTTGCATAAGACAGAAGTGTAAAGACCCATGTCCTGGCACATGTGGACAAAATGCTGAATGTTCCATTTTCAACCATATTCCAGTATGCTCTTGTATTCCTGGATACACAGGAAATGCTTTTGTATTATGTAATCCAGTAAGAGAAGGTAAATTGCTCAATGTGTGTTATAGATAATTGCTAATTCGGTTGCATTTTAGTCCGACCCAATGTCAATCCATGCCAACCCTCACCTTGTGGTCCAAATAGCGAATGCAGAGAAATCAATCAACAAGCAGTGTGTTCTTGCATAGTTGGTTACAAAGGATCTCCACCAACTTGCAGACCAGAATGTATATCTAGTTCAGAATGTCCACTCAACGAAGCATGTGTTAATCAGAAATGTATAGACCCTTGCCCTGGCACTTGTGGTTTAAATGCAAATTGTCAAACTGTCAATCATAATCCTATTTGTAGTTGTCCTCCTCGACACACTGGAGATCCATTTACAAGGTGTCTCCTCTTTGGTAAGAAATAGTACTAATACTTGCTGGAATTAATGTTATCTACTTGCAATTTTAGTTGTAGAGCCTGTTGAAGTTCCGACTAATCCGTGCCAACCATCTCCCTGCGGCCTAAACGCTGAATGTAGAGAAATTAATGGTTCCCCATCTTGTTCCTGCTTGCCGGAATATCTAGGGGTACCACCAAACTGTAGACCGGAATGTACTAATAACATGGAATGTGCCAGCAACTTAGCATGTATAAACAAGAAATGTGTCAACCCTTGCTCCGGAATGTGTGGACAGAATGCAGAGTGCCGCGTTGTCAGTCATACGCCGATATGTGTTTGTGCTCAAGGCTATACAGGAGACGCTTTTATATCTTGTCACATCGATCAAGTAGAAACTGCAATAGAAAATATTTCACCATGTGTACCATCACCTTGTGGACCAAACGCACAATGTATACCTAGAAATCGAGTAGGTTCTTGTACATGCATGCCCGAATACATAGGAAACGCTTATGAAGGCTGCAGACCAGAATGTTCCTTGAACACGGATTGTCCCCCAAATAAAGCATGTGTTAAAAACAAATGTGTGGATCCATGTCCAGGAACATGTGGACAAAATTCCAACTGCCAAGTATTACAACACTTGCCCTCTTGTACTTGCATACCTGGCTACACAGGAGATCCATTTAGGTTCTGCAGTATACAGATTGTGGAAAGTAAGTGTTGAAATTTATTTAGATTTAAAGAGAAATTTTAACCGTCCAAATTGTTTTAGTTCCTAAACCACAAATGCCATGCCAACCGTCGCCATGTGGCCCCAATAGTCAATGTCGTGAGGTAAATGAACAATCAGTATGTTCTTGCTTACCCAACTATATAGGAACTCCTCCAGGATGTAGACCTGAATGTACAATAAGCTCCGAATGTCCACAGGATAAAGCTTGTATAAACCAAAAGTGCAGCGATCCTTGCCCTGGCTCTTGTGGCTTAAATACAAAATGTCAAGTTGTTAATCACAGTCCTATCTGTACTTGCATCCAAGGATATAGTGGGGATCCATTTGCTAGATGCCTACCAATACCAAGTAAATATCCACCTATTGACGTGTTTAATTTCCTTTTATTTTGGCCAGTGACTCATTCAAACTTTATTTTAGCTCCTCCTATAAATGTTCCACTAGAACCAGTACGCGATCCATGTGTTCCGACGCCTTGTGGATCAAATTCAATATGTAGAAATTTGGGTAATTTGCCGTCTTGCTCTTGTATAGTTGGGTATATGGGAAGTCCTCCAAATTGTAGACCTGAATGTTCCAATAACTTCGAATGTGCTAGCAATTTAGCTTGTATCAGAGAAAAATGTGTGGACCCATGCCCAGGATCTTGTGGAGCTTTAGCTCAATGCTCGGTGATTAACCACACTCCTACATGTTCTTGTCCTGATGGATATACTGGAGATCCTTTCTCATACTGTCAACTAAAGCCACCTACAGGTATATTCTATAATAATATAAAGTAAAAGTATTTGATTTCCAAAATTATTTTAGTGGAACCAATTGAGAAAGACCCATGCAATCCATCACCGTGTGGAGTAAATGCTGACTGTAGTGCTGGTGTATGTACTTGTAGACCCGAATACCAAGGTGATCCTTATAGGGAATGCCGACCTGAATGTGTGCTAAACAACGATTGTCCAAGAGATAAGGCTTGTTCTCGAAATAAATGCATTGACCCATGTGTTGGTACTTGTGGGCAAAACGCAGAATGTGCTGTTATTAATCACATACCTTCATGCACATGTCTAAGAGGATATAGAGGAAATGCTTTCATAAACTGTAACCAAATTCCACCTAAAATACCCAAAAACCCTTGCCAACCTTCACCATGTGGTCCAAATAGTCAGTGCAGGGAAATCAACGGACAAGCAGTATGTTCTTGTGTTTTAGGATATCTGGGAAGTCCACCAAATTGCAGACCCGAATGCGCGGTTTCCACAGAATGCCCTTTAAATCAAGCTTGTATTAACCAAAAGTGTGTAGATCCTTGTCCTGGTACTTGTGGTCTTAACTCTGAATGTCATGTCGTTAATCACAACCCGATATGTAGCTGCATCAGAGGTTATTCAGGAGATCCATTTACAAGATGCTTAGTAATTCGTAAGTTCTACAGCAGTTTTATTTGCTACTTTTCAACCCCACCTTGATAATAAATCTCTAAAACGTATAAAATTTTAGCTCCGGAAAAACCAGTGCAGTTAGATCCTTGCAATCCATCACCATGTGGTCCAAATTCACAATGCAAACCTATAGATGACTCCCCGTCTTGCTCATGTTTGCCAGAATTCACAGGTTCTCCTCCAAATTGTCGCCCAGAATGTGTCAGTAACTCGGAATGTGCCAGCCATTTGGCTTGTATCAACCAGAAATGCCAAAATCCATGTTCCAACGGAGTTTGCGGTCAAAATGCAGAATGCAGAGTGGTTAGTCATACCCCTAATTGCATCTGTATTAACAATTATGTGGGAAATCCATTTGTTGTTTGTTCTCCTCCACAAAGTAAGTTCACGAAGGTATTCGGTGTATGGAAATATTGATTTATAATGTTTTAGAACCACCAGTAAGGGAAATAGTGACTCCATGCTCCCCGTCCCCTTGTGGATCAAATGCGCAATGTAGAGAACAAAATTCTGCAGGATCTTGTGTATGCTTACCTGATTTTATAGGCAACCCTTATGAAGGTTGTAGACCAGAATGTACACTAAATTCTGATTGTCCCTCTAATAAAGCATGTATCAACAATAAATGTAAAGATCCATGTCCAGGAACCTGTGGGCAGAATGCCAACTGTCAAGTTATTAACCACCTACCATCTTGTACTTGTATAACAGGTTATACTGGAGATCCATTCAGATACTGTACTGTAGCTGCTGGTAAGATCTTAATAATTAAACAAGGTTTTATTCCAAATAATAATAATTTATCTTTTAGCTGTTATCGAGGAACCTTCTAATCCTTGTCAACCTTCTCCTTGTGGAGCTAACAGCCAATGTCGGGAAGTCAATAAACAAGCTGTATGTTCTTGTTTGCCAAATTATATTGGAACTCCTCCAGGCTGCAGACCAGAGTGTACAGTCAGCTCTGAATGTGCTCAGAATAAAGCATGCATAAATCAAAAATGTGGCGATCCCTGTCCCGGAACTTGTGGTCTGAATACTTTGTGTAACGTTATTAATCATAGTCCTATTTGTAGCTGTAAGGTACAGTTTACAGGAGATCCGTTCTCAAGATGCTATCCCATTCCTCGTAAGTTTTTACTATACATACTTGGACTTTCATCACTAAATCAATGTTTTTTTTTAGCTCAACCAGTTATAACTATTGAAAAACCAACACCAAACCCGTGTGTTCCTTCCCCATGTGGTCCAAACAGTCAGTGTAGAGAGATAGGATCTACCCCATCTTGCTCTTGTTTGCCTAATTACATCGGTTCACCTCCAAACTGTAGGCCAGAGTGTGCCATTAACTCTGAATGTTCTAGCAACCTAGCTTGTATAAATCAAAAATGCGCGGATCCTTGTCCAGGTTCTTGTGGATCGTTGGCTCAATGTAATGTTTTTAATCATATCCCAACGTGTACTTGTCCCGAAGGATATTCAGGAGATCCGTTTAGTTATTGTCAACTTAAACCAGTGATTAGTAAGTATTCGTTAATAATAAAATAATTCGGAATTTACTAAGAAGATTCATTTGTAGCAGAACCTGTTCAACTTGATAAATGTAACCCATCACCGTGTGGACCAAACGCTGAATGTAATGAAGGAATATGTACATGTTTACCAGAATATCAAGGTGATCCTTACATAGAATGTCGACCAGAATGTGTACTAAATAATGATTGTCCTAAAAACAAGGCTTGTGTAAGAAATAAATGTAAAGATCCATGTCCTGGTACTTGTGGACAAAACGCAGAATGCTCTGTAGTCAACCACGTCGCTATTTGCTCCTGTATACCTGGATACCAAGGCAATGCTTTCGTACTTTGCTCCAAGTCCATAGGTACTGCTTATATACAATATAAATCTATATTTTCTTACTACTGTTTTTGTTATAGTACCTCAAAAGGTTAACCCATGCAACCCAACACCTTGCGGACCAAACAGTCAATGTAGAGAAATTAATGAACAAGCAGTTTGTTCGTGTGTTCCAGGATTCATAGGCTCTCCTCCAACTTGTAGGCCTGAATGTGTGTCTAGTTCAGAATGTGCCCTTAACAGAGCTTGTGTTAACCAAAAATGTATCGATCCTTGTCCGGGAACTTGTGGAATAAACGCTCTGTGTCAAGTGGTAAACCACAATCCAATATGTAGCTGCCAGCCAGGTCAAAGCGGAGATCCATTTACACGATGTGTGACAATCAGTAATTGTTTAAATAATACGATATATCTTGATTGAAATGAAACCAATAACAGTAATCTTTTAATGTATTGTTAATGCTTTCAAAGCCTTAACCTATAGTTTCAATCAAGAAATATAAACGACACAGTAATAACTAGTCTTTCTTACAGAAGTGGAACCAGTTGAACAAGTTTTCCCATGTCAACCATCCCCTTGTGGACCTAATTCCCAATGTCGTGATATCAGTGGTTCGCCATCTTGTTCTTGTTTACCAGAATTTACCGGTACTCCACCCAACTGTCGCCCCGAATGCGTCAGTAACTCAGAATGTGCGTCCAATTTAGCCTGTATCAATCAAAAATGTAAAGACCCATGCCCTGGTATTTGCGGAGAAAACGCAGAGTGTAGAACTGTTAGTCATACCCCACAGTGCGTATGCGCCACAGGATATGTAGGCAACCCATTTTTCAGTTGTGATTTACCACCATGTAAGTTTATTAGCGCATTTATTAGCTGTTGTTTCCCACCAAAAAAATACTAATTCCTCTCTCCCCAAATGCTTGATTTACTAATCTCGGGATTCGTGATTGCAAACAGGATTTGATAGGAGTGATAAGGTTTTTGAGTGTAGGTTAGAGGACGAAATTAAAGGAAATAACAAAATATGCGGTCTACAATAAAGAATACTTGTTATTTCATATGATTTCTGGTAAAAAAATTTAATAGAGTGAAAAATTTCATGTCTGGCGTTTTAGCAAAAAATTTTGGAGCGTAAAAATGAAAAACATCTTTCTGTACACTTATCATAGGTATATACTGATCTTTTCAAAAGTATTACGTTATTAATTACTTTAATCAATATATTTTAACTAATATACAGCTCACAAGTATAAACGTTTACCAAAGATAACTTTGAAAAATATGTGTAAAATAAGATGGATTTGAAACTTTCTAAATTTTATGTTATCAATTATCACCTTGGCTGCTGCGGTTATATACTTAATATACTAGTTCTTGGGTCACATGCCCCCAGAGATAATAATAAATAAAAGTTATCAGCAAATAATATTTTACCAGCTTTATCTGTGATACACTGAAGTAATTTTAGAACAACTGCTTCAGAGTGCGCTACATTAACTGGTTGTTGTTCATTTTTCCCTGTAGAAATACTTACGTTGAAAGTATAGCCTTCGGGAAAACAGAGTTTGTATAGTTTCACTCCATATATATGAGTCTTGTTGGGATGTACTGACGGAAATGGAGTTTCCCTCTGAAAGGCTTCATAGATTCATCTATAAAGAGAATGTTGCCAGTCTCTATTATTCTTTGAAAATTTTGAATCATTTTCGTAACTAAATTTTCTATTTTGCATATTCTATTAGTAGTATCAGATTTCTCATTATTTTCAAAATGAAGAAGTTTCAATAAAAGCAAAAAGCGGTCTCTAGTTAAAACTTTTGCGATAAATTTATTATAAAATATATCATCTTTAGACCAATATAAATTTAAATGTGGTGAGTGAGACCCATTACGATTATTACCCCTAGACTCTTATTTCAGTTTTGTTTGTGGCTGTCCATAAATTTAATCTGGATTCTCTTGAGTGTCGCATACTTAGTTAAAAATCCACTAGGAAACTAAGTTCCTGTAGCTGGCTGTATACCATATGTCACAAAAAATTTATTTCAAATCCTTTATAAAAGGTATATAATAAAATGCCCAAACGGGCTATCACAAATATATTACAAAACGTTTTCGGATTGTTAAATCCATCATCAGTGTAGACGAGGTATACATGCTTTAAGCCACCAAAATATATGGGTGAAAACCCTTTAAATGATATAAATTTACAGTTGTTTTACAATATATGTTGTTACCGTTGGAATTGGTAACATGGCGACGTATTATCCTACATAGGTAAAATGGTCCTGAGACGAAGTGTCTTCGAGGACCTGTTGATAACAACTTATGGAAGAAAGAAGAAAATCAAAGAATAACAAAAGAATGTACAAAAATATTCAGAGACAAATAGGAACCGAAATACAAAAGGCCAAAGAAAATTCGTTAAAAACACATTGTGAAGAGAAAGAGTTGTTGGGTCAAAAACACGATACATTTAATATGCATAAAAAGGTAAAAGCAAGATCTGTATTCCAAAAGATGGTTAAGCTATTTAAATGCCACAATTTATCAGTACCCATAAAAATCAGTTATAGACAAAAAGTACCCATAAAATTAGTTAAACAAAGATACAGGAACGCAATTATATCCGCAAAAACCTATCCAAGTGCCGACATATGATCAGATCACAACCCAGTAGTGACCAAAAGTAGGCTCAAAATGAAAATAATAAAACGAAGAACAACAAATGCAAAAATCGATACAAGTACATTAAGGAACCCCCTCATATGGCAACGCCTGGAAGATGAAATCAACAACGGATTAATGAATGTTAAAGAACAAATTGTGTAAATACTAAGATGGAGAAAAAAACTATTAATAAAGACAGAAAGTCAAAAAGAAATTATAATACCAACCATATATAAAAAGAAGCAATGGATGACGGAAGAAATTTTAGATTTAATGGAAGAAAAACGTCAATATAAGAACAAAGATAATCAGATATACAAACAAGTGGATAAACAAATAAAATACAGAATTAAGAAAGCAAAAGAACAATGGTTAAAAGAACGATGCGCAGAAATAGAAGAATACCAGAAAATATATGATTGTTTTAACACACATAAAAAAATTAAAGAATTAAATTACAACAATAGAATAAGAAAACCGGGAATACTAAACAATGTAAATAGGAAACTTGTGTTGAATACTAACGACAAATTAAAGAGATGGACAGAATACATCAATGAACTGTTCAAAGACAATATAACAGAGCAGATGGAGATAGAAGTAGAAGAGGATGGCAGAAGTGGAGGAAAAATGGCATTAAAAAACAGCAAAAATGGTAAAGCATTAGGTCCACACCAAATCCTTATAAAAATCTTAAAATGCATGAATGATGAAACCTTAGACATTATAGTAGACTTATTTAACTCAGTATACAAAACAGGACACATACCGGAACAATGGTTACTCTCCACCTTTTGTGCTATCCCTAAAAATACAAACGCTAAATATTGCAGTGAATATAGAACAATATCACGAATTCTTGAAAATAATACATGGTCGTATAAATAAAAAAACTGGAAGAAGGAATAGATGACAGTTAGTTTGGGTTCAAAAAAGGACTAGGAACCAGAGAAGCGTTATTTGCTTTTAATGTGTTAGCTCAAAGATGCATGGATATGAATGTTGATGTGAATGTTTGTTACGTTGATTTTGAAAAAGCATTTGACAAAGTAAGACATGAAAAATTAGTCCAAATTCTAAAGACAAAAAACATAGACCATAGGGACTTACGAATAATAAAAAACCTCTACTGGAATTAAAGAGCACAAATCGTAATAGATAACGAACCCAGTCCAGAAATGCAAATCAGGAAAGGAGTTAGGCAGGGATGTATTATGTCCCCATTACTATTTCTTGTATAGAGTGAAGCCATTTTTGAAGAAGCATTACTATCTCAAAGTGAAGGAATAATAATTAACGGAAGATCTATTAACAATATAAGATACGCAGATGACACCGTGATTATGGCAAGCTCTGCTGAACAACTCCAATTACTGCTAAACAAAACAAACAAGTTACATTCACAAGGAATCTACGTTCCTGTAGTTGGCTGTATACCATGTATTAAAAATTTAATCATAAATCCTTTGTAATAGGTATATATTTAAGGCCCAAACGGGCTAAGTTAAAAAGACAAAACGTTTTCGGAAACCATGTTCTATCATCAGTGTCTAGGAGTACATGAATGTAGCCACCAAGATTAAATATATGGGTAAAAACCCGGTAACAGATGTTTAATTACATTTAGTTTTAAAAATATGTTATAATGATTTAAGATTATAGAGTTACCGATGGATTAGGTAACATGGCGACATATGACTCCACGTTGAAGTTGCTAGTCCTGAGACGGTATGTCTTCGAGGACTGTATGAGTGCAACTACAACTACAAACAACACAGTTGTTAATTACTTCCAATTACTCCATTGTGTCCTTTAACCCAGAGTAAAGTAACTGATTTGTTTGTGAATTTTAGATCATGTAATAATTTTTTGATATCAAGTATAATGGAGTTTTGAAAACTATCTAATGGATGGCTACTAATAGTTTGTAATACTGCCTGAGAATCTGATACTATTACGATGTTCTCACAATAATTAGTGAAACACCAAGATAGTGCTTTCTGTATAGCAGCAGCCTCGGCTGTAAAAACAGAACAGCATTCAGGAATTCGATACTTCTCAACATAATTGATGTTTGAAACAAAAAAAAAAGTGAAACCAGTACTTTCAACAGTTTTTGATCCATCTGTATAAATTAGTGTTAAATATTCCCCTAATTTGCTTAGTGTGGATTTGAATATCAGATTAGTTAAAATTGGCAAGTCTGAATAAGAGGGCATTATAATGGTTGGTTTGTCTATCAGAAGTTCAAAGTCTTATACGTAAAAAGGAAATTTTGGTAGCTGTAATATATAAGATTGAAATGAATTCGTATCGATAAAAGATTCTGCAAGAAGAGGAGAATTTTTTATTCTCCAATAAAGATTTGTTAAATTTTCTGTCAAAAGTAAACCTATTTTGTGAACCATAGTTGTATTAAACGATCTGTATGTTATTAGACGTTTGTTGGCTAACATTTGCCTACGTATGTGTAAAGGTGGTTCCTGGGCTTCTGCTAGAACTGCTTGGTTCTTGCAATTTATATTCGATTATTTTTAAAAAGGTTTCCGGCAATCTAAACGTCAAAACATACGCATTTTTAATTAAAATTGTAATTAATTTCCATTAAAAATAGTAGATAACATAACAAGTGCTATTAGAAAATAGTTTTAGAACCATCTTAAATTAAAAGCCATAACAACTATCACAACTGTTTGTGAACATCTTTGTTTTAATTTAGACACCGGAAATGAACAGACATGAATAATTTTGCTCTATAAAATTTTTCCAAAAGTTTGTGACAAATTCCGTAACATAACTCAATTTGCCACAACCTCTAGGCGTTCTGCTATTGGAAACAGGTGAATTGTTCATTAACCCTGGTCAGCTCCAATCCCAAATTGATAAAAAACTTTGCAATTCCCTTTCAGCTCGGCCCATAGAGAAACCCTCCCCATGCCAACCCTCCCCTTGCGGAGCAAACGCCGAGTGTAGGGAACAAAACGGCGCAGGAGCTTGTATCTGCTTACCCGACTATATTGGCAACCCTTACGAAGGCTGTAGACCCGAATGCGTTCTTAGCTCTGACTGTCCCTCGAATAGAGCTTGTATGAGAAATAAATGCCAAGACCCTTGCCCTGGAACTTGTGGCCAAAACGCCAATTGCCAAGTTGTGAATCATTTGCCTTCTTGTACGTGCATTCCTGGATATTCTGGGGATCCATTCAACTATTGTACTGTAATAATAGAGAGTAAGTTCTTCCGGATTTTAGAAATATTTTTCCATAATTTTATGCCAGTCTTTTTAAAAATTTAATGAAATATAAAGATATAAAAGCCTGCCTACGTTTTGAAATTATTTTAATAAGAATTTAAACTGACGATTATACTTATTTGCAATTTTATTTAAAAAAATATAACGTTTTAAACAAACTTAAAACATATGAATATTGTCAGCTTTTTGAGGTTATAATGTATAGTTGATAGATTTCAACAATTTAAGTTAAAATTGGTTCGTAATAGGTATTATGAAACTGAAGTTTGCACTTAAAGTGGATTTTTATTTGATTTAATGTTCACTTTAAACTGATTATCCCTTTCAAACCTGACTTTTTCTCTGCAGAAAAAAAAATATTTTTTTATTGAATCTTCTTAATGGAAGTTTGTAATAGGCTAAAATCATATTTTTAACATTTTTGTTTTACAAACAGGTAGTCGTTTGACAGAATGTCCATTGCAATGGACATTGGGACTATAATAAGAATTTAAGAAAATAATCACATACGATACTTTTAATAAATATAGTATATTTGTATTAAGCAAATGTTAAGTTAATTTAAATGAAAATATTTGAAACAATTTTTGTTCTTTACAAAATATAAATGTACGTTACATTTTTCACAAAAAACATGCGTTTTCCCTTTACACCCAACAATTTTGCGTCTGGATGCTTCCTTTTTGTTGTCATACTCGGATAAGTGATCTATTTTATCCATCCTTATTTCCTTTAATGGTCTAATTTCCACTCTGTGTCTTTTTGGAATGTGGGGAAAATTCTCATTTGACATTTTGGGATGACCAAAGCTTCTTTTTATTGATTTCCCCACTTTAATTAGCTCCATAGCAATTTGTATTTTAAAATCTAACAAATCCATTTAATCTTTGGAAGATAAACTAAACTGCTTACCTTTATATTCTAGCCAACTATTGCCACAAGCAAAATCAAAGGCATGGAAGATTAAACGTGGTCTCTGAATCGTTATTTTTTTCTTTTGCTTCTTATCCCATCTTTCTACTAAGTCTTCTTTTCTTTTTTTCAACAAAATTCGAACCTACAAGCACAGCCTTATTATCTGAATATTTATCTACAATATTTTTTACCTACATTAGATAATTCATGAGAAGAGAATTCATCGCCCATAGACAAAAGAGGAATGTCCGCATTAATTTCTACATTAGCGACATCTTCTAAAAAGGACCTTATAATTATCTGTATTAAAACCTAAAACAAAAATATCAGTATAGACCTGCAGTCCATTGCAATGGACATAATATTTTAATGTTTATATCGACAAAAAAACAACAATAAATCATCTATGTCGAATGTGAAGAAACATGATATTTACTTACGCTTTCCGAAATTAGTGAATTAGCCATGTCACAATATCTTTAAAAGTACTTAACATCTATTCATCAGATCATTAATAATAGATTTGTGATGACTATCGGCTTATAAGCTTGATCGATTATGTCACCAAAGCATTTACTAAGATCATTCATAGAAGAATCTATGATAAACGTGAGTCAAATATTGATAGACCTCAGTTTGGTTTTCGGAAAGCACTTGGAACTAGAAAAGCAGTTTTCACTCTCCAGGTGCTTATACAGCAGTGTAGGGACGTTGATAATTCTGATATTCTGCTAAAGGCAGGTATTGACGACAAAGACATTCGAAGCGAGGGCCAGGCAGGAAAAGACACTCGTGGCTCCAAAACCTGCGGAAGTGGTTTTGGGCTCACATCGGTCGAACTATTCAGAAGCGCCGCAAACAAGATCAGAATTGTCATGTTAATATTCAACGTTCGCAACGGACAGAGCACATGAAGCAGTAATTAATTCATCATCATCATCATGCAACCTCTTCTGTCCACTGCTGGACATAGATCTCTCCCATTTTTCGCCACTCTTTACGGTTCTGTGCTTCGTGTTGCCATTTCTTGGATATTCGTCTAATGTCGTCCATCCAGCGTGTTGTTGTAGTAGTAATTGAGATATGCAAAATAAAAAATATGTAGTTTTCAGCAGTTTATAGGAGTTTAATTTTGTTGTAGGGCTTACGTAAATGTATGTCCATTGCAATGGACACCGGATCTGAAAGGGTTTTGATAATTATAAATAATATAGTTATTTGATAATCTGAAAGTGTTATTAAACAGACGATTTTATATTGTTGTTGATTGGATGGGGTGACTTCAGACAAATGGAGCTTTGCTTCAAAAATTATGTCACGACTATATTTAAGAGACGTGCAATATGATTGATTTTCAATATTTTTAAAAAATATATAAACAGTACGAAATTAAAACATTTAGAATTAATTTTTTCTCAGAAATGAAGGATGCTAAAATTCTTTATATTTCATTAAAATATTCCAATGATATTTTTATACCAATAAAAAAGAATCTGTATTTTATAACCCACCACTATTACTCATACCAATATTATTTCTTAAAACTAGAAATAACTCCAACAGAAGAAATCAATCCTTGCCAGCCATCACCTTGCGGCCCTAACAGTCAATGCAAAGAAGTAAATAAACAAGCAGTGTGTTCTTGCCTACCAAATTACATCGGTAGTCCACCAGGTTGTAGGCCGGAATGTACTGTTAGCTCGGAATGTGTTCAAAACAGAGCTTGTATTAACCAAAAATGCGCAGATCCTTGTCCAGGTGCTTGTGGATTGAATGCTAAATGCAATGTTATCAATCACAGCCCTATTTGTAGTTGTGAGTCTAGATATATAGGAGATCCGTTTACAAGATGCTACCCTATGCCTCGTAAGTTACCCCTATGTCTGATTTTTGACCACCAAATTACTAATAAATTTATTTTAGTACCTGAACCTGAAGTAATAATACCAGAAATCAAACAACCTTGCGTGCCAAACCCATGTGGTCCTAACTCTGAATGTCGACCCAATGGACAAGATTATATATGCCGATGCTTGCCAAATTACTTCGGTCAAGCACCTAATTGCAGGCCTGAATGCGTAGTAAACTCTGATTGTTCACCTAATGTAGCTTGTATGAATCAAAGATGCGTAGATCCTTGTCCAGGTTTGTGTGGAATACAAGCTTTTTGTAGTGTGAGAAACCATATTCCTTCTTGCGTTTGTCCTAAGAGATATACCGGAGACCCATTCACTAGTTGTATTCAACAACCAATAATTGAGCCGGAAGAGAATGATCCATGCAATCCTAACCCTTGTGGTCCCAATGCTAGATGTAACAACGGTGAATGTTCATGCTTAGCAGAATTTAACGGAGATCCATATGCAGGATGTAGACCTGAATGTGTGCTACATACAGATTGTCCTAGGGACAAAACTTGTATAAGAAATAAATGCCAAGATCCTTGCCCGGGAACTTGTGGACAAAATGCTGAATGCACTGTTATCAATCATATTCCTACGTGTTCTTGCGTTCGAGAATTTACAGGAAATGCTTTCGTAATGTGCAATCCAATTCCAGGTAAACTAATATCAATATTAAATAAATATATTTCTAGTTCACAAAAAACATTTTCTTTTTAGTTGAATTACCTAAAAATCCTTGCAACCCATCTCCATGTGGACCAAATAGTCAATGTCGGGAAATAAACCGACAGGCTGTATGTTCTTGTGTACCAGGTTTTATAGGAACACCACCAGCTTGTAGACCAGAGTGTGTTTCCAGTTCTGAATGTTTGCTAAATCAAGCTTGCGTTAACCAGAAATGCATAGATCCATGTCCTGGTACCTGTGGAATTAACGCAGTATGCCAAGTAGTGAATCACAATCCTATATGTAGCTGTCAAGCCAGATTCTCAGGAGATCCATTCGTTAGATGTACACCGATAAGTAAGAAACGTCCTTTAAAATCAAATCCCACAGTTAGCTAAACAAAAGTTCGTGTTTTAGGAGAAGAAGCTGTAGTACCAACTAACCCGTGCCAACCGTCACCTTGTGGTCCAAATTCTCAATGCAGAGCTATTGGAGATTCTCCATCATGTTCTTGTTTACAAGAATTTATCGGCACTCCACCTAACTGTAGACCAGAATGCATTAGTAATTCAGAATGTTCATCCAATTTAGCCTGCATCAATCAAAAATGTAAAGATCCATGTCCAGGCACTTGTGGTTCTAACGCTGAATGTAGAGTTGTTAGTCACTCACCTAATTGTGTATGTTTATCAGGCTTCTTTGGTGACCCATTCTTCTCGTGCCAACAAATCGGTATGTATAACAACAGATACTTTCTAAAACCTTTTTCTACAGACTTGTTTGAATTTACTATTCACGAAAAAACATAATTTTAGTTCAACCCGTTCCTGTAGAAAGACCAACTCCTTGCCTTCCATCTCCATGTGGCGCTAACGCCGAATGCACTGAAAGAAATGGTGTAGGAGCTTGCAAATGTCTACCTGACTACTTAGGAGATCCTTATGGAGGATGCAGACCAGAGTGTAGTATTAATTCAGATTGTCCTTCAAATAAAGCTTGTGTAAACAATAGATGTAAAGATCCGTGTCCTGGAGTCTGTGGTCTCAATGCTGTATGTCAAGCAGTAAACCATCTAGCTTCTTGTACTTGCCTAACTGGCTACCAGGGAGATCCGTACAAATATTGCAACCTCGTACAAAATCGTAAGAAATATTTATTTAATCTTCAAAACTTCAACCTAATAATTTTATCATTTTAGTCATAGAAACTCCAACAAATCCTTGCCAACCGTCACCTTGTGGACCAAATAGTCAATGCCGTGAAATAAATGAACAGGCCGTTTGTTCTTGTTTGCCAAGTTATATAGGTACTCCACCAGGTTGCAGACCCGAATGTACTGTAAGCTCCGAATGTAGTCACGACAAAGCATGCGTCAATCAGAAATGTGTGGATCCATGTCCAGGTACTTGTGGACTAAACGCCAATTGTCAAGTGAATAGACACAGCCCGATATGCAGCTGTCAGAACGGATTCACGGGAGATCCATTTACTAGGTGTTATCATATATTTACACCACCTCCCGACCGTATTTTACCTATCAATCCATGTGTACCTTCACCTTGTGGAGCTAACAGTCAATGTAGAGATATCGGAGGTGTACCTTCCTGCTCTTGCTTACCTGAATATATCGGCAGCCCTCCATCATGCAGGCCAGAATGTACTATTAATTCTGAATGTTCTACTGATCTTGCTTGTATCAATCAAAAATGCAAAGATCCTTGTCCAGGTTCTTGTGGATTCCAAGCTATATGTAATGTTATAAATCATGTATCTACTTGTACTTGCATCGAAGGGTATACTGGTGATCCATTTACCAGTTGTCAGCCAAAACCGCTTGTGGTCGACGTAACAGAAGATCCATGCAATCCTAGCCCTTGTGGTGCTAATGCAGAATGTAATAATGGTATTTGCACGTGTGCCCTTGAGTATCATGGAGACCCGTACTCAGGATGTAGACCAGAATGTTTGCTAAATAACGATTGTCCAAGAAACAAAGCATGCGTCAGGAATAAATGCATAGATCCTTGCCCAGGAACATGTGGACAAAATGCTGAATGTGCTACCATCAATCACATACCCAGTTGTACGTGTTTACAAGGATTTGAAGGCAATGCTTTTATCCTTTGTAATCCTATATCAGGTATGATTAGAAAAACTTTAAAATATATCCAGTTTCCTATTGAAAATATCGTTTTTTTAGTTCAAATACCCAAGAGCCCATGTAATCCATCACCATGCGGACCAAATAGTCAATGTAGAGAAATTAATGAGCAAGCAGTATGTTCATGTGTCCCAGGTTTCATAGGATCACCTCCAACTTGTAGGCCAGAATGTGTATCGAGTTCCGAATGTGCTTTAAATAGGGCTTGTGTAAATCAAAAATGTATCGATCCATGCCCAGGAACTTGCGGAATTAACGCCCTGTGTCAAGTTGTCAATCATAATCCAATTTGTAGTTGTCAACCCGGACAAAGCGGAGATCCGTTTACAAGATGTCTACCAATAAGTAATTATTTTTACATTCTTTACCAAATTTTAGTTGTTTCTAAAAAATTATACTTTTATAATAAATTTTAGGAGAAGAACCAAATATTCCTAAACAACCTTGCCAACCGTCTCCATGCGGACCGAACTCTCAATGCCGTGAAGTTGGAGACGCTCCTTCTTGTTCTTGTCTACCTGAATTCGTCGGTACTCCACCTAATTGTAGGCCTGAATGTGTGAGCAATTCAGAATGTGCTAGTAACTTGGCATGCATCAATCAAAAATGCAAAGACCCATGCCCAGGATCGTGTGGACAAAACGCCGAATGTAGAGTTGTTAGCCACACACCAAATTGTGTATGCCTGTCCAATTTCCAAGGAAATCCATTCATACAATGTCTACCGAAAATAGAAATAGATATTATTGAAAAACCTACACCATGTATACCTTCACCTTGTGGAATTAATGCTGAATGTCGAGAACAAAATGGCGCAGGAGCTTGCATCTGTATTAGAGATTACATAGGTAATCCTTACGAAGGATGCAGGCCAGAATGTACACTGAACTCAGATTGTCCATCCAACAAGGCTTGTATAAACAATAAATGTAAAGATCCTTGCCCAGGAACATGTGGCTTAAATGCTGAATGCCAAGTTATCAACCACTTACCAGCTTGCGTTTGTATCACTGGATTTACAGGAGACGCATTTAAAAATTGCAGAGTTGTTGAACCAAGTAAGAAATTGCTCATATCATAATAAAATAATTTCTCACCTCATAATAATGTTTCAGTCATAGAAGAAAAACCAAATCCATGTCAACCTAGTCCTTGTGGTCTAAATAGCCAATGTCGTGAAGTTAACAGTCAAGCTGTTTGCTCTTGCTTACCAGAATACACAGGAAGCCCACCAAATTGTAGACCAGAATGTACAGTGAGCTCAGAATGTGCTCACAACAAAGCATGTTTAAATCAGAAATGTATAGACCCCTGTCCTGGAACATGTGGATTAAACACTAAGTGCGATGTTATTAATCACAGTCCTATTTGTAGTTGCCAAAACGGTCACACTGGTGACCCATTCACCAGATGCTACCCTATACCACGTAAGAATATTTCTAAATTAATTATCCTCCATGTATTTTTAACACTTCTTTTCGTTGTAGCTCCTATACCAGATATAATTGAAGTGAAAAATCCTTGCGTACCTTCCCCATGTGGACCAAACAGTCAATGCCGTGATGTAGGAGGAGCACCATCTTGCTCTTGTCTTCCAGATTACGTTGGACTTCCTCCAAATTGCCTTCCAGAATGTTCAGTACACTCAGACTGTGCCAGCAACTTGGCCTGTATTAGATTGAAATGTCGAGATCCATGTCTTGGAGCTTGTGGATCTTCCGCTGTTTGTAATGTTGTTAATCACATTCCAGTATGTCTTTGTCCAGAGGGTTACACCGGAGATCCATTTAGTTATTGTCAAATTAAACCAGCTATTATTGAACCTGTAGAAAAAGATGATTGTAACCCATCGCCTTGTGGGCCTAATGCGGAATGTAATAACGGAATATGTACTTGCTTACCAGAATATCACGGTGATCCTTATAGGGAATGTAGGCCTGAATGCGTTCTAAATACTGATTGCGCAAGACATTTATCTTGTATAAATAAAAAATGCAAAGATCCTTGTCCTGGTACATGTGGACAGAATGCTGAATGTTCCGTATATAATCACATTCCCACTTGTACATGCAATGAAGGTTTTCGAGGCAACGCTTTTGTACTGTGTCAACCTATACCAGGTATTATAGTCGACAATATTAATTTAGATAGTTTATTAAATCTGTTAATTATTTTAGATGAAATTCCGAAACATCCATGCAATCCAACACCTTGTGGTCCAAATAGTCAGTGTAGAGAAATAAACGGTCAAGCTGTCTGTTCTTGCGTCCCTGGTTTTATCGGATCCCCACCAACTTGTAGACCTGAGTGCGTAACGAGCACAGAATGTTCTTTGAACGAAGCTTGTGTAAATCAAAAATGTATAGATCCATGTCCAGGAACTTGTGGCCTTAACACAAATTGCCAAGTAGTAAATCACAATCCTATTTGTGTTTGTTTGCCAAGATATAGCGGAGATCCATTCACTAGATGTTTACCAATCAGAGAAGAGCCCGAAGAAACACCAAATCCCTGTCTACCGTCACCGTGTGGTCCAAACGCACAATGTAGGGAAATAAATGGTTCGCCTTCATGTTCTTGCTTACCAGAGTTTGTTGGTTCACCTCCCAATTGCAAACCAGAATGTATCAGCAATTCTGAATGTGCCAATCACTTGGCTTGTATAAACCAAAAATGTAAAGACCCTTGTCCAGGAATATGTGGCCAAAATGCCGAATGTAGAGTAGTCAGTCATACACCTAACTGTGTATGTATTCAAGGCTATGTCGGTGATCCCTTCGGACGATGCGAACCACCCCAACATAACAAGATTGAACTAGTACATCCATGTATGCCATCGCCTTGCGGTGCCAATGCCGTTTGCAAAGAACTAAACAACGCAGGATCATGCACCTGTTTACCAGAATATATAGGAAATCCGTACGAAGGTTGTAGACCGGAATGTGTATTAAATTCTGATTGCCCATATAATAGAGCTTGCGTTAGGCAAAAATGCGTCGATCCTTGTCCCGGATCATGCGGACAAAACTCGCAATGTCAAGTAGTCAATCATTTACCTTCTTGTACTTGCTTACAAGGATATACTGGAGATCCGTTTGTTTTCTGTAATGTTATTAGAGACCGTAAGTATTTCAGTCTTAAGACACTTGATACTTGTTATACTTTAACCCCTCAATTATGTTATATGAATTATCTCGATTTGTGTAATTAACTTTAACGGTATTACTATTAGTAGACCTATTGGTCACAACATCTTTGTTTGAGTTTCTTCATTATGTTTTCATTTTATTTTAATTCCACAATGCAATGTCTAGGTTGTCATAGTTGAAGCTTGTGTTTGAACACTTTTAAAAAATGAAGAAAAACATTCACAATTCAAAACAAGCCATTAAAAAAGGTTCGTAATATTTGGGAATTATTTACTTGATAATAATTTTCTAGGACCCTTTTCTTATTTTCAGAAATCTGAATTTTTGAAATGTATGTAGATCTTCTCCTAACATCATCTTTATTTCTTGTTCCTGTTACTCGTTTACTTTTTACGGTTATGGCATAGGCCTTATTCCAACCCACCTGTTTGTAGCTGTTTTTGTAAAAGAATCTATCACTTTCCTTCTTAAATCAAATCATTTTAATATTTGACAATTTTATTTGTTCGCCGTGTATATTTTTCTGGCAGTTGAAGCCGATGTCGGGCAGTTGAAGCCGATCATTTGATCGGGAACGTATATCGGTCCTGCTTTTTAGCTCCTTTCATAGCTTTTTCGATAATAATGTGGACTACATCACCTTCGTTGTGTGTATGACCTCGGATGAGGTACTTGTGTGTTATGGAATTTTAATTGAAACTTTTTAGTTGCGTAGTAATACTTTGCAAGAACAAATCTGTCATCAACAAATCACCCATAAAAAAATAATAAAAAAATGTTACAAATGCTTGAAATTAACAAAAACGCAAAAAAACACGAACAAATGAAAACATTACAATGGTTGATTAAAGAAAGATACAGTCTTGTTGTTCATTTTAATAGTCAGTGTTGCCACTTCTAGCTCTAAAACAAGCTGTAATCCTATGGGGAATGCTTCTAATCAAATCGTCAACTTGTTCTTGAGGTAAGATTGCCCATTCTTCTAGAGCGGCTTGAATGAGCTGATCCGCATTACCTGAATTATCCCTTCTATCTCTAATCCTTCTTTTAATGAGGTACCACACATGCGTAATGGGACTAATATCAGGTGAGCAGGCAGGCCAGCTCAGAACAGTGACATCTTCAGTTTCCAGAAAGTCTGTGGCAACTCTGCTGGTAGGTGGAGGGGCATTATCGTGCATGAAAATGAAAATATTTCCCACTGCACCTCGCCACAGCCTAACTATGGGTTCTATTCTATAAAACATTACAGTTCCTTCTTTATATTTTGGAACCGATCTGGCAGTTTGCAGTGTAGCTTCTCTGCCTCTACCTCTTAAAATCCGAATTCGATGGTCATCTGATCTGAGGCCAATTCTGGTTTCATTCATTTGTCCACTTCTGGTGTTCCAGACAACAATTCAGCCGATCATTTTTGTTCTGTCTGGATAACTCGGGAACACTCAACTCATCATCATCATCATCATTTAACCCGGATCTATCCACTGCTAAATATAGCCCTTAGTCTTTTCCATATATTTCTGTTTTGTGCTGTTTGCATCCAATTTTTGTCGATCCGTTTTATGTCATCAGACCATCCTGTTGGTGGACGACCTCTACTTCGATGTGCTTCTTGTCTCGGTCTCCACTGTATTATTCGCTGTGTCCATCTGTTATCCGACATTCTAGCTATGTGCCCCGCCCAGTTCCACTTAAGGTAATTCTTTCTATAGCATCTGTCACTCCTGTTCTCCGTCTTATTTCCTTGTTCGTGTGTGTTGTACTTGTAAATGATCATTCATGCCATATCCTGCTCTAAAATCTGCTTGCTCTCTTGGCTCATAGAAATCCAACTTACTTCCTAGCCTGTTGGTAATAACTCTTGTAAATAGCTTATATACTTGTGACAACAAGCTAATGGGGCGGTAGTTTCTAAGGTCGCTGATATCTCCCTTCTTATGAAGTAAGATTATTTCCGCGTTGTTCCACTGCGTCGGTGCTATCGCTTCGCACAGACATTTATTGAACAGTTTAGCAAGTGTCAGTAAGAGCTTATTTCCTCCTAGTTTTAGGCTTTCGGTCATTACCCTGTCTTTACCTGGGGATTTATTGTTCTTCATCATCCGAAGAGTATTTTTAATTTTGTCAACAGTTATGTTCGGCAATAATTCTGAGCCTTGATTCTCTATCTTTGGTAAAGGGTGTCTTTCATCGGATCCACTTGTTTTATAGAGTTGTCTTGAGAAGTCTTCCACTGTTGTCACTATTTCTTCCTTATCAGTCACAATGTCGTCTTGTTTATTTCTTAACTTATGTATGTTCTTTTTTCCTGTGGACATGTCTCTTAGAACTTTTAGACTTATATTTTTTCTATCACCCTTGTCACCTCTCTCATGTTATGTTGACGTATGTCTTTTTGGATTTCTTTGTTTATTGTTTTACTGAGTTGACTAAATTCTGCGTAGTTTGTGTTATACCTGTCCTTCAGCCTCCTTCTTTCTTCGATCAGATTTTTAGTGTTGAGACTTATTTTCTCATGTTTTTACTTCATTTTAGGACAGCACAACTTCTCCGCTTCTTTAAGGGCTTTTTCGATACTTTCGTTTAAAACTTCGACCTGTGTTTCGTCATTAATTTGTTGAAGGTTATGGTCAATGATGTCACGAAAGTAGTCTGTATTTTCGGGCGGAGTCCATTTACGATTGTCTGATTTTATCATTTTTGTTCGTTCATTCTTTAAATTGAACAGAATTTTTGCTCAAATCAATCTGTGATCGCTTCCAATTGTAAATCTGTTTAAAACAGATACATCTTGTACAATTTCTTTTTTATTAGCAATGATAAAATCTATTTCGTTCTTTGTGAAACCGTCTGGACTTTTCCACGTCAACTTTCGTTGGGGCTTTTTTTGAAATAATGAGTTCATAGAAATCTACAAGCATGGCCCTCTTTCATTTCTTTCTCCATAGCCGTAGTTTCCTAGTGCGGTTTCACTTTGATCTTCTTTATTTCCCAGCTTAGCATTAAAATCTCCTGTTATCAGAGTATAAACGTCTTAGTACTTTTCAGGGCTGTTCTAATATCTTCAAAGAACATTTCAATCTCTTCATCTGTGTGGCTTGTCGTTGGTGAATACACTTGTATCAATTTTAATTTATATCTCGAATTCAACTTTAAGATTAGAGTGATAACTCTCGAGCTTACACTTTATATTATTAATATGTTTGGTACATGTCGTTTTTGTACGATAAATCCAACCCCACCACTTCATGAATTGTCTTCTCCCTTGAAATGGAATAAGTGGCCACATTTAAGAGTATATTGTTTTTCTTCTCTTCTTCTGACTTCGCTGAGACCCATTACGTCCCACTTTATTGATTTTAGCTCTTCCTACATTTCTAACAATTTAGACTCTGATGACATTGTTCTCACATTATATGAAGCAATATGCATAGGTTGTCGTCTATGGTAGCCTAGTTTAACCCGGGGATTTGTAGCACCCTCTACTCCGTCTTTCTTCCGACCGCTACCTTGGTCGGAGGTAGTGGAGTCGCCGGGCACTGAGGGCCGTTCGTTTCCTGAATTTTGCATACATGAATAGAGGAGGGGGGTTTAGCCGTTTCATTACCGCGCGAGCCAGTGCGTATTGGTAGTGGGTTAGGATGTGTAATGGATATGTATGAATTTGATGGAAATTTTTGGTTAGGACATGACTTCTCCTTGGTAGGGGACCGTAGAGAAAGTCAAGGCTTGCTTAAGGCAGGGTGGCGTCCCTTTAGCAGATCTGTCTTCTACCAGGGTCGTAGAAGAGTATCTACTTGCTAGCTTAGGCTGACTGCAAAGGTTAAAACACCTTTGGGCGGTGGGGTCGCCACATCCCTACGCCTAATACTCAACTGCCTCCTGCTAAATAAATTTTGGGAACGAAGTCTCTTTCGTACTATTTCAACTGAAATGTCAATACATGTAGTCTGCAAAAGTTGCCTTTGGAGCTCCGGATGAGAAAAGGTTGGATTTCTTCTAGATAGTTGACCTAAAAATCGGTCTTGTCGATCACTAGTTACTCTACGACAACTTTCTCTAGGCCTGTTCTTGAGTGTACCCAATTCTAAAAATCTTGCATATGTTTTTGAAACAACGCTCTGCGAGACATGTAGCTTAGCAGAAATTTGCCTTTTTGACATTCCCTGCTCAACAAGAGCAACAATTCTTCCCCTCTGCACATCTGACAAACCTACGTAAGGCATATTATCTTTTTTGAACATAAACTTAACTGTACTCTGACATCTCGGTTTTACAACTTGACACAAATAATAAAAATTTTCAATGTGTACTTGATCAAATTTTATCAATTATGAATCCTATTTCCAAAAAAACCTTTATCTCTTATCTTCAAAAAAGTTGTCATGCATTTCTTATTATTAGTAAGAAATACTGGGTGATTCCATATAAGTTTTTTTGTGTGTATATATTAGAGTCAGATATATTTATTCTCATTACTCAACACTTACTTTTCCATTTCCTTAAAAACATATCTAAAGTTTAAACAGTGTCCGAGATCATTTACACTAACAGTTGAAAAGTGTAACAATATACAGGGTGTTCAATTAAAAAAAAAAGATAAGTTTGTTCCACCCGCCAATATGGGTGGCACTATATATTTGAAAATATTTTTAGAGTATGGTCCTATACAAACCCCTTCCCATATCAGTTGGCCCAACGTTAGATTGATAAGAAGATTTAATGCATCTAACAACATTTTTGAATTTCCTGATTATAGAAAAAATTTTATAACGTAATGAAAACTATTGATTAAACAAAATAATAATAAATTTAAAAAAAAAACGCATAGAATATGTGGTATTAACAAAAAAATGTGAAAGTTTAACACTGATACACATCCCCCAAAGCATAGTTTTTCCCAAGTTCTGACAAAATTCTCAAGTAAATGAATCCCATATATTTTGCAATTATTTTTCCTTATTCCAACACCTCTTTCAACTATAATATATGATCTTTTAGCTGTACCTGTGGAGATAAACCGTTGTCAACCATCTCCTTGTGGACCGAACAGTCAATGCAAAGAAGTAAATAACCAGGCTGTTTGCTCTTGTTTACCAAATTACATCGGTAGCCCACCAGGTTGTAGACCGGAATGTACTGTTAGCTCGGAATGTGCTCAAAACAGAGCTTGTATTAATCAAAAATGCGTAGACCCATGTCCAGGCACTTGCGGTCAAAATACCAAATGTGATGTGATTAATCATAGTCCTATTTGCCGATGTGCCAACGGTCACACCGGTGATCCATTTACTAGATGCTACCCAATAGAACGTAAGATGATAAATTCTTTTATGTGAATCGAAAAAATAACACTATTCTATTTTAGCTCTAATTGAAAAACCAGTATTCGTTCACCCGTGCGATCCATCGCCATGTGGTTCCCATGCTATTTGTCAAGACGTCAATGGTATACCATCTTGCTCTTGTATATCAGGTTACTTAGGTGCTCCACCCAACTGTAGGCCTGAATGTACGATTAATTCAGAATGTCCCAGTAATTTTGCTTGCATAAGAGAAAAGTGTAGGGATCCATGTCCAGGATCTTGTGGAATAGATGCAAAATGTAACGTATATAACCATATACCAACATGCACTTGCCTTGAAAGTTTCACAGGAGATCCGTTTACCAGATGTAACCAAATTATAGTGATACCAGATGTTAAACGCGATCCATGCAACCCATCTCCTTGTGGTTCTAATACTCTTTGTAACGACGGTATATGTACTTGTATAGCCGAATACTATGGTGATCCTTACCAAGGATGCAGACCTGAATGTTTATTAAACAATGATTGTCCCAAAAACAAAGCTTGCATCAGAAACAAATGTGCTGACCCTTGCCCTGGAACATGCGGCCAAAATGCTCAATGTAGTGTTATCAATCATATACCATCATGTTTCTGCGGAGAAGGACTTACTGGCAATGCTTTCTTCTCATGTTCACCAATACCAGGTAAATAATAAATATGGTTACTACTTCTTTAACCAATTAACTGAGGTGTTTACTTTTTTTAACGACAATGTTTCTAAAATTTTAGCTTCGGTACCAAAGAACCCTTGCAATCCAACACCTTGTGGTCCAAATAGTCAATGTAGGGAAATAAACGGTCAAGCTGTCTGTTCTTGCGTTCCTGGTTTTATCGGATCCCCACCAACTTGTAGACCTGAGTGCGTATCAAGTACAGAATGTTCCCTGAACGAAGCTTGTGTAAATCAAAAATGTATAGATCCATGTCCAGGAACTTGTGGAATCAACACAAATTGCCAAGTAGTAAATCACAATCCTATTTGTGTTTGTCTGCCAAGATATAGCGGAGATCCATTCACTAGATGTTTACCAATCAGAGAAGAGCCCGAAGAAACACCAAATCCTTGTTCACCATCACCGTGTGGTCCAAACAGTCAATGTAGAGAAATTAACGGTTCGCCTTCTTGCTCATGTTTACCAGAATTTAGAGGAACACCACCGAACTGTAGACCTGAATGTGTTATCAATACCGACTGTCCAACTAATTTAGCTTGTGTGAACCAAAAATGTAAAGATCCTTGCCCAGGTGTATGTGGAACTAATGCCGAATGTAGAGTAATATCTCATTCGCCCAACTGCGTCTGTCTACTAGGATTCTCAGGTAATGCCTTCGTACAATGTTCTGTTTTCACACCTCAACCAGCTGAACAAATAAAACCATGTATACCATCACCATGTGGTGCAAATGCTATCTGCAAAGAAAGAAACAATGCTGGTTCCTGCGTCTGTCTTCCGGACTACCTAGGAAATCCTTATGAAGGATGTCGACCTGAGTGTTCCGTTAATTCCGACTGTCCATTCAATAAAGCTTGTATTAACAACAAATGTAAGGATCCTTGTCCAGGAACTTGCGGACAAAATGCTGACTGCCAAGTCATTAAACACCTACCATCTTGTACTTGCATAACAGGGTACACTGGAGATCCGTTTAGATACTGCACCGTTCTTAAAATCGTTGACCGTAAGTTGTAATTTCAATATTTTTTCGTTAAAACTCCTAAACCCATATATTTTACAGCTGTCCCCGAAAAACCATGCCAACCTTCTCCTTGCGGAGCCAACAGTCAATGTCGTGAAGTTAATGGCCAAGCCGTTTGCTCTTGCTTGCCAGAATATGTCGGTACTCCACCCGGTTGTAGACCAGAATGTACTGTTAGTACAGAATGTGTTCATAACAAAGCTTGCGTCAATCAAAAATGCGTTGATCCATGCCCAGGTACTTGCGGTATTAATGCTCAATGTAAAGTTGTCAACCACAACCCTATTTGTACTTGTACAAATGGTAACACCGGTGATCCATTCACAAGATGCTATGCTATTACAGGTATAATAATATTATAAAATACTTGAAATATCCAACTGGTTGGTTTTATATTTTTTTCTTCTAATTTATTGTTAACTGAAATTTTAGCTCCTAAACCAGATATCACAGAACCTAAAAACCCATGTATACCATCCCCATGTGGACCAAATAGCCAATGTAGAGATTTAGGAGGCCATTCGATGTGTCTTTGTTTGCCAGAATATTTCGGAAGTCCTCCAAATTGTAAACCTGAGTGTGTTGTAAATTCAGAATGTCCAAGTGATAGAGCCTGCATTAATCAAAGATGCAAAGATCCTTGTCCAGGTTCCTGTGGTATTAGTGCCACTTGTGAAGTTCGAAATCATAATGCTATTTGTGTATGTCCTTCGGGATACAGTGGAGACGCTTTTACATCATGTTTCCCTGTTCCTCCACCAAAACGTAAGTATCAATAACATAAAGTAGGATCTTAACCATTGTTTTCTGAAAACTGAGTTGATCTATTTTTTAGCTGAGCCCAAGAACCCTTGCTATCCTAACCCTTGTGGTCCTAATGCACAATGCACAGACGGTATATGTAAATGTTACCCAGAATACCAAGGTGACCCATACGTAGAATGTAGGCCAGAATGTCTGGTGAACCAAGATTGCCCACGTGATAAAGCTTGTATTAACAAAAAATGTAAAGATCCTTGCCCCGGAACTTGCGGACAAAACGCTGAATGTACAGTATTTAACCATTATCCCTCTTGTACTTGTCTGAATGGTTATTCTGGGAATCCATTCTTTATATGTGATATAATTGTGGGTAAGTATATTATAAAAAATCTGCATAAGAACCATTTATTAAGACGTAATTGTTTGTGTAGAACCTCCACCAGAAAATCCATGCTACCCAACACCTTGCGGACCGAATAGTCAATGTAGAGAAGCTTATGGTCAAGCAATCTGCTCATGTGTGCCTGGTTATTTGGGCACACCGCCATCTTGTAGACCAGAATGTGTCAGTAGCTCTGATTGCCCGCTCAACAGAGCCTGTCTCAACCAAAAATGCGTAGACCCTTGCCCTGGTACTTGCGGTATTAATGCCCTCTGTCAAGTTGTTAGTCACAATGCCATCTGTACTTGCCCTGAACGTTATAGCGGAGATCCGTTTGTAAGATGTCAAGCGGTAGTCGGTAGGTTGAATTATTAAAAAACCAATTTACAACTGTCAAAATTGATCCTCGTGCTGTCACAATTAATAAACCTTTGCATTTTTTTACTATTGTCAATAAATTTACGCAAAATTTGGTAAGTACCACTCACGCGGACTACAAACGATATTAATAGTGACAGTAAAGGGATAAACTTTTGTTCGTTGGTCGAACCCTGATATTTCTTACATAAATATTTATTGATGTAGTAACAGAAAAAATATCCACAACTGAAGTCATTAATCCGTGCACGCGTACTTTCTGCGGCTTATACGCTCAATGTGAACCAACCCCAACGGGTACCGCCAAATGCAGTTGCCTCCCCGATTACCTTGGTGCCCCGCCTAATTGTCGACCGGAATGCCAAAGCAACAGCGACTGTGCAAAGAATTTGGCATGTATCAATCTTAAATGCAAAGACCCTTGTCCTGGCTTATGTGGATTGAATGCTAGGTGTTTAGTAGTCAACAATATACCTAGCTGTTTGTGTACAGACGGTTATACGGGAGATCCGTTTACAATGTGCCGTATAAAATGTAAGATATTGTTTTATTAGTAACTAATATATATGTTTACGAGCTTACTAACCTAAAATATGTATTAACAATAGTATAATAAGTATCTTATCTTAACATATCTTAGAAATATTACAACTGACTTATGCCTTAAGATTGTAAATATAGTAACAAACGATATAGATACGATGTATATAGCAACATTTGTTTTGCGATTAGTTTATTATTATAAGCAATACTGTCTTTGGTTAAAAATTGTAGCAGTAGTGTAATTCGACAATATATTTCCAGCACCAAAACCAACACCGCTACCTGAACCAGACAACCCATGCGTACCCACACCATGTGGACCGAACGCTCAATGCCGTCTTTCAGCTGGCTATGGAGTATGCGAATGCCTGCCTGAGTACCACGGAAATCCTTACGAGGGCTGTAGACCAGAATGTATTTCAAATTCAGAGTGTCCGATGAACAGGGCATGTATCGGGAACAAATGCAGAGATCCGTGTCCAGGAACCTGCGGTATTGCTGCTGAATGCGACACCGTCAATCATGTTCCAATTTGTTCTTGTCCCAATGAGTACACTGGGGACGCATTTAGACAGTGCACACGAGTTCCAGGTAAGATTCACAATTATATATTAGTTTTCTGTTTTTTCAGCTTCTCTCTATGTACTATAAAAGGCGGCCATAGATATTCTTTTTACCATTCCTTTTCCCATTCCCATTTTTTCAATGCCTTCATAAATGTTTTGATTTTTTTTTTATCGATTTTTTTTCCGATCTCTCTGTTTTCTGTGCCTCTCTTTGTTTTAATTCTTCTTGCGTCTTAAGCTCTTTTGTCAATAATTATTTTCTTTTAACAACTTCTTTATGGACTCTTTGTATAAGTTCTCTATGATTATTTCGTTTCTTATTCTGGCATGTTTTGACTTTCCACTTATCTTCCTTAAGCATTTTGTTTGTTTCATCTAAGTTTCTCCTATAGTACGTCCTATATATATATTTAACCAGCAGTTAAAAGAAATTCAAGAAGAGATAAAAGAAGGTGGGCTGAAAAACTGTGCACAACAAAACAGAACTAGAGAGCTATACCAAATTACTAGACTGCTAACAAAAAATGGGCCCAACTGTTCAAACATTTTAAGATCTAAGACAGTCTAATTACTTACTATAACAAATGACCAAGTAGAGAGATGGAAAGAGCATTTTCAGGAGGTGCTAGGCAAGCCCAGAGAAAACGAAGATGAAATTGTCGAAACCCCGTAGAATGTAGACTTGCGTATATCTTGTGAGGCCCCTTCCAAAACGGAGATAATGACACCTATCAAATCTCTGAGAAATAACAAGTCTCCGGGAATCGATAACATTGTTGCCGAAATACTTAAAACTGATCCGCATCTAACTGCTATACTTTTGCTCCCCATAATCCAAGAGGTGTAGGAAACAAACCGCATTCCAGCGGGCTGGAAAAGGGGTAACATTAGTAAGCTTTCAACAAAGGGCAACCTCACACTGTGCAAAAATTGGAGAGGAATAACCTTGATTACCGCAATAAATAAAATCTTCACGACCATCATACTTAAAAGATTAACAAACAAGATTGAATTTAGAGCTGACCAAGCAGGCTTTAGACTAGAATCATCCTGCATAGACCACATTAATACTGTGAGGGTAATAATGGAACATACCTCTATACATGTTTTATCTCATGCTGCTATATGAAAAATGTTAGAGCTAAGAAACATTCCGCATAAAATAATTTTCATTATAAAGTCACTGTACACTAAGACGAAATGCAGCGTAACACACAATGGAATCATCAGCGGCGAATTTGACATACTTACTGGAGTCAGACAGGGATGCGTGCTTTCTCCGTTTCTTTTTACATAGCAGTAGAGTATGTTCTCTCCAAACTAGACTCCGATACAAGAAGGATACAATGAACGTTAACCACAGGCATAAGCGATCTGGAATATGCCGACGATATCTGCCTGTTAGGACAAAGATTCCAAGATGTGGCGAATCAATTTGAAACACTTTCCACTGAAGCCAATAAAGTAGATTTAAAAATCAATATTAGTAAATCCAAATCCATGAGAGTAAATGCAAGAAATAATTTACTATCAATAACATACGGATGAACATGTGGAAAACTTTACGTATCTTGGAAATGTCATGATAGAAAGCGGAGGTAGAGAGGACGATATTCGTATGAGGATACGAAAAGCTGAACAAGCATTCTGCATGCTTAACCCTGTGTGGAGATCTGGCCAATATGCTACAAAGACAAAGATCCGCATATTCCAGTCAAATGTCATGTCTGTTCTACTCTACGTGATGTGAAACCTGGAAGGTGACATGAACCCTTACAAATAAACTGCAGGTCTTTATTAAACAATGTCTATAACAAATTGTTCGTATTTTCTGGCCTAAAATCACCATAAACGTAATTTCTACTACACCTGACCGAACAAAAAAGGGTAGAACATCAAATAAAGTCCAGAAAGTGGGGTTGGATTGGTCACACACTTAGAAAAAATAATTTCAGTATTGCAAAGATTGCTCTAGAGTGGAATTCCTAAGGAAGAATAAAAAGAGGTCGTCCAATAAAAACTTGGAGAAGATCCATTATGGACGAGATAAGAGGTCAAGGAAAGCCTTGGAATAAAATGAAGGCCTTAGCGCAAAATAGAACCCGATGGCGCGCCACTGTGTTGATTTTATATAAATATACTCCTGTCAGGCAATGACCAGTCCTCATTCTAATAATGGTAGTAATATGCCGCCTATCCATCGAGTGAAAAGACAAAAGAGGAAATCTAATCGTTATAAAAAGGAGACCAACAAAGTGGCCTCTAATGGCGAACATATCCGGAAATGCGAATGCGCCAAATTTAAATTTTTCGACACTTATTAAGAGTAGCTATAAAATAGTTTTCAGAATGTGTCTGAGACAAGAAACTTTAAATAAATATTAACGATAACAGTCTAAAATGTGACACAATTGTTAAAAAATCGGCTCTACGAGCCTTTGTCCATTGCCGTTTGAGATATCGTGAAAGCTGTGTTGTCCTATTGTCGATCTTAGGTTAGGTTCTTTGCCAATTTTTGCGTTGAAGTCTCCACAGATTATCTACATGTCTTGTTTGGGGATTTTTTCAAGCGTTCTTTATAGTTTTTCATAGAAGTAATCTTTGACATGTTCGTCTTTATCTTCTGTCGGAGCATGTGCGGATATAATTGAGATATTGTACCATTTCTTTTTGATTCTAATATAACAAAGTCTTTCACTAATCGGCGTGAAACTTATAATACTCCACAAGGAATCTACGTTGCTGTAGTTGGCTGTATACCATATATTAAAAAATTTATTAAAAATCCTTTGTAGAAGGTATATATTAAGAAACCAAACCGGCTAAGTTAAAAAGACAAAACGTTTTCGGAATCCATATTCCATCATATACTTATAATACTGTTCAGGTATTCTTCTTGTACTACGAAGCCTGTGCAAATTCATGTTTTCCTGTCTGGTTTTTACTGTAGAAAATGGCCGCCTTGTCTATTTGTATGTTTCCCGTGTCTAGACACATTAGTTCTTGTATTGCCGTAATGTCCATTCCTACTTTTTCTAGATGTTTTATCGCATATATAGATCCTCCCGTCCGGTACCCACTTAGAACATTACATGTTCCAACATTCAAAGTCCTTGTCCATTGCGATTATAGTTTTCCATATGTACCTGTCGATTCAGAGGCAAACTTGCAGTTTTCATAACAGACTGTTTTTTATAAGGGCAGGTTGTTGGCAGGTTATATAATAAAGAAACGCAAGCTGGAATACTTCGGTCACATTATGAGACACCCTGAAAAATATGATCTTTTACATCTGATCATTCAGGGAAAGATCCAAGGTAATCGTGGTCCTGGTGAAGAAGAACATCATGAAAAATCTAAGGCGATGGTATGGATAATCAACTACATCGTTATTTAGAGCTGCTGTCAATAAAGTCACGATAGCGAATATGGTAGCCAACATAATATCCAACGATCGATAACGGTCATGGAACTAGAAGAAGAAGAAGGTTGTTGGCCTTCCGCTTAACCCTCCTACTTTATCCGAGATTGGGATCGGCAAGAAAGACTGTTAAACTACTCGATCCACCAAACAGTCATTCCAGGCGGAGTTGTTAGGATGTCTGGTTATCATATTGTTGTGATTTAGCAACAAGCGACAAAAATGTAATTTTTTAAGACCTATTTGGGGCTCTAGAAATATAGCCCATCATCAGATCCAAACGTTAAAAAATTACTTAACCACAAAAAACAGAAGAGAGAGTGCTAAAATTGTTACAAATTAGCAAAAAGTATAAATTATTCCAATACGAAGCCTATAATAAACAAATTTTAATATAAGTGTATTTACAAATATTTCCAAAAGAGCAATTTACCAGCTTCATTTTCACATTCGAATAAGTTCTTGTGGGCATTTGCCTTGAGACCTTTAAACCTTTTTAGGATTTTTATATGTAAACTAAATTTTAAAATAAAATACTTTCGATATAGGATCAGTAAGAATAGCTCTAATTTTGATATTTGTCTTTTCAGAACGACCACCACGCAACCCATGCAATCCATCACCATGCGGCATCAATACCGTATGTCGCGAATCAGACCAAAACGCAATTTGTGAATGTCTGCCAGGTTTCTTCGGAACGCCAACTGCTGGCGGTTGTAAACCAGAGTGTACCATCAGCGCTGATTGTGACAGAAATAGAGCTTGCGTCAACCAGAAATGTATCGACCCATGCCCTGGCACTTGTGGATTCGCAGCTGTTTGTAACGTCATTAACCACAGCCCTGTGTGCAGTTGTCCACCTCCGCTCATAGGTGATCCTTTCACTTTATGTAGGGAAGCTCCAAAAGAAACAAAGAAAGACCCATGCAATCCATCGCCATGCAATATCAACGGAGAATGTCGAGTAATAAATGGTGTAGCAACCTGTTCATATCCGGAATGTGTTATAAATCAAGATTGTCCCAGAGATAAGGCATGTTATTCTCAGAAATGTGGAGATCCTTGCAGAGGAGCTTGTGGGCTTAACGCGTTATGCCAAGTTGTTAACCACAGAGCAATATGTTCTTGCCCTACTGGATATGTTGGATCGCCGGAAGTTCAGTGTCTGATAGAAGATCTACCTAAACCCAAAGTTGAATGTACCCAAGATTCGGATTGTACCAACGATAGGGCTTGCCTTAACAGCAGATGCGTGAGCCCTTGCACTACGAATCTTTGTGGAAATAACGCAGAGTGCCGCGTACAACTACACAGAGCAATATGCACTTGTAGAGACGGCTTTACTGGAAACGCCCAACATGCTTGCTACGAAATAGGTTGTAGATCAGACTCAGAATGTCCACCTACTCAATCTTGCGTTAACAAGGAATGTATTGATCCTTGCTCGTTTACATCATGTGGTCTAAATGCTCTTTGCAAAGCAGATTATAACCACAGAGCTAGATGTTACTGTCCCAACAACTTCAGAGGAGATCCGTTCGTACGATGCGAAAGACCGGAATGTACTAGAGATGAAGAATGCTCTTACAATTTAGCCTGTCGAAATGAACGATGCTCTGATCCTTGTAACTGCGGTAACGGAGCTACCTGTAGAGTGACCAACCACAGACCTCAGTGCTCTTGCCCACCGGGTTATATGGGAAATCCATTGGTAGCGTGTACCGTCCATTCTGACCCACAACCAGAATGTAGAGCTGATGCCGACTGTCCTAGAAAATTGGCTTGCTTCAGTGGAGTCTGCAAGAATCCTTGCTTCGAAACCAATCCATGTGGAAAGAATACCGAATGTATAGTAGTAGATAGCCTTCCTTTGAGAACCATGTCATGTATGTGCTTACCTGGATATATCGGAAATGCTGATACAGAATGTAGACGAGGTAAGTGTTTTGAATTGTTGAGATATACGGAATGATTTTGGGACTTTATTGAAGGAATTTCAAACGTAAAGAATCCATCTTCAATAAAGCTATTAGAAATCATGCTGTATATTGTATACTGATGTTAATTTGAGCTTTATATTTTAGGATTTGGTAAAACCTTTTACCCCTTTTACCGAACAGCAACACTATATTTCGTTCTTTATGTTTTGTTTGATTTTTTTAAGTGTACGCTTAACCAATCCAATATAGGCATGCAATTTATGTTATGCGCTATTTTTGGTTCAGCGAACAATGCAAGTTTTGTAGAAGCCATCTTAAATAAAAATGTTTTAGAACCAAGACCCGAACCTGGATGCAAAAGTAGTGCAGAGTGTCCATCAACCGATGCCTGCATTAATCGTCAATGTGTGAACCCCTGCGCTTTGGGTAATCCTTGCGCACTCAACGCTGAATGTACACCAACCAACCACAAAGCCGTTTGCAGATGTCCGCCAGGTCTTCTTGGAGATCCACTCACCAAATGTTATCCACAACCTCAAACCAAGCCTGAGTGCCAATCAGACTCTGAATGCACGAATGACAAGTCCTGTATCAATCAGAGATGTCAGAACCCTTGCGAACTAACCAATCCATGCAGTGCTCTAGCCGAATGTAGGACTCTCTTCCACAGACCAACGTGCTCGTGCCCACAAGGCTGGTTAGGAAATCCACAAGTATCCTGCTATAAACGTAAGCTATAAATTAAATAGTACTTTATATAAGAAAATACTAAACAATAATTATTTTGTAGCTGAATGTACTTCAAATAGTGACTGTCCATATGATAAAGCTTGCATCAATGAATATTGTCAAAATCCTTGCGCTTCGCAATCCTGTGGAAGAGGAGCAGAATGTATAGTCCAACGACACGTTCCACAATGCCAATGTCCTTTAGGAACTCAAGGCAACCCTCTTGTTTCCTGTATCACTGGTATATGTCACTACAACGAAGATTGTGCAGATCATGAAGCTTGTGATAGATTAAACAGAGTATGTAGACCAGTATGTGATGAAGATACATGCGCAGACAATGCAAAGTGTGTAGGACAACAACACCAACCTAAATGTACATGTCCACCTAATACTACTGGTAATCCATTCGTGAAATGTATAGGAATATTGCCTCCAGAACCTGAATGTAAATCAGATTCAGAGTGTCTATCTCACTTGGCTTGTATAAACAGTCGATGCATGAACCCATGCAGTACAGAAAATGTTTGTACAGCTGATCAAGAATGTCTAGTACTTGATACATTACCTTTAAGAACTATTATGTGTCAATGTCCACCTGATACCATAGTCGACGCATCTGGAAAATGCATAAGGTTAATTTCACCAAAACCACAATGTATTGTAGACTCAGAATGTAGTGATAGTGACAGATGTATCGCTGGTACTTGTATCGAAGCTTGCAGGGTTGACAGATGTGGTATAAATGCCATTTGTACATCAAGAAACCACCAAGCAATATGCACTTGTCCTCCTGGATATATTGGAAACGCTCACTATGAATGCAACAGTATGCCCAAAAAACCAATCCCATCGAAGGGCCCTGAATGCTATAGAGACAGTGACTGTACTTATGATCGAACATGCAGAAATGAAGAATGTGTTAATCCTTGTATAGAGGACAATCCATGTGCTAGGAGCGCTTTCTGCTCTGCTAGGAATCATCAAGCTGAATGCAGATGTCCTGAAGGCTACGAAGGAAATCCCAAGATCAATTGTATTGCACGTAAGTTGTTTTCTATTTTTAATATAAAATTTTTCAGTCATCCGCTTTAGCCAAGAGTTTTTCTTTTTTCATTTGGTACAATTTTTTGATTTCATTATGTACTAGTCCCTGGCAATGCGATAGACCTTTTAATAACTTATTACTAAATTTATTTCATAGAAGTATATTAAGATTTTTTATCAAAAATTTTTCTTTTGTTTTAGCACTTGGCCCTACGGTTGGCTGTACATCTAACTCAGACTGTCCCAAGAGCGAGTCTTGCATCAACAGCATATGTGCAAGTCCATGTAATTGCGGCCCTAATGCAGAATGTAGAGTGCGTGACCATTATCCAACATGTCTTTGCAGATCAGGTTACTCAGGCAATCCACAACTAGGTTGCTTCAAATTGGGATGTCAATCAGATAACGAATGCTCCAACGACCAGCAATGTTACAACGGCCAATGTATTAGTCCTTGTATATTAGGAAATCCATGTGCTAAGAATGCCGAATGTTACGGAAACAACCATAGAGCTACTTGCAAATGTTTGCCAGGTTTCGAAGGTAATCCTGTGACCAGATGCGAAAGAATCGAGTGCCGAGTTGACAATGACTGTCCAAATAATAGAGCATGTATTCAACAACGGTGTGTAGATCCCTGCTCCGCAGTGGCTGAACCACCATGCGCTCAGAATGCTATTTGCTACGTTACAAACCATTTAGCAGGATGTTATTGTCCGCCAAATCTACCAGAAGGTAATCCACTATCATATTGTATACCTAGACAAGTTAAAGAACAGCCAGAATGCGAATTTGACAATGATTGTCCTAGTAAATTGGCATGTATCAGACGTCAATGTGTAAATCCTTGCGAAGAACTATCACCATGCCACCCAACAGCTCACTGTAGTGTTTCGGACACTGTTCCAGTAAGAACAATGATTTGTACTTGTCCTGAAGGTTGGGTACCAAACGAAAATGGGGAGTGTCATCCAGTTATAGTACCAATACCACCAGGATGTACCAGCGACAATGACTGCTCAGATAATGAAGCTTGCATTAACAGATTATGTACTAGTCCTTGTGAATGCGGCACCAACGCAGACTGTAGAATCCAAAACCACAGAGCTGTATGCTCTTGTCGTGAAGGCTATGAAGGAAATCCAAATCTTGTCTGCCATGCAGTTGGTTGCAGAGTCGATTCAGAATGTGGCTCAGGAAAGGCTTGTATCAACGGAAACTGTATCAACCCATGTCTTGTCAATGATAATTGTGGAATCAACGCAGAATGCTACGCCCACCAAAATAGAGCTGAATGTAGATGTGCTTCGGGATACAGAGGCAATCCACTAGAACGTTGTATTGTCATTGGATGTCTCTCAAATAGTGATTGTCCTGGCGATAGACAATGTATAAATGCTCAATGTATCAACCCTTGCATCTACGATAATCCTTGTTCCCCAAGAGCAGAATGTAGTATTCACAATCATCTAGCCGTTTGCAGATGTCCTCCTGGACTCATTGGCAATCCATACTTTGACTGTAAACCTGAACCCCGACCAGAATGTAGAGAAGACTCGGAATGTCCTTCCAGACTAGCCTGCCTTAACAACAAATGCCAAGATCCATGCGCAGTTCTTGAACCATGCCGTAGACCAGCTGAATGTCAAGTAATTGGAACCGTGCCTGTTCGTACAATGATCTGCGTTTGTCCACCAGGATATATTAGCAGCGGAAGCGGTACTTGCAATCCAGTCACCGCCATCAAGGTGGTAGGTGCTTGTGCAAGCGACAGCGAGTGTCCATCAGATAAGGCTTGCTTTAACGGCATATGCAGAAACCCATGCAATTGTGGACCTAACGCCGAATGCAGAATCAAAGATCACAAACCAGTTTGTACTTGCGAACAAGGATATGACGGAAATCCAGAGCTGGAATGCCACAAAGTCGGCTGTAGAGCTGACTCCGAATGTTCACCACAACATACATGTGTCAACAGGTAGGTTTACTAACAGTTTTTGTTATTTCTTAATAATTATAACATAGTCCAACATAGTATAGTAGATAAATCTTTTTCACAAAGTAATGTTTCTTTGTTGTTTTAATCACAAACTTTCCACAAATATAAAAAACACTGTCAACAAGCTCTATCAAAATGGTGATATAAATTTCGATATGTTTCTTTTTTAGACAATGCATTCCTGTTTGTGCTTCTGATGGTTCTTCCTGTGGAGACAAAGCAGTATGTTACGGATATAACCATCGGGCTATTTGCGACTGTCCAGCTGGCCTTCAAGGAAACCCTAGGATTTCTTGTACAGTGGTAGGTTGTCGAACAGACACAGACTGTCCATCAAGTCGTGCCTGCATCAACAGTAGATGTGAACTACCTTGTGAAGTCGCAAATCCATGTGATGCAACATCTCTCGCTGAATGTAAGGTCCATAACCACGTAGTAGAATGCATCTGTCCACCAGGTACTGTCAGTGATGGCAAGATGGGTTGCATAGTAATAGAAGAGAAATGCAGAGTTGATTCGGATTGTCCATCACAATTTGCTTGCATTGGATTTGAATGCGTTAACCCCTGCAAGGCTACCGAACCATGTGGAGTTAATGCCGAATGCACAGTTTTAAATACTCAACCTGTAAGAACTATGGTGTGCATCTGCTTGCCAGGATATCAAGGAAATGCTGCTGAGAAATGCAATCCAAGTAAGTGTTATATAATTTTATACCATTATTTAATATTCTCACTCACATGTCTTTAATTTTTATAAATCTGTTTTAATATTTTCAGTTGCAATCTGCAGAGAAGATAAAGGATACATTCAAACACCAGATGGTCGGTGCGTCTGTGCCCCCAACTTAGCTCTCAATGAAAACGACGAGTGTGTGCCATGTCCTATCGAAAAAGGTCTTAAGATCGACGAAAGAGGTCGCTGTGTCTGCGCTCTCGAACGAGGTCTTATTATTGACGAACGAGGAAACTGTGTATGCCCAATTGAATTCGGATACCACTTTGACGAAAAAGGCAACTGTGTACCAGACAAAGGACCTGAATGTGACACCGATGACGATTGTCCTGATCACAAGTATTGCAACCAAAGGATCAAGACTTGCGAAGATGCTTGTATATTGAAGCGCTGTGGAGAACACGCATATTGTAACGCTACAAACCATGTTGGTAGATGTCAGTGCATCAAAGGCTATACTGGAGATCCTGATGTGCTTTGTAGTAAGTATCATGACATATTTAATTTAGATTGTTAAGCTATAGTATCAATGATTTTTTGGAAATAATTGTCACGTGGATATTTGTCCAATAAAGAAGTACTTCTGATTAAAAAAAAATAAAAATGATATTCTTTTCCAGATCAAACTAGCTACTACAAAAAACAAGACTTCCCCAAACCAGACCTGACAGTTAATTGTCTATCAGATGGAATTCAAGTTGAAATACGACTGACTGAAGTTGGTTTTAACGGTATTCTATATGTTAAGGGTCACAGCAAAGACGAAAAATGTAGACGAGTTGTTACGATAGAAACAGGAGAAAGAGTTGAATATTTCAAGGTTCATTTTGGAGAATGTGGACTTATTCATGTTAATGTAAGTAACCTCTAGATAAGCTAAAGCTTTAAAGTTTAATATGCATTCATATTTTTATAGGGAGAAGCCAGTTTCGTGCTGGTCATCCAGAAACACCCGAAACTAGTGACCTACAAAGCCCAAGCTTACCATATCAAGTGTGTCTACCACACAGGCGAGCAAAACGTGACCCTGGGCTTCAATGTTTCGATGTTAACCACGGCAGGAACCATCGCCAACACAGGACCACCACCAACGTGTCTGATGAAGATAGTCACACCCACTGGTGAGGAAATTAACTCAGCAGAAATCGGCGACAACTTGATGCTTCAGGTCGACGTACAACCTGGCTCCATCTACGGTGGATTTGCCAGAAGTTGTGTTGCTAAAACTATGGAAGACGCCGTGGAGAATGAGTATATTGTAACAGACGAGAATGGGTGTGCTACTGATCCAAGCATCTTCGGCGAATGGGATTATAATCCAGACACGCAGAGCTTGTTGGCCAGTTTCAACGCTTTCAAGTTCCCTAGTAGCGATAATATTAGATTCCAATGTAATATCAGAGTGTGCTTCGGAAGATGTCAACCGGTAAGTTTTATTATTTTAAGACCAAAGTTTTCAATAAAGTGAGATAAATATATAAGCCTAAAAAACTGGAATAAATGTCTACATAACATGACAGTACTCTACATAAGTTAGCACTTTTACATGCGTCTTTGATGAGTTCGAATGACAAAAAGTCACTTTGTGCCAAATCAGAAATTTATCTTGAATAGTCTATAAATTTCATGTTTAGAATTCTAAAAGGTATTTATTTAGAATGGTATGAGACAGCTCACATCATAACAGTGAAAGAACACTCTGTTGTTGGCTCTTTTTTGTGGCTTTGTAACTCAGTCTTGACCGAGTTTATTATTTTCCAACCTGACTTTGTACCATCGGGAATTTTCCAACAAGTTGTATTGACGAATCTTTAATTATTCAATTTCAGTACATTTCCTGACAATCTTATATAATTTTCCTTAATTTTTTCGTTTACATATAGTGTGCAGAATTTCTGAACATATCTTCTTCTCCAATCTTTTGATATTTTGTCACTAGATGGGCTGTAAGGTTTTCCGTTTTAAGACTAAAAGTTTTTTTATCTCACACTGGATTTCGGATCCTCGCTGTTCTTGATATAAGCAAATTCTTCTTCTTCTTCCTCTTTATAAGCAATTCTGCTTGTTCATTGGCGGATTAATACTTCTATGGAAGGTTGTCACTCCATATTTTGCATGGTCGTCCAATACTTCTTCTGCCGATTGGGGACTTATCTATTGCTATTTTGACGACATGGATCTCCTCCATTTTGTTCTAGATGAGTATCTAGCAGCTAGGTGCTACTTAAATAGTTTATATTTAAATTTAAAATAGTTAAGTATGGTAACCTAGGTGGCTACTCAATGTACCTCTTTGTAGATAACATATTTGCCTACCTACCATTAACATTAGTATCTACTAACAGTAACAATATTTTTCATTTATATACAAAAGTAATTTCTACAAAATTCTACAGGTTAACTGTCGTGGATATAACGCCTTTGGCAGACGGAAGAGATCCGTCGAAAACTCGGAAAATGACACCGATGTAGCTGTTGGAGGAGACCTCTTATCTGGACAACTCAGAGAAGAAATCACCATCCAGTCCAATGCCATATTGACTTTCGAAAAACGAGAAGAACGATACCCAGATCCTCAAACAGGTAAGTGAATTAATTAATCTTATTTTAAAGTTATTAATACATAAACTACTTCACACAACAGACATGTTTTAATGATAGATCACAAAGTTATGTGAAAAGTACAGTATTGTGTGTCTCACAGTACAACTACTTGGGATCTATAATAATCAATGAGACGTGGGACAATACCCAAGAGATTAAATGTCACATCGGAATGGCAAAAAGTGCATTCTTGACTATGAGCTCTGTGTTCAAGAGCCATGACCACACAATAGAAACACAAATATGGCTTCTTAAATGTTACGTGCACTCAGTGCTCCTGTACGGAGTAGAAACGTGGACCTTGAAAGCGGAAACTTCAGGTTTTTGAGCTATGGTTATATAGAAGGATCCTGAAGATACCATGGACAGACAAAGTCACCAATTGGGCCATATAATGAGAAATCAAGGCAGATATCTACTCCAATGCATTTTGCAATGTAAAATTGAAGGAAAAAGGGTTCAGGACGAAGAAGAATATCCTGGCTTGCTAACCTGAGAGTATGGTATAGAAAGACCTTTTTCTTGATGTGCTTATTCGTTACGAATGTTGGCGATCATCATGCCAATCTTTACCTTATTTGAAGCAGCGCGGAAAAGCTGCACAGATGTTGTATTGAAATAGATTCTGAGGTTCTTCAACCAAAATGTTCTTCTTCTTCCTGAACCTCGTTTTCCAAATATTTTTCCTTGCAGGATGGCTTGAAGGAGAGCATATCTGGATTCATTTCGCATAATATGTCAGAAGAACTGTAACTCTCGAGATTTGATGGTGGTCAGTACCTGTCAGTTCTTATTATTCTTCTGAGGACCTCCTGGTTTGTGACTCGGTCAGTCCACGGGATCTTAAGTATTCTCCAACATAGACATATCTCAAATGCTTCCAGTTTTCTGCACATTGAGTTGATCTTTTCTTTGGTTATCTCTTTGGTCTTCAAATAGATTTTCTAGATATTCTTTTCACGTTCTTATTTTATTCTGTTTGTCCAAGATTATGTTTCCATCAGAATCAGTTATATTTCCTTTCTGCCTTCGTCTTAGCCCCCCTGTGAGTTCTTTAACTTTTCTATGTACATTGTGACTATCGTACTTCGACTACAGCGATTCAATTTCTTCGCATCTTTCCCTTGCTTCTTTTTCTTTTTATGGTTTTACATTTGTCTGAGTAATTTTTGACTTCTCTTCTCTCTTCCACTAGTTTCAGCATCTCAATCCCTCATCCATGATTTTTTCTTCATTAATCTATCTCTCTTTAAGTGTTTATCCTTTACATTTTGCACTATTTCTGCATGATATAGCACATATGATTGTGCTTTCCATTTCTGCACTATTTTGAGTTTGACTCGAAATACTCCCACCAGTGGAACGTGGTCTGTCTCCAAATCTGCCCCAGATAAGTCTTGACAGATGTAAAGCTGTTTTGGAATCTTTTATTTACTAAAATGTTGTCTATTTGATTCCTAATAATTCTCACAGGTCTGTCTTGAGTGGACTTCCAAGTGTACAGCTTGCGAGGTTGCGAGGTGGTAATTGGAAGAATGTGTTGATGACAACTAGTTCTGAGTCTTCTGCGAATTTTTCTAGGAGGTCTTCTTTCTCGTTTCTGACTCTAAGTCCGTGTGCTCCAATGTACTGTGTCTTATCTCCAGCTCCAATCCTGGCATTAAAATCGCCCATAATGATAAGCAAGATGATGATGAGAAAGACCTCAACACAGCTATTCCGTATAGCAATCAGCAAAGTCATCATAGTCAAAATGATCGCCTACGTTCGGAACGCATAGGCACCCTAAGAAGAACAGTATTATAGATTTTTAGCTACGGCGATATTTTTATCAAAAATTTTTTTATTTACGAAAAAATGGGCAAACACAAATCCCGCTCTCGTCATGAAATATGTTGTTCTAGTGCAACAGTATTCGATTTCTTTCTCTTGACTTCAAGTTTTATCGCCTACTCCAAGACCCCAATTGCTTCTATCTTTCTCTATTATGTACCAATCTCATCTACTGATGCTCGCCACTATTCGTATGTCTACTTCTTTCGTAGGTCCTCCTGTCGGTAATCTGTTTGTCCCTAAGATCCCTCAGGAGAGAGAGATGCCAGATTAACCGCTCTTTCCATCGCTGTTGTTGATCTGAGTGTGTAAGGAACTCGATCAGTGGCCATAGACACGGGCTATGCCACTTAGCTAGGAATAAAAGATTAAAACAACAAAATAATAGTTTATTGTTGGTAAATATGGTAAAAGAAATAAGGTAAAATAACAGATAAAGTCTTAGACTAAGAATCTGGAAGGGAAGGTTGGTAATTATCTCCTGATCGCAGATCTGGAGGATAATCACGCAAATTAGTTTAATTCTAAGAATCTGCAAGGCAAATATGTTAAATTAAAAAATATAAGCAAATTTATAAATAAATTCGAAATTAGTAAATAGGTATAGTGAAACCCAGCTGTCAAAAATTTAAGGGTAGGAAAAAATAGAGGTAGGAACCTGGAAGCAGCTGGGAATCGTCTAGAATAGTGCAATTCGGCAAAATCAACAATAAAAAGTAAATGAAAGTACACTGTAAAAAAAGTTATAAAGGAAATTCGAAATTTTACTATCGAAAATTTCGTCGAGTCGAAACACCTATATAAAATGGCAAAGATAATTGCAAGTTCAACAAATATTTCAAAGTATCAAAGAAATACCAAAAATAGAAAATATTACAAGTTTTATTCCTGAAAGAAAATAAAATACCAAAATATTTTCAAAGTGTCGAGAATGTTAAAGTTCGAAATATTTTACAAGTTTTTAGCAGTGTACCTGAAACAGATATAAAATACCAAAATCGGTTTAAGTTATTTTCGGCTCTGAAAATCTTCAGAGTCCGAAAGAATATAATAAGAGGAAATAAAACACAAAGTTTACAAGTTTATTTCGTATTCTTCCAAAAAGGATATCTGCACCGTCTGGTGGCTAAGTCCGTCAAGTAAGGCACTTAGCAAACCTGGAAGAGAATAATTTTCTTACACGACTTGTAAGATACCGAAATAATCAGATTTTAGACTAAGTCTAAAAGCACAGATTAAATCGGCGATAATTGCGACGCTCTTAAGGAAAATATTAGCAAATTCGACTAAGTCGAAAAGCAGAAATAATTCCCTCAAAAATGGCCGCTGGTTTGGACACAAACCGACAGAGATTCACCCTGGAACTCTGCCTATTAAAGTTAAAGCTGAAAACGTGAGGTTCTGGGTTTAAAGCTGAGAACGTTGGGTTCTGGGAAATAAAACAGAGGCTCTAGGAAACTAATCGACCAGAGGAGCTCTTACATGCCTCGAGGGCTGGATCAGCGGACATATCCTGCCTCGGTCTGACGATCTGGCCGTCGTGCATTTCTTTTATGCTAAAAAAAGTAGGTCAACTCGTAACGGTTTTCAACCGCCGTTCTGACTTTTTCGCCATTGGACCTGCACGACGACCAATGCCCAATTTTCAGCATTATCATTGGCTGCAACTCAGGTGCCATTCGACCAATCATAATACAGAAAATGAGCAACAGATTCCTGAATTATGATTGGCTGCAATTACTGTTGCCATTTGACCAATCACAATTCAAGTCGATAGAAAATGCAAAAAAGTATTCATGTGTTAATCACAATTTAGCAGGCTGTGCGACACTCCTTTGCTTCGTATGGGGTGGGAGGAGGTCACTCGTGACGAGAACAAGTATAGTTTCTACGATGTCAGTTGGACAAGTATAAAAATAAAATTCGACACTCAAGTGCCAGCGTCTATTGTAAAACATAGGCGGCGCAATACAAATTAAATAATAAACTTTTATTTTTAAATTAAGGTCTAATATTTTGTTAAACAGTAATAATATTGTTAAATATTCACATTTCTTTATGAACTTGACACCAAAGATGATTAAAAGTTAATACACATAGTCCATTCACTAACGTTAAAATATTGTAAAAACCTCTAAATTTTAAAGAACCACTGGGATTGACATGAAATTTGGCATACACATATAGCTAACGTGTCAAAGAAAAAAAGTGATATTGTGCCGATGTGTATTTTTGCCCTGGGGGTGGGTACCGCACCTTCTCGGGGGTGAAAAGATATACATCCAAAATAAGTCCGGAAGTGGATAAACTGACTAATTCTAGGCAACTTTTGTTCTATAGAGTTTTTTACTAAATCAATACTTTTCGAGTTATTTGCGAGTGAACATATTCATTTTTCAACAAAAACACCACGTTTTTGGACGATTTCTCGCAAATAACTCAAAAGGTAAGTATTTTATGGAAAAAATGTTCGTAGCAAAATACAGTTTATAAAAAAGTGAAAACAATGGTATATGTATGAAGTCTGTATACCCAGCAGAAGCAGAGTTATAGCTAATGAAAAATAGATTCTTACCTATTCGTCAAATTCCGTATCGAATAATTCACCCCGAAATAATGAAAAAAATTTTTTTTACTTTTTTTTTAAATTGTTTACAGAAATCTTTATTTTTGATTTTTAAAAAAGTTTCTAGCATCAAATGTAAGCAAGTTACGCTCAAAACAAAGTTGATCCATTTTTTTGGTAAAATATAATCATGAATATGATCTGTAAGTTTCATCGGTTTAAAGAGCTTATTTTTGAAAGATACTTACATGAAATCGGCCAATTCGTCTTTCAGTCGAATTGTCTCTTAGGTTATAGATTAATGAAGAGATCACATTTACTTCGATACACAAAACATATTTTTGACAAGTTGTAGAAGTCTTTGTAGAAATATTCAAACAATTAAACACTATCACTATCCGTGTGTCCAGAACTGGAGTCGTCGTTTGTGTATAACTACCGATTCAATTGGTGGTAAAGTAGGACATTCTTTTTCTTTTACTTGAACATGCGCTACACAATTTTTCCAAATGACAGTTTTGTTAAGTTCTTCGATCACTATTCTTATATTTTGGACAACAACGTCACTTAATTGGGGAGATTGATTCATTTTCCGCAATTTCTTTTTTACATCGGCCCATATCATTTCAATTGGGTTGAAAACACAATGATATGGAGGGAGCCGTAAAACCGTATGCCCGTGGCGTTCAGAGTTATTCTATTACATATTCTTTTTGAAAATTTTGTTGCTTAATTAATTGCAACAATTCCTTTTTGGTACATTTACTAGGTGTTGTCATGCCTTTGTTGGAGCTAGTATTTGGAATTTTGGTGTAGAGTCTAGAATGGTATGACGCATTGTCCATTACTATCACGGAATTTGTTTTAATATTCGGTAACAGCTGTTCCGTTGCCCATTTTTCGAAAAGTTCAGCCGTCATATCCTCATGATAATCAGCTGATGACTGTTTATTGTTTTTGGCCGATAATAACAAGGCATTAGATACAAACCCGCTCTTAGTTCCAGCATGTAGAATTATAATTCTTTTTCCTCTCGAACAAGGAGTACTCAAGCAGCACTTTTTGCTATCATCCATCCAGCCATATTGAACTACATGATGGGTGTCAAACCACGTTTCATCAAGATGAAACATAAACACTCTATTGTCACCTCGATATTCCTTTATTTTACGTAAATAATGTTGCCTCTGTATCACAATCCTTGTAGATTCCATAATTACCATTCTCTTGTCTAATTTTTTATAACTAAATCCGCATTCTATTAAAACACGCCTCAATGTATCAAGGGATTTATATGCATAATCGGGATATATTTTCAACTTGTCCTGAAGCATTTCCAACGTTGGAACTTTGTTGTCCAGATAAAATTCGTACACATAGCGACAAATAACGTCTTTAGTGGCCTTATCAATCTTTTTAAGGTATTTGTCCAACTCTTCGACGTTTAACAGAATGATCACTTACATCCCCAGATGCAATAACACGTAAAACTGTCGTACGCGCAAGTTTGGTAAGTTCACATATCCTTAACACAATGATATTTTCCGAAAGTGTACTATTTTCGCCTCTTAAACAGGAATATATATTTAGAATAATCCTTTGTGCTTGAATATGTAAGTCCTTATTTACAAATTCCCAATTCATTGGTGTTGGATCTAAAAGAAATATTTTTACTTTTAATTGTTAAAAAAAGTAGATTAAGGGTGAATATTATGACCGAGCATCCCTATACAACTAATTATTAAACTAGTTTTAAATAAGAATTTACATACCTAAATCGTCCGTTGGATTGCCGCTAGTATTCTCGTTGGTATCACATTCAAATGGTCGCCAAAAAGCCATCTTTAATGTATTTACAACTTATTTTCTACTATCTTAACTCAAACTTAACTAAAACACAACACTACTGTTTGCACAAAAATATTAAAAATATACGTGAACTTGCTGTCGTACACGACGATACTGAATATATCGTTTAGTATGAGAAACCTGAGAAGGCATTTTTGACCAGATAACGATCAAGTTTGAGCGTAATAACTTCCGAAGAATTCGACTAATTACACTTCAGTAGTGCCCGATAAGATACGTAGAAAGTAATAAACCACAGCTGCAATGTGGACAATACCATTAGTGATCAATAATTACAAATAATTTTTATATTTCTGAATTATTCGGGACTGGACCCTAAAAATTCCTTAACTTTTATTAAAATTTAAAATTGATGATTAAAAGTATATACATACATAATGCAAATGAAATGTAATGTGCTTATTAATTTGAGAATTAAAAAATGAGACTACAATTTTACTATAAAAATAAAATAATTTATATAATAAGTTTAAAATAAATATAAATAAGTTTATCACGACGACACTGATATTGTGTTTATAAAATGCTTGCCGCCTTTGAAACATGAGAAGCAATTTTTACCTGATAACGGCAAAGCCAGATTTGGTTATAGTGTATCCACTTCCGAAAAATTTGACCAATTACATTTCAGTATTAACCAATAAGATACGTTCAGAGTAATAAGCCACACCAATATCCATGTGGACTAATACCAGGAGTAATCAATAATTAGAATTACAAAGATTTATCTTTATTTCTATGTTCGCCGTAGAATTACTGACCGGACCCCAAAAATTGTTCTTTCCCAATTCATATCGTAACAACTTTAGTTTAGTCGACGTATTATTAATAATTTTTATGTACTAATATTTTGTTTGTTATTTTCTAGCTCCAAACGCTCAAAGAGCAGAAGATATCTGCGTCTCAATGATAGGTTTCATCATTGCCCTAATAATCACTGCCTTATTGGCCTTGGTAGCTGTAGCTGTGGCAGTCTCCTGTTGGTTGATGGCTTATCGTCGCAGGCCAAAATCTTCAGGACCACTACCGCATCCGCCTGAGTTCCCGAACCCGCTCTTCACGACGCCGGAACCCATGGCAGAGCCAAGTCCAGACTACCTCACATAGAACATTTCGAAAGATTATTAATTATTAAGTAATACTCTAAATTGACGAAGTATTTTGAAGTACCGACGATTTAATCTTAAGGATAAATGAAAATACTCGATAGAATCGTCAACTGTAAATTTTTATAGTCGATTCGTGATCGATACGTTTCTTCTCGTGAATCCGTCCAATGCTACTCATGAAATACTGCCGAAAGAGAAGAACTGTCGTTCCGAACGAACATAGCGAATATACTATAGTTTAAACTTTAGAAATGTGTACCAACGTCCTAATAAGACCAACACGAAGAATCTGAAGAGAAGAGGTGTAGCCAACGAAGTCGACGGATACACATTTCTACTATCTTTTCCATTGGCTGAAATTAACCAGTGTTCTTTTAGAGACAAGGGAAAAATTGGGTGGTGGTTTTTAACGCTTTAACAAAAATTTTCTCGGATCTACAATACGGCCCTTGCTTTTACCTACGTATCTCTTGTAACGTTTCGACTCTTTTGTATATATTAAGTGATGTTTCATCTAAGCAGCCTTTGGAAGACGTAGCCAATATAGCATCTAAGTTAAATATATGAATATTCTCTGAGCCTGTATAAAGTGTATGAATGAGAATCGAGTGTGGAGTTATGGCTCCAGAAGTTGTAGCTCCAGAATTATATGGTGCTGACTGATTTTTTTATACTTGAAACAGTCAAACTTTAGTCAATCGATTTTTTTTAAATAGTACCTACCTATTATATTTTTTATGTAATTTATAAGTTGTGAGAATTCGTTTAACCAATATAATAAATTTCAGTAGTATTTATTTTAAACAACGAATCTCTCTACAAGTTTCTAAAATTGATTGAATGACTACGCTATTTTTAACTAATTTCATTTTTATTTATATTTTGTGTCCTTTTTTGTGTAAAATGACTTCTAACGATAATTTCTTAAAAATTGTCATTTGTGATAATCGCTTCTTTAATAAAAAATGATTTGTTTAATACATTTTGTGTTTTATTTCAATCACCACGAAGTATACAGTCTTTCAATAGCGACATTTGTTGTGAACTAGTAATGTCTACTGATAGTTGGCAACATCATAATTGTCAGAATTTTATCAGTAAAGATAAGGAAATATACGCAAGCATTTTTACCAAAATATGCAAAAATATATGATTCTAATTATTACAACCTCCAGTTCAGTTGCCTCATTCCACTTGCAATGTCCATCTCTTAGACCATACAAACTGATAGACACGCCTTGTACCGAACCGTTGAAGCAAAGACCTTCCGCGAAAGTGACGTCACAATGCGGCAAGAGCCCGCTTGGATTCTTAGCAAAGCACTAATATAATTACCCAATTTTAGATTAATTTTAATATAACTTTAATATTTTGTAAAAAATGTGGAAGATAAATTATTTAGCGAAGTAATTAATAAATATTTTTGCCTTAAGTTGTAAAAATAAATGTTTTATTTAAAAGTACATACCTAACATGTGTACATATATTATTATATCGCAAAAAGGAGTACGACCGTCTATCCAATATAAATAAGGATCACTCAGACGAGTGGTGGGTTCAATTATCGGTCAACTAGGTGGAGAAATAAAAGACAAAGTTGATACTACTTCATCTATTTTGAAGACGTTTCGAATTCGATAGCGAAACGTCTTCAAAATAGATGAAGTAGTATCAACTTTGTCTTTTATTTCTCCACCTAGTTGACCGATAATTGAACCCACCACTCGTCTGAGTGATCCTTATTTATATATTATTATATATATCGTTGGTATATCACTTCTTGTTTGATATTCAAAAATAAATTTAAAGGAGAATAATTTTCTTTTGGGTGGAAGTTTCAGGTTAGGTAAAAAAATATGTAGTAAGTCTATTTATTTATTGACCACAAAACAAAATAGCTTTTGTTAACTTACTTCTAACTCTTATTACATTATTTAGTTTTTCAACTTTGTGGTACAATCTAATGTTGCAATAATGGAAACAAATTATCTTTATTAGATTAAACAAATGGTTTGTTTTAAATTCGTGATCAAACATATGTTCTTTGTATGCGTTAAACACAGAACCATGCACGTTACTCATGACATTTAAGATCAATTTTGTCATTATTTTGGAATCGTTTAATTTTTTAGAATTGTACATAAATTTAATTTCGCTTTTACCTCATTTTTAAAAATGTCGTGCGGGCTGTCTCGATTCTACATTTTATCTCTTGATCTGGATCTAGTTGTTCAGTAATATGGCAACCAAAATAATTAAAACTGGACACTCTTTGAATTATATGACCATCAACATATAATCGTGCACCTTGATGTGCTAACCGGCTAAACACCATGTGTTTTGTTTTTGAACAGTTTATATTTATGCCAAACTCTCTTCCCACTGTATCAATGGCATTTAAAAGGCATTGTAGTCCATTCATGTCATCACTTAAAATAACTGTATCGTCTGCATATCTGATTGTATTTATCAGAATTCCATTAACTTTCACGCCCCATTCCAAATTATGCAGCGCTTCTTTAAATATTCTATCTGAATATAATTTAAATAACAGTGTGGATAGTATACAACCCTGTCTGACACCTCTTTGTATTTTACATATTTCTGTTGATTTTCCGTTTATGCAAGCTGTCGCTGTTTGACGCCAGTATAACTTTTCTATGAATCGTATGTATTGACCATCAACTCCTTTATCTTTTAATATTGCAATTGGCGCATTGCTATAATCCATTTTTTTGCAATGATGAATCTTTAGGAAATCTAAAACAATTTATTTACTTAATCCTTTAGTTTTCAATCTAATTATAAAATGAAAATTATATATAAAACTCTCTATCTCATATGTATCTATTTAAAACACTTTGGGAGGAAAAAGTAAAATAATAGGTGCTAAATTTCTGGTATGTTTTTCAAGTTCAATTTGTGAATTTACTTACCCATGAAATGATATATCTGTCCCTTTTTTTTGTCGCTGCGTACAATTAAATGCACTGCAAGATGCCACCATAATTAAAATATTAATGTTTTGGAAAAATTTTAAATTGAAACACTTTAAAAAGTTTACAACGCGTATAAACACTTCTAATCTCTACCGTTTCTGCCGCAAACTGACGTCACCCACAGCTGTGTGAATCATTTTATGTTGGCTTCACTCCTCGAGACGAGAGAATAGCATTACGGCGCGTCTATCAGTTTTTATGGTCTAAGGTCCATCCATCGAGCAATAAGACAAAAGAGGGAATGTAAAGGTAGTGGGGGTAAACATATTGATAGACAGGAAGTGCTATTTTGAGATGTCACTTTAAACAAAGAAAGATAATCTCTTTCCTTGTTTAAGAAATCAAATTTAGTTGGGTTATGTTATTGTTGATGTTATTGTTTGTCAAAACTGTCACATGAAAGCTTATTTATATTTTCTATTGAAGTTTTTTAACATTTGTTTAACATTTTAGACTATTATCGTTATTAATTAATTAAAACTTTATTATGTTCTAGTGTTAAAAAAAAGTATTTTAATAAATAATTTTAATAAATAAATAGATAAATATATAATATAAAATATTATGTAATATAAAATAAATAAATAGATAAATTAGAACCCCTACACCACTGTATGATTATTGTCAAGTGTCATGAAATTTAAATTTGGCGCATTTGCTTTTCCGGATATGTCCGCCATCAGAGGCCACTTTTTTGGTCTCCTTTTCATAACGATTAGATTCCCTCTTTTGTCTTATTGCTCGATGGGTCCATCTATCGTGCCTGTCGCCATCTCCGCCTCTGTCTCTTATTTATACTTGCCTTTACCCAGTGGCGTGCCGTGACATTTGAAGAAAGGGATGCAAATTAAAGGAAATTATAAAAATACTTACCAACATTTTTACTTGTAGTGCAGCTCTATTCTTCTGTCATCCTTGGCAAACAAACTCGTTTATGACAGACGCATAAAAACTGGACTTTTTAGACATTTCTTTATAAGTTCCTTTTCAATTGATAAAATCGCTAAGTTAGCTAGCATCTCCTCACTTGTGGAACTTCTGACCAAGTTTTTAATCCGCTATAGTACAGAAAAACTTCGTTCTACAGACGCACTTGTAGCAGGTATTGTCATCACTAAGTCACATAATTTTGAAACCTCACTATATGCTTCATCCAGTTCAGTTTGTTTAAGAAATGTCAGCATTTTAGAACTAGTATCAGTTTGTACAGTGTTGAGAAGCATTCAAAACGCACAGTTGGGAATGCAGGGAAAGAATACCAAAAAAGTTTGCATGTTTTTTTTAGACAATTAAAAGTCTCTTCCGTGAAACTACAGTTGGTATATTTATTGAAGTTGCATAACTCTACAAATCGTAACTCACAAAGCTTTTTGAATCTTTCTTTAAGCTGTTGGGAAATATTATCTAATATTTCACAAAAAAGTCGATTATAAGATATTTTTGTGTCGCCTACATCGTCAATTCTAATGCGTTTTCTTTTGGGTTCCATCTCTTCGAGATCGCAAGTTTTTTGCCACATGATATCAAATTGCTCCCTATGTTGATTTGTACTTCGAATTCGTTAATTTTTTGAATACAAAATCTAATATTCAATTTAGTCTGCAATACATCAAATAAAATGTCTGTATAAGGAAATATTTCAGAAAATACTTGAAGCAAAAAATTAAAATAAAAATCTCATTCAATCAACTAATTCCAAATAACCTATTGAGAAATTCAGTTTCAGGGTCCCAACGGTCTTTATGCTCCAAAATGGTTTCTAATAACTTTATTAGGGATTGCAGATATTTTTGAAACTGTTTTTACTAATCTCCCATTGTAGTTCCATCTGGTGGGAACTGCTCGAGGGAACCTTTTCTCAAGAATAACATCTAAAGCATGTGTCCTTTTGGACGATTTAGAAAAAAAGCAGCCATTCCGCTCAAGATTTGGAAAAATACTTTGCAAGTCTTATTGAGTGCGACTGATTGCACTAGAACTAAATTTAGTCTGTGTGCAAAGCAGTGCACAAAAATTACATTTTGAAACCTCTCCTTAACTTTGGTTTGAAGTCCTCCCAGATGCCCAGCCATTACGGCAGCTCCATCATAACTTTGAGCGACAAGTTTGGAACCACAGTCCAGTTCCTCAACTATATTACAAACATGTCTATATACCTTCTGCTGATCTGCAGTTAAATCCCCAAAACCGTTATTGTATTTCACCATTATTTTTGATGTAGCGCAGAACAACCGACAATTGACGATATCTATAGTTTCATCTAGAACGATGAAAATAAATTGTGCTTCTTTTATTTCTTCTTTGATTTTTTGCAGAACAATATCTGTCACAGACTTAATCAAATCGTTTTGTATTCTATTCGATGTACCTCGAAATATAGTAGATTGATTTAAAATGACTTTTTAGTAGTTCGTCATATTCAGATAAAAAATTACACAAAATGTCAAATGAGAAAATGACTATAACAAAATTCAAAGAGGACCTAGAGGAGTTGTTTTTTTGAAATACAAATGTAAAAAATAAACGTAACTTTTAAAATTTTGCAATTTTTTTTTAATAAATACAAGTTTTTGTTAATTTCTTATAGTTGACTAAAGTATTCAGTTTTTATCAGTAACCGACTTTTCAGGCTGTGAAAATCAAACGTTGGTTCACATATTTTACAGGCCAAAAATATAGGTTGCGTTGCTTACAGCCGTCTACTTTTAAACTGTATTAACAATACATTGATAAGAGAGACCGCAACTGCTTCTCGCAGCTTTTATAATTTTTAATGCATGAGAATCGATAGTTGATTTTAGCGGCTAGAAAGTCATATTACCCTTGCATCACGTCATGCTTCTCATGGCAGTGAACCTGTTAAAATACAGGTATAGATGTAAATAGGTACAAATCTGATTTGCACTGCTCATTTACTTTGACGAAAATGTGTGGTACAAGGGTAATATGGCAGTGAACCTGTTAAAATACAGGTATAGATGTAAATAGGTACAAATCTGATTTGCACTGCTCATTTACTTTGACGAAAATGTGTGGTACAAGGGTAATACCAGAGATACTTAGAGGGTTAAAAGGTTGGTTAAATTAAAAGAATTTAAAAATTTTTATTTGTTTTTAATATATTCTCTCCCTCAGGTTAGTCCTGGGCTAACAAAATTGACCTCAAGGACTCTGTAAAATAATATATTTATCATATATACAATGATTAACAGCAAAACTCAAAATTTTACAAACAAATGTATTAAGTACTGCCGAATCGGATTCAACAATACACAATCAGTCGATATTTTCATCATATACGTTCAGTTTTAACATACCTAAAATATAATTAAATAAAAAATTAAAAAATACAAATTCTGTTACCTCTCAGGACAGATGATCCAGTAACAAAGAAAAAAGAATCTGCGGTAGTACTGTCCGCCTCGCCTCCATTCCAAAAACTTCCGTTAACAATCTGTGTACCCCGAGGAGCCATCCTAGGCCCACTTCCCAATGTATGAAAATATAATCTGGACACCGGAACGGACGAGAGGCTAACAAAACCGAGATTCCCTTTCCGCATTGAGGTTGTACGGGCGAGATAATTTTAGTACGATCGTATAAAAAAATGAAATTTGTAAGGAAGGCACGATCCACTGCCTTGTTTTTCGAAAAAAAGGGCAGAGAAGTTATGACACAAATAAAAATATATAAAAGTTCAAAAAATATAAATATAAAATATATTGATAACACAATGATATGCGACAAGTATGCATATATGGAGTTACGGTCCAGACACTTTAGATCGTTTTTTTTTTCATTTTTTGTTTCCCCTTACTACAAAAACTCGACAAGAATGTGCAGATTACGCGGCAACCTCCCGATCACATTGTAAATTTGGCAACATCGACGTTGGATACGTTTCCCAAACGTTGTCAACGCAGTAACTTTTCAAGATCTAATATCATACTCCGAGTGATTCCAGGAAACTATTTACAGGTACACAACGAGTAAATAATAGACATTTTTATCTTATAACAGTCATAATAAAGGAAAAATGTTGACGATTATTGTTGTAACAACTTCTAATGCCTTTGTTTACCATACCAAGTCAACTAAAATCAAGATAACGAAGAAATATTCTATTATTTAGATTATGAGATGATCATAATGTAAACTTTCGCCTAACTTTAAATGAGTTTTGTTGAATTGTCAATTTCTTTTGAATGTGACATAATTGCCTTGTCAGTTGTCATCAAATACTCTCATTGTCAGAACGTAGTTAATATTTCAATCACTAGAGGGCCACGTTGACAAACAAACTAATGAAAATCAGCCACTATCGTTTCGTGGTTTCAAGATAAGGGACGGACAAAGTAGTTCGAGTGGCTTGACGGAAGTCGACGCGTTTCCAAGTTAAATCTAGTCCGCAGTGTCCCTCAGTATAATTTCAGAAGCATTAGTTAATTTCGTCGTCACATTTCCTTTGTATCACTTTCAATGTAGACATGAAGTAATTTTTTAATATCACAGAATTTCTACCCCTGCCCCTTTATTTCTAATTTTTGCCATCTAAAGTGTGTGTCCCGATATGTAGGCCAGCCCGTGGATCATGCTGAAAGTATTTTTTGTTTAATAGAATCACTCCATCGTTTATTGTCGTCATATTGTTCTTTTTAGATTACCCACGATAAATTCGAATTAAAAACATATCATCAGTGATAGAGAAATAGTACATGAGCAATCTTTGGTTTCGTATGTCCACAGGCCGTTGCCCGAAATAGGCTTACAGTACGTACCTAACCGTAATATAGCTCGGAGCGACAAAATACATAGCAAAAAACTTAAAAAAAAAACATAAAAACTTGTAAATATCATAACATCTCTACTTATTAGTGCCGATAATAGGCCGCACAATGCCTCCATTAGGGAAGACATCGATTTAATATCGTAGATAAAAGAAACCAGCAAAAGTTTTCTCTCTTTTTTATTCAGTTTCAATGTCGGTGAACCTTTATTCGCGAGTCCAGGTACGTCGCCAGGCCATTTTAACTATTTTAATGCAGCAAACAGTGAGGGAAGAGGGTTGCAACGTTCGCAACTAACTTAACAACTAAGGTTAGTATTTTAAACATAACCTCAACTTTGACGGCGCTCTCTACGCTCCTACCTTTCGTCGAAAGTCGGGAGAACTGTCACCGACGGCGACATCTGGCGGCTAATGCAATTTCAATAAGAAAATCAAAGATTTTTACCTACACAGTTGTCATTTTTACTACAACAATACCGCTTTATATCTGTATTAGTTTATTTTAACACCCGACTTTACTTTTACTATGTATTTGTATTTAGATTAAAGAACAAAAGATACTAAACTGCACAAAAATTTAAATTGAAGTTCTGAAAGCACTGATGACTCCATAGAATGCGTCGAAAGCTCGACCAAATCAAGTCAACGGCGAAAACAGCAACAAACAATGAAAATCAACGACTTACATCATATCTTCATAACTATATCGTTTAGAATAATGATTTAACCGCCAGAGTTGCATTTGATTCGGTTTTAGTTCTCTTTCGCAACGTTTTCGCGAGAAAAATTTCTAAATCTAGCAGGGGATGTTTATTTTTTTTTTGATATCTATGATTAAATACCTATTAATGTTATTCATAGAGCGAGATATACGAAATCTAGCATTTCTCTTACAGAAACGGTTACGTCGCGAAATTTGCTTCTTAATTATTATATATTTTTGGCAGTGATCATTGTGTACTTTCAGATTAATTTTTGTTGAAAAAGTGAAAAAAACTCGTGAATATTTAACCGAAAAACTCAAACATTAAAGCAACACTTAAATTCTTAAATGCTTTGGGCGCATCTGACGCCGCATAGATAAAGAAACTAAAGTGAAACTATCAACCACAACAGAAACTAGTAAAGATTAATCCAAGTACAATTGCTTGGAACCAAATCAAAACATTTTAAAATATATCAAACTAAAAACTAATATATTCAATAGAATAAGTAGTTTTCGACAAAAAGTAGGAGCGAAAAAGCGATGCATCAGTTACATTTTTATCGGCGTGATCCCCAGGCGCCCGCTACTGGAGCAGGAGAAGATTGGGGTTCTTCTGCGTTGCGTCTGAAGGACGGGAACTCGGTTACGCTGGCGGTGTTGGGAGCGGCGGCTCTCTGTTGTTCCCATGGACCGCCTTGGACGACAAATCCGTTGTTGGGTTCATCCCTGTTGCGATGGGCGTTGTGGTTTTGAGCAGCCGGTGGTTCGAAGTGGGAGCTCAAGGTGTGGAGTCTATCTCGGGTTTGTAATTCATTGTAGTCTTGCAACTGAAAAGAAAAAAAAGAATGTTAAAACGAGAATAAAATTAATATCAAATTTTATGAATAATCCTGGCACCTAGCAAGTTTTTTTGTTAATATAAGAAAAATTGTATGTTTCCTGCAAATAATTCAGTGTTGTTTTTTTTATTTATTAACTCGTTGACTGCCGATGACTCAAGAGTTGAGTCATGACGGTTTCTATATACAGGCCGATGACTCAACTCTTGGGTCAAGTACACCGTATGACAATTAATTCAATATAGCTTAGGCCTTCAACAACTCAACAACTGTTGTGTATTTTATTTCGGCTTATTCCTAGATATTTTGAAACGATATTTACAGTTCTGGTTTTCAAAAGTGCTCGAAAGAACTATAAAAAACCTATAAATCTATGTAATTTATCTGAACAATAGTTAGAAGAATTCCTGAATTCATCTGATAGTGATATCGAACTATTTTCAAAAAGTGAGAGTGGCTATGAACCCGATGATGATGATCTAAGTTCCCTAACGAAAAAGAAAGAAGAAAAAATGAAACTAATTTAGAAAATCTTAACGATTCACATGCTCGTTCAAATGAAAATATACATAACATAAATTATGTGCTGTTATGGAATGATTTACCAAATTTTAATATTTTCAATATTCTGGTAATCCTGGGCTAAATAAAAACAAGTTTACTTACAGGTAACCAGTATGACTTTTTCCAATTATTCTTTACTGATGACTTTTTTGAACACACAGTGGCGGCAATCAATATGTACGTTGAAAATTTGATTTTGAGCGAAAAAACAAAAGAGCACTTTAGAATAACTATATACCTGGAAACCGTTAACAGTTTCATCACTAAAAGTTTTTTTGGGTTTATGGTTGCACATATGGACAATATTACAATCCTAAGATGTTGCATTTTTCGCCAACACAAGTAGGCCAGACAGGTTATAACGATCGCCTGAATAAGATTAGTCGCCTGGTGGTGAAATTCGTGAAACCACCAATTTCATCACACCAATGTGCTCAACTGACCCACTGGATCCACCATGTGGCCATACTAGCAGTGCCATCTATACTTCAATAGATAAAGTCAAAATGTTTTAGTTTCATGTATAGTTAGAATTTTTTGATACGATGGCTATAATGTCACAACAGGTAAATCATATGTTTGGAGTTCTTACAATTTTGACTGTTTTTTTTTTTGATAAAAAATGGCAAAAATAATTACGGGTAAGCTATTTATCATGTTGACATAGACCTGTACTCATTCTTTAGATTCTTTAGAATATAATATGTAACCAAAAATGTGTTTTTGTATCATTTTTGGTTACACCAAAACAATGGTTTTACAATGAAACCAGTGGACAGCTACAGTTTCTTTATTTCAGGTACTATGCAACGTAACAAGTGGAGTTATAAGCAACTAGAAATGTTGTCCGAAATCGATTTGGAGGATTTATTGGCAGAAATACCCTCAGATAAGGAGTCAATTGTCAGTTCGGGTTCCAATAGTGACTCCGAGGACTTACCAGTGGTTCATCGAGATACTATTCTAGAAACATCTCCACCAAAAAAAATACAAATTCTATCAGACATCACTATATTATCAAGATCTAAATTAGGAGAATGTTCATCAATCAAAAACGGAAATAAATCTGTGAGTGTTACACTTGTCCCTCCAAAAATTTTGAGAATAATTGAAAGTAGAATGAGAAAACAAGCAATATGCCAATATAAACTAATAAAAAAGAGTGATCCGAAAGGTTAACGGACGGTAGATGAACCTTCTAAAGATACTAAGAAAACATCCAAAGTGACAGAAAAGCAAAATATATAAAAAAATCCAGGCCTTATTTTTAATAAACAATTTATTTCAAACACTATTATTCCTTTCAATATAAAGCATGGACCATCTGTTGAGAGTACAATAGAAAATCCTCATGAATTTTTTTGCTCTTGATGAATGAAAATATACTGCAACATTTAGTGTTTCAAACGAATTTGTATGCGACCCAAGAAGGTAAACCGTTCAAGCCAACATCTAAACATGAAATTTTACAATTTTTAGCTGTAAACATCCTTATTGGTATCAAGTCATCACCTAGCTACAGTGATATATATACAGTCTTCACAGGATATTTTGAGGGATAACTATATTTCGAAAATAATGAAAAGAAACAGGTTTAGTTGATTACTTGGGCATATACATTTGAATGATAATTCCCTTCAGCCTGTTAGAAGAACTCCTAATTACGATAAACTTTATAAAATAGGTCCGATTTTAGGAGAGCTACTGGAATCTTTTCAGCAGTACTACAAGCCAGGAGAGCATCAGTCTATCGATGAAAGTATGATTCGTTTCAAGGCCATTCCACATTGAAGCAGTATATGCCCAAAAACCCCATAAAAGAGGGTACAAACTTTGGGTACGTGCTGATGCTGTGATCGGCAAAGTAGACAACCTAAAGGTGGAAACTGGTTTAGGTGAACATATTGTGAAAGATCTCACAAAAACTCTTGTTGGCAAGGGACACAAGGTTTATTTTGACAACTATTTTTCGTCGGTATCTCTTATGAAATATTTATTGGGGAAACAATATTTACGCATGTGGTACAGTAAGAGCTGATCGTGCTAATTTGCCACAATATATTGTAGACGAAAAACAGATTGGCGGCAGGCTTCCAATAAAATTGTCTTCACTATGTGGAAAGATAAGAAGAGAGAATTTTTTGTCCAACTTTCATGATCCTACTGAAATGGTATCTGTTGAAAGAAGATAGAAGAATGGTTCCAAAGAAACTGTGGCTGTACCAACAGTTGTAAAAGACTAATACAAATATATGGGTGGTGTGGATAAGGTGGATATGCTGAAGAGTCTATACGAAATAAATATAAAAAGTAAGAATGGTTGCATTGCATTTTTTTTCCATTTACTTGATTTAGCAGTAACTAATGCGTTTATCATATTTAAAGGTAGAACTTAAGGACGTGCATTATCATTGAAAGAATTCAGATTAGCCGATGTTACAGGTCTTATTGGTGCTAATACAGATACCCAAAATAAGGTACCAAAACATGCAGTAAATAGTTTTAAAAAATATGTAACTATTGAAGTTAGATACAATAGAGTGGCTCTCTCAAGATGTGGGTTATGCAGTACAACCGCAAAGGTTCATCGGAATCGTTGGTTTTGTCAAACATGCGATATTCGTATGTGTTTATCTGACAATAAAAATTGTTTCCAAAAATTCCATACCCTTGAATAAGTGACTTTTGTGTCCCTGTGGTTTCACGGTGAAACCATACTTTTTCTGTAATGTTTGTTACGATTAAATTTAAATTTTCAGAAAAAGTGTTGATTTAATTAATTAAGTTTCCGAAATTCCTTTTATTTTAGAAAAAAATGAGAAAAAATCACTGTGCCGCAAAGGATTAACGATCGAATTGACCGAATTTATTATCTAAATAAACAGTTTTTCTTAGAAGTCAATGGTTCTTCGTCGAGGGCGCTTAGCATTTAGAGAAGATATCAATAACAAGCGATATAAATTTGGATTAAAACTGTATATGTTAAGTCCACCATATGGACTTACATTAAAATTAAGAATATACAGAGGAACAGAGAAATATATGCAGGGAGACATGGGGCATGTCGCTCATGTGGTATTTTCATTGTTGGGAAATTATTATTATGATCAAGGGCATTCATTGTTTATGGACAATTATTACAACAGCCTTGTTCTCAATAAAGAACTTCTAATAAAAAAAAACTTACGTAACAGGAACGTTAAGATTAAACAGAGAAGGAAATCTGACAAAATTGACTATAGGGGGAATTATAACTAAATATACTGACTGAGTCGCAATAGAAAAGTGGCGTGAAAAGGTAGAAATTTATTTTATTTCTACATAATTTAGCGGTGAAATGATTAGTCTAAAGAACAAGAGAAGACATATGATCGAAAAGCCAAATGTTATTGCGCAGTATAACAAATACATGTCAGGGACTGATCGCAAAGATCAGATGTTGTCATTATTATGTCAATGAACGGAAAACGATTAGATAGTACAATAAACTTCATTCATATAATATCAACGATGTTACTAAAACAGTTTCCATTTATTAAACAAACAATCTATTAACAAAAATCTCTATTACGATTTTCGGCATAAAATTATAAATATTTTACTATCAGAAGCTGAGGAGTATGCTATGAAAATAATATACGTAAAAACACTCCATTTTTTGTGCTTTGTGTCCCGATAAGCCTGGGCTTTGCCTTGAAGCCTGCTTCAGGCTATTTCATCCTATCAATTAAAACATTTTTCATGGTTTTTAAATTTGTTGTTTAACCCATTAGCGCCTACAGTCACCATATGGACCCAGCTGTAAAGGTATTGTTTAACACAATAAAATTATAATAAAACAGGCAACCAGCATTACATTTACCGCATGTATACTTTATTTAGACTTGTCTGAACCTGCGTTGATGAATACTCATCAGTGTTTTATTAGATTTCACAAGCTATGGCAGTTAGAAAATCGTGTTACTGTAAAAAGTGTTTGATAATGGACATCCGATTTATGTAAGTAAATTTTCAGTACCATTTTTTGGGAATACTAGGATCAAACCAATTTTACTTATTTTAAAAGATCTTAGAATATAACGTAGTGTGCATATTTTTGTATCAAAATTACAAGGGGCAGTTAAAAATTCATGTAAATATTACTGTACCCATATGGGCTCACTAGGCGGTTATGTAGTCAAAACATATCTTTTTATAATTTCAGTGGAATTACACTACAGGAAGCTTTAGATATCGCATATGAAGAAAATGATGTAACAGACATTTTTATTGAGCCGCCTGAATCAAATTTCCTTACGGATGAGGATTCAGGTGACGAAGACAAAGGTGGTGACCCGGATAACTTGAAACCCCGTCAACTTCTTGCAGGTGCGGAAGTTGTATTTGCAGACTCTGAACGTCTAGGAGGTATACAATCAGAGCTAGAAGCAAGCTATGATAAGGATTTGCAAAACGTAAATATTTGACCACCTTTTTTTCTTAAAAAAAAAGATTTTTTTATTTCGACTTAAATTTAACAAAAATAAGTTATTTTTACGTAGTTTTAAATAAAATTATTTTATATATAAAGAATTTTCTTTTCTCGGCGTTAATGGGTTAATATGCAATATAAGTTTATACGATTGATGTATGTTGTTTATATTTCTAAATTTAGATTGTAATATTGGTTTAGTTACATGACTCAACTGGTGAGTCAAGGTTCAAAATATGATAATTTTTATTGGCATGCCAGCGTATATTTGCTTCATTGATTTGACGAAGGAATTTGACAGAGTTCGCCTGGGAGACATTCTAAATATATTAATAGAAAATGAAACACCGACCAGTATAACAAAGATACTCCATAACCTAAATAACAACAACGTAACCAAAGTTAGAGCAGGAGACGAATTCACTGAAAATATTCCAACACTGGGAGGAATTAGACAAGGCGACAGTTTAAGCCCCTTCTTGTTTAATCTTCTCATGGGCAAAATTATCAACAAAGTAACATCTCTTAATCTCGGATATAGAATGGGCAACAAAAGAATTGGTATGGTGTGTTACGCAGACGATGCAGCAATTATTGCCGAATCAGAAGATGATCTCCAAAGGCAGCTCTTTCAGTTCTTTCAAATCTATTAAACTACTACTGACTACTAAATATGAACATCTCTACCAACAAAACTAAATGTATGACAATAGCAAAAGATCCGCTCAGATATAAGTTAGTGGTTGAGGACAACCACATACAACAGGTGATGCAATTCAGATATCTGGGCATAGATATATCAAGCACCCACGACCCAGTAAAGGACCTGAGGAGTCAAATCAACAAAGCATCTGCACTGTCAGGATGTCTGCGGGAGATAGTCTGGTCAAATCCGTATATGCGCACAGATAGTAAAATTAGAATCTATAATACTTGCATACGACCGATCATGACATATGGCATAGAAGTGCGCGAAGATACCAACAAAACGAAACAGATGCTAAGGGTTGCCGAAATGAAAACCCTAAGAACAATAATGGGGAAAACAAGAAGAGACAGAGTGAGAAATACAAACATTAGAGAGCAGTGCAAAATTCAAGATATTGTAAGATGGGGAAGGCAGCGCAAGAGGATGTGGTACAACCATGTAAGACGAATGGATGAGAATAGACTCCCAAAAATTGCCCTAGAAAACAATCCGCCCGGTTCAAGACCCCCCGGAAGACCACCTAAAAGATGGAGGGATAGTTGGCAATCTACCTCCCAAGAAATTAACCAGAGGCAGCTTCAGAATTAAACAGATCGAAAGATCTACAAAAAGTAGAAGAAGAAGAAGATGTTTTCATGTCCATATTAGTAATACACTAGTACCGGTTTTTCCGATACTCTCAACATTCTTATCGGCATTGAACAATTTTTTCGAATTGTGTACTCTACTTTACGAAAAACTGGAAGCTGTGTAAATATAGAGTACACGCAATGCTCAAAATGATGTAAAAAAATACTTACATATTCTTCGGCTAGATTGAGCAAATGATCTTTGGCTTCGAGGACGCTTTCCTCTTGGCCAGTGATGATCACGAGGTTCTCGTCGGTGTCCCCGTCCCTCGGGAATTTAATGTCGACGTTGAAATCTTCCATGATCTTCCTGATGTTGCGCCCTCGGGCGCCGATTAGTCTGGAATGGACGTTAGAGTCGATGGAGATTTCTTCTTTGACTAGCTCGTTTAGTTCGTTGACGATCTTCATAATATCATCTTTGGCATTGTTGGCGTTGGTTTCGTAACCGGTGATAGTGATGATTGATTCTTCTGGGTCACCTATAAAACAACGAATGATCAAGTAATTGATTTAAAGGACAAAGCAGATTAGAAGCACAAATCCCGAACCTATCTAATAAAATAACATTTAGCCAAACTTAGTCCCTTTTTAGGGTAACACACTCATTCCAGTGGCGGCCCGTGAGGTAGTGCCATAGAGTCATGACACTATCTTGTATTTCTTTTTATCTTCATAAATTATATTAAATGTGGCAACTGTGTAAGCAATACAGTTCTCACAACCGATGCTAGCAACCCACTGCGGACCGGATAATCTGCTGGTGCCAATATCATAGTGGCTCCCATGAAAAGAGAAAGGTTTTACAAGAATCATATGTGAATGACAGAGATTGAGCTATATTATATATTAAGTAATACGTTTAAATGACACTACTCGAGCCAGGCAAGAGATCTCGGGATGGAAGTTTTAGTAGATCTTATCTATTTTGAGTTTATTTACGCCTTCGCTTGCTGCTATAATATTGTGTTTATTGTCTAAAATAATATTTTGATTATTTCGTACGTTTAATTTATTTATTAACAATTAATCAAATTAATATATTAAAAAACTCTTTTGGTGGATTTTCGTTAGAAATAAACTGAAATGAAATCGTAGGCTTCCACGGCCAGAGTCAGAATTATAGTTTATTCGTCTTCCGTGTTTGGACCGTGTCATTTGTGAGTGACCCAAAAGTGGGTTCATCTCGACGTTTCGCTACAATTGTATGTAGCTTCTTCAGGAGAACAAAGAAAAAGAAATCAAAAGACAGGAAGATGGGTAGTTAGCAACGGTAACTCAGTTACTCAACGCAACCAGAGGCGAATACTAACTACCAAGATGGGCATTTGGTCACAGTAACTCAACTACTTAACGCAGCCAGAGGTGAAAACCAAATGCCAGGACAGGGATTTGGTTTTCACCTCTGGCTGCGTTAAGTAGTTGAGTTACTGTGACCAAATGCCTATCTTGGTAGTTAGTATTCGCCTCTGGTCGCGTTGAGTAACTGAGTTACCGTTGCTAACTATCCATCTTCCTGTCTTTGATTTCTTTTTCTTTGTTCTCCTGAAGGAGGAGAACCTTCTCCTGAAATGCCAGGACAGGGATTTGGTTTTCACCTATGGCTGCGTTAAGTAGTTGAGTTACTGTGACCAAATGCCTATCTTGGTAGTTAGTATTCGCCTCTGGTTGCGTTGAGTAACTGAGTTACCGTTGCTAACTACCCATCTTCCTGTCTTTTGATTTCTTTTTCTTTGTTCTCCTGAAGAAGCTACATACAATTGTAGCGAAACGTCGAGATGAACACACTTTTGGGTCACTCACAAATGACACGGTCCAAACCCGGAAGACGAATAAACCAGAAATAAACTGTTTTGTTAAGTTAGCTCACGAAGAAACCAAAAATTCAAAAAGCAGACGCAAATTTAAGGAGCTATTTCGATTTCCAATCCGGAAATCATTTTCAAAAAATTCTAAAATAAAAATTATTGATGATTTTAACCTGTAAATATTTATTATTGGCGGTGTAGACCACGGAAATGAGAATTTATTGAGACAGTTTGATAATAGACGAACATAATTGTACGACAGCATAGAGAGTATTTATAATAATATAAAATCTCAAAAAAAACACACTGTCAATTTATTTCCCAAAGTTTTGGAGGTGACAAGTCTATTGAAAAAACTTGCCACTAACGAGCTTTGGATACTGAATTCACTGAATCAAAAATAATGCGCTGGAGTAAGTGTTAACCCCCTACCCCCCTATTAATTTCTAATACATTGGTATATTATAGCAAAGTTAGACGAGAAGAAAAAAGGACGTTTAGAAGGAAAAAAGAAAGAGTTATACGAAAACGCTCTAAATCTAAACGAGATTGTTAACCACCACAATAGAAAGGACTCGCGAAAATTCTACCAGAAGATAAACAACTGTAGAAAAGAATTCAAACCCAGAATAACAGCATGTAAAGACAGGGATAGTTCCATAATTAGTGACAAAGAACAGATACTGAACAGGTGGGCGAATCATTTTAAAGAACTGCTTAGTGACAGTCGTGAAGAAGGCCAAATAGAAATTACTTTACCTGAAATGGATGAGAACGCTCAAGAGCTGCCCCCCACCGAAGAAGAAATTAGAGAAGCCATTTCAAAACTGAAAAATAACAAAGCCCCTGGTTTGGACAATCTTCCTGCCAAACTCTTTAAAAATGGTGGTGACACCCTTTTTAAACACATGCATAAATTAGAAAATTGAAAATTTTCAAAATAAGGAATTTTCAACAATCGATCGAACAGAACAACTTAGAACGAGATCCTACAGCATACACAAGGAATAATACAAGGAAAATAACAATACCGTACATAAAAGGATTATCAGAAAAACTTAAAAGGATAGGAAATACCTTTTTTGGGGAATGTGATCTGTACATCATGATCTTTCCTAATCTTAGTGATAACAGCTCCCTTCTTGCCGATAATCTTAGGGTGGTACTCTGGAGGTACTTCGACTTGCAAACCGAACGATCTCAACTCCCTGTCTTTCCTATCGGCTTCGAGATCCTTAACTCTGTCGAGAAGCGCTTGCTTGGCATCTTCGACGTTATTTGCCGTACCGGTGATCTTGATGATATCTTCCCTGATGTCTTGAGCAGAAAGGACGATGTGGACGTCATACCTATCCATTAGGTCCTTTACATCGCGACCTTTTTGGCCGATGATGGAACGGTGGAAGTCGAATGGAACGTCTACTGCAATCGTAATTGGAACTAAGTCCAATAGAGCTTGTTTGGCTTGTTGGCAATTTGTTTCTTTTCCTATAAGAAAAATATTTATTACATACACTTACTTTATAGAAATAATCATTATACAAATAACATAATAATCCAAAGTATCATTTCCAAGACTGTTTTTTTTTTAATATCTAAGTGATTTTATTGTACCGGGTGGTCCAATAAGCCGATCTCTCGGCTATATATCAGAAACTATTCATGTTATAACTTTAGGAGAAAAAATTCCTTAGTAAAAGTGGCCAAGAGAAATCGCTGGAAATAACTTTCAAGATTCTGGATTAACCGCTAGGGGGCGTAACCTGCGAAGAAAATTTTAAAAACCAGTTTTTTGGGAAATATGTCCAATTATACCAAGTGTTAAATAAGTAAACTAGAAAGAGGCATAAATTCTGCACAAAGTAGTTCAAGCACTTTTTTTTTATTTTTTCAAATAAAGGGTGGGGGAGAGTGGGAAAGTATTTGTGGATAAATACCTATAACTTTGGTTTGGATCAACCAATTTTAACAAAATTAGTATCATTCGAAAGAGTATGGATGAATTAATTTACATCTACTATAAAATAATTGCATTTAGTTTTAATAGTCGTAGGTAGAGGGGACTTTCAAATAGAAAAGATTAAAATTTGTTTTTTTTTTAATTTTTAATGGAAACACATATTTATTGTAAATTATAATGGAACTGGATTAAATTTGTAACAAAATAGCGCAAACCGCATGTTAATAGCTTTTATCGAACTCGAGATATGAATAAAAACGCATAAACATAAGTAAGTATAGTATTGACACACCCTGTATTATAAAATAAATAAAAAAAAAGTCAGTAGGTACTTTCAAAATTTTTAATAGCAGAAAACTCTTAATGTTGATACCTATTTTGACCATTGTTATTTCATATGATTAAAAATTGTTTTTTCGAAACTAAGTAGGCTACGACAATGAATTTGACAGGGAGTTCATATTGTTTATTTATTGACAGCAGTCAAAATATTGTTAAGAAGTGTTATATGTATTATAATTCGAATTGAAAATTGCATTTTTTTCAATAGATATTAATATTGGTAATATTAGTAATTAATTATCAGTACTAATAATTCGTGATGAGTATATCAAATTGTATGATATGATTGGAGTTTATTTCGAATATCACCAAAATGGCGCTATTGCCTCACGTATATATTCTGTAAGATATCCTGGCAGGAGATATTGTGGCAAAGAAGTAGATATTTCGGACTACTTATATGTGGATTCTGTTGAATTAAAGCAAGAACATTGATTGAATTATCTTCGGTCATAACTCTACTACGTCGTTTAAAACAAGGACGAGAAAAACTACCAGTTTCTCTTAATCTTTTTGCCTTTCTTTAAAATACTTCTTTGCCATAATGTCTCCTGTCACGATATCTTACAAAATATATACGTGAGGCAATAGCGGCATTTTGGTGACATTCGAAATAAACTCCAATCATATCATACAATTTGATATACTCATCACGAATTATTTGTACTGATAATTAATTACTAATATTACCAATATTAATATCTATTGAAAAAAGTGCAATCTTTATTTCGAATTATAATATAGCACTTCTTAACAATGTTTTGACTGCTGTCAATAAATAAACAATATGAACTCCCCGTCAAATTCATTGTCGTAGCCTACTTAGTTTCGAAAAAACTATTTTTTACAAAATAGATATCAACATTAAGATTCTTCTGCTATAATAAAATTTGAAAATACCTACTGACCTATTTTTTAATGTAATTTATAATACAGGGTGTGTCAATACTATACTTACTTATGTTTATGAGTTTTTATTCATATCTCGAGTTCAAAAAAAGCTATTAACATGCGGTTTGCGCCATTTTGTTACGAATTTATTCCAGTTCCATTATAATTTACAATAAATAGGTGTTTCCATTAAAAATTTTGAAAAAAAAAAACAATTTAAATTTTTTTTATTTGAAAGTCCCCTCTACCTACGACTCTGAAAACTAAATGCAAATATTTTATAGTAGATGTGAATTAATTCATCCACACTCTTTCTAATGACACTAATTTCATTAAAATCGGTTGGACCAAACCAAAGTTATGGGTATTTATCCACAAATACTTTCCCACTCTCCCCACCCTTTATTTGAAAAAATTAAAAAAAAGTACTTGAACAACTTTGTGCAGAATTTTTGCTCCTTTCTAGTTTACTTATTTAACACTTGGTATAATTGGGCATATTTCCCAAAAAACTGGTTTTCAAAATTTTCTTTGCAGGTTACGCCCCCTAGCGGTTAATCCAGAATCCTGAAAGTTATTTCCAGCGATTTCTCTTGGCCACTTTTACCAAGGAATTTTTTTCCTAAAGTTATAACATGAATAGTTTCTGATATATAGCCGAGAGATCGGCTTATTGGACCACCCGGTACATAAGGTGGATTAATAATGAGCTTACCTGTTATTTTGATCACATCGCACTGCCTAATAGGTTCAGTATCGATATCTCCGTTAACTTGTTCGTGATTGTACAATTCTTGGTTGTCTCTTTCGGGAAATTTGATTTGCACATCGAAATCTGAAGTAATCATTTGTACTTTACGTCCTTTGGAGCCCATAACGGTCCTATGGTGTTTCTGGGGGATGATGCATTCAATAGTAACCATCGATTCCAAATCTGCTATGATTTCGTTGATTCTGGTTTTAGCTGCTTCTATGCACTCCTTGGGTCCTTTGAGTACGACTCTGTCGCTGTCGACGCCCGAACGAGGGAAGGAGATCATCACTTCTCCGCATTCTTCAGAGATTCGGTTCAGGACTTCACCTCTGCGAGCTACGAAGTGTTTGTGGTGGCGTGGTTCGACTTGCATTACGCTTTCTATTATATTGTCCTACAAAATGAAAATTATTACTTATAAAGTGAAAATATTCAGTAGTTGGTTGTGTCTACAGTTAAAAAAGCTTAGAATTAAGTAAAAACTTCTAGTGCATGGTACAGTTTATAAAATTAAAGGTTTTTATGCCGGTTTTGGAAGTGGCTCTTTGCAAATGCTCAAAGTAAGTGATCATACCACATGTTTTTATATTAACAGTGAAAATTTTACCCCCCTTGTCCATTAAATTAAAGTGGGATTACTTAGGTTTCACGGACGATGATCTGATAGGACCCAAAAACGTATTGGAAGTTTTTACTTAAATGCACAACCCCCTGCCCGAAAATATTAACAGACAACCCCAAACTTTAAAAAGATTCGTACAAGAAACTCTAAATATAGCAATTTCGTAAACACTATAAACTTTTCATACATTTAAATGATTATAATTAGGCATAAACTTACAATATCCTTAATTTTGGATTCCAAAGCGGCCTTGGCTTCTTCGACGGCCTCTTTTTTGCCAATAATAGCGATCACCTCTCGGTCTTCGTCATCATCGGCTGGGAATATTATACGAGCACCGGTGGAGTCTCTGATTTTCTTTATGTTGGCACCATTTTTACCGATGAGGAATTTGTGATGTTGAGGTTTGGCACGCACCTGGAATATTAACCATTTTATAATTGGGACCTTAGCAAAATTAAAAGAAGGACTTAAATCACTTTTAATAACAAAGTGAAACATGGATGATCCGGAGCTGAAAGGACCAAAAAAACTTCAATGTATCTCAACTTTGAATTGAAAAAAATAATAAAAAATATACTGTCGTACATTTTCATGCAGGAAAAAACAATTCACAACAATATTGGATTCTTATCTCGTTTAACAAAATTGATTTTAAGTATTTTTTGAATTTTCTATTTATCCTTTTACATGCACCATGTTGAATTTTGAAATTTTAACCATATAAACCATATAAACATTTACCAACTCAATCCACAATATTTCCCAATTCAGTGCGTATGTAAGCCAATGTAGACTTTTGAACACCCTTTAGCACATAAAATACTACAAAAAATCTGTAATGAGTTATTTGCAAGAGAATACCTACCTCGGCACTAAAACTGGCAAGTTGTCTTTCATTGGCTAGATCCAACAGCTGTTGCTTAGCTCTTTCGACGTCTTCTTTAGGACCTCTGATAGTAACCTTATCGCTTTTGCTATCAGCCGTGGGGAATTTGATAGTGACGCCACCACAGTCTTCCATGATCGAGTGAATGAGCTTTCCTTTGGCACCGATGAGGGAATTGTAGAATTTAGGCGGGATCGTAATTTCTTCAGTTACGATGTTCTCTAATTCGTCTTGGATCTTACGGATCTTTTCGCAGGCTTCTTCGACGTTTTCTTTTTTGCCGGTGATTGTTATGGTGTCGTTTTTGTCGCCTTCGTCCGGAAGATCGATCTTGGTTTGGGTTTCTTCACGGATTTTGCGAATGTTAGCACCACCTGAAATAAACATTGAAATATCGGCATTCACAATAACATCTAAGCAAAGTTGGCAGTTAACGTGTTAAGTGTGTTAAATAATATATAGCAGGAACAGTACCTTTTCCTATGATGAATTTGTGGAATTGTTTGTAGATGGGTAGGTCAATTTTGTACCACGATTCGTTCAGTTCTTTGACTAGCTTCTCCAAGTGCCTGGCGCACTTATCGACATCCTCCTTTGGTCCTCGCACTTTGACAATGTCGTTGCGGTCTCCTGGACCGGGGAAGTAAATTTGTACTTGATTAAATCTATCTCTTATATCTTTGATATTTTCACCTTTAGTACCTAAAATGTATCTTTCTTTAGAAATTACCATCTTTGGTGTGAAGTTAACAGTACTTACCTATGATATTCCTGTAATGTCTTTGTTCTATGATTACGTCCTTTTCTTTTTCGTTCTCTAGCTTGAAGATTCTTTGTTCTAGTTCTGCTCTAGTACTTGCAACGTCTTCTCTGTTGCCTTCAATTCGAACCAGACCGCTCTCGTCTATGTTGATTAGTACGTTAAAGTCTTCCTTAAGTTTATTTACTGAAACAATACAGAGATTAACCACTGAAACAACAACGAATTAACATTTTCTATTACTACATCGGCACAATCTTCGAATACTATGGATAGAAACACTTTGAAAGACATGTTATAAAATGTGGTAAAACTGATCATGGTATTTACTATACTATCCTTAATTCGATTCAGTGCGTTATGTATTACCTCATGAGTCATACATTGTAGTTTTTCAACGAATTGTCTAAAATAACAAAAAATATTGGGGATGTAGGGAAGAAAATTAAGTTCCAATATTTTTTTAATTGCGTGGCAACGTTGCAACGAAATGTAGGCAATTCACAGCAACGTTTAACGCGACTTTAAGTTCTGTTGTTCCGTGTTCCTTACTTATATGAGACTGTGCGTGGGGAGAGTCTAGAAAGACTACACTCATTAATCAGAACGCCGACAGAGGGCGCTCCAATGGCTAATAGGGATATAATGTAAACTCATATGAAAAATTGAAAACAGTGCTTCCCGTAAACTTATCTGGTTTCAGTAACGTATCGATAAGTCAACAACACGAGACATTTTAAATCAAAGGAACAAACTTATTCGCCTTAAGTGGAATTTAGAAGCGGCGTTGGTAGAACGGACAGCCCAAATTCGTAACACAAGTACCCATATCTGGGTTAATAATTATTGCAAAAGCAAAACAGTTTTTTGACGCATTGAGATGACAAGGAGATTTTGTTGCATCATTTGGGAGATTGACTCGATTTAAGTAGAGACATAGGATACAGGAAACAGGAATTCATGTAAAGAAGCTCAGCGGTCACCAACAGGGAGCTGAGGAATTTAAAAGTGAGTTAGAAGAGTTCCTTCCTTCAAATGATCGGAGCTATGAAAAAATTTATATAAACAGACGAATCGGGGCTCTTCTAGAAATGTCTTCCTACTCTCAAAGAGAACGGATCACAATTATGTCTTACAGCAATGCTAGAAAAAACTCATATTGTCAGAATACCGAACCAATTCAAGATTAATTAAATACAATGACATAGGAAGTACTGAATGATGTGGAAAATTGGGAAAATTTTTGTTCTGCTAATTGTAAGATTCTTTGAAAAATTATGAATTGGATTTTTTGTATGATTGTTAATGAATAAGTGCGCCGTGGACAGAGCCAGAAACAATGAATAAAGGTGAAAAAAGTTGCAGGATCGTAAGTTGTTAAAAAATTCCTTAGGTTTCACCCTAATCAACGATGGCATGTGCGTAAAGAAGAGATGGTTTCATCCTATGAGTTTTTGGTATATCAAAAGCAGCTAATTGGTGACTACAGTGCTCAAATTACTCAGATATTGAAGATCTATTTAGACAAAAATACTGTTACAAACTAATGAAAAAAGGTGACCATTGACAAGTTACCTTTTCACTCTAGCTTGTCATAATTTCGCACTATTTCTTTTACAAAAACCTTATTTTTGAAGGTACTTGCTTAGATCTATAGTGCATATTTTGTAGATTATGAAATATGTTGTATTATGACATCCTATATGATATATAGATTAAAAGTTAGTTATTTGCAATACGCACTCTGTTTAAATTTGTTCACAGCCCGTTTGCATAAAAATGTCAGCAAAGTATTATCTGTAAAGTTTAAATATAGTTAAAATGTCACAGAAAATAGTTGGGAACACTGTGTCATTTGTAAACATGTATAAAAAGGGAAACATTCCATTAGTTCCCGTCAAATTTTCTTAATGTTCGAAGTCATTTATTGTCGTTGTGAAAATCGGATAGATGGTTTAGATATCTGGGAATAGATATAACTAGTTTACGGAGATGTTGAAGAAGAAGTAAGACAACAAAGTTTAAAAGCAAGTAAAGCGGCGGGATCTCTTAATGCCACAATCTGGAAAAACAAACACCTAAGACAAGACACAAAAACAAGAATGATAAAGCAGCAATTAGACCTATATTAATATACACGGCGGAGATAAGACCTGACACATCTAAAACGAGACGACTACGACTACTAGAAACAACAGAGTTGAAAATACTCCGACGAATATCAGGGAAAAGTCTGTTGGATAGGGATAGAAACGAAAACTTATGAAGAGCATGCAATATAGAAGACAAATAGATAGGTGACAAAACGGAAACATGAATGGAACGAACACATTAGTAGAATGACAGAGGATAGGATAGTACGAATAGCACGAGGTAAGTCACCAAATGGGTGAAGTATTGCCAGACCAAGAAAAAGATGGTGCGACAATTTAAACAATTTGGGAGGCTAATATTGAAGAAACAGGCTTTAAAGCCTATAAAGAAGAAGAAGAGTGAAAATGGATTGCTTCCGTTTGCAGTAATGTGTTGTGATGCAATCTATAGTGAAATCTAGCGAAAACCCCTCGGATATTAATCGAAAATTACAGTGTGTCGAGGGCCTGTCAACAAAGAAATCATTCGCAAGATGCTACACCAGAATTTAGACATGTGAAAGATTTGCGGTGATATGGTGCCACTCCTTTTCATCCAGGAAGCATAATGATGCAAATGTGTGGTGTAAAAAGGCTGTGTATGTATCTGACAACGTTCAATTCCGAACCACTGTACAGATTTAATTTATTCTGGACTCGTACCAACACTTTCATGAACTGCTTTAAGGCTACGTGTTTAACGATGACCTGAAAGTCCAACTTTTATTAATCTCTTCACCATTAATGAAGTTATTTTGTTCAAAAATTACAAAAAGTAGTTGCAGACGTTCCATTATTTTCGAAATATTTCGCCAAACTGAAAACACTTCAGTGTTGAACGAAAGCCTAAATGTGTTAACACTTTATTACGAAAAAGGTCCAAATACAATATTGCATGAATACAAATTGAAGCATTTACTACACAAATAAATAAAAAAGCTGATTTATAGATGTAAACGTGTACTTACTGTTGGCACCACTTTTTCCAATGATATGCTTAAATAGTCTAGGATCCACGTGCATTTCCAAAAAGGTCATCTTACTGATAAGGTCCTTCGCAATGCTTTCCAGCTGTTCTTGTGCTTTTTCCACTTCTTCGGGCGGCCCTTCGATTTTGATCTTGTCGTCCTTACCGGTAAATTCGACGTGGACCTTTGGCAAGTTTTGTGTGATCTCTTTGATGTTGGCACCCTTGCGACCGATGATGTATTTGTGGATCCACGAGGGGGCGTCCACGTCGCTGGAGCGAACGGAATTGGCTTTTTCATACACTACGCCCAAGGCGAGACCTAGTTTATCGTGAGGGCCTCGCAATGTGATGGTACCTTGAAAAATAAAAGGAGATATATTTATGCATGATTCTAAAAAAGTTCTAAAAAGTTTAGCTTCCCTAACAGCTAAAGACAGAGAAGGACAGAGTGATGTTTCTATGAAGAGCGCCGAAGTTGCTATATTAGCATTGTTAAATTTATTTTTATTTATCGTATGGCAATTACAACACATTTAGAACAAAATTACAAACACTAGTAATATAGGTATATGACAAACTTTAAATAGTTACAAACAAACATCAAGTGTATTAACATAATCAATTGACTCTGAAGTTGCAAACAGGAAGTATTCAGGGTTACCGTTGTAGGATCTTGAGGGACACTCTTCAATAATGTGGTCGATCGTTTGGTTCTTCCCACAGTCACATTGAGGAGACGGATTCTTTCCTCATTTATGTAGCATGTATGCACATCTGCCACGTCTGGTTCGGATCCTGTTTAGAGTGGACCATGTTTTACGTGAAAGATCAAAACCTGGTGGCTTCTGGGTAATGCAGGGCATGTTATTTTGCCATGCATTCCATTCTTGGGACCATGCATTCGTGATGTTGAACTCCTCATGTATCATTCTTGCCGTTTTCATTGGTGGTTTTCTAGAACGTAGACGGGTATTTCGTGCATCCTCGGTATCTTGGTGGATCGGCAGGTTTGTATTATTCATGATCTTTTTGTATTCACGTGTAAGTGCGTCAACTCGTCGTAAATGTGGAGGTGGAATGTGACTTAATACTGGAAGCCATTGGGTGGGAGTTGATTTAATTGTACCAGCTATCATCCTCATAGTGCTGTGCAGCTGAGTGTCGACCTTTTTTACGTGTGGACTGTGTAGCCAAACTGGGGCACAATATTCAGCGGTCGAGAAAACAAGGGCTAAGACAGTAGAGCGGAGAGTGGAAGCCGATGCTCCCCAGGTAGTACCGCAGAGCTTCTGTATAATGTTATTTCTTGTACTCAACTTTTGGGCAGTTTTTGTTAAATGCTCTTTAAATGATAGCGTTCTGTCTAGTGTTACGCCCAGGTACTTCGGTGTTTTGTTGTGGGAAAGTGTGGTATTTTCAAACCGTATGTTGAGTTCCTTTCCAGCAAGTTTATTGTTCAGGTGAAAGCAAACTTCTGTTTTGGATGCATTTGGTTGAAGCCGCCACTTGCGAAAATATTTGCTCAATATATATAAGTCTGCCGTCAGAACTTCTTCAGATGTTTCTAGTGTTCTGCATCGTGTAGTGAGGGCCCAGCCATCAGCGTTTCCGAACTTTCTTGATTTTGTTTCTGGCATATCTGCTAAATATAAGCTAAATAGTAATGGAGAGAGCACTGACCCCTGTGGTAGGCCATTCTTAAGTTTCTTTGGTGGGCTGATATCTGTGCCCATCACTACTTGAAACATTCGGTCGTTGAGCATGCTATCTATTAAACGTGCTATTTGTTTACAGGGGATTGTACGGAGAATTTTGTATATAAGGCCTTTTGTATATAAGCATTGTTAAATAAAATAACCTGACTGTCGATTAGTAAAGCAATTTGTAAATGAGCCACAGAATATTAATAAACATTGAAGGTCAAATCTTAAATACATTAGTCCAGGAGCTTACGCTAAAAAACAGTAAAGGTGTCTCAAACTAATGAAAAAAGATAACCATTGATAAATTATCTTTTCACTCTAGCTTGTCATAATTTTGCACTATTTCTTATACAAAATTCTTATGATTTAAGATATTTGCTTAGATCTATAGTGCATATTTAGCATATATCACATAGTGTTTCAGAGAATATTATATACGAGGCTATTAACAAAATGCTAAGTGATAGACTTTCCCAAAAAAATCTCAACGGAGAAATTAGCAAGTTTGCTAAAATTTGCTTTTACAAAATAGAAATCAGATTTTGGAAGTAGAAATAGCCATACATTCAGTTAAAAAGGTAGAAACGGGATTTAAAGCCTACATACAAGAAGAAAGAAGAAGAAGTACAAAAGAAGGCAAGTGTTGTCTTGATTTTTGTAATAAGTTCATCTCAATAAATGTTGCAATTCTTTTTCATTTGCTCTATCTGATTTCCTCGTTATATATTTTATGACACAATTAACAATCCTACTGAGTGAAAAAGTAAACGTTCTGTTGTTACATAATTGGCGTCCAACGTGGGGCTACCAAGATAAGATGCCACGATGTATAAAAGGGATATACGAAAAGTAAAGAGTGAATTGAACAAGTGATCTCATCTTTATATTAGAAACTTTTAACACAAAATGTATTTTAAAAGTGTATTTTCTTCTGTAGTAAGAATGTTTCAATACATCCTTGACAAACTTGATTTAATCATTATAAACTACGTTAATACATTTTCTTATTAAAGATGTTAATTGTTATACGACATGGAAACATGGACGTTAAGAGTACCTTCCATTAATAAGTTGGAGGTCTTCGAAATGTGGACGTTGCGAAGAATGATCCGCATACCATGGACAGATAGAGTGAGAAACGAGAAAGTCTTAAGAAAGGCAAATACTGAGAGAGAACTACTCAAGTTGATCAACGTACGAAAAATTGGATACCTCGGCCATATTCTGAAAGGAAAAAAATACGCAATCCCTCAACTAATCATCCAGGGAAAGATTGAAGGCAAGAGAGGAGTAGATCGTAAACAAATGTGGCTACGGAAAATAAAAAACTGGACAGGCATAAATAACACTGGCGATCTTTTGCATGCCGCAAAAGACAGACGTCTGGCCTTAAGATAATTCGCCACCGCACTATAGGTGCAGGGCACTATAAAAAGATGTTAATTTCGAATATAAAACAAAAATATCATACATTAAATCGTCAAAAAACTTACCAGTTGGTGAATCAGTCTGTGGAATCTCGACGCTAACACCGGTAGTCTGCAAGATCTCCTGAATCGTAGATCCTCTTGGTCCAATCACGTATCTGTGTTGGCTCTTGGGCACCTCCACTGAAACAGTCCTCAATTTCTTCTCGATCGATTTGTACAAATCCTCGATTTTGTTCTTAGCCGCCATGACACCTTCCTTCTCGCCGGCAATGAAGATTTCATCTTTGTTTGCGGACGGTGGAGGTACATTGATTTTGGCACCGGTTTCTGTCATCAAGCTGTTGAGGTTTTGGTTGAAGGGACCAGTTATGAAAGGATGGAACTGCCTGGGGATGTTCAGGCGTTCTGAGGCCTTCTTGGATTGTTGGTCAGAGGTTACGCGAATTTCGTGTTCGGCCTTTTCGATGCCTTCTTTAGTACCTGTAATTAAACAAATGTAGTAAAAATGAACTGTCAGTAATTATAATTACTGCGTATTCATCTGCACAAGTCACCGACTTACCTGTTATCGTAAGAATGTCTGATGGATCGTTCATGGCAGGTACTGAAATCTTTGTCGCTGTGGTCTTCTCTAATTCTTTTAGTCTGTCACCTTTTTTGCCCAAAATCCATCTGTGGTGTTCTTTTGGAATTGCTATTTGTCTATTTGCCTGTAAATAAAAACATAGTTAGGAAGAATCTGATAAGCAATGACTAACTTTCGATTATTGGCAATATTATGTTGGTACAATTTTAAAAAACCAAAGTCTTGAGCAATATTCACAGCTGGATCACCTACAGGACAATGCGCCATTACACCAAACTAATCATTCTCCCATTACGCATTGGGAAGATTGTAATCATCAAAAACATAGATATCTGCGTATATATGAGTATATATGTGCTGAGTATTCCAGAACAACATTTTACACAGTTTGACAATGCCAGTTGTATACTTCACGAGGTGAGTGTGGAGGTATGTAAACACCACCGACCAACAACGTGACTTCATTAAGTTGACATAAGATATATATTTGCTCAATCCGATCTTCACGAATACGAATAGTTTGTGATATTAGCTTGTTGTTATCAAACACTAGTACCCCATCGTCACTCAACTTTGCACTGGTTCTCTGGGATCTATCACATCTGTAGATACTAAAACTATCTGTAGACACTAAAATAATTATATTGTACAAGCAGCAGGAAGTACTTTTCAAGATCACGGAAATCTTTGTATGAATGCCCCAAAATTTTGATAAAAAACTGTTAATGGAAAGGATACTAGTTTTTTTGTAGTTTGGTACTTCACAAACTGTATGAACAACACTACGGTATCTAAGCATATATTTTTATCGCCAGCAGATTATCTTTCCTTTAGTTCTTTTTTAGCTGCCTTATAAGCGTCTTGTTCCATCTTAGTTTGATCCTTAGTGAGAGCGCCCACCAAAGTGGCGTGGTAAATGGCAGGTAGCACGCATCTAGCATGTTACTAAAAATGTAACCAATGGAAACGAATGATTTAGCACACACCAAAATGATAGTGACGTCATACATTCTAATCATTCGTTTCCATTGGTTACATTTTAAATAACATGCTAGACGCGTGCTACTTGCTACTTGCCACATCAGTTTGGTGGGCGCTCTCACTTAGAGATTCTATAAACAATATTTTGAAGCTTATTACTAGACTTAAGAGCCAAATTCACCGTTTTAACATATGTAACTTTGGTCTAGCTTGATTGTAACTGGATACTTTGCCAACTCGGATAACATGTGATATGGTGGATTCCCCTTGCTGTAAGCCAAGTAAATGAAAGACCTCACACACCTGAGATTTGTCATAGTTATTGCGATCAGCTAATACATTAGAGTTATATTCAGGAATTTTACAAATCATAAGATTTTGAGCTCTATCTATACGTCGTTGTACTTCATAAAAAACTGAATTGGCCGTTGCCTATGAATTGATATTTTCCATTAATGTAATATTTTCTTTGAGACTGGTGATTTCTTCTTCCAGCTTGGCAAACTTTCGCACAAACATAGAAACGCTCTTAAATGCATCAGGACAGGTAGCGCAAAAGTACATAAGTAGACGTTGCTGCAAAATAATTGCCCGTATCTCGGATGTGGAGCATTTTTCTGCCATGTGTATCCTTGAGCGGCAATTGTCGCATGCTATTATTTGCTTTTCATCAGTACCAAGATCTTGGAAACAAGCGCTACAATAATTGGTCATTATAACCTCAAAATTGTATCTTAAAATATTTCAGCAATCCTCGGCTTTTTGTGATATATTATCTATGAAATATAAAAAGCAATAACCGAATTAACTATTACACACAATATTTTTTTAGTTTTTTTAAAGTTTTTAGAAAAATAAAGCAGCAAAATTTTGTTCGTTTTGATAACCTAACCCTAAATCAAACGCACAAATTGCAGAGATTGATTATTGTCGCAGCTTGAAATTAAATAGATTTTTTTATAGCTATGAATGTGTTTAACAAATTCTTAAGATTCTTACCTGCGTTTGGAAATGTGTCAAAATCTTTCGTCTTGCTTCTAGTACTTCATTTTGTTTGCCAGTCACGAGGAATGTCAGTGACTGATCTTTAGCGTGAGATATTTCAATGTGGGCTCCTGTTTCCTTCATTATGTTACCGCAGATATGATTTGATTCGCCTTCGCCGAATTTTTGAACATCGAGTTTGCGTTCTTCATATGGAACTCTAATAAGAAGAAGAATAAGAATAAATAACTACTTTTTTTTAACAAAAAATTATTGCTTTGTTAGCAAGTTTAGGTTAGATTAGGTTTGGTTACATTATGTAAAACATTTTATCTTACCTACTTTTACCAAAAAAATTCTGGATTGTAAGCAGTTTTAAGTTAGATATGATTAAGTTAGGTTTGGTTAGGTTAAGTTTAATTTTGGAGTTTTCAAATCAAAATTGTATAACTTTTAAAAGTTAGTGACAATAGCGGCGAATATATGTAAAATTTTACTTTATGGAAATATCGGCCATATTAATTTGAAAGATTAAAAATCTTGATCACTTTAAACAATATTATGTATTTTTGCAAAGTATTGTACTTATATAAGTAAATAAAAAAAATCAATGATATTATTTTTTAATTACGTTTGTATAGCTAAGACAATTACATATTTTTGCTAGCTTTTCATGCATTTTTTTTGGATATTTTATCACTTTTTGTTTGATTTTTTTGTATTCTTTGATTCATGATACTATAATAACAAGATAGGATCTTCCCGTAGCACAAAATAGGTCGTGTTCGCGCATGCCGTCATTGGAGAGTAGAATTTGAAATCTTGTTAAAGTTAGATGGGATTTGTATGCATTCTGTGATGAAATTACTAGACGAAAATAAGTTAAGAGGTTTAGTAATTACAATAATCGTACACATAAGAATATTTCCAAACTATTTATTAAAGATTATTTATTGATACATACAAAAACTGACATTTCGAACGTCAAACTCTCCAATGACGTCACGACTTATGCGCAATATCTTATCTTCTTAGTCTTAGTTTCATGCTTTGGTTTTTAAGCACTTTTGAAACAATTCACCAAAAATAAGGCTTATGTTGGTAATATCTCATCATCAGGTTATGAACAAAACTGAGTAGGCAGCGTACACATAGTGTACGCCATGTCAGCTACTAAGCCGCACGTGACAGTACCTCCGCATATGTGATGCAATTTGCAATTGTAAGACAGTATAATGAGTATTTAGAATCATATTATAAAATCTCAAAAAATCACACTGTCAGTTTATTTCCCAAAGTTTTGGAGGTGACAAGTCCATCGAGGAAACTTGCCACTAACGAGCTTTGGATACTAAATTCGATGTTTAAAAAAGATGTTACAGTCGACTAGAGCGAATCTTTATACTGTTTTCTGTATTTTTAAAATTTAAATATTTTTAGAATTAAAAGTAATTTTATTATTTATATTTTAAACAAATCAAATATCTGATCATATTAGATTTTTGCCTGTCATACGTATATTATCGTTAATACAGAAATATCATAAAGTAGTATTTATTGACCAATATTGTTAAGAAATAACATGAGAGAACTGACCTAAATACTTGGGTAATTGTTGTCGATCCAACTCTCATCTTGTTGTTGGTCCATTGTCCTATGCTGGAGTTAGTTTGCTGTTGTGGGGTCGATTCCGGTAGAGCTGGAAAAAGATCGTCGTAGCTTCTTACAGAGGGCTCGTAAGCCGCTCCGCCTTCCATCACTGGTTGCTGCATTTTATTGGGATTGTCCTGATTCGTGCCAAGTCGTTACAGCAACACTGCAAAAAATCACAAGTTTTATTTATCATCTATATCTCGCTGAGGCCAAATCGTTAGAATTGACTGGTCATTTGACTAGATTAGTTGTAGATTGGTTGTGATCGAAAAGATGCCAAACAATTTTTTAATCTCTTTAGATTGCTTAGATAGCCAAGATGAAAATTAAAATAAGTGAAGCCAAACCTTTATCCCCATTGTTGAATCTAGTATAACCAAAATGGAATCAGATAGGCCAAAACTAAGTTAAGTAGTACAGTATTACTTTCAAGTCTCCTTACAAAGCAAGAGTAAAATTTCTAGCAATTTTTAGGAAAAAGAAAGCAAAGCAAGCCTTTGCAAGTTTTTGCAAAGGCCTAGGAACGCGTGAAGCTCTTTTTTCACTTCGAAAACGTTCGATAAAGTATGACATGAACAATTAATGAATGTCCTGAAATCAAAAAAGATTGACTACAACGACCTCAGGATCATACCCAATTTATACTATAAACAGCGAGCAAAAGTAGGAGCCTTTTGCTCTTGAGATGGCCCTTGAAGATATTAGATCCGCGTTTGAATGGTGTTCATTTGACTAATGGAGAACTAATTCGTAATGCTGAATTTATTGATAATATGACTTAGCCATATTATACCCAGATGACTCAGCAAGTTTAATGACACAATTGGAGTATCACAGAGCTACAGGATTTATTGCAAAACCATATGTTCCAAAGTCCATCAATATGTTAAGAGACCGAGATTTGATAAAAAGGAACCTGTTTTGGAACAAAAAGTAAATTAGCAAATTTTATAAATGCCTGTAATTAGCTACTGAAAAATTTTAGTACATAATGGTTTAAAAAAAAAGGACTCCTGAGCAAGCTGAGTTACTTTTATACCTCATAACTTAAAACTATTGGACCAGGAATCAGCGATGTTCAAGTATGAAGAATAAAATCCATCTACTTTGCACTAGCAGCCAAAGGAGGGTCTTGGACAAATAAGAGGCAGTGAGAATGGTATTGCAGTGTGACGATGATGATGTGTCAGAGTCGACAAAAGATAAAATCATATTTTCGGACTCAAATTAATTTTTTTTCAACTTTTTGTTTATTAGGTTAAAGTTTTTATTTTGTATTTTATTCTTTTGAAAAAAATGAGAATATTCATTACTAATCCTGAATAAGTACAACATAACCTTGACTTTAAACCATCTGTTAAAATCCTGCATATTTATCAAACTTGGCAATCTGTTGTTGGAAAATATTTAAATTGGAGAAGCAAATGTTGTCTTTAAAATAAAGAGATATTGAATGTGGAGAAACATTTGGATATGCTACCACATATACGGAGAATTTTTATTATGTCGAGATTTGTCAACTAAATTAAGAAAAGGGGGGGCCACATATTTTTTTCTGCTTTTAGGACTAAGTGTTGTTCCTGCTAAAAACTAAGTCTTGGGATTCTGACTCCCACCTTTTGTACCTTCGTTTTGGAGGTCTTCCAGGTGGTCTCAATGTATTGGCTTTTTGAGACCATGTAACTTTTGCAAGCCTCTCATCATCCATTCTAATGATGTGGTCTCTCCAATTCCCGCGTCTCTGATCTTATAATATTCCGGACGCTTCATTGTTTTCTTACAAACTAAATCCTTTTTTCAGTTTACAAGAGAGTAATCAGACAATACAGAGACATATGCCACTGCTGAGGAAGAAATACCATAACCAATACTTGATGAAATATTTAAGAGTTTTGGAAAACCACTAATGGTTGTGATGAACTTAAAGAAGGGTCATATACTTTGATATATCTTACTTAAACAATTAACATGTAGTTTCAGAAAAAATAGTGGAACAAATCGTTAGCATCCATCCAATCTTGAAGAAACCTATGGGAATATATCCTAGATGCCCTCAATTTATTCTAACAAGCCTACTATCCCATCAACAAATCACTGATGTTAGGCCATCAGTGCCTAACGCTCAAAAACTGGAAATTGAGTTTTTTCTGAAAGACTGAGCAGAAATACAGTCCCTGGAAAAAAACGTATCCCACAAATGAATATACAGCCACTGGGCAGCTTCCTTACAAGATATTATAATCAACAAATTTGCTTATTACTCCATTGCTTGTAAAGTAGACTGTAAATATGCAGTTATTACAATAAAAATAATAATTTGACCATACATCATTGTAAAAACATGACAATACTTCATTAGTTTCAATTTTCTCATTTCTGTCCAATTTCTGAAGATTATGCCACAATATAGGATCACCTTAGCATAAAATATAACATTTAATTATGAAGCGCAATGAAAATTGTAAGGGAAGTCGAAATCTATATCAAAATATTCAATTGTAAGACATTGTACAGAGTTAGTTCTAACCATGTAAAAAAAACTCAAAGCAACAGTGTCTGTTGATTTTCCAACGTTTTGGAGGTGGCGAGTCTATCGATAAGAAATCGCCACTAACGAGCGTTGGATATCAGTTAATAATTGTACAACTGAAGAATAAAACAACTTTGTCGGCGTCACTTTTACATTTACTAAAATAAAAACCAGTGTAAGACAAGACCAGGTTGGACTGATTATTAAAAACAAAACGAGAACCAAAGGCGAGAATGAACTAATGATTTATTGTTACATTGACGTGGAAAAACTTAGTAATGCTTGCTTGATATTGAAAACTGAAAAGAATAATTAAAACATTTAGACAGAAGAGTTATGCTTCATGACACATCAAATGATACATATATCCAAAAAGAGTCACCACAATTACCAAACAACAGAAAACAAAGGAACAGATCAAATCGATAAAATCTTAGCTAACCATGATGCCCATCTCCAAACCTTATGGATCGACTCACCATGTCAATCTTTAAACAAACAGAAATGATATAATAAAGTTAAGATGTATTAAGAGAATTTTTATCCATTCCAGGAATTTAGTATTCCCTGTAACTCAAGTACAGTAAGCTTATCCAACCAAATGTAGCATAAACATTTACAGATTGTGTAAGAATGTTTAGAAGAGTTATTAAAATTCAACAGGATGTGATTCTCAAGACTATAAAAAACGAAAATATCTTTAGGATACTAATGCAACTAAATTTCCATGATATGGATATTCCGTGAATAGCAACATTACATATTTTGGATTGCATAACATTAACACAGAAAGTGCAATTTTGAAAAGTTAAAAATTGAAAGACTTGAAAGTTGCAATAAAAATATGGAAAAAACTTTTCAGACCTTTAAAGGAAGATGTTAAAGAATATTTTAGAACATTATCATTTGAAGCGTCATTTGAATTTTTTTCCAATGTTTTTGACTCCTGAAAATGCCATTTTTACGATTTTTTAGAGATAAAACCCATTCTAATTCGAAAAAGTCTACCCGAATATTTTTTTTTCAGAATGAGGCAAAAATAAGAAGCCATTTTCCACTCTTATTCCCGGCCAAAAAATTGTTTAGAAATTTTCAACCATGATTTTTTTTTTTTTTTTTCATCAAAAATCATTTTCAATCTTCATCATTTAGATTTGTTATCAGGTGACTACTTAGATAAGTTTATACAAAAAAAATCAAATTGGAATAGTTTTTCAACATCCCAAATAACCTAGACTAAATGTTATAATTATTAACCCCCAATCCCGTTAAAACACAAACATCATCATTTGGCAGCAAGTCCTTGAAATTTGTTTATCTCAACAAGTATATTTAACACAGACTTTTATCTTTTTTATAATATTAGTTTGTTTCCTGATAAAAGTTTATTTCAGCTGATAAAAATCTTTGGCTACTGATTTGTATTATACAGTCGCCAAAATATTTTCAACGAAAAAGTATGTTTATATAAATTATAAAATACCTATGTAATTATTTGACAAGATTAAAAGTTGTATAAGTTTTTATCTTGTGTTATCTGACATGCTTTATTAGTCTCATTTTTTAAATCCCTATTATTTCATTCTCGTTTTGGTTGCTGATGTAGGAAAACCTGAGGTAGGTTTTAGCTTTTTAGCAGTCACTTTTGAATCTGTCCTTTCCATGTAATCTGTTTTGTCAATCGAAAAAAGCAGCATCTGCTTCTCTGAAGACTACTGAAGAAGAATTTTTTCAATACAGGAAGATTAGAGCTCAGTACAACCTATCACTGATATTCTGGGCTATACCATTAGTGATTAATGGACACCAGCTGGTAAAAGAAGACGTGGAAGACCAAGATCTACATGGCTACAAGAAGTAACAAATGATCTCAACAGGGCGGGTGTACGGCAATGGAGCGAAAAAACCAGAGATAGGAAACAGTGGAGAAAAATAACAGGATAAATTAAATAAAGAACATGAGGACTGATCTACCTCGTAACATAGATCTAGAGAGCTTAATCGGCGTAACCCTGTGTGGGGTGTTTAGCCACAATATATATACCATTAGTGATCCGGCCTTGTGTCTAAGGTGACAGCTAAAAGTACACTCTGTAAATCTTCGTTTATCTCTAACATGCTTCCGACCAACTATACCAACTGTAAACATAACATTTTACCCATGCATATCATTCCCAATTAAGATGTTGACTAGCAAATGCAAATATTTCCATGTGATGTCAAAGCAGCTCTAGACTATTTACATAGCATCTACTTATTTCTATCCCCCAAATCTTATCACCATCTACTTATCTCTATCCCCAAAAGTTTTGTTCTACACTATTGTCAAATCTAAATTCCTTAAGGAAATCACAATAATTCGGAAATATCACAATTTTGACAACTTATCTTCACTAAATTTCTCCTCGATTCTCCATATAGTAGAATAACTGATTTTTGTAACATTTTATATCTTTCACACTACAATTACAACAATTGTCTTTGCAGGAACATCTGACTAAGTTCGCAATGGTAATTAAAGCCAAATACAAATAAAGCAGAATAAATATAAATAAAATTAATTTAAATGAATTAGAAAATGGAAATTTTAACATCTATATAATAATTGAGAGTTACAGCTGGATATTTTATTAAAATTTAATGACCATTTAAATTAAATTTTAAGATTTCCGAAGTGGAAATTGAAACGTCAATAAACATACTTGTGGCTTATTCCCATTTAAATAGTAATTACTTTAAAATGCCACAAGAAAATAGCTTCAGAACAATATTTTAAGAAGACGTCCAAAAAAATATTTTTTTTCTAGAATATCAAAAGAGTTATCAATGCAGCCAATCAATAAATCAACAATTCAACCTCACTTTGTCCATCTATGTTGTATCTTTTTAACATAACATCATCATTAACATCAATTACAAAAACTCCAAAATAAAGGGATGATATTAATTCTAAGGATTCCAAGAATAACCTGATAATATTGATGTTAAAGTCTTTCCAGTAGTTTTGGTTTTTTTCTGTTGTATATTATTCAATTTGTACTTTATCGCTTGTAAGGTTGTATAAAGATAATTGCAATTTTATTTATGTTTCTGTTTTTACTGCGAGAACTAAGTAAAGGTTGACGTCATATTTATGTAAAAATGGTATATCCGTTAATTAAATAAATAAATAAAAAAACTAACTGGGACAAATAATACCCTAGCAAATTAGAAGAAGATATCAGTCAACAAGTACTTAAACCTTAAAACAACAAGGGAGACAGATGAAATTCTAAAAACTTTAAACAACACTATCATAGAGGCCATACAAAATGCTAAACCTAAGAACAATAAAGGTAGCAAAGCCCAACACATCTCAGCTAAAATAAAAAATTTGGTAGCTTGAAAAGGAATGCTAGGACCAAATGTCACCAATACCATGCCCCCACAGACAAAACTACATTAAACAGGCTAAGCAATCAACTAAAATCAAAACTTATAGAAGCACAAGAACTTTCATTTACAAACTACATAACAAATCTTAACCTGTACAACAACTCAATATGGAAACTGATCAAAACTCGTAAAAATCTAAAACTCAGGTACCTCCAATTAGAAACCAACAGGGACAAACACTGCAGTGGACCAGAAGTGATGGGGAAAAAACAATGCTACTTGCCAAACAACTAGCTTAAGTATTTACTCCCAAAACGAAAGCTCAAGACATTGAAATTGAAAGAGGCATAAATAACATTCCAGCGAACATACCAGTAATCAGACCACTAACCAAAAACGAAGTTCAACAAGAGATTCAATATTTAAACATAAGAAAATCTCCTGGGCTCGACCAAATAACACTCAAGATGATAAAGGGACTACCAGATAAAGGAATCATACTATTTACTCCCATCTTACATTTACAATGCCATTCTACAGTAGAATAATACTAATTCCATAAGCAGGAAAAAATTTAAATGAGGTTTCATCATATAGGAACATAAGTCTACTACCAATCACATCCAAAAAGGTTACTGTTACAAAAAATTAACTCAGGCCCCAATTGGAAAAGAACACTCAACAATACAGCAGGTTCATGGAATAGTACACTCCATAGATTCTGCAATAGAATGCAAATAGTACTGCACAGCTGCCTTTCTAGACTTTAGTCAAGCCTTTGATAAGTCCACGAATGTCACCACAGGGTATTATAAACTTAAACAATAAACTATTTTGTTTTTTGTTCTGAATTGTATATAAATCTGACTTTATACAAACTTGCTCATATTGAAACTCAAAACACTGCTTAAAAATTATATAAATGTTTTGATATTATTGTATTGTAGTAATAATTATTTTAAAGAAAATACAAGCAAAAGATCCAACTTCCCTTTATCAAACAATCAACAATGATAATAGTATTAACGAAATGCCAAATCATTACTTAAATATTCATTAAATAGTAAATCTATTATTGAAATATTCAAATGACAAACACCATTAATTGCTTGAATAGATAAAGCTCTATAAATCAAAAAGACTAATGTAGGTAAAGATTATAACTTATTGTCAGTAAGAGAAAGCCAAGAAATGTCAACAACTTCGGAAAAGTTATAAAAAATTATATTGTTCATTGCCCTCTCAAGGATCATCATCAGAAATGGCAACATTTCATCTAACTGATTTAGACGGGAGGCTGTTATATGTCCGCAATAAAATTTATCAAATTTTCACTCATTAAAGCCTTAATTGATAGATTCGAAACGTACATTTTAAAAAATTAAAAGGCATATCTACAAATGGTGTCTATTCAACATATGGAACTAGGAAAGACCATGTGGCTAAATTTTTACGAAAAATTATCGGAATTTTAACAATACAAATAATATAACAGTGGTAATAATTAATTTACTTGTCCCCGTATTTGCTTTCATTAGCCTAAATTAAATCAGAAATGCTGTATTTAAGTCTACGTGTCATCTCCAGCATGTTGACCTGTACCACAAAACAAACCCGAAAGTTAATAATTAAAGGAAACTTACTGTACTGTAAAAACAGAAAATCCGTCCTAGAAAATCCTGGATCTTCGTAGAATCTCCAGCTTTACTTGGTCTTGCTGAAACAGGAAATAAAACGTTAGATTTTCACACCGAAAAAATATTTACACGTTGACGTACCTACTGCCAAGTAGAAAATGAAGAAAATTTAGATAAGAAGAGTACTCTCAATGCGCAGTGTCGAAAACTCATTCAACTGCTCAAGTACGTAGACACCGAATTTACCACCTTGTCAGGAAATTGCAATCTGCTGTCGACGTAGCCCCAGCTTCCAGTAGTTATTGACAGATGGCATAATAATCAAAATTATGACAGACTACGTTTAAACTAACTAAAGAAAATGTATAATTTTATTCAGTTCGTGTAAATTAATAAATTACATAATCACATTTAAAAAAAAAATTATATTACCTAGGTACCCATACAAGGCTATTTTATTTGGATAATGAATAAAATTATACTGTTTACTAAAGCAGAAAAAGCTCAATTTTTTTATTAACTTACTTAAGATATATAAAAGTAAAAGACAAGTTTTCCAATCCTAAATTCACACATTATTTATAGGGGAAGGGGGAATAGTGGTCGCCTAAGCATTTTGGTTTATTTATACTGCTACATAGCTTTAAAAATTATACTCTTAACGTAAATAAAACTTCAAACCTTAGTACTTCAAACTCTATTTACGAAAAATGATTCAGACTTCTGCTGGTAGCCATATTTACCCGCTGCCGAGGGGTAAAAAACTGCCACTATTACACAAAATAATGTGCCACTATGCAACAAAAATCTACACTAAAACATTTAATAAATAAAAAAAGAAACAAAATCATTTAAAACATTTTATTTCCTATTTCGTACGTCTTCGGACAAAAGTTTTCTATTAGATTAAAAAAGGGTGACTTGTTCGTCAGCAGACTTGTGTTTCGTTTCGGATCCCAAGTATGGAAAGTATAACTTTTCTGGAAAGTATCCATGACTTTTTCTAAATTTTCTTCTTCTATGTACTTTTCAAAAGAGTTGGTGTCAATTGGATAAAAGTATTTGCTAGAAAGGACTGTGATATCTTGGCATATTTGAGCACCGACATTTTGAAATGCTTCAGCTTCACAAGTTGATTTTAGGAACCTACAATAAAAATATCTAAAACAATAAAACAGGCTTTTCATAGTTATTTGAAAAGGAACCAAAAATTTTATTAAATGAATACTGTAGCAATTTCTGTTGGTAAATCGATTAACAATTCTTCCTTACCGTGTAAACACGTCAGAATTATCGGATTTTTGGAAATTTTCACTGAACGTGTTAAAGTGAGGGTTGTTGAATTTAGTAGCGAGAAAATTTAGTGAATTGGATATTAGTCTATGACCAGGACCATCCGCCTGGAAACCAAGGATATCTGTACCAACTTTTTGACTAGATTCCATACCAACAAAGTTAGCAGGAAGGTCGTCCAGCGGTTTGGTAACTATCATATCAAGGTCTATCCATATTCCTCCATATTTCCACAAAATAATATACCTAAAACATATATAGAGTTAATATTATTGTTGTAGTAAGTTTTAAGACTGTAAAGGTAAATAAATAAAAGTGGATCAGTAGACGATAGGGGAGACCGGGGTTAGTTGTTATAATTTTTACATTTATTTTTTTGTGCATTTAATATGTAATGTTGACCTCATAAAAATTGGTGTAAGAAGCACCCGCTTTAATATAAATATTTTAAATATTAGACTTACAGAATAAGTAGAAACTGGGATCTAGTAAATAGAAACAAACTAGGGCAATATAAAAAGATATACAAAGACCTTTTAAAAGAACAACTTACCCAAAAATTAGACAGTGATGATAAAGATATAGACGAAATAGACAACATACTTACAGCAACGATGATTACATCAGGAAGAGGAATAGCAAAAAAGGATCTAAAAAAGAACAACTATATATCAACAGAAACAAAGAAGCTTATGGATAAAAGAAGGAAGATGAACGAAGGAGGCAAAAGGAAATCTATAGAATATGTAGAAATCAATAAAACAATAAGCAGAATGATAAAAGAAAATAAGAGAAAAGAACAAGAAATCAAAATAGAAGAAGTAATACAGAACAACAAAAATATGAAATGCTTAAGGCTGAAATTAGGTAAGTTTGAAATAAACAAAATAAAAGATGTAAATGGAGTAGAAACTAACGTTAAAAATGACATCATAAATATAATTCACCATTTCTACTCAGAATTAAAAACCAACTTAAGGTTAAAATAAAAATGTCAACTTAGAGCTACAGCCAGAAATAAGCAAATCAGAAATAAAGAGGGCATTGAAAGAAATGAAAAACAACAAATCGCCTGGAAAAGATGGAATAACTACACAGATGCTGAAATATGGTGGAAAAGTGGTAATTAATACTCCAAATTCCCTTTTTAAAAAGATATTAAAAGAAAAAAGAATCCCAAACAACTGGAAGGATACAGTAACCATTATCCTACATAAGAAAGGGGATAAAGCAGATATAAATAACTACCGTCCTATAACACTCCTCAATGTAATGTATAAACCCCTAACAAAAATTTTAACCAATAGATTGACGACAAAATTCGAAGGATACCAGTCGAAAGAACAAGCTGGTTTTAGAAAGGGATTCAGCACAAGTGACCATTTACTAAGTATGAAAATACTTATAGAACGAAATCCACAAGGGAAACAATTCCTGTAGCTGGCTGTATACCACGTATCACAAAAAAAGAGGTTAGTCTTCGTAAGTGGGTATATTTATTTAAAAACCCTTAAAAGGGCTACATCAAAAAACAAACGTTTTCGGACTAAACAGTCCATCATCAGGTTTAAAATCGCTAGGTTTAAATGCCTGAGCCACCAAAATACATGGGTAAAAAACCCTTTAAATTACATATAGTTATAAAAGATTATACATCTTGTTGTTAAAAAACTGTGATGTTCAGTATTAAATTAAATATGACTTCAGGTAACATACATTGTAAAAATTGAGTTCCAGAGCCGGGGAGAAAACCTCTACACACGGAGAACAGCTGGAAACTGTTATTATTAGTCGTAATTCCATTCCAGTAACAGGAAATCCAGCATCACTAAGGCTATGAATACATTGTACGAAGGTACAAAGTAACCCCGCTATACGGTATATTTGTTTAGTCTTGCAAATTGTATCAAATTATCCCCAACATAAATAAATAATATAATATTAGAAAGTTTTGACATTTTGTATATCTAATGGCCATCCGCTCGTTATGAAAACAAATCAACTCTTCCGCTATGACTATAAATATGAAAATGTTTTACCAATACATAATACATTTATGCATATACATATATACATAATAATACATTTTTTTATCCCACTTTAATAAAATAGTCGAATTGATAATTGCAAAAATCCAACATTGTAAATATACAAATGGTTACCAGGAAAACATTTAGAAATATTCTGAGATTTATGAAAAATGGACATGCTGCTAAATATCTTTTAAATAAAGATAGTATTCTAAAGTAATTAGAATAGTACACATTTCTTCTATCAGCTTACTATATAATTCAAATATGCAGCAATTTTTATAAATGTATTAAATTATAGTGTAACCAGTTCGGTACTAAGGTTGTATGGTAGAGTTTTGAAGAAATTAATTGAAAAGCATTTTCCAAATGTCGAAGAACAAAGTTTATATGTATGTATTTAAATAAAAAGGCCATATTTACCTAAAAGAATCAAGCGCATCGTTTATCACACCTCCAAACTTCTCCGAAAAGGCTGGAGTAAGCACGTCCTCCATAAAGGTACCTTTGCTAAACTGATTAATGTTGGCGTAAACAAATTTAATATTTTTGTAAGTCAACAATCCTTGTATAAGCTTATCCGTATCGTCGTCTTCCATTTTAATAACACCAGGAGAATTGTAAATCAGAGTTACGTCATACTGGGGGTTCAACCTGGCTGCGCTCTCCACTGCACACGCGTGTTGCGCGGAGATGGTAATCTTGTCCTTAATGTTAGAGTCGCAAGAAGTTTCATGGAAAAATATCCTTTTTTCTGATGTGACATCTAAGTCCAATATGTTAGGTAGAGTTTCCTTGTCTTCTATGTAATAGCACTCCTTTGGATATGACGCTGCTTTATCAGGTGTTGAATATCCCATCATAAATATGCCACAAAGTAGGACTATTAATAGCACCAATGAGGTCAAGTATTTCCAAAAAGTTGTCCTTTTTCTTTTATAGGTGTAAAGGATGATATAAAATAAACGCATGGTTCTGGAATCTTGCTAGGAAGTACTAAGCTGAAAAATTAAACGAAGATGTTAAGTTAAGAATAATTTATTGAATATCAGGAAATGATCCCGGACCGGCTTGAAACTGGAATAATACAAGCATGACTGGAGCAGTTTGAACGGTACTGCAATAGGGAAAACAACGGGAAAACCACCCCATTATATTTCCCACAAATCTAAATGACAGAAAGAGAATGGCCCTCAGTCCGGATACCTCTTAAACGGGGAGAATGTGCGAAAAATCTCTCCGTCAACTACTATTGAGGTCCAAGGAAGTGGACAGAGAATCCAAATATAGGACACGATGATACGCATTGCCACCTGGAACTTACGCAGCTTATTCATATTAGGGAAACTTGCAAACACTGAATTAAGATGAGAAGAATAAAAATAGACATTTTGGGGATGAGTGAAGTAAGATGGCTTGTATCAGAAAAACAAAAAACAAAAGATGGATACATCTATTGGTCAGGAGGATCCTGCGTATGCTAAGATTTGTATCGATCTATTGTAAATAGTACCGCCATCTCTAATTCGTGTGTCTTGGATTGCCATTTCCATGGCAATATTAAATAGGAGGCAAATCAAGGCATTCTCTTGTCTGAGTTCATCCTTTTTATCTAAGGATCAAAATTTTCTTCCTGTATTATACCGCTGGCTTTTAAGTTAGACATTGTTATACTCGTTAATTCTGTTCTTTTGACACTGTCGTATGCACCCTTGAAGTCAACGAACAGGTGATGGGTTTCAATGTTAAATTTCAAACAGGCAGTGACCATAGACTTATCAGAGCAAAAATTGTTCTAGATCTGAATCTAGAAAGAATAAAACCAAGAGTAACCGGTATAAATATTAACAATCTAAAAGAAAACTCAGATCGCTACCAAATGACAATTGATGAAAGATTACATGACCAAATCGATAGCTCTCAAATAATGGAAATCATCCTTGATAGTGCCAAAGAAATTGAAGGCTCGCAACAACAAAATAAACATAGTAAACTGCCTGATAAAACCAAAATAATGCTAAAGCAAAGAAGGGAAATGAAAGTAAGTAGCAACATACAGAGAATACGATACACAGAACTTTGTAAGACAATAAGGAAAAATATTAAAGAAGACATAAGAAAATACAATGAAAAACTGGTAGGAAATGCAATGAAAAGCGGTAAAGCAGCTGGAATAGATGGTATAACAGTGGAACTACTTAAATACGCTGCTAAACAACCTGGAAAATCTTAGCAGGCATATTTACGAATTGTCACAAAGTGGAAAAGCCGAACTGTTTAATTCACGACGACCTAGCAAACGACAATGGAATAACGATTTGCGGATATGCACATGGAATGTACGAACCCTTTATGCCCCAGGTGCTCTTAGACTGCTAACACAAGAACTTGATAAAATGAAAGCCGATGTAGTAGCGATTCAAGAGATGAGATGGACTGGTTCAGGAATTATCGAGAAAAGACACTACAATATATACTATAGCGGACATAGCACCCGACACGAGTTTGGCAGTGGTTTTCTAGTCAGTAAAGAGCAAAGCAATTAGTCCTTAACTTTAAACCCATAAACAACAAAATATGTTATCTACGTCTTAAAGGAAAATTCTTTAATTATAGCTTACTTAGTGTACACGCACCTACGGAAGAAAAGGAGGATAATGAAAAAGATGAATTCTATGACACCTTAGACAAAGAATATGATCGATGTCCACATCATGACGTGAAAATCATTGCTGGGGACCTTAATGCAAAAATTGGCAAAGAGCAATTTTTCCAGCCGACTATAGGACGTGAGAGCTTACATGAAGAGTCAAATGATAACGGATTGAGACTAATAAACTTTGCAAGTACTAAAAACATGATAGTAGGAGGAACAAGATTTCTCCATAAAATGATACACAAAGGAACATGGAAATCCCCTGATAACGAAACCATTAACCAGATAGATCACATCCTGATAGATGCAAGGCACTCTTCCGATCTCATAGACGTCAGAAGCTACCGAGGCCCAAACATTGACAGTGACCACTTTCTTGTAATGACAAAAATCAGAGAAAAAATATCAAACCTAATAAAAGATAAACACACGAAACAAGTCAGAATTAATGTTGATAATCTGCGCACTGAAACCGTTGCGAGAGAGTATAGGAGACAAATGAAGGAGGAAATGGAGAGCCTGGAGGTGGGGAAAAATATAGAGGAACTGTGGACAAAATGTAAAAACATAATAACTGAGAAAGCAACAAAAGTATTGGGGAAAACCAAACCAGTTAAAGAAAACGATTGGTTTGACAAGGAGTGCCAAGAATCAACAGATAACAAAAACGGGGCATACCTAAAGACAAATCAAGTTGGATGCACAAGAAGAGCAAAGGAAGAATACTGGACCCTAAGAAGAGAAAAAAACGATTATATAGAAGAAAAAAAAAGACAATTTGAGCAAAAGCAGTTGGAAAGCACAGAATGGCTAAGAAATCAAAATGAAACTCGAAAGTTCAACAGAAATCTAAACAAAATGCGCAAATAGTTTAAGCCAAGAATAAGGAGCTGTAAGGATGTAGAAGGAAACATCCTAAATGATACGGCCTCAATCCTAAACATATGGGTTGAATTTTTCGATGCAAAATTTAATGGCCATCATATCGAAGAAGCAGATAACTCCCTAGTAAATCGAAATGATTGGAATCCTTTCAATCAGAAATCAGAAGAAACCGAACAGAATGGCGACGAATCTTGGAGCAGGCCAAAATCCACAGAGGATTTTCGAGCCAAAGATGATAATGATGATTAAAGAAGACATAAGCAAATACAATGAAAAACTGGTAGGAAATGCAATGAAAAGTGGTAAAGCAGCTGGAATAGATGGTATAACAGAGGAACTACTTAAATACGCTGCCAAACAACCTGGAAAATCTTAGCAGGCATATTCATGAATTGTCTAAGATCGATATTCATACCAGACCACTGAAGTACAGAAAACATAATTCTCATTTATAAGAAGGGTAGCACAGAGAATATTAAAAACTACAGACCTATAAGTCTACTACCAATCATATACAAGATATTCACAAATATCATCAACAACAGATTAACAAACTCATTAGATGCTGTACAGCTAAAAGAGCAAGCGGGATTCAGAAGTGGATTCAGTACCATTGATCCAAAGAATATAAAATACCGCTTAGCATTAACCTTCATAGATTTCGAGAATGTTTTCGATTCTATATATCCCAAGGCAGTAATAGAATCCAGGAGAATACCTCAGCCATCTAAGATTTGTAGACAACATCATTCTAATTGCTAATAATCCTGCAGAACTACAAGAACTTATAAGCGACCTAAATACATCTAGCAATGAAGTTGGCCTAAAAATGAACTTGACAAAAATGAAAATCATTTGTAACGAGCTGGTGGATGTCCAATATGTAATAATAAACAACACTACACTTGAGATAGTAGACGAGTAAGTATACATAAGAATGAAACTGGCTTGGGCATCTTTTGTTAAAAAGGCAGTTATATTCAAATCGAAGACGCCAATTCATCTGAAGCAAAAAGCATTCGATCAGTGTATACTACCAATCATGGCATACTGCTGTGAAACTTGGACACTAAAGAAAGAGATAATATCGAAACTCAAAGTCACTCAAAGGTCAATGGAGTGATGCTTGCTAGGTTTAACAAAGAGAGATCGAAAAAGAATAGAATGGATCAGACAAAAAACTAAGGTTGTTAATGTAATCCATAGAATTAAATCTTTAAAATGCCAGTGGGCGGGACATTTAGCGAAAAGAACTGACAGTAGTTGGTCCAATAGAATTACACTGTGGTATCCAAGAGGTGTCAAGAGGCCAAAAAGCCGTCCACATTTTAAATGGTATTACATAACTTTCTGTGCCTAACATTCTATTTTTTTTCTCCTCCTCTATTGAAAAATAAATAGTTATTTATTTTCATTAAGTGTTGCCCTAGATGTTTCGTTTCTTGTAGTACTACTTATTTACTATGTGCATAAAAAATACAAACTAGTGATCCCCTCAGTTTCAGTAGCTTTTCAATCAATACGAAAATACTCGACCAATATTAATTATTGAACTCATCGTATTCTTTTAAATAACTAATTCAAATTTTACTACTTACCTGCAGAAATAAATAAACCATAAGACAAAGGCCTTTTTTAAAAACTGCACAGTTAGATTTAACTTTTACTATTCCTGGATTTTCAATAAGTGTAAATAGTATTTAAATTATTTATTATTCTGAATTTTCCATATGGTAGTTGGTTAAAAATTATCTTTATGGTCTGTTAGTGTCTTATCATAAATTTGTATATTTATCAGAAATCTATAAGGTCAGACCGAACTAACAGTAATTTTAAGTTGATAATTTAAAATAAAACTCTAGCAAAAAATAATTTTATTAAGGACCTTTTAGAGATTTTTAAAATAAAGACTACAAGGAAAAAGCCAGATATGTCAAAGATATTTGAAAGGATTTTCTTCAAATTTCTATACATTCAAAGGACAAAGATTTTTGGAGGTACCTTTTTTTTTTAATGGCTTTGGCTTGAAACCTTTAGCCACGTAATTACATATAAATATTAGTTTTCATTCATACAGGATTGTACAAGGAGGACACTTTCACGCTCAGGGATTCATCAGAGCGGCTTTATTGTAACAAACAAGACATAAACCACGGTTAGGTAGGTGGGCAACATATATGATAAACATACAAAGGAAATGTTCAAGCATACGATCAATTTTACACTCATACCTTTAATTTAATTTTTACAAGAAATATCATAATTATTTTAAAGATTTTTATATTGTCTTCACTTAATAGGAGATTTACGTTTAGTGGTGTACTTAATCCCTCTTTTATCAATTCTTCTATCAGCCACGTGCTTGTATTACGATGTAGTGGGCAGTTAAAGAATATGTGATTTAAATCAGCTATACTAGTTCCACACTCACATCGGTCTGTTGGGAGAACTCCTATTTTGTGTAGATGTTTCGGAAAACATCCATGATCTACTTTTAATCTTAAGACAGTTGCCACTGTGTTTCTGCTTATTGTAACATCTTTGTAAAATTGTTTTACATCTACTGTGGGTTGTAATTTGTATAAATTAGTGCCCCTGCTTTCACCAAACTGAATCCATTGTCTGTCCCATTTAAATTTAATATGTTGTTTGATATAGGCAAGTAGGTCACATGTGTTAAATTCTTCTATCACCATATGTGGGTGCTGTAATGGATTTTTAGCTATAGAATCAGCAATAGTATTGCCAACAATATCTGAGTGTCCCTTGACCCATAGAAATTTAGTAGCATATAGATCTGATAGTTTTAGTAATTGTTGAAAAATTTCTAATATGAATATGTTGCTATTGATTGTGAATTTAAAGTTTTGTAAGGAGTGCAATACTGACAGTGAATCACTGCATATGACAATTTTGTTCCACTGGTTTTCACAGCACAATTCAAGGGCTTTGTATATAGCACACGCTTCGGCAGAAAAAATACTGGATTGATTATTTAAAATAAATGCTTTTTTAATCTTCATTTTTGGTACAAAGTAAGCACTGGTTGTACATGTTGGTGATTTTGACCCTTCTGTATAGATCACAATATGATCTGAATATCCACTTAAGATTTCTTTAAGAGTAGTGTAGCAAAATTCGTTTTAGTATTTTGGGATAATAATATTTGTAGCTAGAACACTTGTTAGATGTGGTATATCCAACGATTCCCAGATAAAATTACAAGGGGAATTTATTAACTTCAGTTCGTTGCAAGTTATAATTGCTCTTGCAAGTGGTGGAGAGTTTTTTCTAACAAAGTATGTAGATGTTAAATCAGCTGTATTTAATTCATTAATTATTTTTGCATTATAAGTGCCACGATAATGTTGGTTTAGGAAATATTTGCTTGCTAGATATTCTCTGCGTAATGAGAGTGGATTTTCAGATGCTAGAACTAGGGTGGCTTCATTTGGAGTGCTTTTCATCAATCCTAACACAATCCTTAGAGCTTTAAATTGAATTCTATCAAGTTTACGTAAATTGGTTATGCTAGCTGACCCATATACCACACAACAGTAATCTATTATAGATCTTATATAGGCTCGATAAAAATTCAATGCAATGTTTTGATCTGCACCCCACGATCTCTTACACACCATTTTAAGAAAATTAATACCTTTTTCGCAGCGACCAATTGTATAATTAATATGTTGAGTCCAAAGCAGTTTCCTGTCAAGTATGACACCAAGATATCTAAATTCCGAAACAACTGGAATATCATTGCCATGTAAGGTTACATCGTGATGTTTAATAGGGTGTTTTCTTGAAAAAGATACTATGGCACATTTTTGGTACGAAATATTGAATCCATTTAACCAAGTCCAATTATCCAAGTTGTACATAATATGTTTGAGTTCAGTAGTGCTTTCACTGTACGTTTTCTTATGTGAATAGATGACAATATCATCAGCATATTGTAAGCAAACAATATTGGGAGACCATAAATTGTGCAAATCGTATGTGTACAAATTAAAAAGAAGTGGACTTAAAACAGCTCCTTGTGGAATACCTTTTGATGTGATCTTGGGTCCAATAATATTGTGACCTACTCTTCACTCTGTGCTATCGATTTTGGAATGCCAAGAAACACAAGTTTATCACAGAGTATATTTAAATCAATATTGTCATATGCACTTTTTATGTCAATAAACAATGCACCTGTTGTCATGGAATTAGAAAAACCAATTTGAACATCTGTAGTCAGACGAACTACTGCATCCGTGGTTCCATAGCCTTGTTTATATCCATATTGTGTTGCTGGTAGAATATTATGCGGCCTTAACCAAATTTCCATTCTCAATTTGAGAATTCTTTCAAGTGTTTTAAAAATGCATGACACTAATGTTATTGGTCTATATGATTCCGGATTATCTTTGTCTTTTCCCGGTTTTAGAATTAATATAACAAAGCAATCGTTAAATTTGTAAGGAGGTATTCCAGTTTGCAAAATACAGTTATAAATATGTAGTAGTAGTCTTTTAGCCAGTACACCCATTTTTTGTAACATAATGTAAGAAATCTGATCTGGACCTGGAGCTGTGTTTTTGGATATCTTGATAGCATATTCCAGTTCAGATGATGTTATTTCTTTTAATAAGTAACGTTCTTCTGGATTTAAAGCCATGCAAGGTATATGTTTGTCAACAAATGGTGGACATAACTTCTGAAGAATATCTTCTGCAACTGCGGAAGGAGCATGTTTGATGTTTGCGTTTTTGTTGTTTAACTTGTTAGCCATCTTCCATATTTGAGTTGATGGGCAACTAGAGTTAAGACTGGAGCAAAATTTAATCCATGTTGTTTTGGCTTTGTGTTTAAACATTTTTTTAGTTGTAGCTTCTATCTTTTTATATTCAAAAAAATTATTCAGTGTAGATGCGGTTTTGTATTTTTTAAGAGCATTCTTTTTAAGCTGTAGCTGTGTATTACATTTATCATCCCACCAAATTGATTTTTGTCTATGTTTAGGACTGAAAGGTACGTTTTGGGGGATAGAAGCTTCACTGCTTGTATTAATTGCTCTATTCAGATTAAATGCCATTTCATTACAGTTTTCAAAATATACAACATTCTTCAGTTCCATTTCAAGATTGCTATGAAACAATTCCCAGTTGGCCTTCTGTAATTTCCATTTCCTTGTTGGATAGACAACAGAAGAGGGTACGTCAATATTCAACTTGATGGAAATAATATAATGATCAGATCCAAGAGTTCTATCCAATGTTTGCCAATGTCCTAGTGCAATTAGTCCAGTAGTTATTAGCGTTAATGGAGGTACCTATTATGGGTGAACGATGAAGGAAAGGGATTTGTATTTCGACACAAGATGGTTGTTTTTGGAGTCAATAATTATAGTCTATTTCCTCTGGGTGCCACTATAGAGTTTCATTTAACAAAGGCGCTGGAGAAATGTTGTAATGATAATCCGTTTTCTAAAAACATAACTGAAATGCTTATGACTGGGTTTTATGTGGATGATTGTATGACCAGTGTTACTGACGAAAATTAGTTGAGAGTGTTTGTATCAGAAGCAGTGGACAATAAAACAGTCTGAAATCAAAAAATTAAAATCCTTTGAGATGTGATGCTACAGGAGAATCCACAGAATATCGTGGACTGAAAGAGTAACTAATATAGAGGTGTTATAAAGAATTAAGAAAGAATGTGAAGTCATAAAAACTGTTAAAATTAGAAAGATTCAATATCTGGGTCATATAATGAGAGGCGAGAAGAAGACGTATTACTTAGGTTAATTATGCATGGGAAGATACAAGGGAGGAGAAACCCAGGACGAGGCAAAATATCCTGGCTAAGAAATTTGAGGGAGTTGTTCGGCTGCAGCTCATTAGAATTATTCAGAAGTGCGGCCAATAAAGGTAAAATAGCGATGATGATTTCTAACCTCCGATAGGAGAAGGAACCTGAAGAAGAAGAAGTATCAGAAGCAACCGCCCTTATGGAGGAAGCTAAGATAGACTTAAGAGGGTGGGATGCCTCTGGTAATTCAAAAACAGTTGTCCCTGTCCTTGGTCTTCTCTGGTACTCTTCAACAGACACTCTGAAAATCAATAGTGTAACTTTTCAAGGAATGGAATTGAAACGTCCCATAACTAAGAGACTGATGCTTTCCATATTTGGGGATGGGATGCTTCAGTCGAGAATGATATGGCTGAAGAGTTTTGTAATTGGGTTACTCATCGTCCTGAACTGTCGAGTATTGAGATTCCACGCTGGATTCAGGATGGATCCACGGAAGCTGATCATTGGAGCTTGCACTTGTTTTCAGATACAAGTAACAAATCTTATGCGGCTGTAGTATTTTTAAGTGTTGTTCGTAATGATGTCTCAATTTTCCTTGTAGCAGCTAAGAGTCGTGTGCCCCCTTTGAAGAAGATTTCTATACCCAGATTGGAACTGTTGGCAGCCACTGTTGGTGTTAGTCTTTATCAGTCAATAAAAAGACAAATTTCTCCATATGTTGAGTCTTATTTTTGGAGTGATTCCACTACTGTTCTTTCTTTGATTCAACGTAAGAATGACTGGCCTGTTTTTGTTTTTAATAGAGTTCAAGAAATTAGAAATTTAGTCAATCCTGAGTATTGGAAATATGTATCTGGTTTTCTCAATACTGCCGATCTTCCATGAAGAGGCTGTGGTGTTCGACAATTGCTCGACTCTCGATGGTGGGAGGTGGAACTCTCTCAACAAAAATTAGAAGTCGAATTTGTATCACCGAAGGAAACTGAGTTAAATAAAACTTTGAGTCACATTTGTGTATTTTAATTTTGTATTTTTTCGAACCAGGAGTCTCTTGCGAAAATTAATCGTAGGACATTCCAAACATAATATTCATCTCAAAAATCAACAAAAGCTTATCAATATCAATATCAATAAAAATACCCCAAAAGTCCTCCTAAAACTTTAAATTATTATCTTTATTCAGACTTTAAGTAACAGTTTGACAAACAAATGAAACTGTACAATATTTAAATAATTAAAAAAATAAAACAATTTGACTTTCAACTAAATATATCTACAGTAGTGGGATTTGGAGAATGTGGTCCCTCTATGGGACTACTGGATGGCACAACTGTCTCTGGTGGGTTTAAGCAACATCTATTATCGCCAATGAGGTTTCGGCTTCTTGGACAAAATGGTGGGTATTTATCATGAAGACAGTAGGATCCTGTAGCTCTAAAAATAAGACACGTATTAAAACGAAGCCATTATTAAAAGAGAACCAAACATTTTTTAGTTTGTGTATTATTGTTTAACAATCTATGTTATCTCATTCAATTCTTTTTTAGAAAAAAAAAAAAAAAAGAAATAACGTTTGATGAAGACTCAAACTTCTTTTATAGTTTTTTACAAGCTTTTAATAATAGCAATCTGCACATGCATAATACGTGATAATGTGGTGGTGTTGTAAAACAATTGTTGAAGAATCTTTGATAGTTTAGGTCCGATGGCAACTTTCAGACAATTTATTAGAATTGTAGTTTATTCGTCTTCCGGGTTTGGACCGTGTCATTTGTGAGTGACCCAAAAGTTGGTTTATCTCACTTCTGGAGATGAACCCACTTTTGGGTCACTCACAAATGACACGGTCCAAACCCGGAAGACGAATAAACTATAATTCTGACTCTGGCCGTGGAAGCCTACGATTTCAATTTATTATAAGTTGCTAATGTTTGATGGTGATAATAGGTTCAACTATATTACAGTTTTTTTATTGTTACATTGCATCTTTACAATCTACTCTATACACAAAGTAATAAGTAAATAATATGTAAGTAAATTAACGTGAAATTAAAAGTGAAACTGGAATAAAACCATGAAGTAGAGATATCCAGGAGTGGCTAGTATACCTGTTGAAGACAAAACACATGGTGTTCGTGTGTATCAAGGTATAAAAAATGCTTATTAAAAGCTTAAAACTTTTATTTTAAAGAAGATCTTTTCGGAATTGAATCATTCTATCATCAGTTTAATAAAAAGTTGTTAAAAACATTGTTTGGCCACAGAAAAACAGTAGAAGAACATTAGTAACAAAAACAATCCTCATGGAATTTACAAAGCTAAATGCAATAGACCGTTAACTTCGGTTAATAATAAAAACTAAAAATGGGGGCATCTAACATGGCCCCCAGGAGTTGGTGAGATTTTGTCGACTTACATTACCTCTGATCTGTGCTGGAGTCTAGGGTTAACTCTAGGTTAACAACTTTTTATTAAATTCATGATGGAATGATTCAATTCCGAAAAGATCTTCTTTAAAATAAAAGTTTTAAGCTTTTAATAAGCATTTTTTATACCTTGATACACACGAACACCACGTGCTTTAAATTAACGTGAGTTAGGTACCGTCCAGTGACAGTTCTTCAGGTATTATTGCGGTAGGTCTTCTGACCATACTCTCTTCAATCTTCTTTCGGTAAGTGGTTTAGTGAACCACTTACCGAATGATTTATCAGTTCGTTGTTGTGATCAGTGGTGCGATTTTTATATTTTATTGAGTGATTCTTTATTATATTTTTAAGTAATGGGATGTCTACATCATTGTGAAGTGTTTGGTAAGATACATACCATGGAGCTTTACTTATCATACAGAGTATTTTGGATTGGAATGTTTGAAGTATCTTCATCTTTGAAGATTTACTATAGCCCCATAGTTCTATTCCATATGCCCAAACTAGTATGAGTATAGTTTTCTACAGAAGCAGTTCATTCTTAAGAGATAACTGAGATCTATTGTTAAATAGCCAGTTCATATTTTTTAGTTTAAGATCTAGTTGTTTCCGTTTAGTTTTAATGTGCATTGTCCATGTAAGTTTTTCATCCAGATGCAATCCCAAGTATTTGACAACTGGTTTTCTCCATCAACACTGATCTTCCATCACTTAAGTCAGTTTTGTAATTGGACTAAATGATTTTATAATTTTTGTGACGCTACATTAGGGTCAATATCCACTGCCAAGATTCCCGTGTTATCGGCAAAAGTAGCTAAGAAGCTATCATTACTGGTTGGAACGTCTGCTGTAAATATCAGATACAGAAATGGGCTCAAAACGCTACCCTGAGGCTCGCCAGATTGTATGACGTGCTACGCACGCGGTAATTTGAGTAGCTGTCTTCAAGTTTGACTTCAAAGTAACGGTAAGTAAAATACGATTTTAGTATAAAGTACAGTTGGTCTATTAGATATAATTTCAGTTTGTACAGAAAACCTTTATGCCATACTCTATCAAATGCCTGTTGTATATCTATAAATACTCCAGCGCAAAACTTTTTTCTCTTCGAGGGTTGTTTTAATTATATTTACTATTCTGTGGCATTGTTGGATGGTTGAGTGTTCACGTCTAAATCCGAATTGGTGTTGTGGTAAAATTTCGTTTATGGGAACAACTTGCTCGATTTTATGTAATAGTAGCCTTTCTAATACTCTTGATATTATTGGGAGTAGGCTTAGAGGGCGATATGAATTTACTTGCATTGCGGGCTTACCAGGTTTCGAAATCATAGTAACTTGAGCAAATTTCCATTATATTGGAAAGTATCGAAGACGTAGTGTACTGTTGTATATTATTGTTAATAACACTACTGCTCTTATCGGTAGCTTCTGAAGTAATTTTCCTTTTATGAAATCATAGTCAGGAGCTTTCTTGGGATTTAGCATTTTTATTTGTTGTCGAACCTCTGTCGGAGTAAATGTTGTCAAAGGAAGAGATAGTTGACATAGAGTTTTGAGATACATTCTTATATTATTGTTACGAATATGCGTTCGACAGGACCCATGTAACAGCGAGCCAATCCAAACACAAACCAGCTAACCCTCCAAATGGACTTGGACTCTATTTTAACTTGGTGTTTCCAGTGGTTACTACCCTTAAACGCGGAAAAATGTGTAGTGCTTCAAATTGGCAAAAATAACCCACTTGTGCCGTACTTTGTTAACGGGCAGCCATTAGAATCTGTGTTTTCGTATAACGATCTTGGTGTTTCAATGCAATCATTTTGCAAACTTTACACTATGTACGTAAGACCCATACTTGAATACGCTGGACCAACGTGGTATCCTGATCTGGTTTGAGACAAGACTTTGTTGGAAAACTTTCAAAGAAAAGCCACTCGAATTTCTTTGGGACCGAGAAGACCGTCTTATGCAGAAAGACTTAGTATGGCTAACCTAACTAATTTTGAACTTCGCCGATAACGTAGAGACTTAATTACAACATTCAAAATACTAAAATTCAATTTTAAAAACCTCGATGTAATATTTATCATAAACCAAGATGAACGCCTCAGAGGTCATCAATATAAACTAAAGAAAGAAAATTTTTCTATAAGACAAAGACAGAACTTTCTTCCAAACAGAGTTTTTGAGTGCTGGAATAACCTAAACGATAACATTGTCTCCGCTTCCTCTACCAACTCGTTCAAAAACAGACTCGACAGTTTTATATTATAGTTAAAATATTGTTTTTCTTTTAAACCAAAAATTGTAATTTTATTTCTTTTAGTTGTAATTTTTGTTATTTACTAGTAGGTGATAAATGAAATTTCTTTGGTTTTGGGCATAATAGGGACTTCCTCTGCCCTCGCTTATATAATAATAATAATAATATTTTCAATAAATCGAAGTTGTCTGAAGTTGTTTGAAGCAAATTCGAGCAATATTGCTGCCGCTATAGGGATTTGAATATCGCGTGATCGGTGCGTGTGCTATCAGTTTAAAAACTTTAAATGACTTTTTCTCGAAACTGTTTTTTAGTGCAAGGAATTGAAAAAAATGTTGAAAAAAAAGTTAAAAGTATTGAAATAAGTTTGAGTGAATCTTCGTCACATATTTTTCACATTATTTTTTCGATTTTTATCAATCATTAATAATATATAATATAATTAATATAATAAATATGAATTGTGCAAAGTTTCAGCAAAATCGGTTGATTCGTTTTCAAGAAATCGTGCCTACCGACGGATAAACAAAGTTTGGAAAAAAACGCGGTTAAATTTTTAAAACTGAGAGCGCATGTACCTCCCTCGCGGTATTTAAATCATTTAAAGTTATCTTTAAATCTTTTAAAGTTAAAAGTATTGAAATAAGTTTGAGTGAATCTTCGTCTCAAATTTTTCACATTATTTTTCCGATTCTTATCTATTATAAACACTTTTTTCGTATAAAACAAGAACGATTCAACCGATTGAAAAACCCTTTATTCCATTACGAAATCACACTATAAATATGAACTGTGCAAAGTTTCAGCAAAATCGGTTGATTCGTTTTCAAGAAATCGTGCCTACCGACAGAAAAACAAAGTCTGGAAAAAAACGCGGTTAAATTTTTAAAACTGAGAGCGCACGTACCTACCTCACGGTATTCAAATCTCTATAACACCGGTAATATTGCTCAAATTTACTTCAAATTTGGTGTGAATAATCTTAAAGTATCTATTCTTTGATATGGAATTAAAAATCGATTTTTCGAATGTACAAGACTTATGTAACCCCTTAAGAATGGTAGTTATGAGCATATATAGAATTCTAGCACTATTCTAATCTTTGAAAATACCAACCAGATCATTATCGTTTTTATATTATTAATTAATAAACATGATCTTAATATTTTACTTACGAAAGTGGCGTTCCATGTCCCATTTCCACTGGAATTCCAACTCTGAGGCCGGGTCTTGGACCTGAAGGACATCTTCTCGAACATGGTTCGGCCTTTTTCGCCATTTCTGGGAATAAACTCTCTGCCATATAACAAATCGCCCATACATGACTACACAACTGAATATCAACTAGAAAAATAAAGAACACAATTGATATTGAGAGCTTACAAAATAGTTGTTTTCCACTGGACTTTTAACGAAACTATTAATAAAAGAAGGTGAAAAAACGTTGAACACAACTAATGAATTTATCTGTTTAATTACGATAAGAATCAAGGAGTCCACGCCCATAAATAAAACAGTGAAACGTAACACCGAAGAGACCAGTCAAATGGTAGTTTTTAAAATTTTAAAATACTCACTATCAGCGTTTTCGCAATAAGGTTGTACTCTTCCACCGTTAATACAAAAATCCACATGTCCACCTCTTCCTCCACCCCCGTAATGTCCAGCGTTGGTATGTAGAACATGAACTGCCAGAGCATTTCCACTGGATAATCTGGAGCCTGGAGGGATGAATGGCTTGGCTGGATCCAGTGCTACAATTCTATGAAGACGGAAATTGACGAAGCGAGAAATCAATCCACAGACATGAGAACCTACAGGGAGTAAAAGTTAAGGTAAGTTTGAGAGTTTCATTTTTATTTTCTGTTTTTTTATTTTATTTAAATAATTATCTTAAAAGACAATATCGAATGGCATTCTTTATATATACAAACCTAAAGAGTGTCCCACGCAAGTCAATCGATCTGTTGGAAGCCCAGCGGTCCTCAAAGAAGTCAGCAATTCTCCAGTACACTTCGCCACAGTCTTCATATTGTTTACACCAGCTCTGTAACAAGGAGGAGGTCCGAGTCTTCCCCAATCTACTACCCAGACGTTGTAATTGCCGTTTCTGATGTATGCTGTAACATAGATATCATTTTATTTGAGATTGTTTGGAAAAGGAACTCATTGCTTTAAAATATGTACCATCTGATCAGCAAGAACCTGACATTTTTACAGAGTCATTGTCAAAAGCTAAATTCGCCTGTTTTAGGGAACATTTGAATGCTGTTGAGTTGTAATAGTATTGTAGTTAAGCTGATATAAAATTGCATAATGATGTTGGTATTATAATTCTACATAAGACCTTTTTAGTGTTAAGGATTGGCACTATCTGTGCATGACAAGTGTGTTAACGAGTCAACAAGCAGTTCATATTATAAGCTGACATAATAAAAACGTTTATATCAGTGGCGGCTGGTGTGGTAAAATTTTGGGTAGGCCAAGCCAGCAAATTACATCGTAAAATTAGCGCCAGTTATTGAAACTTGTTTTAATCCCAGAAACGTTGCTCTAATTGAGTATAATATTGTCCAAAATCTTCAAAAAGATCCTTCTAAATTTAGTTTTAGCTTTCTCCAAAAAACTTTGATCTCCGTTATTAGATGAACCACCAAGTAAAATATCAAGTTCACTACAACTTAAGATGGGTTTAGAATTGGTTTCGCTAACAGCAATGTTAAAATGGTTAGAACATGTAAGGTCATTTCTACAGCTCTTTAACATTGCAACACTTCTGGGCACTGAATTGGCACACAATTGAATATCATTATTTTTCTTCTGCAAGATGTTGTATAAGAGCTCAGTTTGTTGAAATATATCACTAAAAACATTTAATAAAAATACAAATTCCAAATCCTCCAACTTACGTTTAAAACCATCTGCCTGCCTAATTGATTTTGCATTTAATTCTGGGCAATTCATTATGTCCTGAAAGACTTGTAACATTTTTTTCTTGTGATACAGCATATACTACTTTTGCATTTGAATTCCATCTTCTTCTTCTTCTAGTTCCATGACCGTTATCGATCGTTGGATATCATGTTGGCTACCATATTCGCTATCGTGACTTTATTGACAGCAGCTCTAAATAACGATGTAGTTGATTTTCCATACCATTGCCTTAGATTTTTCAGCCATGATGTTCTTCTTCTACCAGGACCACGATTACCTTGGATCTTTCTAACTCTGTCGACCCAGCTTATTTTCAGTAGTCGTCTGTATACCCACATCTCAAAGGCTGTCAAGCGTTTAAGCATAGCCTCAGTTAGGGTCCACGCTTCTACTCCATACAGCAGGACAGGAAAGATGTAGCAAGATATCGTACGAACTCTAAGGTCAATGCTAAGATCGTGACTGCAAAGTATATATATATATATATATCCCGTTTATAGCGTAATCCGCCTTTGGGTTCCCGTTCGCCAAGCCTGTCTATTCTGCCAGTCTTCTTCAAATAGATTTCTTGCTGACATGGCTTTTGAAATTCCTTGCATCCATGTTGTTGGTGGTCGTCCTCGTTTTCTTTTCTCTGGTGGTACCCATTCTAATATTTTTTTTGGTAGTCTTTCTTCCCCCATACGTCTAACATGTCCGTACCATGTCAGTTGTTGTTTTTCGATGTCTTCTATAATTGATCTTTGTACATTCATTTGATTTCTTATGTCCTCATTTCTCACATGTTCTAATCGAGACTTTCCCGCTGCTCTCCTCCAAAAATCCATTTCAACTGCCAAGAGGTTACCTTTAAGTTTTTGTGATAACTGCCATACTTCTGAGCCATACACGATTACTGGTTTCAATATTGTGTTATATATTCTTTTTTTCGTTTCCGGTCTTATATTTTTCTGCCATAGTACTGAATTCAATGCACCTATAACTCGTTTCCCTTTGGTTATTCTGTCTTTTATGGCTTCATCAGTTCTTCCTGTCTTTGTTAGTTTTACCCCCAAATATATACATTGATCGCATTTCTTAATTTTCCCGTCTTCTAAGTCGAGGTCATCTGCAGTATGTTCTCCTCCTATGCAAAGATATTGCGTTTTTTGTAAATTTACTTCGAGGCCCCATTTTTTGTACTCTTCCATTAGTTTTCTAGCCATATACTCTAGGTCTTCCTTGTCTTGGGCAATAACTACCTGGTCATCTGCATAATGCAGCGTGTATAACGTTTCATCCCCAATAGACAGCCCCATCCCTTTACACTTCTTTTTCCATTGCCTGAGTGCTTCGTCGATATATATATTAAATAGTATGGGAGATAAACAACAACCTTGCTTCAGTCCTTTTGTTACCTGAAAACCATTAGTAACCTTATTTCCTATTTTAACTTTTGATATTGTGTTGTTATATAGATCTTTAATAGCGTCGATTAGTGAAACGCTGATACTGGTTTTCTCCAATACTTCCCACAATTTCGCAACAGGCACGGTGTCATATGCTTTTGTTAAATCGACTAAAAGTAAATGCACTTCTCGAGATCTCAGTGTTCTTTTCTCGAGTATTTGGGATAAGCAAAAAATACTATCTATTGTGGATCGTCCCGCTCTGAATCCGTTTTGTTCTTCTGATTCAAAAGGACGGTATTCTTCGCATATGCGTTCTTTTATAATTCTCCCATATAATCTGCTAAGCGTACTCGTAACAGTTATACCCCGATAGTTATTGCAATCTTCCTTATTTCCTTTTTTGTGGATAGATGTAATCCATCCTTCTTTCCAACTTTGTGGCACTGGTTCTCCGTGCAAGTGCCTATTGAAAACTTCTGTTAGTATCTCGAATAGTTTGTTGGTTCCATTTTTTATTAACTCTGCATATATCCCCTCTGGGCCCGGAGCACGTCCATTTTTCAACAATGATATAGCTTTTTTAGTTTCTTCGATGTTAATTGTTGGAGGCTCTCCTTGAATCAGGATTTCATGTTGTTCTATGTTTTTGAATTCCAGTCTTTCTTCTACTAACAGTGTTTTATAGTGTTGTTCCCATTTTTCGGGCTCTATGGAGTGTATGGCTATTTGTTCTGTTCTGTTGGATCTGATGTTTTTTATAAATCTCCAGGATTCTCTTGATTTGCGGCCGCCAATATACGTATCTAATTCCTGACATTTTCTCTCCCAGCTTTGATTTTTTGACTCTATTATCGTGGATTTAAATTTATTTACCATTTCTCTATATTCTCTTTTGTGTTCTTGATCCTTTGTTCCCAACCATCTGTGATATAATTTTTGCTTTTGATCTTTCATTTCCTGTAGTTCATCATTCCACCAATTATTTGTCTTTCTGAGTTTGTTTACTCTTATTCCTAATGCTTCTTTGGCCGCTTGATGTATTCCTTTTCTTATTATGCTATGTAACTCTTCTGTTGTTTTATGTTTAAATTCCTGTGGTAGTTGTTGCTCCAATCTTTTTTTATACAATTCTCTAGTACTATCGTTGTCTAAACTTGTTAGATTATACTGTAGTTGTTCACCTTCTGCTGAGTGATTTTGATTTAGATTTTTGTTTTGTTGGTGTTTACCGTTTCCGCTTAGCGGTAGTATCATTTTAGCTTTTACTAGATGGTGGTCACTTCCACATTCGGCTCCTCGAAATACTCTTACGTCATGCACTTACGACTGCAAAGTACGTTTCTCATTTTTACAAAGCCAGCTCGGGCTTGTTCTATTCGGCTTTTAATTTCTGCGGTTGGATCCCAGCTCTCATTGATATTACTGCCGAGATACACGAGTTTCTCTACTCTGTCCAGTGTGGCATCTCCGACTTTTATACCGTCATCATGTATATAATTTTGTTTGCTAACTATCATATATTTAGTTTTCTTAACGTTGAGTTTTAATCCATACTGATCACAAGTCTGTTTTATTTTGTTCATTAGATTTTGAAGGTCTTCTCCGCAATTGGCAAGGACTAAGGTATCGTCGGTATATCTAATATTGTTGACGGTTACTCCATTCACAATAATACCTTCGGTTGTCTCCATTAAGGCTTCCTTAAATATTTCCTCCGAATATAAGTTAAAAAGTAAAGGCGACAATATACAGCCTTGTCTCACTCCTCTTTTTATATTTATTTCATCCGACAGTTCTTGTTCAACATTTATTCTTGCCACTTGATGCCAGTATAGATTTGTAATTATTCGTAGATCTTTATCGTTCAATCCAGCTGTTTCCAATATTTCTAGCATTTTGTTATGTCGGACTTTGTCAAAAGCTTTTTCAAAATCGATTGCACAAATATACACATTTTGATTTATATCTCTGCACTTTAACCAATCAGTTGGTAATATCCCAGTGTCATAAATTCTGTTAAAGAGATTACACAGAGCTTTAATTCCATTTTCTCCCAAAAACTTTAGTATTTCAGCACTTACTTCATCGGGGCCAAGTGCTTTTCCATTTTTTGCCGTTTGTATTGAACAATTCACTATTTCATCACAATTCCATCTTACTTCACTATTTGTGGTAATTCGTTTTCCAAGTATTTTATTTCAAAAATAGGACCGTTTGGACGATTGGTGAAAATAAGCTGGAATACCTTGAAACGTTGAGAATATTATTTTGACTGTTGTAAGGTTGGAGCAGCTTTGCTGTAAAACTAAGTTGAGGCAGTGAACGAAACAATGGGTAAATATTGCTAATGGTGCAGAATCTCTCACTAATTTTTGAAGTCCATTAAGTTGTCCCGACATGACACTAGCTCCATCGTAGGTTTGAACAATTAATTTAGCTTTACAGTCAAATTTACCAATTACACTAAACAGTAAGTCACGTAATGCTGGGCACTTCGGTCTTCCCCTAGATAAAAAAAACCTAAGAAATATTCTTGAACAACGCCTTTTGTATCCACTAATCTGCATACTATTGAACATTGTGCCCTTTTAGTAATATTGGTTGTTTCATCAAGAATGCATGCAAAAAATGTGGAGTTATTTATGGCGTTCTCATACAACACATTTGTATTGTTTGTTTAAAAATTTGTTACAATTCTAGATAATGTTACATATTGTTTTATCATAATTTAAAAGAAAATTTATATTACAATTCGATAATTACGTTAGAAGTGACAACGATGGTCGGCCTAGGCCCGATCGTCTGGTGCCTAAACAGCAATCATAAAGACGACAATAAAAATTGTTGTCCGGCAAGCTGTTTAACTTCAAACGCTTTTTGTACGGGGATCTTATGTGAGCTGGGTCGGCCTATTAATGATTTTAAAATGCCTGAATATGATTCGGTGCTTTCTGTGGTAATATAATAACATATTTGTTTTAACGGGCGTTAATGTATTGAGTAATTTAGTACATTTACAAGCTATTTACATGCTTTAACATAATTTTTGAATATAGGTTTTTTAATTATAAAGCTCTTAAAATTATTGGGTAGACCCGGCCTATCTTGCCTACCCTTAAAAGCCGCCACAGGTTTATATTTTTCAATGTATCCGTTGCAATATTTCGTTTTAGTAGATTATTACCAACGTATCTCTAGAAGGAAATATATCCCTAAATATATGTAAGTTGTTACAAAATATTATGTCACACAAAATAAGAAACGCACTTCAGGACGAAGAAATACTTACTGTTGAAGAACTTATGGGCTTGGTATGGTATTGATACAAGCATGCTCTTTAGGCTGGCAGTACATAACATTAAAATAGCTATGATGGTAACCAGCGTTGTGAAAAGACATGGGATACGAAGAAGAACAATAAGATCTTCCAGTACGAAAATCTTGTAGTCAAATTACTTATTTTCTTGTTTATTCGTCCTTACTAATTTGTAGTGCAATATTTGGATCTAATTAAGTTGGAAACGTTGTCTTATATTGATTTGAAATCATCACAATGTGTTCGATTTCTTTGACCTCAATTTAATCTATGATCGTAGGTGGATATTCCAATAATGCAATCATTGGATCAACTTTTTTTTCATTAATAGTGAAATCCTTTCACTTTCGCATCTCATTAATGCATGTTTATTTATGTAATTAACAATCTCGTTCGGTGTTTCTTCAAGTGGTGTCAGCGTGGCCGTTGCCGGAACTCAGTAATGAGTTCAGTCTTAATTTTACTTCCTATTTTATCGAGTATACAAATACTAGATAAAATCTTAGATACCTACTCTAAATATCTAAAACAATTAAAAGTCAATATTAAAATGAAATAAGACCAAACAGGCAATTGAAAATGCGTTCAAACAGCAACTGAAGTCAAGTTATAGACAAAAGAAGGAGTTGATGACCTCTGAGATTCTGTAACAAATAGACATAAAAAGAAATTATAAGAACAAAGATCAGAAAAATACCGCTAAATTAACAGAAAAATTTTAAAAAATTATATAGATGTCAAAAGCGAGATAAATAGGAGAAAAATGCAGGGAAATAGAAAACCTTGAAAAGAAATATGGCTAACACAACATGCATAAGGAAATTAGACAAATGGCAACTCAAAAAGTATTGTGTGTTCACCTCAAATAATTGTCATGGACAAAACTTATAGACTCTAACCCAGTAAAAGAAACAAATAATTTATTACCATCTCTAAGAACCACCATCGGCAATTCATTATCTCCACCAGCGTATCCGTGGATCAGCATGATGTCTTCCTTCAAAGGATCCCAAATGCTTTGTCTTAACCAGTCAGTTTGTGTGTAGTCCACTACAGCTTTTTGTCCTTTGGTGTACAAAATGTACGAAACATCCTTATCTGGACACTGAGAATTGGCCGGACGGTAGACGCAGTCCTGCAACGTGAGATTGCTACTGACGAAGTTGTGTAAGAAGAGAGCATCCTTCACTGGGTTGTTCGGCAGCGTAAATTGGCACAGAGCATTTGCTTAAAAATAAAATTTCATTAAAATTGACAAGTACTTTGTTTATTTTATAAATATATCTTTAATTAAACTATTCATATCTTTAAATTGACCAGATGTTATCAAAACAGATTAAGTAAATGCGCAAAAGGTAGAAATTATTCAGCACTGGCTTCAAAAAGATTGGCTTTTGAGAAACATGATGATTCAAGAAAAACAAAAGGTAATTAACGATTTCCTTTTATTTTCAATGGTCGTTCAATAGGCCGAATCAACCTTTAGGTGCTAGAGAAAAAAATACATTGCCACCCTTAGATTTCACGTTGTGGATTATGAATCAATATGTAAAAGCTAAAAAAAACTTGCTACGTAAATTTCTTCGAAGAAGCATAGAAAAACTAAAAGCCGGAATATTCAATGCTCTTTAAACAAGGCAACTTGTTACAGATCCATAATTCACAGCATCAATAAATTTATTCGAATTTTTAGTAGTACAATGAAGAAGGTAACTTAAAAAAGAAAAAGAACTAACCCTATTTATAATTAGGTCATTAATCATAACCTAGGGTACTAAACAATAACTTACGCTATTATAAACTAACAGTATAGATTAAGTAAATTAACTAAACGACGAGTTGGCCTCTTTTCTTTATAAATTGAGACTAGCAGAAAAAGCCATTGCATGGGAAAATAACCAGGTAAATTAAAAAAAAAACATATTATTCGTGAACAACAAGGATAGAAAATCAAATGAAAGAAAAGGAGAAAACTTACCAAAAGTGACTGACCATAGGGCAGGGGTCACCAATGAAATTATAGGGTAAAATTTTAATCAAATCTAAATATATAAATATCTTTACATTTTCAAAAATGCACAGAACTAATACTATAATAATACTAAATATAAAATAATTTCTGTCCACTATTGATGCTGCTGCAACTATTGACGCTGAATGAAGCTGAAAGCTCAAATGATTATTTGAGCTTTCCCTTGGACACAGAAAACGTTGCAACTATCGCATTTTTGGCGGATATCTTTAGACATCTGAACTTCTTGAAATTAAAACTATAATGCAAGGGAAAACTTCTTTGTGAACTTTCTGGAAATTAGAAGTTTTTCTAAAAAGATTGAATTTTTTTCTGAGGATATTAAGGCAGAACTTATGCATTTTCCTCTCCTTAAATCCGTTTGTGATAATAATAAAGATGATGATGTATCTTACATAGTTCTCTCAAGTTTTATTAATAAACTTGATTTGGAATTTAAAAAACGAGTTGCTGATTTCCACGAAATTGAAAATGTTGTGCAACTGTTATCCAGCAGTTTTTCACTCAAGCCTAATGGTGTATGGACCAGCGAATCAGCAGACATATTACGCCGCAAAAATTTATTAAACAAAGGCGTGAGAAAAAACAATATAATAGCTTTATCCTTGATTCTTATGATTCCGATTCCGATTTGCTTATGTTTTGATCTCGATAAATATTAACAATATCTCGTTTCGACATTCGCCCAACCATATTATACCTAAACACCTCGACGAATATCAATTTTATAAGACATTTTGCAGAACACAAACCAAAATATTCTGCTTTATTAAATGTCAATAACTGATGACATTTCGATTCATTTTGCTTCTCAATCAGACCAGATGAAATGTTTCCCAAAACTTTTGGACCATACGTTTTGCCGTTTTAACCCCCTCTGTGGCTCAGTGGTAAGAGCGCCTACCTTTGAACCTAAAGGTCGTGAGTTCGAATCTCACCTGGGTGGAGAAATTTTCGTTTATTAAAAATTAATAAACGAAAATAATTTCTATCCTTGTGCGATCGGTACTCACCGGAGGGACCGCAGACGTTCGGATACAATTAGCGTCTCTTAGCAAAGACAATGACGTCGACTTTGCTAAGTATCAAGACAATTACTCTATACACACACTACACTCTACACTAGGTACCTGACTGTAAAAATTCACTGTACCATGCCAATGACCATTGTTTGACGACGCATAAATCTCAATAAAAAAAATTTGCCGTTTTATTTGTCACGAAACCTAAAGTTTAGAAAATATATTAAGAAATAATACCTAATATAATTTTATTTAAATTCAAAGCTCACTTCATGTTAACCTAAACTTAGTTTTTTTATATAAAAATAATAAATTTATACAAAATAATAAAATAACTTACTCATATACAAATTAAAAATTGAATATTTTCATATTATTTATGCATATTTGTGCATATTCCTGTTTCAAAATGCACATCGTATGAATATTTTAAACATTTTTATTAGTGCATATTTTTCAGTCTCTAGTAATTAGTCTCATTTTAAAGATAAGATGATACGATAAAGATTAGCTTATTTCTGTGGAAGAACTATATTTTATAAGTACGAATCAGTAAAATAAATAAGCCAACGACTAACTCACAGCTACCTAATCTCCAAATCAAATCGTCCTATTTGTGACTTATGTAACTGCGACATTAATGTAACACATATCTTAATAGAGTGTCCTAAATATATTAGTGAAAGACAAAAACACTCAATGCCTAACAATATAAAGGCAGTCTTAGGAGTACATTGTAAATTTACAAATTTGTTTAACTACTTGAAGGATATTGATGTTTTAAAAAAACTGTAACTGTCAATTATTTGTAAACTCTATTTACAAATTGTAAAATGTGAACTTATCTAATTATTGTAAACCTACTAATTAATTAAAATACTGTTTAGATTTAAGCACCTATGTAACAACTATAGTACAGCTAATAACCCAAAGTGGTTGATGCTGTTATCAATAAAAAAAAAATAATAAGCCAACGCTGAAACGCATAAGAATTTCCGCGAATAAAAAGAAGCACACCATCCAAAATATATAAATGTTTAAAGCTATTTAATCGTAATATTTTTAATTAGTTCTACGTGACTACAATACATAAAAATATATTAACTTAATAAATAATATTACTTACAAATAAAAGAGAAAAACAATAATCCACCTGCGACTTTCAAACACATATTTATTTCAACACTGTTTCGGAATTACTGTTTACATTCAAGAAATTCTTGCGAATAATAACTTCTTATTTTAATACCCCGTGTGCCATGCATCGTATATTATGGTTACGGTAAAAAATCGTGTCGGAAGAAAGTTTTGAGTTGTGGTTGTGGCGAAGAAATGACAAACATCGAGGCTATATCTTCGATTGACCAATTTTGCTATCCGAAATTGGGTTTTTGGAATGTAACATATATTCGAAATAATTTTCGGTGAATTTATGTTTAAAATAGCAATTTTTGAAATATTCAATAATACTGGTTTGTTCAATATTTATTACAAAGTTTGTTAAATACAACATAAACAATAAAAAGTGTATACATATAATAAACATGATTATGACATGAGAGACCTACAGTCCAGTATGCCGTATACTTTCTCTACATAATTTATTATTCCTAATGGTTCAATTAATTTTAATACAGTGAATACTGTTTCATCTGTGTAATTTGTATATTGTAATAAAAAAATATCTGACATCTTTATAAGCCAACTAGACCAGAGAAATTACCAAAAAAATGCCTTTTTTATGACATTCTTGATACATGTATCTAACAACTGCTTTTGATAAATTTTAAATACTAAACACCCTAAATCCAATAACAAAAAAAAATACTAAAGGTTCAGACTGGTAAATTATATGGAAAAATGAAACAGTTTACTGAAAAACCGTAGAAAATCCTTTAAAATGAGAGTTCGTGAAATTATTTTTGTTAATTTGATGTTTAATTATTGCAAAAATAGCTTAAAATTGCTTATTATTTCATAAACTTCATTAATAATAATAAGGGAACTTGTAAATCTCCTGAAAATGAAACGATTAACCAAATAGATCATATATTCATCGATGCAAGACATAGATAGTGATCACTATTTAGTTAAAGCACGATTTAAAGAGAGAATATCCAATTTAAAAAAGGAGATTCGGAAAAGAAGAGAAAAATCGATATTAATAAACTAAAAAATCCCGATATTGCAAATGTATACAGACAGCAAATAGAAGATCAAATAATGACAGAAAACGTAGAAGAAGAAGAAGATAACCAACTATGGGCAAATATACGAGATATTGTGTTGCAGAAATCGGTTGAAATATTGGTCAAAACCAAGTCAGAAAAAATAAATCATGGTTTGATCATGAGTGCGAAATGGTCACAAATAGAATGAACGTAGCATATCAAAAAACCATCGACACAGGTTGTAAGCGAAGAAAAAAAAGAAGAGTATAGACGTCTTAGAGGGGAGGAAAAACGTATCCAGTGACCATTTTGTCTGTGGTCATTGAAAAACATAGGAATTGAAGCGTTTGCAGAGATTACTGGTCGTCAGAAATCTATCTCTCCAGAAGGCGGGTTCTCTTTACTTGCAAGTGGTATCTCTTGACGACCGTGACACCACAACAGAAGTTTTCTCTTGGTATTCAACACCCAGTTGTGATTTTCAGCTTCTTAAAGAGAGATAGAATCTTGTACTTAAATTTCTATGGTCATGGCTGCAGTAAAATCCGCGTCAGTAAACTTCTGTATTTATCCCTTAACCACAATAGTTGAAGTAGCAGCAAATGAAAATGCCTCTCCAAGAAGTGTCGCTAATCTATAAAGATAATTACGCAAGAATCTTTCGATCGCTTGGACATATTATACTTCATCTAATTTACTTACGGTTGCACGTCATCCGCGTCATATGATACCAACACGAAATATTTAGGCGGTAGGTATGTTCTTTTTTAGAATCACTTTGCCGAATACACTGGCATTACAGCCACTAGACATATTTTATTATATACGTGTAGAAATAATATTTAAATATTTCTTTTAATGTTAACTTAAAGAAATACACAATAATATATTTTATTTAATTTGTATAAATG